ACATTGTTAGCTATATTGATGGAGCCTCAGATATGGCACCCACCTGCCAGCTCTGTGGCTCTGTGGGTAGAGGGTTCAGAAAAGGGACAATGGCCTCTGCCTGTCTTTCTGTCTGGGGGAAAGCTACCCCCAGCTCTTGCGTTGATGCCAGACACTTCAGTTCTTCCCAGTATGCTACTGGTACTTTTTGAGCTGCTACCCCAGTGTTGGAGCCCAGAGGAAGTGAGTCTGAGTAGGTGAGTCCAAGTGTGGGTTCTTTAAGAGGAACTGCTTGGGACTTCAGAATTTTCTTCCAATGACTCAATCTCTGCTGGTTTTTGCATCCAGAAATTATGGGGACATATCTTCCTGGCACTGGAACCCTGGGCTGGGGGGCCTGGTATGGGGCAGGGACTCCTCGCTCCCGAGATATCCCTTCCAAATATTTGTCTACCACATGTGGATATGGGACCAGTCCATTCTGTGTCTCTACCCCTCCTTCCATTCTGGATGAATGTGGTTTCTTTAATTCCATAGTTGCCAGACTTCCATTCCACATCAATTTCTGATGGTTCTGAGTGATGGTTCTATAATTACTTGTAATTTTGATGTGGCTGTGCAAGGAAATGAGCCACGTTTACCTATGCTGCCATCTTGACTAGAATTCCTCATTATATTTTTTTATTTGTCAGGGAAGTGAGGAGGAGAACAGAGCAGAGGGGAGAGAATAAATATAAAACATAGAAAAGGAAAAGCAAAATGTTCATACTGCAATAACGCTATCAACAATTTGGTGTAGTTCTTTGTCCTTTCTGTGGATTTGTTTCTTTACAGGGCTGCATTCATTGTAAAAAAAAAATGTATTAAGATAATTTTTACTCTTTGAAATGGCATTTACATCTATTATTTGATCATCTGCTGACTACTGTAATTCCTCTGTTGTTGAACATTTTATTTCTATATTTTTTTCATGAAAACTATCTTGTGATGAATAACTTTATAGTATAGAATTCTCCATATTTTGGATAATTTCCCTAAAATAGGCTTATAGAAACTGATTAACTGGCCCCAAAATGTCCCCATAACCTTATGTTTCCAATGTACTTTCTAGTACTATTTAGACCTCGTTCTCCATTAAAATAAAAATAGCCCTCTGGTCAAATGAACTTGTAAATCACTGGGTTAAGTCTTAAGATTTAATAGCACATTAGCTTATTACAGATGAGGAGTTTTGGGGAAAAAAATTCTGTTTAATCTATTGTCTTTCAAACTTATTTAACACCATGTATTTCTTTCAGCCCATGTATTGTTCTCTCATCTGTGGCTAGTAGACTATATTGTTTATGAGACAGAGTGATATTTTGAAAGAGAACCAGAGTAGCACTCAGAAGGCAGACCTGGCATCTCTCAAGCCACATAAGAATGAGATGGCTTAGTCACATAGCCTCCATGAGCATGTTTCTTAATCTATGTCCTTAATAATGTTTTGTGGGAATCTTATGATAGAATATATAACGCACAAAACTATACACAGATATGGAGATGCACTGTTAACTAAAATAACGAGAGGAAGTAGAACTGCGTCCCATTTTTTCCCCTGGCTTTTTCCTCCATTCATTGTGAGGAATAAGAGAACAGATCCCCATCACAGCATTCAAAGGTGTTTCAAGGCTTTCGAATTTTGACACCAAGGAGATTTAGAAATAAAGTATACTCTAAAATATTTGAAGTATCAAAATAACTAGGTTGCCCTCTTCCAGACAGGGAGAATTTGTATTTTTCCCTTTAAAAAGTGAGAACAACAAGGTTAAATATTCTCAATAGGTATCACTTGATACTTAGCTGAGTACATGAAATGCTAATACTGTTTTTGGTTATTGCCGAGACAAGGGCCTCACATCCGCTGTGTAGCTTGACTGGTTAAGAAATCTCTGTACCTGTCTGAGGCCTTCTCGCAGTAGGAGACATCCAGATGCTCTTTGTACACGATGCATCTCAGATGAAATGTACGCTGGAATGAACTAGACTCTCCCTTCATGTGCTGGGGAGCATGTGGTCCCTGAACATGGTGGAAAGAGGGGCCTTTTGGACACATCCCTCCTAATTATTGTCTAGAATTGGCAAGAGTTGCCTCTAAGTTCTTTAAGTTGCTTGAGCAGATAACCACAGAATAAATAGGAACACACGTGCTGTGTTATCCAGAAATGAAAAAGGCCAAAGAGGAAGCTGGGCTAAACAAATTTTAGTTTATGATTTAGGAGGGGCCAACTTTTGAATATTCAGCTAATCAGGTTCCCTTTGCCCAATCCTGCCCCCAAATCTCAAGGCACAAGCCCATGGCAGGAGGGGCTTATTCAGAAAGAGAGAGAATAGAAGAAGAGGGAAGAAGATGGGAGGTGTTTTTTTTTTCCTTGTGCTTGGGGCTTGGTAGAAAAGGATATTTACCTTTGGACCAAGTAGAATTCTAGAGGTCAAGCAGTCAGTCATTGTCCAGAACCAGAGGGTCCAAGAGGCTGGTTCAGCTAAGTATGAAGTGTGGGAGGAGTGAGGAACAGAAGAGAAGTAGGTAGGCCACCACTAGAGTCAGCCACGGGGGAGCAGAAGGGACTCGCGAGGGCAAAGAACACGTTCAGAAATCTGTCCAGGACTTCTCTGCCTGGATCTGGCTTCCAGGAAACCCAGGTGCTTCCCTCTGCTTCTGTTTTCTACTGTACAACAGTGGTCCCCAGCCTTTGGGCACCAGGCACTGGTTTTGTGGAAGATGAACTGGGGTGGAGGGGGTGGTTTCAGAATGATTTGAGCCCGTTACATTCAAGCGCACCTCCTGCTGTGCAGCCTGCAGCTGGGGACCTCTGCCAAACAGCGAGTGCATCAGGCCTTCTCCCAGCAGGACGACTCAGATGCCACCACACAGTGCGTGTATAGGTGCTCTCCCCGGGGCATTCTTCACACAGGAAGACTTCTTGAACTCCTACCCACTGCAGGTGCATCATCGCTCAATGGAAAGCACAGAACACTTGAGTTGTATGGAGAGGGCAATGCCAATTATGCAAAAAAGATGCATGAACATAATTCGAAAGAATGATTAAATATCATCTTTCACTCATCTTTGGATGGTGGAATTATGGTGGCTTTTGTAAGTTTTCTATATTTTCCCAAATTTTCAAGAATGATTATTTTTATAATTGAAGAGAGTTATTTGAAGAAGTGAATCAGCATTTATAAGTATTTTTAGAATACTTTTGTGAAAGAAGGGAGTAAATATTTCAGTTATTGGAAATTAGTTTAAAAGATGTTTTTCTCCAGTCTACGACTAGGGGAGAGAGAGAGGGAGTGGGGGAGAGCGGAGAGAGGGCGGGCGGCCAAGCACAGAGCAGGGGGAGCGGCTGAGCCAGGTGAAGTGCTGTAGAGAAACAGCCCCGGCAAGGACTGCTCAGCTGCAGGGAAGCCAGGGCAGAGGGAGGCAGACAGGCACGGGGAAGGAGGCGAGAGAGAGAGAGTGTGTCAAAGACAGAGATGAACAGGAGAACCACAGAAACAAAATGAGTTCAGAGTTTGCGTAAACCACAGCTGTGTTTCTGAGGGCAAACTGTGTGTCTTCATTTATACAATGGGAATCAATTCACCATTGTCGGTTGCTTTGTCGGAAAAAATTAAAGATGGCGATGTCTGGGAGGCATACTGCATAGCTCGGTCTCTGCTAATGTCCCGCTCATGTTGAAATTTCAGCTGTGATCGGCATTGCTGCCCCAGGGTCCCAGCAGGAGGACAGGCAAGCCCTTTCCCCTCCTTGGTTCATGGGTTCACTGGTGCCAAAGCAACATGTCCTTTCTTCTCTTTGCCTCTGGTGCCTTAGAACAAAGGTTTTCAAATTTGATTTCATGACCTCAGGAAAACACAGAGGCCATCTGTATTGCTGCTACAGTAATTTATTTGGTTATTTTTGTTTCCAATTTTGTTGAATGTGGAAAATATAATATATGCATATTCTGGACCTTGGGCATGGGCCGCTTATGTTCAGTACTACTGCATCATTTCAGTGAACACAGACTATTGGTATTCATAACACAGGAACTGAAAGCATAATTACATCATGAAATAACGTATGGAGGGTTCGGTGATTGGATCCAACCTGTGTGGCTCAGTAGGCTGGGCATCACCCTACAAAGTGAAAGGTCACCAGTTTGATTCCCTGTCAGGGCACATGCCTGAACTGTGGGTTCAGTCCCTGGTTGGGGTGCATATAGGAACCAATCAGTGTTTCTCTCCCTCTCTCCCTCCCTTCTCCTCTCTATAAAAATAGATAAATAAAATCTTTTAAAAAAGATTTCAGCAATTGTTTGAAAAGAGAAAATGGGGAAAGTGGGCCTTTAGCGGTATTTGGCAACCTAAGCGTGCCTCTGAGCAGCATGTAAAGAATCAGCATTGCCAACTGATGTTTCATTGTTCTTCTCTTTGGGTGTGTCAAACAGCAACCACTGATTAAGTCTATACATTTTAAGTCTATAATAAAAATAACTTGTTAGCATTAGGTTCCCAAAAGTATCTTTTAACATTTAAAAATAGCCTACACACTACTTAAACTATGAAAACTTTATCAGGGAGATGCTAGAGAAACTGCTCTTTATTTTTCACATTTTAATGTTGTTTTATTAAGAACCCCACCTTTAAGACTCAGACAGACTCCCCGCCGAGTCAGGCTACTGAGGAACCTGAGTTCCCGCCTTCACAGGGTCCTCAGAACCCTGCCTCCCGCCACTGGAGGTAGGGTCTACACCATGCTTGACTCTCCTTTCTGACGAACTCCTTTCCAGAATCTAGCACCCACCCCTCCACCCCTCCTGCCAGATGGGCCTCATCACCACGCAGGCTCAGCCTGGATCGCCACCACCCTGGCCTGAGGATGGAACAGAGGACTAAACAAGCGACTAAGTGAAATAAACAGGGAATTCACCTGACAGTGGAAAAGCCATTGTTTGCTCAGTGTATGATTGGGAGAAAAGAGGACTCTCTCTTTCCAGGTGAGAGAAGACAGGTTTAAGACAGAAAAGGATAAAGGGAGGGCAAAATCTCCCAAGGAGAAGAAAGCCCCAAATGCCAGCGCTGCCAAAGGAAAGGGGAAGGATCAGCCCGAGGCGAGCACAGTGGTGAAAAAGACAACCCAGCTGAAACGGCGAGGGGAGGAAGATGAGACCAGAGTTTACATTGGTCAGTGCGCGGCGCCCCGGGTGGGTCCCCCTTCCCTGCTTCCCTCTTCACCTACCAAGTGCCTTGAGAAATCATTTCAATAACTAGGTTAAATCGTCCCCAGCCTTTTCACTCTTTATAAAACCATCAATCACATGCTACCCATGACCCCCTAATAGAAAAACATTTCTATAGGCAATTCACTTAGGTTTTCAGCGAATATTTATTTAGCACCTGTCTTGCTATGGGCACGTGGACACAGGGCACATAAAGGATGACATAATGAGCTGATTGTGGCACCAGGGAGCTTACTATCTTGTTGGAAACATTTTTAAAAGTCAGACATAATTATAAGGCAAAGTAAAAAAGTGATTATTGTCCCGAGTGAAATACAGTGGTCATAAAATGAGACCAGTTAATGTGGGACCCATGCAGAGCACGTAGCTTCCTGACCTCCATTTCTCCCACCCCCAGTTTGTCTTAGAGCCACTAGGCTTATGCTTTCATTTTAGATTGTTGATATAAAAATGATTTATATTAGGCAGCTATGAGTAATTCATTGCCGTCTTCCCATGAACCCAAACGGAGCTCCCTGCTACTATTTGCGTCACGTTTAAATGAGATGGCAGGCCTTCAAACCCTTTACCAGCTTTACTCCCCTGTATGTCTCTGCTCTAAACGCATTGGACTTAGAAGCAATTATACAATAGATTCCACAGGGAATGCCAATACTGAGTTGTTTAGTGATAGAATAAAAGTCATTACTTGAGAATTAAAAGTGTGTATATCTGTTGCACTATTTTAAAACTGACCTTAGTGGGCTATTGTGGGATATAATGGTTTCAGGTACCATCGACTTTTAATAATTGCTGCATAGCCCATACTGAGCATTCACACCTATTGACATAAGTACACAGAATACTTTGGTAGGGAGCATGTCCATATTCAATATTTCCCTCTCCTGTAAACACCTCTACTTATAAAATTCCGCAAAGCTGCAGCTACTCGTAATTCAGGAGTAAATCCAGATGTTGCTCAAAAGAGATTAGAAGCAAAAAAAAAAAAAAAAAAAAAATACAGCCTAAACTTTTTTTTTTTTTTTTTTACAAAAACCCAAGCACACATTTTCCATGACCACAGGCCCCATGTATGTTTGTCGTCCTATTACGCCCGTCTCATTTGCAAAAGTGATTTAATATTTTGTAAAATGGCCACAGCCTTCTTACTGGAAGGGCAGTAATGAAAACCAGTCAACATGACTGCATTCCAGCCAACTGGACTGCTTTTGGCAAGCCAGAGGGATTGTAAACGCATGCATAATGTATGTAGCCATTGAACTGGCTGAGTGCAACCTGTTCTCTTTTAAAGTGACGGCTCCTCTTCTTTATGGTATTTTGCACAGACGATGAGCCAGATGATGGTGCCCAACATTACATTATAGTTGTGGGCTTCAACAATCCTCAGCTATTAGCGATTATGACTGAGCTTGGCATTCCCATAAGCAGCGTGATTAAAATATCTTCCGAGAATTATGAACCTCTGCAGACACACCTGGCAGCAGTTAGCCAGCAGCAGGAAGTTTTTCTTCGGCCAGAAGGTATGCAGTCTGCTACACAACTTACTGAATCCTTCAATATTACCCACGGTCTTTAAAGTACAAATACGGTTTTCTGTCCAAAACGTAGTCATACAATACATTCGTTATTAAATCCTTTCGAGACTTGGATTCGCTTTTCATTCTGCTTGCACTAGCCAGGTGCTGTAAATTTTGCAAATTGAAATCATACTTTGGGTTCACATCCCTGTGTAGACAGAGACAACGGAGACGGCAGGTCAGAAGACTCGGTCATCCAGCTACATTGCTCAGGAGCATTTGATCTGTAACTTTTAGCTGAAGCGTGGGGTACACAGATCAACTGTAGATAATCCACTTTTCCAGAAACCACAGTCACCAAGCGGCCCAAGGGAGATCATAGCCTTAGATGCTTACTGGGCCTCGCTACTGGTTTATCGTAATTAATCAGAAAGGGCACCTTACCTTCCGGGCCTGAAGGTAGCAAGTTGTGGGATGAAGCCCCCACCATGCCTGGAGGCCTTCGTCCCTGGGCATTGTGCGGGACTGCCTCAGCGAAGGTCACAAAAGGCAGCTGTGTGCTTTAGGCAACAGGCCTGGGATTTGGAGGGTAAGCCTGTGTGACCTAGAAGTTTAAGCATTCTCTGCCATATGCTGTTAATTTTATTAATACTATCACTTATTATTAATAAATAATTAAAACATGTTAACATAATTAAAATGATATTATTTATTAATAATATCATTTACACAGTGTTTTGTGACTTACGCAGCCACATCCCAATTTCTGTAACACTTCATCTTTAAAACTCCTGTCCCAAGTAAGAAATTGCTGCCATTGTTAATAATAAGAGCTGTCATTTCTTGGGCGTGAGCCTTGGCACTAGGCTCAGTGCTAAAGGCTTTACTGTAAGGTTGGGGTAAGTTTTCACAGCCACCCTCAGAAATGCATTTTATTTCCATGTTACCAAAAAGGACTCTCAGCCCAGAGGGAGCTATTAAGTAAGAGTAGAGATTCAAACCCACACACTCCTATCTCAACGATAGCAGCTGTGACGTTAAGTAGCTTATCATTGAAGCCAGTGAAAAAATGCTGCATAAACTTCATAGTCTCTCTCTAAAAATTATTTAATGTGTTAAAATAAATAATAGAAAAATAGTCTTTACAGTAGACCCATGAGATCTTGGTAGTAGAACCTATTTAGCTATTGATATAATAAACATATATTTCAAAATGTCACAGGTAATTTTATGGGAAACTGTCATTATTTTATAGTCAGAGCACAAATGCACAGAGAAGCCAGTAGCTATTTAATGTGACTGAAGTTAACTGAAGCATAAATCAGTGACCCAGTTTGTTTTCAGTCATGTGGGAAAGGAGGACTAAATCAACTGGCTTTCTAACCAGTTCTGCAGCAAATAGACACCAAGATGGTGAAAAAGTCATTTGGCAGAAAAACTACTTCTTAGCAGATGTAATGTAAGAGTGATGAAAATATTGAACATATTATCTCCCAAAATATGTAACCTTATCATAATCTTTTTGGGCCTCAACTGTGAAGTGGAGAGGGTGGGACCAGCCCATATTTAATACCAAGTTCAGGGATAAAATCCTCTGATTTCATAATCGTATAGTCCAGGTCCTAAATTTTCTCAGAGCTACATTTTTTAATTTGCATTTCCTGGTACTGTATCTCGCAATGCATATGACTCCCCATGTCCACTTGGAGTGGGAAGAAATACAACACAATCTCATTTTGGTGTATAAACCTGTTGCTGTTATTAGATATAGAAGCTGAGAAGTTGAAGAAAGAGAATGCCGTAAAAGAACTTGCCATTTTCTGGAAGTACTTGGAACCGATCCTGAATAATGAGAAACCTGAAACAAATCTCTTTGACGTTGCTCGGCTGGAATACATGGTGGAGGCAGCTGCCTTTCCTTCCAACTGGCTGGACGGCAAGATGCTGGTTAGTGCCCACAATACTGGACTTAGTGGTGTGCACATGGGACCCTGTGGTTCTGTTTTCCCCAATTCATTCATTCCACAGATATTTGTTGATCACCGACTATAGATAAGGTTTTGTGCTAGGCTCCTGTATCTTCGAGGTGATAACATTGAAGGCCCAAGAGTGGTTATAGCCTGATTCTATAGCTTTTAGTGTATGAATTATTGACAAAAAATAAGCTGTAGATGAAGATAAAGGATGATCATTCTTTTATCTGGTGACATGTGGCTTTGTTTCATACCTTAATGTTCTAGGCAATAAAGTCTTAATATATATTAATCATGAAAATAGTAAATTGTACAGTTTGTCAAGTTACATTCTTTCTTTTTTTTATATGTCCATTCAAAACATTTTTTTCTAGGACCTTGCTTTTATTGCCAAAATTGTACTTTTAATATATTGGGCCAGCAAGTCTATCCTAGTAAGATGACTTGACCCCAGCCCACCAATTGGCAGGCGTTCTCTTAGAGCATTTATTGGCCCCTTCTACTGAGGTGCTTGCCAAGAGGCAAGACCAAAGATGGAACAGAGAAGCCGTGTTCAAGGTACTCTACACCTAGGTGCTCTGTTACATGAAACACACTCTAAGTTGCCTATTGAGAAAAAGTAGTTGTGGGATGGGATGCTTTGAAAAGGAGGCAGCTACATGAGGGTGTTTTTAAAAACTACTTATCATGAGTGCTGGGAGAGATGTTCAAGCATCCCAGTTACAAAAAACCTCTCAGATCCCTTTCTGGTTGACCACCTCTCCCAACAAACAGAGGCTGCAGGAGTGCTGAGTGCCCTGCAGGGCGATGCATTTCAACATCAGAGGAACTGGACTCAAAGCACATTCCGGGGAGGGACCCCATCCAGGGAGTGCCCTGAAGGGAGCTGGGCAGACAGGGAGGAGGAGGTAGATGAGTGTCTGTGGACCGTGACTATGGACAGCTGTCCAGGGGGTGGGAAACTGAGGAAAGTGAGCCAACGGTTAGGCTGCCCATGGCCATGGTTGGAGCGTGAATATTTTTTCATTATAAGAGTCCCCGATTCTGTCACCTTGAGACAGATGTGCACTTGGTGAAGCAAGTAACAACACTGAGGAGGGAGGCCCAGGTTTGAACCTCCAAGGATGGGCAAGACTTGAATAAGTAACCATGCGTAGATCCGTTTGAGTTAGAAAGACTGCCAGCAGAAGGCATTAGCTATCACTGTGTAGAAACGAGGCGCTTAAGTCTGATACCTTGACAGTAGTGAGAATATGTATTAGATTTGTCCTACATTTGAAAAATGAAGCTGACCATGGAAAAGCTGTAGCTGAGAGCAGAATGTGCTCTAGACAAAGAAGGTTACTCCAGACGCGTTAGACTTTGCTTCTTTCCACCCTTTCCTCCAGATGTCTTTATCTTTCCTGCTTTGTCTTTTACTCTTCTGCCTTATAAACCTAAATTCTCCTAAAAGAATCCACTGCCCTCCATCTTTAAAGCTTTATGTAAAAACAGGTCAACATGTTCCCTGTCGCAGAGACACTGGCATTCCAAGTGATGGAGCACAGGGACTGTTCCGTCCTACTGTATTGGAATTCTAGATTGCACACAGGAAACGAGCTGTGTTTGAGGAAGAGGCTATTTCCCTAGGATCCCGAAATCCTACCTGAAAGCTAGCTTTCTACTCTTTCTAATAGACCAGCTCTTTTCCTAAGCGCTCACAGAATCTGTGCCTCATTGAATCCCACATCCACAAATTTATGTTTTGGGGAAACAGTTCTCCCCTCCGTCGGGCCACGGGCTGGCTGCGCACCTTGCCAAGAACATGTGTGCCTTTCTGGTCTGATGGGGCAGAGGAGATGCAGCCATGCAATTCCTGAACCATAACTCAGAGGAAGCAATAGAAAAAGTCTCTAAGGCAGCCTCGACCCAAGGACATTTTGCTGCTGCTCTAGTTAGGGCTCCCTTCTGTGTGTCCTGTCTAATCCCCAGGCATAGGCTGGGAGGAGTTGAAATGCAGTGTTCCCTGGGTAGAGCACATTTCACCGCATCATCAGCACGTGAATATGAACAGCAGGACGTACAATTGCAGTTTCCTAAGACCCAGCACTGTTCCCAGCATTCTCCTTGCTGCACCCTTGTTTACAATTTCCTGTTCATTAGAAAGTTCCAATTACTCCATTTTTAAAGAAAATGGATAGGGCTATAGTTTCCTTTTAAAAAACACAGAGAAGGGTTTCAGTGACAAATATTCAAAAAGTTTATTTTATGTTGAAAAGATCAGATCAGCTTAGTTGAAATACTCGTTCTGGTAGAACATTCCTGACTTTGGAACGAAAAGATTCATGTCCAGGTTGTCTAGGTGGAACATGAAGATAACTCAGGAATGAAAACGGTCACCTAAGGAGCCATTTGGGGCCATGGAGCCCAACTGGACATGCTAATCTTCCATCAGTCAATGTGCAAGTGTGTATTGAGGATCGTCCTATTGCCGGGGCTGCGGTCTGTAGTCTTTTAGAGCCCAGGCAGGCCTCTGAAAAGTGAGTGAGGGTGAAGGGGACGGAGAGAGCAGTTCACTAATGGGGTTGGATTCCAGCAGAAAAGGCACTGAGGACCAACGTTCATCTGAGACTGAGGATCGCTTACAAAGCAGCAAAGTAATAAATCTACTTCTCATAGAAGTAGACTAGATATGTGGTGTCGCACGCTCAGCTATGTCTGGAAGTTGATAATGGCCTCGTATCCGAGGCAGGAGCCAGCCGAGGAGTCTTCTTCCTCGCTGGAAGAAGGAAAGCATTAGTACCCTTGGCTGCAAACAGGCAGGCTGTATTTCTGCTGAACCAAGGTAACGAAAGCTTTACATCAAATAAATGCCCATCACGAAGTGCTAACTGCTCGTGTAAGACATCTGTAACATCTCAAGTTAAGACTTGGTTGCTGAAATAATTTGTTGGCTTTTAGCATATGATTTGCTGTTTGATTTAAAAATAAATTAACTAGTTAAGCTAAGGGATCACTGGGCAGAAGTTTTATTATATTTCTTAAAATAACAAACAAACAAAAATATGTTTCAATGCCAGACTTTGGGCAAAGAACACCAGGTGGAAGCTTACCCGAAGGAAGCGCAGTGTTGGAGCGGGCGAGCGAAGGCCAGCCCGCCCGCTGGCTATGGCGATGGGCAAAGCGAGGCCTGCCCCTGGACTCCGGCCAGACGGAGACTCCCCAGCCCCACAGAGGCTATCTCACGCTGCCTTACCTCCTCCACTCACATACAGGATGAGCCCATGTAATCTCCTTTGCTTTTGAGCAGACAGGCCTAGGGATAACAGTGCCTTCCTACTTCTGGAAATGAAAGCCCAAGTAACAGAAGAGTCTGATTTACAGCTTACTTGCCAGATCATAAAACTTGTGGGTATTATAGGAGCAGTAGTCTTTCAAGATTTCTTAGGGTTATTTTTCCCCCCTTAAGTTAGCACAGGTGAAAGAAAAAAGGAGAAGCAGGGAGGAGAGGAGGGACTATTGATTGCATGTACACCGCCGCATACTTGCATGAATGATGTGAAAGCTGAGCACGTGCTTCCTGTTGTGCTTCTTGCACAGCCAAGCCAGGAGTCATCTGTAGCTTGTCTTGGGCTGAGAAATCGAAATTATGTATCTAACATGTTGTAGGAATTGAGATAAGGAGAAAATGGGGCGCTTTTCCCTTTGCTGAAGCATTAATTAGGCTCTTACATGACAAGGCAGCCGAAAGGCCCTCCAAAGGCAGGTGATCAAGAAGAGCAAGGGGTGTTCAACAAGGGAAGACTCGGTCACCACAGCAGGGATTCCCTGGTTGCGGGAAGTGCTTCCCTGTAAGAAACAGAGCGAGATATCCCCTCCCGCCTGTCAGAATGGCTACCATCAGTAAATCAACGAACAGCCACTGTTGGCAAGGATGCGGAGAAGGAGGAACCCTCTTTTCTGTTGGTAGGAATGCAGATTGTACAGCCACTATAGAAGCCAGTATGGAGTTTCCTCAAAAAAATTAAAAACGGAACTGCCTTATATCCAGCAATTACACTTCTGGGTATATATTTGAAGAAACCCAAAACACTCATTTGAAAGGATACATGTATCCCTATGTTCATTGCAGAGTTATTTACAATGGCCAAGCTATGGAAGCAGCCCAAGTGCCCATCAATAGATGAGTGAATATGAAAGCTGTGGTACATATATACAGTGGAATGTTACTCAGCCATAAAAAGAACAAATTCTTAACCATTTGTGACAGCATGGATGGACCTAGGGGTGTTATCCTCAGTGAAATAGATCAGTCAGACAAACAAACACCATATGATTTCACTTACATATGGAAAGTACAGAACAGAGTCAACAAACAGAACAGAAATAGACTCAGATACAGAGAAGAGACTGATGGTTCCCAGAGGGGTTGGGGGTCAGGGTCTGCGTGGAAAGGCGAAGGGATTAAGAAGTTCAGAGTAGCCCTGCCTGGGTTGCTCAGTTGGTTTGAGCCTTGTCCCAAAGGCCAAGGTTGCAGGTCCCATCCCCTGTCAGGGCACATACAAGAATCAGCCAATGAACGAATAACTAAATGGAAGACCAAATCGATTTCTCTCTCCCTCTTCCCCCCGCCCCTGCTTTCTCTGTCTTTCTCGCTCTCTCTCTCAAATTGATTTTAAGAAAGTACAAATCGGCAGAGTCACAAAATAGCCACGGGGCTGTACAGGACAGCAGGGGGAACACGGCCAGCAATAGTGTGATAACCGCGCACGGTGCCAGGTGGGCGCTGGAAATACCAGGGGGACACTTTGTAAAGTGTGTGACTGTCCAACCACTATGCTGCACGCCTGAAACTAATACAAAGTAATATTGAATGTGAACTGTAATTGAAAAAGAAAATTATTTTAAAGTGATAGGTGTAGCTGTTAAGGTAGATACACACCATCCCTCCGATTCCAACAATAGGAAACTGATGGCTAGTTTTCACTAATTCTGTCACCCATAGCTGGACTTGGGCACCAGTATTTTTGAAAGCGTCGCCTGTCTGATGTATGATGTACTGGACTGGAAAAGGCAGCACCAGCACTACCTGGAAAGCATGCAGCTCATTAACGTCCCGCAAGTGGTTAGTGAGAAACCGACCTTAGAGGCCCCGGGGATTTCCGAGGTAGGTGTGCGCTCGGATGTCTTCTGTGGACTGAGTGATTAACCGAACAACTTAATTTGTTCATATTTATAAAACATATGAAGAGAGCCTTATATATATAGTACTCGTAGCAAGGTTACTGTGCCTGTGGGGATTTCACACGTGAGGATGGGAACGAGGAAAGGCCCCCGGGGACAGCATGAAAGGACACCAACAGGGTGGGGGCTTTACAGAGCTCCCCAAGCACCGGCCGCATACATGCTGCGGTGCGCACCCCCTCAGCCCGCCGTGCAGTGAACTGCGTCTGGGACAGGGAGGCCCGTCCGTCCGCGCACCACGGTGTCTATGAGCACCTGCCACGCGCCGGCCCTGTGCAAGGCCCCGGCAGTGCCACCGCGGGCCAGACTCACCCCTGCCCCCCTCACTGAGGTTCACCTTCAAAGCGGGCAGCAGCCAAGGGAAGCGCAGTTTCAGTCTAGCATGGTGCGCACTGTGAGAACAGACGGCTCGGGGGCAGAAGCGACGAGGCCTGGCCGCTGTCCCACCCGGAGCGGAGCAGGAGGGAGACCGAGGAGCGGGACGCCTGGTCAGGCCCGGTCGGGAGGCCCGGCCCGGGCTGTCCACTGGTGCGGGGCTGAAGAGCCCGGAGCCACCGACGGCTCTCGCGGGGGGGAGGGGGGGGGAAGCCCCGCGGTTCTGGGTCGCGGGAGGGACGCCCTGGGGCTTGCGGCGCCCCTGCCAGCCGCACCCCTGCCAGTGCTCCGCGAGCCCGGCAGGAAAACCCGCCAACTGTCTGTGCCCGTTCGCTTCTTCCTTTCATTTGATCCTAATATTTTGTGGTGAGAACATAATCGTACAACCTCAGAATCCTTTCAGGTCCCACCAGACCAGCATTTGATGAAAGCACCCCCGGTCGCTTTCTCAGGGGTTTCTTTGTAATCATTCCTCTTTTAGACTCCACAACCCGTGGCTCCAAGCGCTGGGAAGAAAAAAGCACAAAACGAAGGACCGCAAGCGCCACCATCAGGCACGTGTGAGCCCCGTTGCCGGGCCGTGAGAGCGGGCTTTAGGGAATAGTGACTGTCCTCCGCGTGGCTTTCCGCTCTCCCTCCCCCTCCGGTCCTGCACTTACTACTGCATGGTCACGGTTTGAATTGGTGGATGAGATTTTAGTGAAAGAAGGGAGGATGCATCGTGAGTGAGCCATGAGGGGTTGTCTCTTTTCCAGTGGGTTCGGTCATCACCACCGAGGTAGACATGCGGTATTACCATGATTTGCTGAATCCGATTCCAGAAGAGTTCATCTCTGTGCCCCTGATCCTGCACTGTCTGCTGGAACAGGTAGGTAGGTGGACGCCGTTGGAGGCTGTTTCCAGGTGGGTAACCTCGCGGCAGTCACTTCATCTCTCTTTGCTTCCCTCGTTTAAGAAGCTATTTTAAGATTACATGCCTAATGCCTGGATGCATTCTCCCGTACAAAGATTAGACAATTTTAGATAGAACTAGAGTTTGCTTTGATCATTGGCTTCAATCCCCTGTCTTTTGCTATGCTCTGGAATAGTTCCTATAACATTCCCTGAAGTTTTAGTAGACAGGTCCTTAAAACTATCTTTTATCATTTCAACGAAAGAGAAAGAAGAGTGTGACAGGTGGGTGGGGTAGTTAAGAGTCTTTAACTATCTTTAAAATTTCTTTTATACTTGCAGATTTAGTCAGAGTTTTCTATTTCTGGGGCCAACTTTAGTCATAATTTTTTTTTTTTTTTAGAAATATGTTGATTTTATTTGTGCTTTGAATATCCTACTAAGCCCCTTATTCGCTTCTGTGCATTTTTAAGTTTCCTGCATGTCTGGTCGTGTTGCTTTTCTACGATGTCGCTGCCCTCTCTTTTCTCGATCATGGTTATCAATGGCGTATCTATTGTGTGGGCCTTTTCAAAGAATCAGCATTTGTTTCATTGATCAACAACTTTTTACTTTTTATTTCATTAATTTTTCATTTAACTGTATAATTTCCTTCTGCTTTCTTTGGGCTTATTTTGTATTCATTTATTTTTAGTCTGTTTTGCTTCACTTAAGGATACACATTTCCTTCTGAGTATTCCTTTAACTACACCCTGACACTTTCAGTGTATTCTATTCCAAATCTTTTATTTTTATCACCACTGTTTAGTGTCAACTAATTTTACTGCATTATGATTAGTAAACACAGTACGCATGTCACAACAACTGGTTTGTAATTTCCCGACTTCCTGAGGGACCTGGTGTACATGCTCACTTCCGGTCAATGTTCTGTATGTAGTATTTGAGAAGATTGTCTTATTAATCAACTCATTTAATCCTTCGAACAACACTATGAAACAGGAATGATTTTTATTCCTTACTTTACAGATAAGGAAGCTGAAGCATCAAAAGGTTAAGTAACTTGTCCAAGTAGTAAGTGGCAGAAACTGCTTTTGAAACTAGTCAGTCTGAGTGGAAAAGTATTTTGATAGCACTGCTTTGCTTTCTTTCTTCTGAGGTTCCTGATAAGCAGTCTGATGTCAGTCTGATACTCTTTCCTTTGTAGATAACCTGGTTTTCTTTCTGGCAGCTATTAGAATTTCTCTTATAATTGATAACACAAGGCTGTGTCTAGGCACGGCTTTGTTTGTTTTATGATTGTCATCATGACATAAAGAATGATAACCTGGTTTCTGATCACCTTCTGAGTAGAATCGTAATTCCTTACACTGGTCCACAAAGACACCAGAGCTGTGGTTTTGGGCCCTATGTGTCATCTCATTTCTTGCTCTCCACCAAGCCTCCTCCCCCAACACACACTCACTGTTCGTTACGCACACAGCTTTCTGCGTTTTCCTCACATACGCTACGTAATTCCCCCTGAGCATTTCACTTTGGCTGCCCCCTGCCTGGTGAATACTCCTTGCCTTTCAGTCCCCAGTGGAAGTGGCCGCCCTTAACTGGGCTTTCTCTCTGAGGACTTGATCTGCAGAAGGCGTTCTCTACTGCACCACCTTGTGTTATTTTCTTATCCACAACCACTCTTAACAACGCACCTAGTTGCTTTGTGTCTCACCGTTGTCTAGGACTGGGAATCTAAGTTCCATGCAAGCAGGGACGTAACTAGTCTTGCTCATTGCTGTGTGCTGAGCACATATGACTTACACGTAAGCCATGGTAGACATTGAGTATTTACTTGTTGAAATAAGTTATATTTTAAAGTATTTTTTCTCCTTTTGATTTATCCTTATTTTTGTTAGACAGATGTTAGAATTTCTGATTTTTTCCTTCATCTTTTGATTTTTCTTTCAATTTTATCATTTGGGGAATTCCAGCTTAACTTCCAACTAATTCATTCTTCAGTGGAGTCCAGGCTGCTGTTGAAGTTCTGTTTTAAAAGTAATGTTTTTAATTTACCAATTCTCTAATTTCTTTTTATAACTACCTGTTATTGTTCTTATATCATGCATATAACACATTCCTTTATCTCTCTGAATATTAAAATGTTTAAAGTTGTTTCTAGAAATATTATTCCTGCTACTTCCAGTATACATTTGTACGTTTGTTGACTGCTTTACTCTTATAACCAATTAAGTAAGCACACTCATGTTTGCCTTTAATTGCCCCATAAGTGTTTTGGGAGACCAGTAGTTTTGCTATATCAATAAAGTCATAAAAGCTCAAAAACCCTATACAGCTTTCAGTATAATGATTTAAGTTAGTCTTTCTTGTATCATTCAACCAAACTCAAAGCAACATTTATTAGCCATCTACTGTATTCCAGGCACCAAAGGGGACAGTCAATGAGCTCAGTGCCTGACACATAGAAGGCACTTAATAATAGATACGCGCTGGCTGAATAAATGCTTAATAATAATGGGATGGGATTGTATAGGACAGGATATTAGAGTTTCACACGTCAGAGATGGAACAGCTTTGAGTGGCCTTTTGTGATTGGAGTGGGTCCAAGAGCTGGACGGAAAATAGAAAGTAGAGGCATGAGTTGCTCTCGTGAAAAGTAAGGAGTTGACACAGGTGAAGGATGAGCTGATTTTGTTATCAGTCTATAGCTGTAGTTATCAGCAGAGGGTGATTTTGCCTCCCAGAGATATTTGACGATGTCTGGAGATATTTTTGGTGTTTATAATTGAGGGGTTCTCCTGCCATCAAATGAGTAGAGCCCGGTGATGCTGCTGAACTTTCTGTAGTGAACAAAATAGCCCTGGCGACATAATGCTCTAGTTCAGAGTGTCCTTGGTTTTGAAGCTGAGAAACCCTGGAGAGGGATGTGAAATCACAAGGATGATTATGGGATTTAAGGTGAAGAGAAAGGCTGTGTGTTAGGTGCCTACCTTGATTATACTTCAACTTCTTTTGTTTACCAGGCACAATCGAACCAGGCATGTAATCTTTCCAGCCCTCCCTTTCTCCTTGTGCGGGAGACTGTTACCCTTTACTGACTTCGCCTTTTCTATCTTGAAGGAAGGTTGAGGAATTAATGTGAACCCCAGTTCCTCCCACCTGGTAGCCTTGGGCCTGAGCCAATCACCCAACTTTACTCACCCTGATTTCTTTCTCTGTGAGATGCTCCTTCCACAGCATTGCTGTGAGGCTTCACTGAGATAATGTATGTGAAGATTTACCACATGGTGTAGGCGTGCGGTTGGCACTCGAAAAACATTTATTGAACCTGAAGGTGTGTAAACGCTCTTGCTTTAAGAGAAAGAGTAAATCATTTAAAAAAATTGCTATTTTGATTTCTATCATAGTAAATTTTCTTGTTTATCATTTGTATTTTGTTATCAATTCTAATACATGTATTAAAGTTATACTTACTTTAACACATGGATTGCAAACATTTTTCCTTTTTGGGGGGTATTCGCTGGTAATTCTACTGCCATTTTTTGTAAACACTGAACTTTATTGGTGGAAACTGCCATTTTTGACTAAGAACAGTGGAAACACATGAATATCAATACAGAGCTGACCACTAAACCAGTTCCTCCCAATACTTTACCTTCATAGGTTGTAGCAACGGAAAAAGACCTCATCCCGCCCAGCCTGGTGGAGCCGCCCCCCAGAGCTGACGGGCTGGACCACAGAATCGCAGCTCACATTGCGTCCATCCTGCCCTCACTCTGTCTCACAGAGAAGGAGAAGAAGGTCAGATGGCATGCGGTGGCCAAAGTGCTTGCATGTTGCGAAAACGTATGGGTTCTCTCTTTACATCAATATTATCTCAATTTGAATAGAATCTCCATGAAGTATTTTCATGTCAAGAAGAAAGCAAAAGCAAAAGCAAAACAGCACCTGAAGGCCCTCTCCTGCTGAACTACCACGATGTGCTTGCCCATAAGAAGTACGTACTGAAGGTAATAGTACCCGTTACCCTGAGGATAGCTTACACAAGAACCCCCGTTTGCAGTTGTTCAGTTAAACAAATCTTCATTTGATAGCTTTACCCGCACTACCTAAAAGTAATATGCAGAGTGAATCCCTGTTTGCAGAGTGAGATCTCAGGAAATGGAGATGCATAAGGGAGAAATTATGTCAGCAAAGAAAACTTTCCTAATTATAGTGGTCCAATAAGCCATTAAATTGATTGTGACTACGCCACATTCGCATTAACACTTTATAGTGATTTGCTTTAAATATCTGCTAGTATGAAAAAACTAGTGGAGGCCAAGAAAGACTCTCAGAAGGGAGAGAGGAACACATATGAGACTTCGGCCGTTTGTCACTGTGAATGAAGAATCTGTCATTTCTATGCACCAGGAACCTCTGGCAAAGTGAGGACTAGCTTTTCTGACCCTCAGCAAAATACCAATAGTTTGTCTTTCCCAATTCCCAGTGATTTCCCCTGTTCCCAAATAACAAGAGGGCAGGTATTAGGTTTTGCCTTCTCCATATGCATGAGGCAGTTGACAGCTGACTTGAACGTCTTCTGTCACGCTGCTCTTTTTCATCAGGACCAAAAGAATTTTGACCCAGTTCAAGTTGAGCGGGAGATGCAGTCCAAGCTGCCACTGTGGGAGTTCCTTGAATTCCCTCTGCCCCCACCTTGGAACAGCACCAAGCGCCTAGCTGCAATTCACGAGCTCATGCACTTTTGTACAAATGGTGAGTACACCACTTTGTCTTAGCTCACACTCATTCGTTTCTGGTCAGGTGTGCCCCTTAAGATGACACCCCAAAACATTCTGATGGTTGAGAGACCTTTCGGACGCTGAGTGAGGGTGGGTATTTTGATTGACTGCAATTTTCTCATCTTGAATAACGGTATTAGTGGTACTATGATAGCTACAATGCCTAACCTTCAGCTTGCTGTGCTGGGTGTTCTCTCCACCATGCGTCCTGCGCCCCGCCCCGCAACACCACAGCCCCTCATTGACATCATTGGTGATGACCTGGTGATCCAGGTAGATGAATGAGAGCGCCTGCTGTCGGGGTCCTGCGGAGAGTGCGCTGATTCCAGGTAAGCTCCTCCCACTACAGGAGGGGCGCTCTCGGCTCTCGGAGGACGGTGCAAAGAAAGGTCTTTGAGAATATTAAAATCAGCTTTTCGTTGCAGAGCTCACTGGAGTTTTACGTTCTAGACAGTCATTCCCTAGAACAAATTCTATTTGTGCTTGAGGCAGGATGCAGATGCATTCCTGCTTAGGAGAAGGAATACGAAATTACACAGACATCTTTATTGGGCAGGAAAGCCTTTGGCCTAGAAAAGAAAATAGCATGCACAGGTTCTTCCTTCTCATTTCTTTTCCAACTCTAAACAAATTACAAAATATTTTTATGTTGATTTACATGATTAGTTGTTAATACCGACCTCCCACCCCTCTACCTTAGATTTCTGAAGTGAAATAACCAAATCTTTTCTTTCAGTCTCAAGCACCTATGTCAAAAGCTAATACATAGAAAATGAGAATGAATGAGCAAGTGAGTGAGTGAGTGGATGGATAGATAGATACACTTACGTGTAAAGGAACAAATATGCAAATGAACGGATCTCATGGAAAGCTGATAACCTTTGAAGTGCAGTTATGGGAAGTACAGAACCAGCCAACTGGGTGGAAAGAGGCCTTTTCTGAGTCCTCATAAAGGGGACTCAGAAATCCCATTGAATATAACAGCATATGTTAGACACAAGTGAGTGATTTTTTGGTTTTAAATTACAATAGCAGCAAGGGTGCTTTTGTTTATGAAGGGTAAGTTTTAACCATATTCAACCAATATGATAGCCTGGAAAATCCATGTGAATTCCTCTGGGCACCTAATGTTTATTAAGCTATGAAGCAGTTGGGAACATTATCTCGATAAGTTACATTTCGATTGTGTAGCTTCCCTACCGGCACCCTTGCTGTTCGCTGCAGAACTGTGGAGCCCATGTTAGGGCAGCACCCCTCGCGGTGTGACTCCCTAATCACTCCGGTGGACAAACCCCCGGCTGCCCGCTGCCAGCCTGTCCCAGGTGGCAGCAAGAGCATACCTAGCAGCAAAGGCCCTGCTTTCTTACAGAGCCCCTGAGCTGGAACGAAGTAGAAAGAGCCTTCAAAGTGTTTACTTTCGAGAGCCTGAAACTCTCTGAGGTTGATGAAGAAGGGAAGCTAAAGCCTTCTAGGAAGATGTATGGGACAGACTCTGAGACATTCAACATACCGTGGGACAACCCTGCCAGATTTGCTAAACAAATCAGGCAACAGCATCTCACAAAGCTGAACAGCCGAGAGGCCAGACACCAAACAGGTACGCTGCCTGGAGGGAGCAGAAGACATTCCTGTGTTCTGTGCTTGTCGATTCTTCTAGTCTTGTAGCTCATGAATCCTCTTTACACTGGTTAGATACTGAAACCAAAGACAGAATTTTATTTATGGATGAGAGTTTCTCAACATCTGTGCAAGATAATGAGATCAATAAAGAACCTTCAGATCCTGGCCAGCCTGACGCTGACAGTATGAAGCATTCTGACCCAAATAATGAGAAACCCTTAGACCCTGATAATAGAGAGCTGTCAGAGCAGGAGACTGGCAGGAAGACTCAGCAACCACCTGCGCCTTTGGGTAAGTAAACGTGTGCGTGTGTGTGCAGACGCTGAAGTACGTGTTATAAACCAAAAACGTGATTCCAGATGCGTTATTTAAATTCCTCTCTATTTCTGTTGGAATGCTGTTTAATATCCAAGTTATTTGGGTAATTAAACTTTGTTACTTAGTGTTGCTATTTGGTAAATCCTCTATTTCAACCCTTGTTTTTCAAAATATCCTAAAGCCTCTTAGTATACTCTTACCTTAGTAAATGTAGTACATTTTTAATTACTTAAAAAATAATTATGAATTATATAAATAAAACTTGATTACACATAATCAAAACTTTTACCATTAGCATTTCTATGATTATATGAAAAATTTATTTTAAAACTAACTTGCAATAACATAATGAACTGCCCAGTACCTTATACAAAATCAGCGCTCCATGAACATTGGCTCCCTTCCTCTCCTGATAGCTCAGGTAATCCCTCTCATTCTAGAATATAGCATTATGAATGTTGTCCTATTTGGGCGTATGAAAGTACAGAACGAAATTAAGCTAAATTCTTATTCAGCTGTCGTACACTTAGCTGTCAGGTTAACTGCTTCAGATACAGCTCCTTTGTTTTCCTCTTCATAACATGCAGTGGCTCCCTATTCCCTGCAGGACACAACCCAGCTCCTTGGCCTGCTTCACCTGCTTTTCCCATCGCATGGAACTACTCCTCCAAAACCCTTCCCACTTTTTCCCTTTTCCTCACTCATCCCATGCTCTAGTCAAAGAGAATTTAGGCCCTATTTTCTCTACACAGCCTGCTCTTTCCCATCTTGGGGCCTTTCCCCACAATGCACTCCACGGAGAGTTCTCTTTTGATTATGACTGGGTTTCAGGAGCACCTCCCTGAAGCTTTGCTGGGTGTGTCCACCTGGAAATGCCTCCTTAGCGTTTCTGTGGTCCCAGTTAGTCCTCTGTGGCATCAGTTGTAACTTCCTGCTATGTGTTACAGTTATTCATATGCCTGCATTCACACCTCCATAACAGTGTAGCTTCTTAGAGGTCATCCGTAGGTTTATCTTAAAAATATTAACTAGCCCTGCCCAGTGTGGCTCAGTTGGTTGGAGTGTTATCCCATAGACCAGGGGGTCACAAGTTCATTTCCTTGTCAGGGAACGTGCCTGAGTTGTCGGTTTGGTCCTTAGTCGGGGCATGTGCAGGATGCAACCAATCTCTCTCTCTCTCTCTCTCCCCCCTTCCTCTCTTTCTGGAATGAAAAAAAATTAACCATATACTAGAACATAAAAAAAGTCTCAACAAATTTTTACAGGATCAAAACTGCAGAGTATATTCTCAGACCACAGTAAAATTATGGAGGACAATAATTACAAAAAGAAAAAAAAAAAGAGAAAAATCCCCAAATTGTTAAATTAAGACATATACTTCTATATAACGCCTAAGTTAAAGAAAAGGTCACAGTAGAAATTAGGAAATATTGTAAACTGAATAATTAAAATACTGAATATCAAAATTTGTATAATGCAGCTAGAGATACTCAGAGCTTTAAATAAATATATTTAAAGGTACATTTAAAAGAATACATTTTTAAAAGATAGTTAAAAATTAATTAAACATTAAACATCAACCTCAAATAGAATTCAAATAAAGTAAAAGGAAGAAAATAAATCAATGGCATAGAAAATACAGATGCAATAAGGAAGAACAAATAACGCAAAAGTTTAGTTCTTTGAAAAGACTTAAAATTGATAAATATTTTATAAAAGGCCAACACACACAAAAAAGAGAAGCATGAATAACAAAACTAGGAATAAAACTATAACAGGAATAAAGGAATGGACTTCCCTTTGATCCTACAAAAAATTAAAAAATAGTAAGAGGATATAAATAGTCTGACTTCACTAAATCCAAAAGTGAAATGAATAAATTACTGGAAAGTATATCTTACCAAGAATAACTCAAGAAGAAATAGGAAATCTGAATAGCCTTGTAATCATTTAAATAAATTAAATGAATAATTAAAAATTTTCTCAAATAAGAAATGCCAAACCCAAATGAGCTCATTTACTAGTGATAAAACTTAAAAAAAGAAAACAAAAACTTTAATCTTAACAAAAATAATTCCAGGAAATAAAAAGAGGTGTTTTTTATATGAAGCTACTTTTTTATTTTATTTTTTTCTTCTAGTCTATAACTAACTTTTAATTTTCTTAACTATCTTTTAAGAGTAAAGGTTTTTAATTTTGATGAAGTTCATTTCATCAATTTTTAAAATTTTTTTTTATTGTTGTTCAAGTACAGTTGTCTCCATTTTCCCGCCACCACTTCCCCCTGCCCCACCCACCCCCACCTCCCACCCTCAGTCCTTCCCCACTTTGGCTTTGTCCGTGGGTGGTTTATACATGTTCCGAGACTTGACAACTTTCCCTTCTTTTCCCAGTTGCCTCCCCTCTTGTTGCTGTCGGTTTGTTTTTTATTTCAATGTTGCTGGTTATATTTGCTTGTTTTGTTGATTATGTTCCACTTATAGGTGAGATCATATGGTATTTTTCTTTCACTACCTGACTTATTTCACTTAGCATAATGCTCTCCAGTTCTACCCATGCTGTTGCAAAATTTTTTAAAAAAGTATTTTTTTAATATGAAGCTTCTTTTTTTTAAATGACGCTAGCATCAACCTTATAATAAAACCATCAAGGATAATAACAACAACAGGAAAAAAATTAAACTTACTCATGAACACAGATGCAAAAATCCTGACTAAAATGTAGGCAAACTGATCTGGCAGTATACATATCACAAACAATTTGTGTTTATACAACAGGAAGAGAAGGAAAAAACATACATTGTAAAAAATATATAATTCGTTAACTTATTAATTAGCACATTAATGAGAAAAATAATGATCATCTCAATAAATGCAGAAAAAGCACTAAAAATTCTATAGCAATCTATGAAGGAAATCATAGCAAACTAGCAATAGAAGAAAAATTATTCTATATTATAAAGGTTATTGTTTAAATTACAACAAGCATGATATAACAAAATGAAAAGTTGAAAGATTTTCAGTGAGATCAGGAGGCTAACCACTATAAACACATGTATTTAATATTACATTGGAGATGCTTGCCAGTTCAGTAAGGCAAGAAAGAGATAAAAGAGTAGATACTGTGTTTGTAGAAAACCCAAAATAATCCACACATAAAAAAATCAGGATTAATATGGAGATTTAATAAGGAAATTGTGGTTATGAAAGGACATACATAAGATGCCTGACATGCTAGGATTTTTCTTTATCGTTATTCATTATACTAAATATTTATGTTCTATATACTTTTCTGTATGTGTTATATTTTATAAATTTTTTAAGCATTAAAAAAGTAAGCGGTTAGCACCACAAGAGAACAGGTGTTAAGTCAGCATTGACTGAATGGTCCACTTACCAGTTTCACGTATCTAGATGAAGATAGAAAAAGAAGTCATCGATGGAGTAAAATTAGGGAAAATCTACTTGACTATTGCTCTGTATATTGTAAGCACTATGCTGAGATATTTTACATCGGTTAACTAGTACTCTCTGTAAACATCAAGCCAATGAGGATAGATACTATTATCTCAGTTCTAAAGACAAGGAAATGAAGCCTCAGAGGGATTAGCTGACTTGATCAACCATGCAGGAAGGCAGGATTCCAGCAGAAGGCTGGTTCCAAACCGGAGCTTTCCTCACAGTGGCTAACGCTTCCTCAGTTCCGGAAATTCCTTGTGATGCTTCTAATGGTTTGCCATATTCAGAGTCTCTTCTTCATGCTGATATTTGTCCTGATTTTATTACCTTTGGGTCTTCCTTCCTTTCTTCCCATTAGGGTTGATTCCCTATCTCTTTATTCTAAATACACTTATCTGTTAGCCTAGCTCACAAAAAAATTAAGCCAAATAAGTTAACCGGCGCTGTTATGGCTTTAGTGCACCTTATGGAATATAAACATATGACAAATAAGTCACTTTGAATTAATATGAGCCAGAAAAAGCCAGGAGAGATGTAAAACCTGAGATTTTTTCCTTTGTTTTGTTTGTTTGTTTGTTTTGTCTTGCTTTCCCCCCCTCTTTGGAGCAACTGGTACATGGTTTTCCTCAGGCAACTTTTGCCACCTGGTGGTCAAACCACATAAATTGGCATTCTGGATCCTGGTGGAAAGTAGATGGTTACAGCAACTTCCTAAAATATCGGGGCTGAAAATTATCAGTGAAGATTATCAGAAAGTATCGGAAGCTAAGCAATCTTGAGAGCTGAACCCATAACTTGTAAGGGATTCTTCATGGTGTATATCAGCCCACCTCAAGGAACTGTTACATTTGAATGGGGGAGGGCAGTGGAAGCTTCTGCCTCGCTGGCTGTTGTGTGTGAGAGACTTTTTTGTTGTTGTGATCTTGCATTTTTCCCTCAACTATGAATCACACTTCCAAAACAGCCACTTTAAATCTTTTTAAACAGAGCAGAAATTGTTCATGTACTTCCTGCACAACTATCTTAGCATCAAATACATCTAAAAGCCTGTTCCTGGACATGAAGGGCTGAATATTTGTGCTTTTCTTAACCAAACACTGGATTTCCATCTGAGACTGTTTTTGAACTTGACAGGGCCTAGTGGATATTTATGAAAAACCTGAGAGTTGATAACCATGAGGCTATAGGTTTAGATGTGCCCTTTATGCTTGTTGGGTGTTTTTTTAATAAAGTAACTGCTTTGCAGAGGGATCTTGTTATCTCTAAAGTAAAACAGATTAGGAAAGCTGTTTTTCAAAGGGATGGGAACGCATCCATTTCCAGATGTGTCAAAAACTACTGAATCACACTGTCAAAGGGTTATGCAGTTGAAGGCAGAAATCAGAAAGAAAGAAAAAATGATTTTTGCTCTCCTATTAAATAAAGAGTTCAGATTAGTTTGAGAATGTTCTTTCATTTGACAAAATAACTGATGCACAATTTTTTTTTAGAACGTATTTTCTAAACTCAAGACTTTTTCTGCTGGATTCTTAATCACAGTAGGGAATATCAAATCTCCCGGAAATCTGGCAGACCACAGAATAGAATAATTTTTATTCCACAGATTTCATATCAATTGCTTCAAGGACACATGGGACATCATGGTCTAGTTAGAGTTATACTTGGCCTGAGTTTTCTCTTGAGTGGATGTATTTAAATAAACACTGAACTACAGTGACTTTATAGTTGTCCTCTAACTCAGACTGGAGCGTTCATTCCGTCACCTTCCACGGCCCAAGGCAAAATGGAACTAGTAGTGAACATGTAAGTAGCTATGCTCCTAACAGAAAGAAAAACATTGTCCCCTCCTTGTTAGGCATAATGACCCCCTCTGGAAGCCCAGATATGGTTGTCTTTGCCACAAATCTTATGCTTACCTCAAAATAAGCTTTTGTTGTAGAGTTTCTTCTACATTTCTGCTCACTCTACATACATTTCCAGTTTCAATATATGATATAGATTTCCCTTCCAATTATATATATTTTTACTGAGTTCCTACCATGTGCTGTGGTACTCAGGGTATAGTCAGGGAGACTATGATAAAGTTCTTATTCTCTAGGAATTCACATTGGACATGGAGAGACAGACATAAATAAATAGCATCAGACAGACATAAATAAATAGCATCAGACATAAATAAATAGATAAATAAATTTAATCATAAATTTTATGATTAAAAATAAAGCAGGTTATAAGGCAGAAGGCTTTTGAGGCAGTAACATTGGGCAACATGAATGAAGTAAGAGTTTGAAACAGATGAACATTTCAAAGCAAAACATGCCCAGAGAGAGAAAAGCAAGTGCAAAAACCTCAAGACACAGGGAGCAAGCCAGTTGAGTTGGAGTGGAATGAGCAAGAGAGTGGGAGGAGATGCGTTTGGAGAGAGAAGCTGGAGCCCTTTCATAAGTTACTTTATAAGTATTCATTTTCTATTATTCTAAGAGTGATAAAAAGTCAGGTTGGCTCAGTGATTCCACAGCACCACAGACATCTCACAAGATTCATACCGTACTCTGTTTCTTTAGTCAAATTTGGAATATGCTACATACTCTATCCATTTCTCTAGTAAAAATTCACAGTCACAACAGCATATCAAAAATTCTGAGCTGTCCACGGTAAAGATGCTTGTGTATCCATGTTAAACCAATTTATCATGGAACTCTTCTAGCTGTGTAACGTTTGTACCTTTAGGCACTGCGGAAGCATGCTGATGCAGGAATCAACAGCATGAACCTCTTCTTTCTCTGCCCATTCATACAGCGTTTTGCTCCATGGCCAAGGATCATGTCCCAGTCCCAGCCATCATAGGAGGACACTCTCTGGTCACAAGGAGAGCTAGTGTGCGTGGCTCCTGTGGTCCGTGGTGTGGGTCCCTGGAATCCAGCCCCCGTTCCCTCATTCAACTAACTCTTGTTAAGCTCCACCTGTCGCTCTACAGATGCTCACTAAAAGGCTTCGACATTCGTAAATGATTACGAACGGGAGAAGAAGCTGCAGGTCGGGGGAATGAGTCACACCGCTTTTTAATTGGAGGTGCATTTATCTGGTAGTTCCTCTTTCCATACACCCCCTGCCCCTTACCTAATCTGTCACTCACAGAATATGACGCACCAGAGTTTGAAAGGGCTTTGTGATAGTTGTCAGCATGACAAGACAGACAGTGTGTACTAAGCAGTTGATATCATTTGATCAGTAAATATTTGCAACTTGTAAAGGCAAAGGTACATAGACATGGGTGACGCAGTCTGAAGTCAGCATATCCGATATGATTTAGGAACATCTATATGGGAACCTGGGTTCTTTTCAAAGGGTTTAGTATAACTTTTCTAGATAGACACTGATTTAGAGTTATTGACACAAACACCTTTTTGGAGGCATGAAACATGCCTTTCAGGAATTACCTTTTCAGCACAGAAACATAGATCATATGGGCAACAAAAAGGCACTGCACTGACAAAGGCAAGAACAAAGCCCAAACGCAACTGGATGTTGGTGTCTTTGATTTACAGAGCAGACCACGAACAATGAGATCAAAGATGAAGCAGTCACAAAGGCTGATTCTCTTGAAAAGGTAAGAAATTATTTTCCTAAAAGTGTAGAGACAAGTAAGCTCATAGGAGAAAACCGTGACCCAGAATAAGAAACATATATTTTAAAAAAAGACGCTTGGCAGGAGAATGCAGATGCCAGAGAAGGAGAGCGATTATTCAGACATCCCCAGACCAGCTCCAGCTGGCGAGAAAGGAGTTAACTTCCCAGCTCCATGCTCCTCTCTAGACAATGTGGCTTGGCAACCTCACAAACACCTGCTGACCATACAGCCATGTAGAACTAATACTGTCTTGAAGTGAGTTCAGAAAACCTGCCTATAATTGCTAACAGGACTCAGAAGAGTATAACCTAACAATAAAAATATTTAGATTATGTTGCCCATAAAAAAAAAAGTCAAAGGCATACTCTTTCTGGCAGCAGGTCTCCTAAAATGTTGCCATATGGATTTATACATATGCAGATTTCCCCAATTAGATGGAGTGCATGCTGGTTAGTTGATGAAGTCCAAGAGGGCTCCATACACAAATTAAAGCTGAAATTGTATTCCTATGATTTTTTAGAAACCCAAGAAGATGACTGTGGAAGCAGAGTTGGAGGACATACAGAAAACGCAGCAACGCAGTCTAGTGGACTGGAGTTTCACTGAACATTTTAAGCCGGAAGTCCTGCTGCAGGTATGAATGCCTGTGAGCTGGGGCGGCCTGGAGTGCCAGGGTGTGACTCGGGCAGTTCTTCCTGAGTCGCTCTCAAATCCAGCTGGATCAGCGTTCCCATTGACTTCAGCTATAAAGTGCGTTTTATTCTCAGGTCAAGCTACGCATGCCCAGGAAACCTCCAAAACAGTTTAAAATATACTTTCCAAAAGGATGTCTTTATCAAATATTTTAAGAAAAAGAGAAATGTACATGACTGCTGCACATATTTTCTTTAAAAAAAAAAAAAAAGGAGGGCATTACTGGGAAACAACCTCATTTTTCTCCGTAGTGCCTGTCAGTTCTGTTGAGTTCTCACTATTTCAAAGGATCTTCTGATTCAGTTAACAGGTCAAGGGAACCTGCGCTACCTAACATTTATTGAGCACCTCCCATATGCTAGACAGTGGTTAATATGTATTTTAGCTCATTTAACCCTCTCAATAATAATTCTATGAAGTGGAAACTATTTAACTGGCAGGAAACTGAGGCACCTTGACCAGTAGCAACTTGTCCAAGGTCACGTGGCTGGTAAGTGAGAGAAGCAGGATGTGAACCCAAGAAATCGGGCCCCAGAACTTGCGCTCTTAACCCTTACGTTCACAAGTGATCCGAAAGCGAGCTCTTTGGTTGCTTTTACATTGTATGCAAGAGCCTGTACTCTTTATTTTGTTGTCGGTTTAATTTCAGTTGTACTATTATGAAAGTTTTACATCCACATATTTTTAAAGCCAGAAAGTTCTATACAGGATCCTATGAAAATAGCAGGTCCTTCCCACCCCTGCACCTACCTTCCCAGACGTAAAAATCTTCCAGCTATTTACCTTTTTCTTTTGTTACTTCACTCAGTTGTCTCTAAATAACAAGTACGTTTTGTTTAGTTTCCATGTTAGTTTGGGGCCATTATCATCGACCCACAGGGGCTCCCCGTTGAGAGAACAGCCCTGTCTCCCCCGCCCGATGCGCGCCCCCGCGCGCACGCTGGCACGGCCCCCGCCTTTCTCTGACACTGTTAACTCTACCATAGGTTTTGGTTGGATCTATATTCAATATTTACTCTATTTCAATCGTATAATTGTTATTTACAGTTGGACTGGGTAGTATCATATGATCACTACATTTCCCTTTCTGACACGATGTCTATTTTTCCTGGAGTTCATTTTTCCACTTTTTTCATTAGTAAACTAAACTAAACAGTTTACTATGCATTTATCACTACTCATCCCCAAACTCTCTACCAACGAGTAAATCTCCTTTTAATACATTCAAACCTAACAAGTCTTCTATCAATTTTATTACCTAAGCGGGATCTCTCCCATATGCTCTGAACTCGCGCTTGCCCTCCGGGCCTGCCACGCAGCTGTGCTCCTGGGAGCTCCCTGCGCGCTGCCAGCCAGGCCTGCTGTTTGCCTCTCCTTCCAGCTCGGCACTCTGTTTCCTGAATCCCAAGTCTGTTCCTGTCCTGGGTTACTCTCTCTTTCTAGGGGACCACCTCTTCTTCCAGTTGCTTCCTGAGTTAAGATACATAGCAGGCAAATTATCGAGGCATTGGATGTTTGAAAACATCTGAATTCTACCCTTACATTTGACTGACAGCTTGGCTTTATGTAAAATGCTAAGTTAAAAAGCATTTTCCCTCAAAATTTTGAAGGCAGTCCTCAATGGTCTTCTAGCTTCCTGAATTCTCCTTGAGAAAAATCAGTTAAACTCTGATCCCATATCAGCTGTTGGAACATGTTTTCTTCCTTCTCTGTGGAGGGTTTTGAGATCCTCGCTTCATTCCGATGGTCTAGGTGTCCTGTTGATTGACGTTCCTTAGTGTGGCCCTGTTTCCAAGTGAGCCCGCTGATGAGCCCAGCACAGTCTTGAAACTCCTGTCTTCTTCACTTTCTGGATAGTGCTCTATGATCATTTCTTTGACAATTTTTCCCCCTCCATTTTTTCTGTTCTTTCTTCCGGTAACTACTGTGATTATGCTTGGGCTTCACGGACTGAACTTGCAATTTCATTGTTTTCCTTCCTAGTCTCCAACTTTGTCTTTTTGTTCTGGGATATGACTCAGCTTTCATCCAGGTCTCCTACTAAGTCTTCTAGTTCTGGTATCATCATTTTTAATTTTCTAAAGTTCTATTTATAATTTTATATTATCTTTTTATAGCATCCTGTTCACGTTCCCTAAAACCATCTCTCTTCTTATCTCTATGAGGATATTAAAGTCCTTTGAAGTCTTAGTGTTTTCTTCCTGCATTGTTTCATTTTCCTCAAGTTTTTTTTTGGGGGGGGGAGACTTGACTTTTTGTCTTCACTTTTCATATTAGAGAGCAATATCTCATGATATCTGCCTCTTTGTTCATGTTCATAACGAGACACTAAGATGTGATAGGAAGTGCTACATGAGGTTGGGGGCAAGTTGTCAAGAGTGGGACTTCACTGTTGGAGATCAGGCCGCGTGGTTTCCTTGAGAGACCCATCATTATGAACAAGTACTGTATCTCATCAACAATTTTTATATTGATTATGTATTGAAATGATAATATTTTAAAATATGTCTGCTATAAAATTTTAAATTACATGTGGCTCCCATTTGTGGCCCATCTTAGATTTCTATTGAACAATGCTGAATCGGACTTTTACCCAATCCCTCTTTTCCATAGTGTATCTCTCCAGCAGCGGTGCCTGGGTCCCACTTCTTAGAATCCACCAGGTCACCTTCTGTGGGTCATAGTCACCTTCTTCTGCAGAAGAGGTGGATGGGCAGCCACCTGGCTGCTCACAGCAGTCGAGGGCTCCTGGGGACCCGAAAGCCTTCTTAAAAAGAGTTTAAACCAACCGTCCTATTTTCAATGCGACTTTGAGAGGTACACAGTGCTGCCATTTTCTGAGTCTTTCTGCATTTCTACATGCAAATAAGGCTGCTAATGGTCTCTCCTAAAATTAATATGAGGGTTTGCCTTTCTATTTTCTCCTGAGTCAGATACCTCCTTCTCCTTTCCAGCTTCTCAAATGTTGTTGCCTTTGTCTCCAATCCCCTGGCCTTCAACTTTGTGAAATTAAAAACAAATGATTTTACTTTTTTTTAGTGAGGTGTTAGGGCACATCTATGTTTACTCTTCCATCTTTAACTGGAAGTTCATTTCAGACCTTATTTTATTTCATCTCGGCTCTGTCCTCACCCTCCGTGACGCTGCACTTCTCAAGGCCACCAATAATTGTCCTGCCAAATCAACATACACTTATCTTTCTTTTTCTTTTCAACCTTTTAGCAGTATCACAGAGGAGGTCACTTTCTTGTGACACAGTCTCCACTCTTGGTGTCCATGATGCCATATTGTATTGCTCCATTTGGAATTTTGTTGAATGTGCCTCCACCTAATGTCTAATTATTGAAGTGTTCAAGTCTCAGCTCTGAACTATCTTCTTTCTTCCGTAAACCTCCTTGTAATGATTCCATTCATTACATATGACCTAATGCTCATGGTTCCTAAAATTTTATCTTCAAAATCATGTCTCTCTTGGTAGACTGGTGGTTGCCAGAGTGGAGGAGGCAGTGAGAGAGAGAAAGGAATTAAGAAGTACCAATGGGTCGTCTCAAAATAACTCATGTTAAGTCTCTTCCCATCACCATTATCCCCTGCTGACCCTCTTCTACCTCCCTGCCCCGAACCCACTTTCCCTTTGGTAATCCCCATACCAAATCCCTATGCTGTATTTATGAGTTCATTTGTTTGGTTTTTGCTTAGTTCCTTTAGACCCAGCCCCAGAAACCCCCTCCCCTCTGACAGCTGTCAGTCTGCTCTCTGTGAGTCTGTTTCTACTTTGTTAGTTTGTTTTGTTCATTATACTCCACATATGAGTGAAATCATATGGTACTTGTCTTTCTCTGAATGGCTTATTTCACTTAGCATAATGTTCTCCAGGTCCATCCATGCTGTCACAAACATAAAGATTTCCTTCTTTTTTACAGCCAAACAGTATTCCATTGTGTAAATGCACCACAACTTTTTTATCCACTCATCTGCTGATGGGCACTTGGGCTGCTTCCAAATCTTGGCTATTGTAAATTCTGCAACGAACACAGGGATGCATATATTCTTTCAAATTAGTGTTTTTGGTTTCTTTGGGTATATTCCCAGATGTGGAATCAGTGGGTCATAAGGCAGTTCCATTTTTAATTTTTGAGGTATCTCCATACTGCTTTCTACAGTGGCTGCACCAGTCTGCATTCCCACCAGCAGTGCACAAGAGTTCCCTTTTCTCTGCATCCTTGCCAACACTTGTTCATTGTCAATTTGTTGATAATAGCCATTCTGACAGGCATGAGGTGATATCTCATTGTGGTTTTAAGCTGCATTTCTCTGATGATTAATGATGTTGAGTATTTTTTTTTCATATGCCTATTAGCCATCTGTATGTCCACTTTGGAGAAATATCTCCTCAGGTCCTTTGCCCATTTTTTTAACTGGATTGAAATTTTTGTTGGTTGTAAAGTTGAATTGTATAAGTTCTTTATATATTTTGGATATTAACCCCTTATCAGAGGTATCATTGGTGAATGTTCTCCCACTCAGTGGGTTGTCTTTTCATTATGTTGATGGTTTTCTTTGCTGAGCAAAAACTTCTTAGTTTGAGGTAGTCCCACTTATTTTTTTTTCTTTTGTTTCCTTTGCTCAAGACAATATACCAGAAAAAAATATTGCTGCAAGAAATGTCCAGATTTTTACTTCCTATATTTTCTTCTGGGATTTTTATGGTTTTGATTCTAACACTTGCATCTTTAATCCATTTTGAGTTTATTCTTGTGTATGGTGTAAGAAGGCAGTCTAGTTTCATTTATTTACACATATCTGTCCAATTTTTCAGACAGAACTTATCGAATAGACCATCTTTGCCCCGTTGTATGTTTTTGCTTCCTTTGTCACATATTAACTGACCATAAAGGCATGGGTTTACTTCTAGGCTCTCTATTCTGTTCCATTGATCTATGCCTCTCTTCTTATGCCAGTACCATACTGCTTTGATTACTATGACCTTGTTGTATAGTTTGATATCAGGTATGTGATTCCTCCCACTTTGTTCTTCTTTCTAAAGATTGCTGTGGCTATTTGGGGTCTTTTGTGGTTCCATATAAATTTTTGGAATATTCTAGTTCTGTGAAATATACCATTGGTATCTTGACAGTAATACATTGAATGTATAGACTGCTTTGGGTAGTATGGACATTATAATGTTAACTCTTCCTATCCATGAATACAGTATATGCTTCCACTTACATATATTTTCTTAAATGTTTTTCTTCAGTATCTTACAGCTTTTCAGGTACAGGTCTTTTACATGTTTGGTTAAATTTATTCCTAGCTAATTTTTTGAAGCCATTGTGAATGGGATTGTTTTCTTAGTTTCTTTTTCTGATAGTTAATTATTCGTATATAAAAATGCAACTGAGTCCTGGCTGGTGTGGCTCAGTTGGTTCTAACCCTTCTCTCGGAATAAAACGACACAGCAATGCAATTATTTTTATTTTCAGGTTCTTCAAGAAGCCAATCAGCAATACAAGTGTATTGATTCTTATTACCATACCCAAGACAACTCTTTACTTTTAGTCTTTCATAACCCAATGAATATAAAACGTCTGCATTGTGAACGTTGGAATATTGCTCTTCACTCCAATGTTGGATTCAGGTAAACAACTCAGCTAGTTTAGTTAGTTATTATAGTTTAGTTGGTTTGTTAGTTACTTAGATTTTATTTCCTTAGCCTAAGCTACATGGTTCAGCTCAGTAAGTACATTTGTGTGTAGGACTGTAGATTCAAGTCAGCTCACTGAGTTGAATATCTGACGCATGCCAGGCACTGCGGTAAGTGCTGACACTGTACCACAAGAGAAGACGTCATTCCTGGGCCCCTTGAGTCTAATGGAAATGTTATTACCTTACATTTGATTTATTTAGACTCCAATTAAACTGCCTCTGAAAGAATCCAAGTGGGGACTGTGAAACATGACATTATGCAGGCTGCTTTATGTCACTTGACCTGGGAAAGACTCACAAGTAGGGCAACTGAGTGACATAGCCCAGCGGTCAGGTTGCCAGCAAGGTGAAACCTCTAGGAATCAGAGATAGTTTTTCTTCCAAGTCCCTTAGTTATTTCTTTAGTATGTTGAAACTTTGCTCTCTTTTTATTAATAACCAGGGCATTTTGTTATTTTTAATACTGGTTAATATATATTTCCAGTATTTATTATTTGCATAGCATTGTTTTAGTCAGATATAGATATAGAGAATGGACTTAGAGAATATACAAAGATATAGAGCATGGACATAGAGAATAATTGGGGAAACAGGTTGTGAGCATGCACACACACACGCACACACGCGCGCGCACACACGCACATACAGGGATATGCCTTCTGAAGCCATAAATTGTCTTATAATTAAGGCACATAATAGGTGTACCACACTAGTATCTTACCTATTAACCTGTCTCTTTCTATGCTTTATCTTTTATTGCCAATAATAATATTTTTTGTTTCTTTTCTAATCTTTTCTGCTGACTAGGACTTCCAATGTAATTTCAAGAAGGCATCCTTGTGTTGTTCCAGGTTTTTAATATTTAACTGCCAAATGTGTACTTTGCTGTACGATTTATGCCAATACTCCTCGTTAGCCCCCTCCTGTTACTAGTTTGCTCTGAGCTCTTCATCATGAATGCTTGTCATATTAAGTGATTTTTCTGCATCAATACAGGTGTTTGTATTTTTTCCTTTAATCTGTGAAACTGCTGAATTAATACATATTCTAGTGTCAACCAACCTTGTATTCCTGTGAGAAATGTAATTTATTATGTTACCTTTTTAATAAATTACTGTATTTGTTTTGCTAATATAGTGATTAAAATATTTGCATCTTGTATTCATGGGCAAGATTGAGCTATAATTTTCCCTTCTTCAAATGTTCTTGTCTGGCTTGGAGAATATTCTCCCTTTATATTTCTTTTTTTTTTTAAAATTTTCTGAAAGAGTTTATACTAGACTAAGATATCTGTTGGTTTTTGGTAAAATTTGTAGATAAAAATATCTGGACCTGGGAAGATGTACAATTATTGATTCCATTTCTGTCATGGTTATTAGCCTCTTTGGGTTTTCTATTTATTTTTTAATTAGGTTTGATCATTTATATTTTTCTAGGAATTTTACCATTTCTCCTGTTTTCAAAATTATTGGCATAAAGTTGATTATGACATTCTCTTGCATCAATTTGTATTTCTTTTAGCTCCTAATAGTCTTAATCTGTGATTTTTCTCTATTTTCCAGGATCAGTCCTGCCAAAGGTTTACAATTTTGTTAATATTTTAAAAATCAACTTCTGTTTTTGATCCTTTTTCCTTTTTTATTTCATTTAATTATGACCTCAGCTTTAGTATCCTTTTTATGTCCTCTCTTTTTAATTTCTTTGGATGATTCTAATGTTCTTTACTTAACTTATTAAAAATTTATATCAAGAATTTGAGTTGGTTTTGGGGTTTTTTTTGTTGCTTTATAAATATTTAAGGCAAAACCACTTTCTAAATACCACCTTAGCAGCCCTAGTTGGTGTGGCTCAGTGGATTGAGTGCCCGTCTGTGAACCAAAGGGTTGCTGGTTCGATTCCCAGTGTAGGGCACATGTCTGGGTTGCAGGCCATATCCCCAGCAGGGGGCATGTGAGATGCAACCACACTTTGATGTTTCTCTCCTTCTCTTTCTCCCTCCCTCTCCCTCTCTAAAAATAAAGAAATAAAGTCTTTAAAAAAAATACCACCTTAGCAGCACTACAAAATATCTATTGACAACGTTTTCACTATCTACTTCTAATTCCATCATATTTTCTTATTTGACCCATGGGTTACATAGAAGTGTGGGTTTTAATTTTAAACATTTGGCTGTGTGTTACATTTGTTATACTTTATAATTTTAAGATACTATAGTCAGATAACATGTTTTATAGACTGAATTTGTTGAGATTTGTTGTATTGTTTAATAGGTGGTCAGTTTTTATAAATATTCCATTTGGCATGAGAAAGCACATTCTCCAGTTTCTGATTTTTGAAAACCTGGTCAATTGATGAAAAAAATGATTTTCGTAAAATTCACTATGTGATGGTAAATTTGTCAATTTCTTCCTAGAACTTTATAAGCTTTTAATTTCATGCATGTTGAGTTTATGTACTGAGCAAATGCAAAAATAGAATTGTTATGTCTTTCTGATTGAGCTTTAATTATTATGCAATGTTTCTCTTTACCTCTACAATTGCTTTTGCTTTCAGATTTATTTTGTATGATATTTCTGTATCTATGCAGACTTCATCATATATATTTTATCCAATAGTGATAAAGTATATAAACCTTTTTCTTTAATACTTTATCTGGTATATCCTTTTCTATCCATTTATTACTTGTAAAATATATTCTTAAAATCTACTCTGACAATATTTGCTTCATAGTTGAGGATCTAGTTCCTGTATTTGAGTTAATGTCAACCATTTAATTTCATCCTATTTTCTCTTCTCAGTTTCTTGATTTCCTTTTTTTCTATTTTGTTTGGATTAATGTCATTTTTTGCTTTACTAGCATAGTAGTAATATACTATATCCTTTAACACATTCTTTAGAAATTGTGATATGCGATTTTTAAAGAGCAATGTCTAAAGTCAGTGTACCTTATCCTTCTTCCCAAATAATGTAAGAACAATAGAATGCTTTAATTTCAAATATCCTCATTCCCCATTTTACGTTATTGTAGTCTAAGAATTTAGTTTATCTTGATGTTTTACCCCACTAGGCAGTGTTATTATTACTTGTCTTTTATACTAATTTTATTTATTTATTAAATTTATTGGGGTAACATTGGTTAATTGGGTCATATGGGTTTCATGTATAGGTTTCTAGGATACATGAACTGTGTATTGCGTTGTGTGCCCCCCGTCCATTGTCAAACCATCTTCTATCACCAAGTGTTTGGTCCCCTTTAACTTCTCCCACCATCCCCATGCCCTTTTCTCTGGTAACCCCCATACTGTTGTCTGTATATGTCTCTGAGTTTTTGTTTTATAGTCCCATATATGAGTGAAATTGGATGGTTCGTAGCTTTTTCTGACTGACTTATTTCACTTAGCATTATGTTCTCAAGGCCCACCCATGTTGTTGCAAATGGCAGTAATTCATCTCTTCTTACGGCTGCGTAGTATTCCATACGACCGATGTACCGCATCTTCTTTGTCCAGCATTCTATCAAAGGACAGCTTGGTTTCTCCATGCATTGGACACCATGAATAATGCTGCAGTGAACACAGGGGTTAGAATGGCTGTTATCAGTAAGACAGGTAACAAGTGTTGGAGAGGTTGTGGAGAAAAAGGAACCCTCATTCACTGCCGGTGGGAATATAAACTGGTACAACCACTATGGAAAACGGTATGGCAGTTCCTCAAAAAACTAAAAACAGGGTTACCATATAACCCAGCTATCTCTCTTTTGGGTGTCTACCTGGAAAATTCAAAAATGCTTATTCGCAAAGATATATTATTACCTGTTTTAAAAGCCAGGGTTTGTTTAACTTATGTTACCATTTTATTTTCCCTTCTTTCTAAAAGAAGGGCTTTAATTGTTCCAGTGGTGAGGATCTTTGCTAATAAAATCAGGTCTGTTTTTGAAAATATCTGCATTTTAACCTTGCTCATGAAAGATAATTTTGCTCAGGCTGTAGTTCTTGATTAACATATAAATTCTTTTAAGTACGTTGAAAAAAAATTTGCCAGTGTTTTCTGAATGACTTTGTAGCTCTTAAGATGTAAACAGCACAGAAACCATTAACAAATGAAAAGACAGCTTCCTGAATGGGAGAAGATATTCACCAATGATATATCCAATAAGGGGTTAATATTCAAAATTTATAAAGAACTTACACACCACCAAAAAACCCCAAACAGTCTAATTAAAAAATGGGCAGAGGATCTTAATAGACATTCCTCCAAAGAGGACATACAGGTGGCCCATAGACATATGAAAAGATGCTCACTGTCACTAATCATTGGATAAATGCCACAATGAGATATCACCTCACACTTGTCAGAATGGCCATCATCAATAAGTCTACAAACAACAAGTGCTGGGGAAGATGTGGAGAAAAGGGGAATCCTCATGTATAATTGGCAGGATTGCAAATTGGTGCAGCCGCTATGAATACAATATGGAAGTTCCTCAAAAAATTAAAAACAGAATTACCTTTTGACCTAGCAATTCTACTTCTGTGTATTTATCAGAAGAAATCCAAAGCACTAATTTAAAAAAGATATATGCACCCCTTTGTTCATTGCAGTGTTATTTACAATAGCCAAGATATGGAAACAACCTAAGTTCCCATCAATAGATGACTGGATAAAGAAGATGTGGTACATTTATGCAATGGAACATTACTTGGCCATAAAAAAGAATTAAATCTTACCATTTGTGACATCATAGATGGACCCAGAGGGAATTATGCTAAATGAAATAGGTCATACAGAGAAAGACAAATACTACGTTACAGAGAACAAACAGAGTTGTCAGATGGGAGGGATATTGGGGAGCTGTGTGAAAAGGCGAAGGGATTAAGTACAAATTGGTAGTTACAAAATAGTAATGGGACATAAAGTATAGCATAGGGAATGTATGGTGTCAGGTGGATACTAGAATTATCTGGGGGATCACTTCATAAATTATATAACTGTGTAATTAGTATGCTGTATACCTGAAATTAATAGAAAATAATATTGAATGTCAACTATAACTGAACAAGAAAAAAGAAAACACATGCAAACATCATCTCTTTTAGAGACAGGGGAAGGAAAGGAGAGTGGGAGAGAAACGTCAATGTGTTGGTTGCCTTTCACGCAAACCCTGCTGGAGACCTGGCCTGCAACCCAGGCAAGTGCTCTGACTGGGAATTGAACTGGCGACGCTTTGGTTCCCAGGCTGGCACTCATTCCACTGACCCACAGCAGTCAAGGCGGCTTGTGATTTTTTTTTAAGTTATACATCCTATTTATATTCTTCTAGAGGTTACACTTTTCCTCTTCAATCACATATTTAAACATTTTTATATTATAGCCAGAGCTAATGAGTATTAATATAATTTTGCAGAAAGTGTTAAAAATTTTAACATAGTTTCACTTATTCCCAACAAGTCTTCTACCAACCATTTTGAAATTTTCTGGAAATTTTGTTTCTAATTGTGAAGTAGTAGTTTCATCACAAATAAATAGCATAAATAGTTATTTGCATTTAATTATAAATTGTGCTCTTTTTTTCTCAGCCCTTTTATTTATATTCCATGTTGTCTTTTTTCTTGGATTGATGTTTTTTTTTTAGTGCAGCTGGGATACATTTGTGGATGATTCTTTCAAAAAGTACCTGTGGGTGACAAACTTTCTAAATCATTGTATGCCAAAATATCTTCATTTTCCCACCTCATTTGAATACCAATCTAGTTGTATATATGAGTCTGTGTTTCCCAATCACAAGTCAGTAGTAAGGATTCTAGAGTTTTGGTTGAAAAGCAGATTCATTGAAAGGTTCTGAGCAGAAGAGAGACACAGTCTGACTTAGGAATGAAAAGGAAGGATCTCTCTAGTTGCTGTGTTTAGAATGGATTAAGGGAGTCAAGGGTAGGAACAGGGAAACCAGCTAGACGGTTATTGCCCCCAAGCAAGAGGTGATAGTGGCTTAGACCAGGAAGATAGTAGTAAAGGAAGTGAGAGTGATCAAATTTGGAATGTATGTTTTTAAAAAATTATCTGGATTTTTTGACAGCAAAAGGAGTGTGATAAAATAAGCCTAGTCAAGGATAATTTCCTGTTCAACTGAAGTGAAGACTTGCTGTCAGCTCCGAGGCAAAGCTCAGGGCTTTGAAGGACGTGTTGGAGGGGGCGATCAGGAGCTCTTTTGGGACACGCTGAGCCTGCGATGTCTTTTACCTTCCAAATGCTGAAGTTGCGTGCCAACAATGATTCATAGTCCGCAATGCTCAGTTTATTTCTTAGAAGGGGTCAAGAATTAAAATTGTGAAGCAATCTAAGAGTAGAACCCATCTAGCTTTATTTTTTCAAACTTAAGGCCTTACTTTTACACAATTGATGATAACCTTATCATCAAACCTAAATATTTCAACTTACTTCCTCAGAAACAATCCTCTTTGGATATTCACTTGTAAGTATGCATAGGATTTAGTTCAATAGAATTACAATAATCAGTAATAAACAGGATGAATGGATTTGGGAGCAAATATGACTGACCCCTAGTAAGCAACAGCTCTCTGATGTGAGCATGAATGCAGATGCGGCGTGGGGCATGGTACTCAGGGTGTGGGTACCCACAAGGCCAGTAAATTTTATAGCAAAACTGGAGAGTTTCAGTCAATCCAGAGACAATTAACTGATGGCCAAATAAGAGTTTCTGTTGTGCTCCGGCCAGGTAGCTGGGTTGGTTGGAGCATCGTCCTGTACACTTGAAGTTTGTGGGTTTGATTCCCAGTCAGATTACACACCTAGGTTGCAGGTTTGATCCCTGGTCAAGGCGCATACAAAATGCAACCGATCAACGTTTCTCTCTCTCTCCCCTCCCTCTTCCTCTTTCCCCTCTCTCTTCCTTTCTTTAAAATCAATAAACATATACTTGGGTGAGGAATTTTTTTTAAAAAGAGTTTTATTGCACTATAAAATTTCCCTAAAAAGAGATTGTACTATAAAAACTCACCAACTTGTGAGGAAACGAATAGACAGATTGTGTACACATTGTATGTATGTTAATAAAACCATAAAATTCTGCCAAAAAAAAACCCCAAAAACTCACCAACTCACAGAGTTGAGTGTGACTTTTTCTCCAAACTGTCATCAGCTCTTGGTATTATCAAACGTTTTAATCCTTGGCTTGGGTCTTTAATTATGAATGAAGTTCAGCATTTTTCATATTCTTCCTGGGTATTTCTATTTGACTACTTTGTACAAAATACATCCAGGATATTTCTGAGTCTGTTACATTTGTTACATGGGCAATTTTGGATCTGTTCATTTTGAAAGTTCATTTGCTCAGTCAGTATCTTAAGTATTTATTGACTTTAACTAATAGTAACTCAATTGCCACTTGCTCTTCTTTTCTTTTTTAAGGAATTTTTTGGAACTTGTTACAGAATCTATCCAAGATTGGATCATAAAAGAAGAAGCTATATATCAGGAATCTAGAATGGCTGAGGAAATCTCTGGGGCCAAGGGTGAGCTGGAATTGAAATCTTCTATTAATGCCAAAATTGTTTCTCCTAGCAAAATGTATTTTGTTAAAAAAAATCTGAAAGCAAGTAAGCTGTTGAACTTATACAAGTCCAAAAACATTCTTCTATTTCTTAATTTAATCAAGACTGAATATATTAGGATTAAAAAGAATTGCCCACTAAATTTCTGTGACTCTTCACTTTCTCTAAAAATAGCATAGCTGCATTCCAAATATGATGAGATCATACCTGCATAAAATATAGACCCTACTTCCTGCCAGGTCTAGAAGCATTGATCTATTATATTGATCAAATGTGATGTTAGGGAAATGCCAAATATCTTTATTTTGGTAGGAACGATAGGTTCAGCTCTGTAAGATTTGTTGACAGTATATGAGGTAAATTCAGAGTCGGTTTGTCTGCATTAGAACAATTATAGTTTCCAAAAGTGAGGGTAAAAGAAGACCTTCCTTACAAGAGCAAACAGAAGAGCCCCAAGACTAACTGAGGGTAAGAATCTAAAATCAAAGGGAAGAGGGATTCTTGGGAGCCTGTGCCAGGGACTTGACAGGCTGTTGGATCAACACATGTCTTTGGTTTTGTTGGGGTTAATTTCCATGGCTTTAATGCTGTCAGGAGAAGGGAGAAGAGGGTGACAAAGAGGAAAGCTACTTGGTGAAAAGTGTAACAATGAGGTAATTCCTCTAGAAAGTAAGGATATTTCTTCACTGGGTTTGTGCAAAGAAAATGGACTCCATGTTAACAATTTTCATTACTTCTAACAGCCAAAGTTGAGAGTGATTTCTTATAAAGAAGCAAAGCAACATAATTTCCAAAACTTTTGCCATCCCATTAATTACGGAGGAATTTGTGTTTGGTTTGATTCTAAAATAAAACTTAGCAAACCAGGTCGATGATGACTCGTTATTCACTGTTCACCAAAACGGCTGTCCAGTACAATCTCTTCCTCAGCCGGGCCTTCCTCCTGCCCCGGCTCGGCCGAGAGCCCTGAGGGGAATAATGGAATAAGGGGCGGGGCAGCACAAAACAGAGGGGTAGGGCCACCCTCTCTCAGCTGTTTCTAGAGCCACACCTGCCTATGAGCAGGAAAAAAATTGCGGGTTGACTGCTTTTTCTTTATTCTGAGGCTGAACAGAATAAGGAAAATCCAGAGAACAGCCACTTTGGGGAGGAATACACCCTGTAGGTATTGCATTTAATTTGAGTCCTCGTAGGTCAGGACAGATGTAAACCATCCAAACAATGGTTACAATGGCAAGAGAAGGGCTTCAGTATGGAAGGAAAATTTAGATTAGTCCTGTGTGGTTGTAAGGGGTTAACCTAGGATTAATTGGTTCAAGTTCTAGGGAGAGAGAGTCCAGTTCAATAAAAGTTTTGAAGTCCCAACATTGCTGAGAATGGAACAGGCTGCCTCCAGTGGCAGCGAGTGCCTCACGCCAGGGAGCTCAGCCCCACTTCAAAGGCGCCTGCGGGGACAGAGCCCAGGGAGGAGTGACCGGGGGCTGAGCCTGCCCGCCTGCCCTAGGCACTATGACCCAGGCATTCGGGCCTTCGTGAAACTTTATTGCAGGAAGAATTTACTAAGAAGTTTAATTTTCTCTGGTTACAGGTAAAAGACCGAGCAAAACAGAGATAGCAGATCAGGAAAAAGAAGAAGAGAAGGAGAAAATGTCTTTCATTTTAAAAGGCTCTCTCAAGGTAAAATAAAAGGCAAGACAGACGACAGTAATCACAGATTCGCCATTTTGGGGGAGATCGTTTGTGCAGTGCCAGAGGAAATGATCTTTTTGCTAAACATTCAGTAACCATCGAATCTGTAAGGAAAGGACGGTGTCCCCACCAAGCTACCTCCTCTCCCAGACGATGAGCCTTCAAGGGAAGCCACAGCGTTCATTTTTATGTAACCAAGATCCAGGGCTGTGCCTCATGCAAATCTGGCATGCTCTCTGTTTTTTCTGGCAGGTGTTTGTTCTTGTTTGTATATTTTTAATTGGATTTTTTATTATAAAAGAAATATATGCTTTTTACAATAAATCAAAATCACCCTGACTCTCCTAAATGCCTGAAATTAGAAATAGTAACTATTCCATATTTCCTCTGCTCATACAGCATGCATGCACAGACATGAAGGAGGTTTTCGTTTGTTTGGTTCTCGTTCAGATTTGGTAAGGTTTTCTTCACTCTGCCATATGCTTTTTTTCTCTTAGCAAGATATCATGAATATCGCTTTCAGACAATATGTAGAGAACTTATTTTCATAGCAATGTTAGTCTATAATTTGGAGATACCTTAATTTATTAAATAATTACCTTATTAATAAATATCACTTATTTTTCTATGTAAAAAATATTTAACTTTTATGTAATCAAACAATCATTTTTGGCCAAAAGTTAAAACACACAATGTCAAATTTTGGCAGATATATGAAGTACAGTGAATTCTCATACACTGATCAGTAAGGTATAAATCGGCACTTCTACTTTGGAAAACTGAATGTATCTGCTAAAGCTAAACATACGATTTCTCCTTAACCTAACATTCCACTCCTAAGTATACACCTAATAGAAATGCATGCATGTGTGCACCAAGACACATAGACAAAGTTGTTCTTGCAGCATTATTTTATTTATTTATTTATTAAATTATACTTCATTGATTATGGTATTACATTTGTCCTGAGTTTTTCCCCTTTGCCCCCCTCCAGCCAGCACCCCCCACTCCCTCAGGCAATCCCCCCACCATTGTTCACGTCCTTGGGTCTTGTGTACAAGTTCTTTGGCTACTCCATTTCCTATTTTACACTTTACATCCCTATGGCTATTCTCTAACCACCTATATGTACTTATTAATCCCCTCACCTCTTCACCCATTCCTCCATATGCCCCTCCCACCTGGCAACCATGAAAACGCTGTCTGCATCCATGAGTCTGTCTCTGTTCTTGTTTGCTTAGTTTTTTTTTAGATTCAATTGTTGATAGGTGTGTATTTTTGCCATTTTATTGTTCACAGTTTTGATCTTTTTCTTAAATAAGTCCCTTTTACGTTTCATAAAATAATAGTTTGGTGATGATGAACTCCTTTAATTTTATTCTTGTCTGGGAAGCTCTTTATCTGCTCTTTGATTCTAGGTGATAACTGTGCTGGGTAGAGCAATCTTGGCTGTAGGTCCCTGCTTTTCATGACTCTGAATATTTCTCATTAATCCCTCTAGCCTGCAAAGTTTCTTTTGAGAAATCAGCTGACAGTCTTATGGAAACTCCCCTGCAGGTAACTAACTTCTTTTCTCTCTCTCTTTATCTTTAACCTTTGGCATTTTAATATGATGTGCCTTGGAGTGGGCCTCTTTGCATCCATCTTGTTTGGGACTCTATGCTTCCTGGACTTGCATGTCTATTTCCTTCACCAAATCAGGGAAGTTTTCTTTCATTACTTTCTCAAATAGGTTTCCAATTTCTTGCTCTTTCTCTTCTTCTGTCATCCCTATGATGCAAATGTTGGACCTCTTGAAATTGTCCCAGAGGTTTCTTACACTATCCTCATTTTTTTTTATTCTTTTTTCTTCTTGTTCCGATTGGTTGTTTTTGCTTCCTTATGTTCCAAATCAGTGATTTGCTTCTCAGCTTCATCCACTTTACTATGGTTTCCCTGTAATCTCTTCTTTATTTCCATTAGTGTATCCTTCATTTCTGACTGGATCTTAGTGAGGTCCTCACTAAGTTCCTTGAACATCCATATAACCAGTGTTTGAAACTCTGCATCTATAGAACACTTATCTACATTTTGTTTAGCTCTTTTTCTAGAGTTTTGACCTGTTCTTTCATTTGGGCCATGTTTCTTTGTCTCCTCATTTTGGCAGCCTCCCTGCATTTGTATGTATTAGGTAAAGATGCTTTGACTCTGTGTCTTGGTAGAAAGGCCTAATATAGTAGGTGTCCTGTAGGGTCCAGTGGCACAGCCTCTTCTAACACCAAAGGTGGGTACTCAAGGTATACCCTTCATGTGGGCTGAGTACACCCTCCTCTTGTAGTTGAGCCTTGGTTGCTGTTGGTAGATGAATGGGAGGGATTTAACCAGGCCAGTCAGCCGCAAGGATTAGCTATAATCACTGACACCACCCTCTGCCCTCCATGGAGGATCAGCTGTGCATGGGCAGAGTGGTGGTGCTCCAGTGTGGTCTGTAGCTAGCCACTGGGTGTGTTGGCCCTGGGGTTTCCCTGGTGCTTCAGGTCACAGTCAGCTTCCACCCATGTTTTGCCCAGGGCCACTCTGTCTGCTCTATAAAGCAATCTGGGATGGCTGCTATTTGTCCTAGACAAAGCCAAGCTATGAATCTAGGCTGGCTGCTGCTAGTGCTGGGCCTGGAGCTCACTGAGGCCAGCTGTTGCTTCTTTGAGAGGATTTAGGAAGTTAGGCAGCACAAGCCAAGACCAGCCATTCATATGGAAAAGCAGCTTGGGCGGGAGGGGTCTGTGGGGATCTCCAAGGCAGGTCAAACAGTGTCAGCCAGATTGACGGAGTCTAAGATATGGCTCCAGCTTGCTGCTCTGTGGCTTTGTGGGGAGAGGGTTCAAAAAAGGGACCATGGTCTCTGCTTTCTTGATGCCAGACATTCCAGTTTCTCCCTGTATACAACTGGTGCCTTTCAAGCTGCTACCCCAGTGCTGGAACTCAGAGAGTGAGTCTGAGTAGGTGAGTCCATGTGTGGGTTCTTTAAGAGGAACTGTGTGGAGCTTCAACAGTTTCTTCTACTGACTCAATCCCAGCTGGGTTTTGCAACCAGAAGTTGTGGGGATTTATCTTGCTGGCACTGGGGGGCCGGGTGTGGGGCTGAGACTCCTCACTCCCAAGATATCCCTCCTGAATTTTTATCCACCACACGTGGATGTGGGACCAGCGGATTCCATGCTGGACCACTCCTATCAGTTTGGATGGATGTGGTTTCTTTAATTCCATAGTTGTCAGACTTCCATTCAACTCGATTTATGGTACTTTTGAGTGATGGTTCTTCTATATTTTAGTTGTGATTTTGATGTGGTTTTGTGAAGAGGTGAGCCATGTCTGCCTGTGCCACCATCTTGACTGGAAGTTCTCAGCATTGCTTTTAATTCTCCCAAATCAGAAATGATTCAGATACTTATCAGTCTAGTGTGTTTAGTTAGTCATATGGTGAAATGCTCTGCAGCTCTGGAAATGAATGACTTATGGAAATATGTGGCTGAATTTCACAAACATCATGTTAAGCAAAAGAAGAGAATCAAAAGAATATGTGCATTGTGTATGATTTTATCTACATAAAGTTTAAAAGCAAGTAAAGTAAGCTAAGGTATTACAGCTTAGGATAATGTGTGCCTTCGGGGCAGCGGACGTGGGAAGCTGGAGGTGGTCTGAGTCTTGACCTGGTGGTGGTAGCCACAGTGTTTGCTTGGTGGTGATTCATCCCACTCTTCACGTAGGTTTCATGTTCTTTTTATTATCGACGCTATAGCTTATAAAAAAGTTTTTAAAAATCTGTCACCTTTGCCCTGACTGGTGTGGGTCAGTGGGTTGGGTGTTTTCCAAAAAGTGAAAGATAGAAGATCGCTGTTTCGATTCCCAGTCTTGGTACATGGCTGGGTTTCGGGCCAGGTCTCCAGTTGAGGGCATGTGAGAAGCAGCCAACTGATGTTTCGCTCCTTCTCTTTCTCCCTCCCTTCCCCTCTCTAAAAATAAATAAAGCCTTGAAAAAAACTTTTTAAAAAATAAATAAATATATCTGTCCCCTTTTTATGGTTTCAAGACTTTCATGTTTTTGTTTCCGCCCTGAGATTACACAGTATTTTCCTTAGAATATTTTCAAACACATACTTTTCATATTCAGATCTCTAATCTGTAAAATTCATTTTTTATAGTATAATGTGTCTTATTTTTTCTTTGCCAAATAGACTCTCATTTTATCAGTACTTGATTTTGTCTCTTGACCCCAAAAATCTAAAATATTTACTCTCTGGCCCTTGATAGGAAAAGTTTGGAATGCAAACACTCCATTTCTATTTTCCTCTTGGTTGCTCTATGAATTCCATTTGTATATATAATTTAATGAAGCTTAAAATTAATAAAGTATCTCTACTTTCTTCCAGCAAAGTATAAGGAACTATTAAAATTATTTAAAATTTGGCTCTACTCTCCCAATTTTTTAAAAGTTTTATCTTGATTTTTCTTTTTCCCCAAAATTACACATTATTACTGTCAATGTTTTATATAGTCAGTATTTAGAGTTATCCAATGTTTATTATTTGTTTTGTTGGGCATTTCTTCTCACGTCTTATGCCTTTAGAACTTCCTTCAGTGGAAATTTGTTGCTATAAAACCTCAGTTTTCACTTATCTGGAAAATGGCTTTATTTTACTCTTATTCATTAAGCATAGTTTTCTTTTATAAAGTTCCTGGCTGACTTTTTTATGTACTCTTAATACCCTGAAGGTATTGTTCCATCTTTTCCTGGCTGACTTTAAGCTGTTAATAAATTAATTGGCAAACTAATTTGTTATTACTTTATAGGCAGTTTATCTTTTCTCTCTAGCTCCTTAAAATATTCAGTAGTGTTCTGGTAAATGTTTGGAAATAGTTCTCTAAGACAAAGCTGTGTGTGTGTGTATAATTTTATTCTAAATTTTACTGATACATATGTATTGCATACAGTTGACAAGTAATAAAACGCACAACACTGCTTAGTGTAAATTCTATTCAGTCACTTGATTCTCACAGAAATTGACTTTTACTAAGCTCTTTTGTCTTTGGCCAACCTACAGTACAATTGACACACAAGTATAGTTCTGATATGAATGCTGATTAATAGTTTTATTGACATGAACAAGACAAAAGTGAACAACAAAGGGATATATCTCACTGATTTATCAATGACATAAGCAACTTCTTTGCTGAACCAGATAATAGTTTTAAATATTGGAAAAATATTTCCTCAGGGTTTCTTTTTTGTGCTAGTTACAATGTAACAGCTCCAAACATGACACACTGTCAAATTTTATCTGAATTATTAACGTTTTCTCCATCACTTACTTAAGTCTAAATAATCAACAGTCAGTCCTTGATTTGTAGCATTTGCTGGTACCTGTAGTATAAATGCTACCATATGGCTGCTTTCAAGGTACCACTATGATGTCACTGAATACAGAGTTGGAAGCAATATACAGAAGTGAACCATTATATTGTATTTATGATATAGATACAACTGATATAACCTCAAGAGTATAGATAATAGTAAAATGTAGCAAAATATTTAGGCAGGTGGTAAGTTTTGAGTATTTATTGCCTTTGGTTTAATATGTTCTTTAGTTGTGTATTTATATAATTTAATTTTTAATAATGGCTGTGGCTAGCAACTGACTTGCAAAATTCCTGAAAATTTTAATAATAAACTCTTTCAAGTCAGTGTGAGCTGGGTCGAGAACACCACTGTTACTTTCTGCTTTTGATTCATTGGCCTTTCTGACGGTTACAATTAGTGTCTTTCACCCACTCTGGAACTGTCTTTGATGTTACCTCTTCCAAAACTGCCTTTTCAAAAGTTCTATTCAATTTCCAGGTGGGCTTTCAAACTCACCTTGCTGTTTTTCATATGTTCTTGTTTCTTACTTATACTTTTGATGCCTCCTTTTCTTTGTTTAGGCATATTAAAATACTTATTTTATATTCTCTATTTGATATAGTATCTGTGGCCTTTGCAGATATAATTTCACTTTTTGCTTTTTGTTCAGGTTCTTGCTTTTGTCTTAGTTCCTCATGTTTTGTGATTTTCATTTGTGAGCTCGTACCAACCCCCAGCATTTTTAGTGTTAAGCTTTAAGGTAATATACACGTTGGCTACAAACCTGTGGAGGACAGGCTTGCAGTTAGGAGTTCTCTGGGGAGCTGCTTCTGGCATCCCCACCCACTTCACTCAGGGCCAAAGAAGCAGGCTAGACTCCATGGTCTTCCACTATGGGGAAAATTTTTTTTCTAGTTCATCCAATTAAGGTATCATTTTTAAAAAGTACCTGATCTAGCCCTGGCTGATGTGGCTCAGTGGTCTAAGTGCCAGCCTACTAACCGAAGGGTCACCGGTTCAATTCCCAGTCAGGGCACAAGCCTGGGTTGCAGGCCAGGTCCCCAGCAGGGGGCGCTTGAAAGGCAACCACACACTGATATTTCTCTCCCCCTCTTTCTCCCTCCCTTCTTGGTTTAAAAATAAATAAATAAAATCTCTTTAAAAATTGCTGATCTATTCAGACATCTCTGATCTGATCTCCCAGATTGTCTCTGGTCCTCATAACTTGAAGACCAAGTTCTAAGCAGCAAAGATGGGGAGACACTCCTGGGAACTGGCTCTCTTTGGTGCTCGCCTCCCTCACTGAATTAGTGCTTTCTCATATTTTTACTGGGCTGCCAGCGCTGCTCTGCATCACAATGATGATTTTATTATTTTACCCATAATTTTTAAAAATGTTTTATGCCAAGAATGTTTCTTTGGACATCTAGTCTACCATGCTGCTGATTAACCACATTTAGCACCTGAACTGGGGATTGGACTAATGTTGAAAAGTATAGGAGGCAGGGAGACCAGCTAAGAGGCTGACACAATAGTTCGAGCTATAGATAAAAAGACTGAACTAAAGGAAATTGCAACAGAGAGTGAGAGAAGAAGCTGAAGTCAAGAGAGATCTCTGAAGGGAATTTGCAGGGTTTAGTATACAGAAGTTGGGAGAGGGAACGAGAATGTGGAATGACTCCAAGGTTTCCAGTTCAGTATTTTGATTTGTCAGATACCACTTACAAAACTCATGTTAAATATTCTCCAAAATGGGCCCCAATGGTGTATAATTCCTTTCAAAATTCTGTTACAACTTGTAATGTGTTTACAGGCATGGAAAGAAGAACAAGAGCCATCAGCGGAAGAGGAACGCTTAAAGGAAGAAAAAAAAGCAGAAAAGAAGAGTAAGGAAACTGGTAAAAAGAAAGGCAAAGAAAAGGTAGAGAAAGAAGAGAGTGGAAATGTGAGGAGAAGATCTATTTTCCAGGAGAAACCTAGAGAAGAGCAAAGAAAGCCCTCAGAAACACCTGAGCAGGCCCTCCAGGAACCAGAAGCTGAGGTAGTCTACCCGGTAAGGCCAGTTTCCTAAAAAGCTTTATTGGATCATTAATAACTGTTTGGGGGAAAACCCAGCTTCTGTGCAAACATTAGGTGCCCAGTCTTTACTGCCACCACCGAAGGCCTTGGGCTTTCTACTCATGTAGTTGACGTCAGGCCTGTACTCCACCCTCTGATACCTGGGCCTTTCTTGGTAGTCAATCTCCAAGACGTCAGGAAGCCAGGTAACTGTTCTCAGTTACAGATGGAAATTTGACACAAAAGCACTTTTGGGTTTATGTAAATAAAAGTAACTGTGACAGGTCAAAGACTGGCTTTATCTGTCCCAGATGACAGGACTCAGGTAAGTTCAGTTGCCTCTTCGTAGGCACCCATGGTTCTGGTTTATATGCTTTTGTAAAAACTTCCCTTTGCCAGTCTGTCCCTCAAGCAGCTTTGTGAGTAAAACCTCAGGGGGAAAAAGAGATGTAAGCAGCCCTGTCCTTCCTAACTACGCCCCTAAGACAGTTGCCTCAAGCTTTAGTGCTCAGCAGAATCACTTGGCCTTCCATTAGCAACACTTAGTAAAAAGAAAAAAGGTCTTCAACGTTTTCATGTGTTAAAGTGTATTTACTGCTCAATGTATCAGTTCACTGTAAACAGAAAATTAACAGCCAATGACAGAGAAATTGACTTCTTCTCCCACTGCCTTGACAATGGCACAGTGATTTGATTTTTGCTGGATTATGAGAGTGCCCCAGTGAACAGTTTAAAATCATGGACCGCCGTTAATTCTGCCCATCCTTGTAACATGACAGGAGGTGCTAAAGGTCCCGAGTCTACAGTGACAGACAAATCATTCAGCAGAAATTAGGCTTATGGCAACTTGAAGTGATTCCCGCTGATGAGTTGATTTTTGTTGATTGCAGTTCCACGCTCAAAGCACGATGTTTTCTCTTCTAGTTTCGTGGATACAATATGGGAAATATACCCATCCAAATCTCAGGAACAAATTACTATCTCTATCCTTCAGATGGAGGACAGATTGAAGTAGAAAAGACAACATTCGAAAAAGGTACATTTTGGAAGCAGCCAGTTAATGGCTTGGAAGTTGTTTACCCATTTCAGGTCCCCTGGGGCCTTCGTGCTCCTGAGTGCGCTAGGCCACAGCGGCCAGTGGCGTGAAGCTGCCACTCACTTATGCACCACGCTCAGCATCGTCAGACTTCATGCTCGTCTGCTGCAGCTGATCCTGCGGGGCACAGGGCCCCTGAGAGGTTGGCTGGGACGCACAGATAGAAAGTTCCAGTTGTTAAAATATGGAAATGTTTCTCTATCATTGGGAAATAGTTTAATAGTAATTACAATAAGCAAAGAGTTGACACTGCTAGTTACAACGCATAGTGTTGTCCCAGAAGCCAAGCACATACTCATGAGTTTAGAGCAAATTTCCTGCTTGGACTCTGGAGCGCAGAGCCTGGAGCGTGCTGCCCACATCCAGCGATTTAGCAATTTAGCGATAGAGAAATTGTCTCTGGATTCAGGAGTCTTTAGTAGGGAGGGGCAGGTGAGCTGAGGAGGACCTAGTCTGGAAAGCCCTAAGCAAGGGCCTCATCCTTCCCAGGGAAGTGCAGGCGGGGATGGAGGGGCTGGAGAGGCTGGGCTCTGCCTGACAGGCTATGGTCTGGTAGGGAGCAGCGTCCTCTCAGAGCTGTGAAGAGGGCCGTGTGAAGGAGGTGAGCAGGACCCTGCTTCATGTCCACAATTTTGTGCACCCCAGCCAGGGAGAGCGTGGGCTTCTCCCACCCCCACAGCCCACCCCAGATGCCAACCCACCCCTTCTCATTCCCTAGCCTTCCCCTCTCTCCTTCCCTCTCTCCCTCCCTCCCTCCCTCCCTTTAGCTAATGACTATCAATTTACTGGAAATCATTGCAAGAGTTAGATGCTGTTCCCTGTGTGAAATCATGACTCAAGTGGAAGCATCACTAGGTAGTAACTGCCGCTATCACATAAAGGGTCATACCAATGATTTTTAAAACAAAAGTCCTGCAAATTATTTGTATTTAAAGAATGGTTTGTGGTACAACACATGAAATGCCTGACTGTTTTATTATATAAGGTTTGTTTATTTAAAACATGAAAGAGATTTTTATTAATATATAAGTATGCATATTTATACTGTCATATATATTAGTATTTATTATTTTGATATCATCTCTGGTATAGCGTATAATTATTAGTAATTAAAAATGAAGCTCAGAATCACATAACTGGACTCAAGTTTTGCAATAGGATTTTCGATAGCTATTTCTCACTCTTACCAAGATTTGCATATGCATGCAATATATATGTTTCAGATGGTTCATAGTAAATATAGTGTTTTTATCCTAATTCTATCAGTTTTGAGAGGTGACAGTTCAATCAAATTGGATTTCAAAAAGAAGACAAAAAGCTGAAAGAAGAGACAAAAAATGAGCCAGAACACTGGCTCATGTGTTATTAGGAAAATGTATTGTTAGGAAAGTTCTTCCTAACAATAATAACTACTGTAACCAGTGTTTATGTAATTTCTTTGTAAGTTGAAAAACCCTTTCACATTAACTATATCATGTGATTAAAGTCAAGAATTGGTGTACATTGACCTCAGCTGATTTGTTTTCCTGCTGCGATTTGATTTGAGATGTGAATAGAGGGGCTGCAAATCCCCCCCGACCCGCCTGCCACGCCCGTATTCCGGATGCTCCCTTGCTGTACTCCATTAGGCGTCCTCTGATAAAAATGGCGACATCCCAGGCATTTCCATTTCCCACTTGAATTCTGTACTGCATTGTCTTATCAAGGAGCTTAACGGGGCATCATAATCAGCCCATCTTCTATCCCATGATTCTTCCCCAGGCTCAACTTTTATCAAAGTGAAAGTGAAAAAGGACAAACACAGTTTTATAATTCATTTAAAAGACCCTAAGAAAATTGTGAAAAAGGAAAAAAAAGAGGATTATTTTTCAGAAGATGAAGAAGAAAGAGAGGGAGAACAGAACACTGTAACAGGTAGGCAGAGGCACCTCAGTGGCAGTGGGGGTTAATACTTCAGCAACGTGTCCTCGCATCCACCTGACAAAGACGCACAAGCGCCCCTCCCATGTAGCATGTGATTTTCCTATATGGTGACTGAAGTGTTTTGCCATTCTCATTATAAACATTTTCCCTAATGTAGTGTGTATGTACATTATATACATGGCCCATCTATTGTGGGCTACTTACTTGATTTTACTCCCTCTGGACACCCAGCTTTTGATTCTGGTTGTCATATGGAGTGTGGCTGTCTGTACTTAGCAACATTGAGTTGGCCGTGTCCATTCCGGCCAGAGCTCTGATTTATGCACTTGTATTAAAGTGCATAAATTGATTCTTATTAATTGATTTCTACTGAAGGTTTAACTTCTCTCCAATATGCATGGCAAAGGAGGGGTTTCTATCTATGCTCTCTCTAATACTTAGTTCTCCCTGTAGTATCAAATTTCTTAAGTCATAAGGACAAGAGAAAAATCCTAAATTTGGCCACGTGAGTCTCTACCTTCTTGTAGGTGAGACTTCTGGGTGGATGCCCATTGATTGGACACCATGAAGCTTCCTGATAATATCATCCAACATCTCTGGGCAACACCTGAGAGGGAAATGAATTGCTTCTTGCTCAATGTGATGTGGGTCATACCTGAAAAGGAGACAAGTTAATTAATAAAATGTTTTGCACTCAAGGTGGTAAGAAGAACAAAAACTAAATCTTGCTAATAAATTTAGTTATGATCACAGTGTTTTTCAAACTCAAGAACACAATGTTTGACAAGTTTGAATGTACCCAAGCACTTAAAATGGAATTTTTTAATTACTTTTCTTTGTTTTCCTTCATATAAAAATATATGAATTATTACAAAATTTAGGAAATATAGGAATATTTAAAGACAATAACAGTGGCTGATAACTCAACCACCTCCGTGGTAACCACTATTTGTAATGCATTTCTTTTTTCTTTATCATCATCAGCATTTTTTATTAATTAAATATTCTTTGAAAACAAGTTTTTTAAATGATTTTATATTAATTCATTGGCATATATAACATAATTTACTTAATCATATTCGTGTTTTTACCTATTTAGCTGATTTCCGTTTCATACCGAGTTTTGCTTACATTTCTTTTTTAATAAAATGAAAATGTCCTTAATTTGATTTTGTTTTCCAGAAAAATCAAAGGCAGAGAATAAAGCTGTCAGCAAGTTTGGATCTTTTTCTGCCACCTTGGAAAATGGGATCTGCCTCTCAATAAGTTACTACGGATCCAGTGGAAATGCACCAGGTGATACAGACACAATGGAAAGGACACAGGTCCTGTGACCCAGGATGTCTGCCCGCCCTCCATCTGCTCACTTGATAAACACGCCCCTCATTTCCTAAAGGGCGGGAATATATGTCGGTGTGCATGTGTGTGTCGGTGTGTGTGCATATACATACATATATGATCTTTCATACATAGAAAATTACAGTGCTTTGAAAAAGCTTTTATCATATAGAATTTCTAATCACATAGACATATAAGATCACATATACACACATATGTATTCTAGTTATCTTTGTTAACTAGCCTGAGAAAATAAGTCCATTGGTGCCAAAGACAGCATAATTTGCCAAGGAATCCTTTTGGTTTTCTACAGAATAATAGTTTTATGACTCCTGCGATTATAGAACTACTCAGAGCACTTTAGAACATTAGTCTTAAAGGAGCCATTCATTGGACATCTTGAAAGATTTCTTTACCCTACTTTTAATAAACAAATTCTCCAACTGGAAGCTATTTCCTTACAAACCACAAAATAATATGTCACTTTACCAAGAACTAATTAGGAAATCTTGTGGGTTTCCATGCATTTTATAGAAATCTAACCACAACAGATTTAAAAATCAAAAGATAATCCCCGTGCACCATCGCCTTCACACTGCGTGGGCCGAGGTGGTTCAGTGGCCGCCCCCGAGGGCTCCGTGCCGCAGAGGCGCAGGCCTGCGGGTGGGTGGCTGTCCTCCTGCGCCTGACTTTGTGCCAAACGCTGCAATACTCTAGTGAGTTAGAGAGTCCATTAAATTTGTTAGCATTTTGTTTTGTTGGGGGTTTTGCCATTAAATTTTGTATTTGATTTCTTTTTAAACTGGCACTTAGAGAAGTCGTTTGGTGCCTAACAGATTATATATTAAAATTCATTATGACACAGTCACTAAAAAATCCTACCCCCTCTGAACATAGGTCATCATTATTTTAAATTAAAATATTTGCACTCTATCGACTAGTTGCTGCTGTTTCCTGATTTTCTTATTCTTTATTTAATCTTTAAGTTAAGATACAATCATTTCATTTAAAACAAATGTTAATTTTAGGTTATAAGTACTGCATTTGAAAATGTTTATAGTGTGGATAATAAGTAATAGTTTACTTGATCTATATTTAAAAAGTTGAAGGCACTAGTCTTTTTTAAAAATATGTTATAAACTCCTTAGAGATGCATATAATACTAATATTTGAGAACTTTTAGATGCTAATGACTAAGCAAACTTCCAGTTCGATTCTCCCCCCTTAACTGACTGTATAGCGTTCTCTAGAGCTTGTTCATCTTGCCTAACTGAAACTTTATGCCCATTGATTAGTCACTTCCCATTGACCTCTCCCCACAGCCCCTGGCAACCACCATTCCAATGTGATGGTATTTGACTATTTTAGATTCTTTATAGAAGTAGAATCATGCAGCGTTTTTTTCTTCTGTGACTGGTTTATTTCACTACAGCATAATGTCCTCAAGGATCATCCATGTCGCCATATATTGCAGAGTTTTCTTCTTTTTAAAAACTGAATCATATGTATGTACCACACTTTATTTCTCCAATCATCCGCCGATAGATATTTAGGTTGTTTCTGCATCTTGGCTACCCTCTTCTTTCTGTGGCTTTTATTTCCTCAAATGAACTATGCTTTCCTGTACCTACTACACACCATCTCATGCTGTGCCGCTTGCTCATACCACTTTCTTCTGCTGGGTACACCAGCACTCTCAACAGTTACACTTCCTCTCCTGCTTCAGGCCTTGGCTTACAGGTTCCTTGCTCTGAGAAATGCCTCCCAGATCAAGCAGCAGTAGCGTGGGAACTGGGTTTTTGGAGGTGAGTGAGAATCGCCTAGGCAAAGAATCAAAAGCAAGGAATTCTAGACGCCAGGAATAGTGTGTACGGAGTTTAGTAGCATAAAAGCACAACGCCTTTACGGAAAGGCAACCTGTGCGGTATAGCCAGGTGTAGGCTGCAGGGAGGCGTTTTGTGTTGGAGGGCCTTCCTCTGGGTCCCCACGGCGCTCCGTACTTCCCCTGTCATAGACTTAACACACGACCCTGGGCCCGAGGGCTTCTTCATCCGACCCGCCCATCACACTGTAAGCCCCTCGAAGTCTCACTCATCATTGGCCCCCCAATTCATGGTACATAGTAGTAGCGACTCACTAAATATTTACTGAATAAGTAAATGAATGGGAACGGGAGGGAGGAATTTCCAGCTGCCTGTAACTGGATGCCATTCACTTATGTATATACTGTACTTCTTATGGGTCAGGCAACTTGCTGGCACTGAGCCGCTAAGATGAATAAAACCATGCTACCGCTATTTAAAGAATTCTTTGTCTAATGGGAAAAGAAAACATAGAGAAAGAACTGTGTAAGTGGTAGAAATTATGTATAAACAGATTACTGGGAACAGCTAGAAAATACTTCAGACAAAAGGTAAAGCATCTGAAGTGGAACTTTCAAGAGGAGCGGGAATTATCCAGACAGAGCAGCAAGGAAAAGGACTTCTGGACAGTAAGAAGCATTTGTATAAATTCTCAGCTGTGTAAAAGCATGGCCTCTTTACAGAAAAGTCAAAAGTTGAGTGTGACTGGAGTGAAGAAAGGTGAACGTTGTGTGCCCTACGTGAGCAGTGAGTGGCAGCGGTCTAAGTAAGGGACAGGAAGTGACACGATCAGATTTTATTTTAGGAACATATTTATAGGAACAGTTTGGAAGGTGCGGCTGAAGTTGTCATACTGGAGATGCCATGATACCAGTTAGGAAACTACTGCAGAAAATTAAGCACAAGAAAATGAGAATCTGTGCTAAGATGCTATGATTAGATAGGAGAGGCCTGATCTGAGAGGACTCTCTGAGGGCTTGGTGACTGGTTGGATGTGTAGGGTGAGTCAAAAGAGAAAATGCAAATGATGTCAGTGTCTAGCTTGGGAAATAAGATGCATCATTGGTTATGGCATTAACTGAGACTGAGTATGTAAGAGGGGTACCCAGCTTGGGAGAGGAGAGACTTACTGAGTTTGAAATGTCTCCAGCATCACAACCACGGAGAGATGTCTGAAAGCAGTTAGAAAGAAGGATCGGGGGCTGAGAAGAGCAAGGTCATGCCTTGAGTTGTAAACTTTGGACGCCTGAGCATGTAGATAACAGTTGGAACCCGGGGGTGAAGGAGATCACTCAGGTCTGACACAGCTCACACAGGTGCTCAGCCTGGGCCGTGCATTACAGTCACATGTGATGTTTCACAAATATAAATGCCTGGGCCTCCTTCCCAAAGAGTCCTCTTCAGCAGGGTAAGATGGGGACCTCAGCATTGGCTGTTTGTCTGTTTGTTTGTTTCCGTAATTATCACGGACAGCCAGAGTTGAGAACATCTGTTGTATAAGGATAAGGGGGAAATGCCTTGGGACCAAGCACCATTTAACAGAGCGACAAAAGAGGAAGACTCAGTAAAGGGGGCCAAGAAAGAAAACTGATCAGTGAGGGGAAAGGAGATCCGGGGGAGGGTCAGACTGCAGCGCAGCCGAGAGCGCAACTCCAGGTGCAGAGTGCTCCGGGGCTTCGGGCGTGGTTTCGCCACAGACCAGCTCTCCCTGTAAAATTCGGGCAGTTTCTTAAAGCCCAGACAGAATTGATTTCCTACAAGAAAACGTCTTTTATCATCTCAGCTAGAAATTATCTCTTTTCTGAATTTCCTTGTTTGTATCTCTTATTGTATTCCTGTTTAATATGTCCTTGTATTGAAGCTATTTGAGTGCAGGTCTTATTTATACTATTTTGGCTCTGTATGGCATTCTGTTTTGTGGGGTTTTTTAAATTATTATTTCCCAGTGCTCTAAATATTTTGTATATAAGAGTGTCTCAATAAATATGCTCAATTAAATGAAGAGATGGTTACTGCTCTATCCTTAGGAGTTTACAATATAGATGAGAAGGCACGAACCTTCTAATGACTCCATCAAATATATCATTGTATTAAGTATCTCAAATATTTTCTCTACAATCCTGATCTTCAAATCGGATACATTATCCCTAGCATCTATCTGACTGATAAATTATATTCAGCAAGGTAAAAATTGTTGCCAACTTGTATAAATGTTTGAGATGTAAATTTTACTTAACAAATATATCAAATATGAATGTCTAACTTCCTTGTTTTCTCCTTTCAGAGGATAAGGATCCTAGCTTGGAAGCAATGTTGAATATCCCATCAGCACTTCTTCCAACAGTAATTCCTGTTATAGCACCCGTTCCTCAAGCCAAAGGAAAGGGAAAAACAAAAGGCAAAGAAAAACCCAAAGAACCTATTAAAGAAGAGGAGCACCCAAAAGAAGAAGAAAAAAAGGTGACTGAGCCTTGCCAAGGACTCTGAACTCCATTTTTCAGCGTCATCTCTTTAAAAATCACAAGTTATATCAGTAGTGTTATTATAACACCTGCATTTTATTGTGCAGATGCATTAATATTCCTTGAAGTTTCCATTATGAATGAACAAGAAGAGATTTGCACACAGGAGTTGGATTCCCATGCCAGGAGACATACTGGCATAGGCAAACTGTCTCATGTCACTCATTCTAAACTCAGAATGACTAGTTCGATCTGTTCTTTCCCTCGCTGGTTTTTGGGTGTTCTTTGCTTTTGATTGGTCAAGTTCTACCATTCCTCATTTTAAATAATTTGTTTAGTTCCATTGATATAAACAATTGGAGGAGGAGAATCTCTAAATAGTGGGAACATTTCTGTTTGGCAGATGTGGACTTAGATATTGATGAGCTAAGAATTAACAAGATGCAGGGCACCCACTTCTAGTGAAAGAAGAGTCCGCCCTCTCTCCAACCCTCCACCCTATACATTCCACGTGCACATGTTGCCTCTCACCATTTTCCTAGTAGAAAAACACAGATCAAAACAGGTCCCAAAAGAGGGAAAGAAGGAAACCACGGATCACATTTTCACTTTTTTGGTATTTACCACTACAGTTGTGTGGTTTGCACGATGTACAAATGCCAAATTTATTAGAAGAAATGTGTTAAAAAGTGATCAGGGACTTGAATTTCAGACCCTGATCATTTAAAAGTTAGGGAGTTTGAATGTCACTTAGCCCCTTCTCCTTATTTACACTGCTATACTAGGTGAATATTCTCAAGCTAGGACATTTGACCCTTGTTAAGTAAAAATGTTCAAGTGTTGAACAAAATAATCCCAGGTAATTCATTCGTTTGGCTAAAAGCAATTTGATAACAAACCAATTGGTTCAACTAACATTTTTTTAAGATTGTCGTGTAATGATAGCGGACATGTCCTTGAGCGTTAATGTTCCTGTTACAGAATTTCGTAAGGTTTTTCCTCCTAATTTTGCTTTATATTTTTAATTGGTTTTCAGCTAACTATTCAGATTTTAACCTCTCTTAATTACAATAACAGATCAACTTGAATGATCAATAATAAAAGACTAGTTAGATTAAACTGCAGATCCAGCAGTGGGGAGCCAGTGGGAATGAGGCTGGTGACCAACGAGAGAGAGCCCGGGGAAAGGGACACAGCTGTCGCCAGGGCCCGACGGCGCGCACCTCAGCAGCTTTCGCTCTGGAGCACACACAACCAAGCAAGGTGTTCAGGCCCAGTTAGCGTAAAATTAATTAGTATTTTTATGTAGGCACACCCAGACCCTCATTAATGTATAAATAACTTTTTAATTGTCTTTTGTTTTATTTTTACTTAATACAAAAGCAATGTATGCTCATTAGCCGAATGTCTCCCAAAAGCATAATGTCTCCAGCATTCAAACTGTAAGAATTCTTTGCAGGAGAGGGTCGTCACTGTTGGTCTGCCCTCACACCTCCCTACGCATGCAGACAGAGGCGTCTTTCAAGGCCTCATTCAAGCCTCTCATGCTCCAGGCTGTTTCCCTAATTATTGTCATTAACTTCGATGACTCCCTTTTCTGATTGAAGATGTACCAAGGACTTGGTACTATTGTTCAACTGTTTCACGTATCTGTGTGCCATTCTACAAGCAGGATGTAAATTGCATAAAGGGTGGAGACATCCCTACAGGCTCCCTTGCAGGGCCCACTAGTCCTGGGCAAGTCATATCCTAAGCACTCAACAAATTCTTGCTTAGACACAATGAATCAATAACTCATTCATAAAATGATGAGCAATTATTCACATGTTAAATTATTTACAGGAAGAAGTAGAACCAGAACCCGTTTTACAAGAGACTGTTTTTGTTCCTACCTTCCAAAACCTAAATGTATCTTGCCCCAATGGGCTCCTGGTGACCTTCGTTGGGCAAGAGTCAACAGGTGAGTGCTAACTGGGGTCAGGCAGGGAGGTAAGGGGGCGAAAAGTCATATTGAAGACAGTTAAGTCACCATTGAAATTGCATTTTTCTGCCAGCTAAACATACTTGCTGTTGATGATGAACGTGACAGGCTAATAATAATAATAATAATAACCATGTTCTGAGCACTTACTCTGGGCCAAGCACTTACCTACGTACTTACCATATATGACAAAATACAACTACTATAAGCTAAGCCCTAAGAATCCCTTTTTGCAAAATAAAGGAATTGAGGCTTCAGGAATTTCAGTAACTTGCCCAAGATCACTCAAGTCCTAAGTGGCAGAAATACTCAATAAAATGCTATTCTTGGTCCAGTCATAGCAAAGCAAGTACTCTTAATAACTCCTGGGTGGCCCTGTCTCCCTGCCTCTACAAAGGGCCACAGATACAGCGCTTGGTGGCCTGACCAAAACTAAGGACAGTGAGATCAGTGCAGGTAAAATGGATGAAGACGACCTATCTTATTCCCAGGTGTCAATAAATACTTGTATAGTCTGTTTTTTCTATTGATTTTGTACATGACTCCTAACCTATTAAGATGAATAAATAAGTACAAGTAGAATTTCTTTAATTAACCTGATACGGCATTCACATTGGTGATTGAATTTGAATATTATTTCGATGGAGACCCCCTATTGTCATAGAAGGAGGGAGATGCAACAAAGCAAGCACTGAACTAGGACTTGAATTCTAACCAACTCTGTGGCCCTTTCAATTACTTACTGTCACTGGGCCATGTTTTTCTTCTTATAACTGTTGTATTATATCAGTGGATTCTGATTTTGTCACAACCAAAGATCCTCTTTATTATAATTCCCTTCTGCACACCATATTTGAAAAGTATACTTATTGAAGGAAAAGAGTGTTTTTATAAATTATTTAATACAACACCTAAAAATAATTTAATGTTGTATTCACTTGCTAAATAAATGAAAAGAAACTAAAGATTGTAGTTGACCTCTTTTGTCTCAATATTGATTTTCATTAGGCTTTATGAGTTATTGAAAATAGGCCTTGGACTCTTGTTTCTATCTCCAAGTGGTCCTAGTGGTCCAGGTTCTCCATGATGGGACCCACTGGATGTGCTGCCAAGACTTGGGGCTCCTAAGAGTCTTCCGAGGTTGAAGATGCTATCAGTGTACTAAGAGGGATATTGTTTTCAAGTTCAAGGACATTTTGTTCATTTGCTTATTTGCTTGGTCCTGTTATCAAACCCCAACTTAACACTTGTTTCACCTATCTTTTCCATTAGTTTCACTATAGTCTGATATTTTCATCCTCTGTCTAGGTAGACAATGTGGCTAATGACTCTTCCTGGAACACATAATCTTTTAAAAATCTTTCATATATTATAAATATTCTAATTCAAGCCTGAACATAATGGCAACGTAAATACCAAAGTAGCAGTGCCTTCCTCGAGGTCAGTCGTGGACAGAGGGAGTGGAGGACACGTGGTGTAAGAAGAAAGAGATTAGACTTGAGTTCTTTCCTGGGTGACCTTGGAAAAGTCAAAGCCTTCCTCCCCCTGAATTTCTTCATTGATAAAATAACATCACATACTAAACAGACTGCTAATACGTGTTAAATGAGAAATGACTTTCTAATGTGGGGCATATTATTCCCATCTCAGGTTTTTGTTTTTGTTTTGGTGGTGGTAGTGGTGGCTGTTTATACAGTATAAGAAAACGGTTAAGCCAGAGACCTGACTCAAACCCCAGCCCTGCTACTCGCTGGCTGTGCGCCCCTGAAGAAGTCACAGCCCTTCCTGAGCTCCATCCTCTCATCTGAAAGCTCTGGAAAACAAAAGTGCCTGCCTTAAGAGGCTGTTGAGGTGGGCTAAATAAAGTACATATACAAAGCACTTAACGTATAGAAATATCTCAATAAATGTTTCTTATTTCTTTCCACTGAGGAGGTATTGTAAAAGGCCCTCATTCCAAAATATTTTCCCACCAGCTTGATCCAGGCTTGAAATTCCACCCCTACAGCTTAATAAACCACTTTATAAATTGAAAAGAGGAAATTATTCAATGAACAGAAACCTGGTAGCTACTGTGTGTCAGAAAGTCTCAATAATACCACTTCCCTTTGAATTGAATATGTGCTTTTCTCCTTGGTTGCCACTGTGAGAGCAGTGCCCTGAGGAAAATCGGGCTTTGGCCGGAGATGAGGGAGGCACGTTAACTCTGAAGGATGACGAGTGGCAGGAAGGGCAGGCCTGAGTGGTGACTTTCCCTGGGACTCCAGGCAACCCGGGGCCCCAGGGGAGCATTGTGGGCGGCAGGGGCGGGAGCTCCCTCACGGGCGACAGAAAAGGGAACACCTAAGACAGCACGCTTCGGCTTCGTTCCTCATTTGGCCCTGGACTTCACTAGAGGGACCGGCTTACACATGGAGAAGGTGACTAGGAAGTGAGTACTCGGAGAAGACCTTACTCGCCACCTCTGGCCGTGACAAAGGCAGCAAAGAACCAGTACTCTGGGCCATTGGTCACATATGGAAACTGCCCCGTTACTTACATGTAGACAAAAGAATGAAAAAAAAAAAAAGAAGAGCAGGAAGATAAAAGCCCAGCCACAGAGTGTTGCCCAGTTCATAGTAAGGCTTTTTTTTTCCCTTTCCCTTAAGACAAGTATGTTATCGATGAGGAACCCACTTGGGACATAATGGTCCGACAGAGCTACCCCCAGAAGGTGAAGCACTGTGAGTTCTACAGAGCGGCGATGCCACCGGCAGAGCAAGAGGCCTCGAGAGTCATCACCGGTCAGGGCACTGTGGTCAAGTACATGCTGGATGGGTCCACGCAGGTAAGAGAACATGTGGGATAAATTACTCTTTCCTGTTGCAAAGTAACATACAAAAGCGATGGGTAAGAAACAGTATTGTGACGTAGAAGAGGAACGACTCATTTGAAAATGGAATGGCACTTGAAAACGGCAAATAAAGAATGTTAGAGTTAGAAGAAACACATTATCTGTGCCGTACAGGATACAAACAAACTTATCACGGTACATATGCTCCACAACTACAGACTGAACGCAGTGTTTACCTCCTCCCCCTCTCAAAGCAGCTTAAAATAATAGAAAACTACTTTTAAATAATAAGTTCACAGCAGTAGTAAAGAACAGCAAACTGGATCATCAATAGAATAGACGATTGGGAGAATTCCTAGAAAATTCAAGTCAGATGGGATCCAACTGGTGGAGACACAGAAGCAGAGTCTAAAACATATTTTTAAAAATCCCACAGCAAAATTAAAAAATGGGAGTTACTGCAGCCATTTCACAGACGGAGCTCTGGGCTCAGAAATCAGGGCGGTCCCCCAGGTAACTGTGTGCTCTGAGCCCTCCCCCGCAGCCGTCGTGGGGAAGGGGTCCTCTGTGCAGACAGGTGCCAGGAGGGGTAAGGGGTTCTCAGTGGGAGACGGGACCAGGCACCCGAGAATCATCAACTTGGGAGAGAAACCAACCCCCCAAAAGAGCCAAGCACAAAATTCAGTAAGTTAAATGAATGGCACCTCAGAGCAAGAGTAAATAGCTAAACTAAAAAAAAAAACAAACAGGAACTTGAAAGTGAGTACAAGTAATATAGGCAGAGACTTAGAGGTTCTAAGTCCATAAAATAACAATTTTTAAAAGTTGCCATGGGAAGAAAAATCAAGAGTTGTTAGATACTAAAGAGGACCATTGTGAGCGGTGGGGGCGGGGGGTGAGGAACTGTGAAGGAGAGGAAGGCTAAGAGGCTTGGGAAAGGGCCATGAGAGAATTTCCAGAAGAAGAAAATAGTGACAAGGATGGGGGAAATAATGAAAGACGTAATCTAGTAAATGTTCCCAGAGCTTAAAAAAAATACTTCAGGTTAAACAGGACAAGCAAGTGCCCATCAGGAGAGATGCTAATTGTTAAAAGATTATTCAGGTACTTGATAGTGCAGTTTTAGGACTGTGTAGGTAGACATTCCCAAAAGCTTCCTGAGAAAACCAGTTACCTACACAAGAATTAAAATGGACGTTGGACTTCTTATTAGCAATACTGACGGTTCTTGTCCTGTTCATTGGGAGGCTATAAATACTGATACTGGATAGATTGTATATCGATAGTATTTCTAGATACTGTGCATACTAGATAGGTACCGGTAGAAGCTAAACATTTAAATGTGTGATACAGTTTTAAATGTAGTCATTAGAAAAATTGAAACAGTGGTTAATTTCCCACTTTCACAGAAGGAGGGTGAATAGGGAAAAACAAAAAAACAAGTCAATATAATACAAAACCGGAAATGAGAACAACTAGCATAGAAGGTAAATGGAAAAAGTAGTATTTTTATACTGGTTATGAAGCTATGGTCTCTAAACTCCAAATCGACCCGCCATATGCTTTATGATGCTGAGTCTGGAAATCTGTGACTAGCACTTCTTTGGGTTATTTTTAACCTATTTCGGTTTAACAGGCAGTGCTAAATGTTAACCAGGCTCTGCCTTGCTTCTGAGAAGGCTGGGCACGTGCTTGCCCTTCAGGTCCTCTTTGCAGATGGCGCTGTGAGCAGCAGCCCCGACTCAGGACCCGTGTGTGCCCCTGCTGAAATGCCGGCGAGCGCTCCCAGTGGAGACCTGCTGGACTCGGTTTCTCAGCCAAAATCAGAACGAGTGTCGTCGGAGACGGTCCTCACAAAGAAAGGTAATCACCGAGCCCCTCTCTCCCGTGGACCTCGTAGATCAAATGCTTCGCACACGTTCAATATCGTCATGATTACACTGCTCATCTTTTATGACTGTATTCACCTATGTTCACATCTACATACAGAATTTCAATGGAAATCGCAGGAATTGCTTTTTCTCTTTGTAAGAAATAAGGAACACATTCTTGTGTCGTTATGTCCCTGATGCAGCATTAGCTGTAATGCCGCGGCGGCGTGGGGTGAGCGTATCGACGTCCAGGCGCCGAGCCAGCATCTCTGTGGTGCTCTTGGCATTTGCCTCAGGGCTGCAAGAAGGCCATGCCAGCTCCATGCACGAGGCCCTCGTGTAGTCATTTCCAAAGCAGGAAGGAAAGAGGGGGAACGCAAGAGCTTTCCGAGTGTCTGTCCTTGTCAGGGAGGGACAGTATTTCCAGCTTTCACTGGGCCTCCCTGCCCCCACCCCAGCCTCCCTGTGTATGTCATCGGCTATACCCGGCTGGGGACCTAGGCTGGGAAAACAGTATGTGACACTTCCCACTATTTTCTCCGGAGATGAGCACCGCTAGGGGGAAACAAAGGTGGATAACGGTTGGGTAAATCAGCAGTGTCAGCCATAATCTAAATGACAAACCTGCTGTCCTCTGAGACATTTCAAGTTCACACACCCTTGCGTCCAGCGCCGTGTGAGGATGTCTGCTTCCTCATGCCCGGCAGCGCTGGACATTGCTGTTTTCTTCATCTTACTCAGTTTGATAGATAATCCATCTTATTATTATCATAATCTGCATGTCTTTAGTTACTGAGGAGAATAAAGTTTGAAGGTGATTATTACTTTTTTTGTGAATTTTCTGTTCACATCTTTATTTGGTTTGCTATTGGAATGTTCATCATTTTTATATTCATTTTTAAGGGATCCTTATGTATAGGAGATAAGGTATAGCAGGCACAATTCTGAGTACTTTAAAATAGAGGGCGGGGCAAAAGTAGGTTTACAGTTATTCAAGTGGAAAATAATACAACAATAAATAATAATAATACAAGAATAAACTCTGGGTTGCATACTCCCAAACTGTAAACCTACTTTCACCCAACCCTCTGTTAAATCAACTAATTCTCATATCAGTCCTGTGAAGTATGCATACTTCAATAAGCCCAGTGTACAGATGAGGAAATTGAGACACAGGGAAGTTAAGTAACCTACTTGAGGTCTCTTGGGTAGTAAGTGGTGGAGCTGGGATTTGAGTCTGAGTGGCTAACCCTTACACACTGTCTTTCGTATGTTACAAATTTTTCTCAATTTCTCTTGAATGATCTGAGATGAAGACCTCCTCTTTTTTGCCATTTTCACACATCTCACCCCAGTGCCCTGTGACTTTGTGTGGAAGCAAAGTGAATTCCTTTTTCGGGAACTCAAAATCCCTTGCAGTGCATTTTCCTTTGGTAGTGGCAGGAGGCTCCTGGTAGGAAAAATGGAGGTGTTCCCTGTAGCTTTCTGACCTCCCCAGCTCAAGGGCTCCCCCTCCTGTTGCCCCCAGGACATGGCATCCTGGTGGTCTGTGGAGCCACTTTACTAACTGCCCAAACTGGCTCCAGAGGCCTTTTGCCTCCATGGTGTGCTCGGGATTTCTTTATGGCCTTTCCATCAAGGGTGATGCATTTACTTTTTTGTTGTTGTTGTTTAACTAATAGACTCTTTAAGGGCAATTTTAATTTTACAGAAAAAAAATGAGCAGAAAGCACAGTACAGAGAGTTCCCATATGCTTCCTCTCCTTCTGGCTCAGTTTTCCCTGTGTTTAAGGTCTTGAAAGTGGTACGTTTGTTAAAGTTGATGAACCAATATTACTACATTGTTATGTGTCCTAGGGTTCTCACAAAAGCGTAACGGCATGAATCCGCCCTTAGAGCATCACAAAGAATAGTTTGGCTGCCCTAAATAGTCCCTGTGCTCTGCTCACTCATTCTTCCCTTCTCTCCCACCCGGAACCGTCCCTGGCAATGACTGATCTTTTTATTGTCCCTGTAGTTTTGCCTTTTCTAGAAGGTTCTATAACAGGAATCCTATAGTGTGTACCCTTTTCAGATTGACTTATTTCACTTAGGAACATACATTTAAGATTCCTCCATATCTTTTCATGGCTTGATAGCTCATTAATATTAATTACTAGAATAACATTCTGTTGTATAGATATGCAACAGTTTATCCATTCAGCATTTCAGGGATATAGAGAGTGAGGCAAAAGTAAGTTTACAGTTGTTTGTATGGAAAATAATATAATACTTAATAAACAATAATACAAGAATACATTCCATGTTTCACATACTCACAACTGTAAACCTACTTCGGCCCCACCCCGTATTAGTTGCTTCTAGGTTGTTTTGGGGGGGGGGGTTATATGGTAGATTTATTTTTTATATTTAAAAAAACTCCAATTGTCTTACACAGTGTTTGGACCAATCTACATTGCCACCAACAGTCAGCATGGGTTCCCTTTTCTTGATGCTTCCAGTTTTTTTGGCAGTTGTGATGGAGTTGCTTTGAAACATTTGCCTACAGGTTTTTCTGTGAACATGTTTTCAGTTCATTTAAATAAATACCTAGGGGCATATTCCATGTATATGTTCAGCTTGTAAGAAATGGCCAGACTGTTGTCTAAAGTGGATATACCATTTTTGCATTCCCACCAGCAGTGAACGAGGGTGCCTGTTGCCCCACATCCTTGTCAGCATTTGGTGGTGTCAGTTTTTTGGATTTTAGCCACTCTGATGGGTGTGTAGTAGCATCTCATGGTTGTTTTCATTTTAACCCTAAATGATATGCTTATTTACCACCTATATATCATCTTCAGTAGGTGTCTGTTGATATATTTTGCCCATTTTTAAATTGTTTTCTTCGATGCATCCACTTTTAGGGGTTGTATTTTACCAGTGCTTTCAAAACCTGCTGTGAAAGGACCAGCCCTCCCCAGTCCCCTGGCACACTCCGAGCCTTTCCTCTTTATTTCGTTCAGGACCCGGCTCTGTTCGTTTAGACACTGCCCACACAGGTTTCCCCAAGGGCGCAGTCCTGTCCTTCTGGGGGACACCCACTGGAAAATTATGAGGTCCGTGAAGAACTACATTTACCTACACCCGGGTCATTCCAGGTGCTGTTTTACATCTGTACCTGTGGACTTGCTTTTTGGCTGTGCTTTTGGTAGTTCAGTTGGAGTTTGAGGGTTTCCCTAATTTTTCTACAAAGATAGTTTTGGGGATTTTTTTTCATTGTTGTTATTGCTTTGTATGATTTCTAGAATGAGAAGAGGGGAACGTCACAAATCTGTTGTTGCTACCTAGCTGACAAAAGCAGAAAGTCTCATGTTTTTTCGTTTATTTTGCTATTCTTTTTATATGTTTAAGATGGCTCATTAATTTTTAGCCTTTCTTCTTTCCTAGTATGAGTTCTTATGGCTATAAATTTCATCAGTGTACTGTGCCAGCTTCATCCCATGAGTTTTATTTTAATGCCAGCTTTACTAAGATATAACTCACATACTACAATAATCATCCTTTAAAGTAAACAATTTTAATATATTCACTGACTTACACAACTATCTCCATTGTCTGATTCCAGAACATTTTCATCACTCCCCTTCCAAAAACCAGTACCCCCATTTCCTCTCCCGCTCCTTCAGCACCTTGGAACCGTTTCTATGGATTTAAATATTCTAGACATTTAATATAAATGGAAACATACAGTATGTGGCCTTTGTGACTGGCTTCTTTAATTTACTGTAATATTTTCAAGGTAGTTATCTACATCATAATGTGTATCAGTTATTTGTTTTGGTCAAATAATGGTCAAATAATATTCTATTGTATGTATATGCCACACTTTTTATTTTCACTCATCAGTTGATGGACATTTGGGTTGTTTCCACTTTGGGGGAATTACAGAAAAAGTTGCTATGAGCACTGTTGGTACAAGTGTTTGTGTGGACATATATTTTCATTTCTCTTGAGTAGATATGTAGGAGTGGAATCTCTGGGTCATCTAGTAACTCTGTATTTATTTAGCATTTTGAGGACCTCACAAACTGTCTTCCAAAGCAGCTGCACTGTATTCACATACATACCAGCAATGTATAAGGGTTCCAATTTCTTCACTCCTTGCCAACACTGTTATTGTCTGTCTGTAGCCATTCTAGTGGGTGTGAAGTGGCACCTCCTTTACTTTGATTTGCATTTCCTTAATGGTGGAAGATGTTGATCATCATTTCATGTACTTAGTGGCCATTTGTATATCTTCTCTGAAGAAATATCTTTTCAAGTCTTTTTCCCAAGTCTCGTATTAGGGATACAAGTTCCTTATCAAATATCTGATCTGTGAATATTTTCTCTCATTCTGTGGGTTGCCTTTCCACTTTCTTGATGGTGTCCATTTTTATGAAGTCCAGTTTATCTAGGGTTTTGGGTTTTTTTGTATTTTTGGTTTTTTTGGTTGCTTGTGCTTTTACTGTCATTTCTAGGAAAACATTACATAATCCAAAGACACAAGGATTTATTCCTGTGTGTTCTTCTAAGAGTTTTATAGCTTTAGCTCTTGTGTTTGGGTGTTAATTCAATCTTGATTTAATTTTTGTATATGGTATGAGATAGAAGTCTGAATTTATACATTTATATTTGTTAAATGATGTTACTCCCCTCCCTATTGAATTGGTTGGCACTGCAGTCAAAAATCAGTTGACTATAAAGGTAAGTATTTATTTTTGGATTCAATTCTATTCCACTGTTATATATGTCTATTTCTGCCAAAATCTCACTTTCCTGATTACGGTAACTTTGTAGTAAGTTTGAAATTGGAAAGTGTGAGTCATCCAATTTTGTTTTACTTTTAAAATATTGTTTTGTTTATTCCAGGAACTTTGCCTTTCTGTAGGAATTTTAGAATTAGCCTGTTAATTTCTGCAAAAGAGGCAGTTGGGGTTTTTATGAACATGTTATTGAATATCTAGTAAATTTTGAGAATTGCCACCCATACAGTATTGTCTCCTAATTCATGAACATGGTATATCTTTCTCTTTATTTAGGTCATTAATTTTGTTAAGTGCTGTTTTATACTTTTCAGTATGCAATGATTATACTTGTTTTGTTAAAATTTTCTTACATATTTTATTCTTCTTGATGCCATTGTAAGTGGAATTACTTTCTTAATTTTATTTTTGGATTGTTTTGGAGTGTATACTCATACAATTGAATTTTTTTTATGTCAAGCTTGTATCCTGAAACCTTGCTGAACTTTTCTATTTTCACTGTTTTTGTTTTGCAACAACTCTGGAAATAAGACCCCCACTCCCAAGGATTGTTATTGTTGCTGTTATTGTTGTTTGTTTAGAGACTTTCCTGGACTTACTCTGTAAAATCTATTTTCTTTGTCCTGTGTGGCCACTGCCATCTCTGCTCAATTAGCTGTGTGGTCCGCTAGTGATAGAACAGAGATTTCCCTCCATGCCTCGAACCAAAGAATGCGCCAGCCTTTACCAAGGGACTTTGTGTGCTTACTGGGGCAAACTTGCACCACTGTGGAAGTTTGGACCCCAGCCTCAGACTCACGGTCAGCCAGAGCTGAGACTGCCTGGGCCCGAGTGCAGTCCTGCGTGTGCAGGTAGGCGACTTCTAGAGTCCCAGGCGATGTCAGAGCTCTTCAAAGCCTCTGGCGGACACCTCATGCTCTAGTTTTCCTTTAAAATGGGGGTGTCCAACCTGTTGGCGTTTCTGGCCCACACTGAAGAAGAAGAGCTGTCTTGGAGCACACATTAAATACGCAAACACTAATGAAAACTGAGGAGCAAAAAAAAAAGTCCATGCATAATTTTCGTGATATCTACCAACACAGGTAAGCAAAAAAGTCCTTACGTAATAACCCTAATTATGCAGCGGCCCTTTCAATATCTTTTAACATCATCGAGCAGGTCTCAAGTTTGTGATCACTAATGTAGAAAATGTACATATCTAAATAATAAAACTAAGTAATGTTTCAAGTAAACTTACAATTTCACGTTGGGCCGCATTGATAGCCATCCTGGGCCACATGCAGCCCTCAGGCCATGGGCTGGACATGCCGACCCGCCTGCTTTAAAATTTTTTGGTCAGTTTCTTGTTTGCTCCAACTCTCAGTGCTGCCTCAGGCAGCCACATTGTAAACGATTGCCACGGTTGTTTCAACAAGGTCCCCAGAAAAAGGCTGTTCACAATGAGCGGGTTCTGACTCAGGTCAGAGTGAAGATTTCCAGGGAGTCTTCAGACAGGTGAAACAAGGACAACTCCATGGGCATGGGGCTTTTAGTGGGAATTTCAAGCCCATCTTCCTCCTTCAGTGGCTGCTAGACTGTTGGGTTTTCCCAGCTACTGTGATTTGGGGTTTACAGCTTTTCAAGGGTCCTAGGGAACTGGAGGGGGACAGGGTGGAAATATGGCAAGTTGTAACTCCACTAAGCATTGTTCTTACTGAGATGCAGCTGTTTTTCTTAAGTTGTTCCTCAGATTGTTGCAATTCTTTGGTTTATTTCCAGAATTCTAAAAAAAAATTGTTTCTGATCATTTTTTTCAAGTGTTCTCATAGATTTTCTAGGAGAGTGAATTTTCAAAGATTCTTACTTGCCAGTCCAGAAGTGCTTCTTTCATCTCACAATAAGTAACATTTACTATTTTCATAATTTTCAGTTATGACTATTTTCTAATTTCCACTATGGTTTCTTTCTTTTTTCTTTTTTTCTTTTTTTTTGGGGGGGGGACCCGCGAGTTATTTAAACTTTTTTCTACATTTCCAAGCTGATGAAGTGTTTCTAGGTTTTAAAAAATGATTTTAATTAATTCTTTGAAATTTGTTGAAACACGATATAGCCTTCTGTATGACCAAGTTTTTAAAACAATCCTGTCCGTGGTTGAAAAGAGTGTGTGTCCTGCAGTTATTGAGTACAGGGTTCTTCACATCTATTAGATCAGCCTTAGCTGTATTGTTCAGTCTGTATCCAAGTTTAGCAAACTTTTCTACGAAGGGCAAAATAGTAAAAATCTAATCATTTTATCACACAGCTATTGAAATCTGTCTTTGTAGCATATAGTTAGCAATAAACAACATGTAATCAAATGATATACTGTGTTATGTTCCAATAAAGCCTTATTTATCGACAGTAAAATTTGAATATCATATAGTTTTCATGTGTCACAAAGTATTATTCTGCTTTTTATTTTTAAAATTATGTGGAAATGGGAAAATAATTGTTATTAGATAAATTGTACGAAAGCAGACAGTAGGCCATATTTGCCCCACATGTCAAAATTTGCCAATTCCTCTTCTATATCCTCACAGAATTTTTAATCTACTATATCAGTTTTTAATCTACCATATCAATTATTCAGGAGAAATATGTTTAAATTCCTGAGGGTAGACTAGTCTACTCAGTGATGTCTTCCTTATAATTTAATCTTCATTTCTAAATACATATATTTTATAGTTCTGTCAGATTTTCCTTTATGTATTTTGAGGACATGATTTCAGATACGTAAAATTTAGAATTGTGCCCTGGCTGGTATGGCTCAGTGGATTGAGTGCCAGCCTGGGAGCCAAAGGGTCTCTTGTTCAATTTCCCAGTGAGGGCACGTGCCTGGGTTGAGGGCAAGGTCCCCTGTAGAGGGCTCTTGAGAGGCAACCATACATTGATGTTTCTCTCCCTCTCTCCCTCCCTTCCCTTCTCTCTAAAAATAAATAAAATCTTCTTTAACAATGTTGAATTGTTATATCGTCATGGTGAATTTAACTTTTTATAAGAATGCAGTGACTTTTTCTTCTAGGATTCTTTTTCTCTATCTTGCTTATTTTATGATAGTTATACCAGATATTGTTTAATAATTTCCCAGTATAACTTTTTCACACTTTATTTTACTTTCTATGGTTTATATTTAAATGCATCTCTTGTGAGCAGCATAAAGGTGGATATTTTTTTAAATTCAGTATGACAAATTTATCTTTTAACTGGAGGCTTTAGTGCATTAATTGTATAACAGGTATTTTCCAAATATATCTTTATGTTGTTCTCATTCTTGAAAGATAATTTCACTAGGTATAGAATTCTAGATTTACAGGTATTTTCTTTTTATATCTTGACAGTAATTCTTCGTATTCTTTCAGTGTCGTTGAAAAGTTGGCTGTCAGTCTAACTGTTGTTGACTTTGAAGATAATCTTACTGCCTTTAAAATATTTTTATTAATGTTTCAATATGATTTAAGTTGTAGATTTCTTTTTATTTACTCAAGTGAGAATACATTAGTCTTCTTGAATCTGTAGATTATTATTTTTCATTAATTCTGAAAAGTTCTCAATAATTATCTCTTCAAATCTTTTTTCTGATCCATTATTTTCCTCTTCTAAAATTCCAATTAAACATATATGAGACTTTCTAAACCTTTCCTTCATTGCTTTTACCACTTTGGTTCACTGAGCTTCATTCTAAGGTCTATCTATCTTGTCTTTTAATGCTCTAGAAATACATATATGTCCAAGATGAATCTTCCAACAATGGAAAGTCTTAGCTTGATATATCTGTCTTCTCTGGCTCCCATCATTAGTTGATTCTGCCTCTTATGCCAAGATTCTTGGCCTAATACATATTTCATGGTATGGAACTGAAGGATCTTTCTGGTTAACAGTCATTTCCTCTCTTTGCTTGCAAATTGTTTCTGGGTCTAAGTTTTACCTAGATTGAGGCTTGGTAACACTGGCAAATCTCATCTATAGATTACTCACCATTGTTCATACAAATAGAGTAAGTAAATCTATCCTGATAGAGAGTTAGAGGCAATGTTCACAGAGTTTCATGATGATATCTTCAGTTATAATTTCCTGTTCCACGTGGATGGTGGCAGGGAGGAATGGGGGGGTTATGTATCAGCTGATTATCAATGTAGCCATTAAACTGTACAAGTCCTCTCCCCTGATGAGAGGCCAAGGATATACCTAGTTGATAAGATTCTTCAGACTCAGGGCTGAAGAAACATGTTTTCTATCTATGACTGATAAAATGACAAACTCAGGGGAATAAAAGATTAAAAATCTAGTAAAATGCTAGAGTCCAGTAAGGCAAAAGGAATCTGAAAGTTTGACAGATAAAGGGGAAGAAAAAGTAAGCTTTAAAACCATAGTGCAGCCCTGACCAGGTAGCTTAGTTGGTGGGAACATTGTCCCATCCACCGAAAAGTTGTGGGTGCAAACCCCTGGAGGGCACATATGTAGGTTGTGGGTTCAACCTCCAGTCCAGGCACGTATAGGAGGCAACGAATCGATGTTTCGATGTTTCTCTCCCTCTCTCTCACTCTCTCTCTTTCTCTCCCCCCCTTTCTCTCTCTCCCCCCTCCTTCCTCTCTCTCTAAAATCAATAAACATATCCTCCAGTGAGGATTTAAAATAATACATAATAAAATAAAAACCATAGTACAAAACCAAAAATCTGGGACCCAGGGAAAGCAAGCAAACAAGCAAGATTCAAAAGTGTGCAGATATTGACCAGAATAGGTATTATGTCACATAGAGTGAACTGCCTGTATGAGTGTGTACATTTGGAAGGAGGTGACAAGAATTCCAAATTCAAGGTTCAAGTGCCAAGATTAAGATATTCATAACCTGATATTTTTATCATTTGAGAAATGATATAATTGATGAATACTACTTACAACGTCTATGTTACAGTGTCTTTACACTGAACCAAAACAGCGAATGATTTATATAATCATATAGTTATATTGTTGTGTTTGATTTTATTTGCACTTCCACAGGCAAAAGTCACAAAAATCAGTCAGCAGTGTCACATAAGAATGAAATCCATGAACCTCCCACAGAAACAGTTCAAGGAGTGACTCCCACGGAGATGCACGTAGGCACCTGGTTTACAACCACACCTGAAGGAAATCGGATTGGCACCAAAGGATCAGAAAGAATAGTCGACTTGGCACCGTTTTTATCCTTTCAGTCCACAGATCCCATCACTGGAACGGTATGGCAGACTGTCGTATATTGCAAAATTTCTTAAGTCACTAGAATTCTGAAACAACACAGAGAAGAGTACTGGGCAAATAATAAGTTTTCAATAACAATTTTTTAAGTAGTAAGTAGTAGTAAGTAGTGGGTGGGTGGGTAAGTGGATGGATGGATGGAGGGATGGATCCGTCTCCCCAAATCTAAAAGCATTTTGTGGTCAATTTGACCAGCACTCTTCATGAAATCATGAACAGAACATCATGAAATACTAATTCTTGAAATGAGAGACCAGTCGTGAATTTTCTATCGCACTCTAAGACATATATGATCAATGGTGTCTTATAGCTCCTCATGTTGAATGCATTAGTGTATATGTCTTGCCTTCTAGAAATAAGGGCCTGTGCCTTATTCCTACTTCTTTTTGTGTTCCTGATGTGAGTGCTAGGAATTTGTTTCTGATCCTTGACTTCAAAGAACTTGTAGTATATGTAAGGAGATTCTCCCATAAAAAACTCAAGAACATCACAGAACATCTGTACAAAAGATTTTATTTGTAGCATAAAAGTAAGTGACAAATGAGTGGTATAGAAAATAGTGATCTTGTTTAGGATGTGAAATTGAAACTCCTAGCATGAATAACGACACCTTCTATGTGCCAGACTTTCTGTTAGGGATTTTGCATACATTATCTCATCAGTCCTTACACCAATGAATAATATCACACAGATGAGGAAACTGGGTCTCAGCATTATGTGATGTGGTCAAGAACACGCTGTAGGAGGCAGGATTAGAGCCAGTTGTTGGTGACTGAACACAGGGTTCTTTCCTTTCCTCAGCTGGTCCCCTGACCTCTTGGTGGAGCTTTGCGGCACCTTCTGAGTCCAGACAAAATGAAGAATTTCCTTATCTCTGTTTTCTGGACTTCCTACCCATTTATAACCACATGATGCTGGTCAGAAGCAAAATGTGTGCTTGCTGTTGACATGAATTTCATCACCTAATCTTTCTTCTTCAATCTGTTTCTGAAATAATGTCATGATTTCTTACCTAGTTTCTAGTTATCTTTTTTGTGAGGCTCAAAGTACAGATTATCTCAGAAAGTCTTCTAGGTCACCTCAAGGTCACTTTAATTTAGCCACTGATGTAGTTTTTTGGCTCAATATGCAAATTTTATTAATATTTCTTATAACTCTCAATTTTGCTTATTGGTACCTATTACCATTATGGAGGCATGAACCACTTCCAAGAGTCTAGATTCAGGCATGAACTAAACATCAGACACCTAATACAGTAATAATAATAATAATAATAATAATAGTATTTACTGAGCACTCACTGTGTGCCTGGCCCTATTCTCAGTGCTTTCACACACTAACTCTCACAACAAACTATTGTTTTCATTTTCTAGATGAGGCTAAGCTACAGAGAGGTTAAGTAATTTTTCCAAGATCACACAGCAAGTGGTAGGGTCAGAATGTGAACCTCAAGGTTGCATTCTGGATCCCACATGCTTCACCACCTATAAAGACCAAGAAACTAACATGATCACTTAAAACAAAATTGAAAATGGTGTTTTTCCCAGCACCCTCCGGGGAGTGTCGGATTTCAGAGGAGTGGGCACTGGCCTCACGTTGAGGCAGGCCCGGGGTCAGCACCCCAGACGCACGCCTTCCTGGGTGGGTGACTTTGGACAAGTTTCTGTCTGGGCTTCCTTATTCATAAAATGGGGATAATAGGCATTACCTGAAACAATGGGGAAAGTTAATACTAGAGCCAGCTCTGGCAGGTGTTCAGTAAATATTCTTGCTGTTGTGTTCTTCCCACCCCTTGGAATACTGATTATCCCACCCTGTGGTGGCCAGAAAATGTCAGTGTTATGAGATGTTATGAAATGTTTCAATAAAACTAAATAATAATATGTAATTATCTATGAGGTCTGTCCAGAAGATATCCAGCCATGTACTATGAAAAACAGAGGCATTTATTGAAGAAGATACAAGAAGCATTGTACATGGGACAGTGAGGCCCCAGCCCCCTTCCAAGTAGGCACCTTGGGACCTCCCAATCGCGATCAGCTGCCCCATCATATCTTCCTGAATCTCATCGCTGGTCTGAAATCTCTTCCCTTTCAAAGGTGATTTTAGTTTGTGAAAAGCTAGATGTCACAGGGCATGCAATCTGGGCTGTAGCAGGCTTGAGTCACCTGCGTGATTTGATGTTTCACTGAAAAACCCTGCACGAGACGTGATGCATGAGTGGGTGCATTGTCGTGATGAAGCTGCCAATCACCAGGTGCCCACAGCTGCGGCCTTCTGAGTCATCTGAATGGTTTCTACGGAGGAATGTTCAAGTTTAATGCAAAATCTGATGCAGCTGTGTTGCTCTATTCACTCAGTTATTTTGAATGCGAGGACCACACAGTACACATGCTCACTTCAATGGCCTCTACCATCCCCACTGATGAGCACAGTGAAGCTGTCATTGTTCATGCATGTGCATTCCAGGCCACTCTCCTTGGCTGCCAGATTACATCGATGTTGTGCAAACGTTCTCATTGTACTAACAATGGCTGGACTTTCTCTGGAGAGTCCTCATATACTAGATAAAGAGCTAGTATTAATCATTGCTAACTCAATGGCTGAATAAGTGCTTACCAGTGCTATTTAATTTAATCACATAACATCTCCGAAGAAGATACTAGTGTTGGCTACATTTTTGCAGATGAAGAAACTAGATCACGGAGAGGTTGAGCAACTTGCCTAAGTCGCCCAGCCATCCATGGAGGCGGAATTTGAACTCGGGCAGCTGAACTCACGTTCTAGCCACTACATCCTACGGCAGTATGTGTCATGGCACACAGCTGGCTGAGAGTGCTAATGATAAGAACCTAAAATAATGATCAGCCTGCATTTCTCCCTTAAGTGTAGTGATTTTGCCTACTGTAAAAATAAGAAGGTAATTATCACCTGCTCTCAATAGCCCTAGTCAGGTGAGTCCAAAGTCGCTGGCAGACTCAGTGTCACAGCCATCTGGCTCTTCAGTGAATACTGTGACCCTTTCCGTTAGGGGACAGTATAAACTAGAAGATGCTCCATGATTAAAATGCGCATTACGTAATTCGCGATGTTATCACTGTGGGTCGGACTGTCTAGGAGCCAACACTGAGATGGGATTTGAGGTGTAAGATGTTTATTAGGGACACCTTCCATGAGTGGAAGGGGGAGGAAGCACGAACAGGCAGAGAGAGGAGCTGAGCTGCGGCGCAGACCCCACCCGGCAAAGCCTTGGTCAGCCGGCAGGAGCCAAGGAGCCAGTGTCACCTGCCTCAGTGTCCCAAGTTTGGTGGCAAGAGCCAGATCTGTACACCCCTGCCTCACTCGGTCACTGGACACAGCTGCCCCGGAACGAAGTGTCAGGCAAAGCATCTCTCTGCCGCTCAGGCGGATGCTGAAAGAGCTGAGAGCTATACAGTCTGTTTGATGACTGCTCCCCACAGCTGGGGAGCAAGTCCTTTCTGGAAGGGAGACATGGGCCATGCATCTCTCTCTCTCTGTCTCTGTCTCTCTTTCTCTCTCTCTCTCTCTCTCTCTCTTACACACACACACACACACACACATACATACACACCCTCCCCCAGGAGTTTACAGCTTCTCTGGTCAACCATTTATTACAGTACATATAAAAGCCTGATTGTTCTTTCAGATTGAAGCACTTGCCAGTACTAACTGAATTTTTTCTGTGATTCTTACTGTAATCCACGTACTTAAAACCCTCCAGTACTGCTTTGTCCGTCGTGGGGCGAAGGCTGAAGTCCTTAACATGGCTTACAGCGCTCCCCAGTTGCGTCCCTCGCCTTCCAGCTGGGCCTCCCACCGCTGTCCCCGCGGCACGGGGCTTCCTTGGCATCTGGCACGCCGTCCGCCTGAGCTGCGCCTCTCCATCTCCAGGGGCATCAAACCCACGCCCTGACACTGCTTCCTTGGAGGGGAGCCAGGCTGCATCACAGCTGTCACCACGGACACAGAGGTCTCTCCAGTGGCCCCGTTAGCAACGTCTGCGTGACTGTCCCTCCCTCGGTCGGCAGCGACTAGAGGAAGGGGGTGTCAGCTTTCGTCTCGCTCGTCCTTGTATCCCCAGCGCCTCCCGCGGTTCGCACCACAGAGTCGGCCCTCTGGAAATCTGCGTTCAGTAGGCTTGCCCTGGGGCAGACCTGGAAATCCTGGGCTGACCGCGTGACTGTGTGTTGGCTTCCTGTCTCGGGTGATGCAGTTTTTCCATTTCCCACAGTAATCCGCTCCACCGGAACGGAAGGGATTACGGGCTAAAATTGACAGACTACCTGAGCACAGTCATCTTTCATCTCAGTTGCACTTCCTCAGCTGTAGGGAAGGACGTGAGACAGCAGCAGCCTCGCCCAACAGGGACGCCCAGCAGCAACTCCCAGGCCCACATGGGGCTGTGGGGCAGCCACAGACCGGAGCACAGGAGTGTGCGGATCAGCCTGAGGCAGAGAGGCCGCCGCCGCTGTGCCCCGCACCCCTCGTGTTCTGCTCTGATGACACAAGGTTAAACCTGCTCGCCAATCTGCACGGCATGCAAGGCAGCCTCGGCAGGCCATGCTCAGCTAAACCTCTAGTTTCCAAGGAAGTGAGACCTGGGTCATGTTCCCAGACAGACGGGGTCAGGCCAGTCCCGGCGATTACTCACAAATACACAACCATACTTTGGAGGGACATCAGTTTGGAAGTCAGACAGCGTCCCTCCAACGCCAGCCCTGGCACTTGTCGAGGGTCCTCGAGCAAGTTCCTCGACTTCCGTGTGCCTTAATTTCCTCAGTTACAAAATGGGGTGGTCGTTGCCTGCCTCCCAGGATTGTAAAGGTTAGACCAGGTAGATGAGATAAAACTTTCACTTGCAGGTAAGTAACCAGGCTCCGATGGTATTCCATGGAGTGTAAAAATAAGCGCTCTTGGGATTAACCGCCCGACCAAATGATCACGTTCTGCCTTTGCATATCCAGGTTATGACAACACGAGAGGACAAAGTGATCATTGTCCAAAAGAAAGACGGTACTCGGATAGTCGATCATGCTGATGGTACCAGGATCACAACCTTTTATCAAGTTTATGAAGATCGTATTATTTCCCCAAACGATCAAGAAATTAGTAAGTTTTAATTTTCAAATATATGACAATATTTCATATCTTTAGAATAAGATAGGCAGAGGGATAACAGCTCTAGCTGGCGTAGCAATACCCGTAGTGGCTTTTCCGTTTTCACCACGGAAAACCTATAGTCTGCACTGGTGGCAACTAAAAGTTAATAGTCTTGACTCAACGATCCTGGACATTAGCTCTCAGACCTGGTTTTCTTTTTTTATCCTCAAAGAATGAAAGCTGCCTAAATAGGTGACCTTGGCTGAGTCCCTTCCATCCTGAGCATGCCCCCCCTGTCAGAAGGGAGGTCTGAGAGAAAAGCAAGCTGCAGCTGCGAGGTGGCAGGCGCCTGTGCGAGGGCCCGGAAGGCCCCTGCCGGCGTTGCCAGCCCAAACTTGAACGAGATTTTTGGAGAAAAAATTATTCCCTGACTCCCTATTCTTTCATTCCAGAGTTTATTTGTTTAATTCATTAAATTCTTCATTTCGAAATTAAGTGCGACAAAATTGACCAGCGAGTGACAAATTGACCAGCTTGCATATCCCTCTCAGAGTCACTTGGGAGGGCGATTTAGAAACACCTAGGAGGCCGCAAGGGTACCTGTCGTCTGACGGACTCATGCTCCTCTGGGTAGATGTAGAAAGACACTCACACAGCTGCACAGGGAAACAGGTGAAGGGGCGCTAATTGCAACACTGAGGGCAATATGAAAATATTGGGAATGCGTAAATGTCCATCCACAGCAGAACAGAAAAATAATATGTGTCATTTGCTTACAAAGAATACTATATGGCAGTTAAAAGGAAAGAAGCACATACACATACATATGTACACACACACATATGTATGGCTAAAGAAGGCTAAGTGAAAAAAGCTGGTATGGAATGATACAGAGTAATGAATCACGCATGCCAATTTAAAGCACACAAAATATGGTACATTGTTTTAATACACGTTGATATAAAAGTGGTTTGCCAGAGGAGGAAATAAACCGAGAATAAATTCTTATGTACATATTAACTATATGGACGCAAATGTAGCAGAAGAGTAACAAGCAGAAATTTTGATTGGTGACAGAGATTTTGATTGGTGATTTGAGTGTATGAGTAGATAAATTATACTTTATGCTTTCCTGGGTGTTTTCGATTTATCAAAATAAAAAGAGCAGTGAGAGCGGAAGGGCAGGCTACAGCAAGTCCGAAAGGCTCTCCCGGAAGGGTTGCTCTGCGTTGCCGGGGGGCGCGCTGCGCCCCGGCCTGCGGAGTGAGCTCTCTGCACCGGGTGGGACTCCGGTTCCGCAGCGGGGAGACAGGAGCGGAATCAGCAGGAGGCGTGTTTCCCAGCGCGCACGTCCGCTCAGATCGGCTTGCCGTGCCTTTCCCACAGCTGAAGGTCCTCGGACTGTCACCAGGCAGGTGAAGTGCATGAAGATAGAAAGCTCACACTATGCCACTGTCATCACCAACTGCGAGGACAGCAGCTGCTGTGCCACCTTTGGGGATGGGACGTCTATTATTGCAAAGCCACAGGGAACGTACCAGGTAGGTCTCGAGGGAATGAAGACTGCGAAGGTCAGGGCCCGTTCCGCTAAGGAGGCCCGCTCCTCCGGGGCAGTGAGCGTGCCTGCCAAGTGGTCGCCTGTTTCTCTTTGCCTCACCTGATCCTGGAACAGGTTTCTGCATCTTTATTTACTCACCGTTTTACAGCCCGTTCCAGAAAAACATCGTCCTGCTTGTCATACGTGCTTTGGTATTTTCGGATCAAGGTGATAAACCAGAACATACTTGCAGGGGATCCCGTCTGCAGGAGGGGGTGGGCCCTGTGGCCAGCCAGCTTCCCCTCCTGCCGCCTCTACCCTCATTCTCGTTCTGCCGCCCTGCCCACCTGCGGCCCACCCCCACTCTGTCCCCATGGGAAAGGAGGGCGTGTGTGGTCCCAGGAAGGCAGGCTGCCCAGTGGCGGCAGCGCTTTGTCCTCGGAGGGCTGGGAGAGCCTCCTTAGCAACTCCACTTCCTTGTTGTAAACACAGCCACCTGCCATCAGCCTGTGGTCCCCGTAGTCTTAGAAGGATTTGTCTTCCACTTGCTGGAGAAGGGACACAAGCGCCAGGATATCATATAATGTCACAGGATACTGAGAGCACAAAGCAGGACGGTGGACAGAGACCTCAGTGACAAACATTTGTTACTATGGCAGCTGCTGAAGCCAGTTTATCCCTCGCACCTCTCTGGATAATGTTACCTAACCCCTATTTGTGCCACGGGAATTGCTGTGGGGCCAGGAGGGGAACGAAGGTGAGAAATGCACGGGAAGAGGGATCCTGTTCTTCCCTGCAGCGCTCAGAGTGTCATTTTAGGCAGGCGGGCAGCACTCGTGTTTCGGTGCCGTGCGTCCTGCCAGAGGTCCTGCGTAGCTCCTCAGGCTCCGAGGTGCGGCCCGCTCTTACCTTTCTGTGATCACAGCCCCGAGCGCTGACGGTGTCAGCGCTCAGGGCCAAGGAGTTTTAGCACCAGCGACAGCTCCCACCGAGAGAAGAGACATAAACAGGACAGAGCTCCAATGTGGAGACTTCCAGTGTCTGCCACTGCTGTGTAGCCACTTGTCCCTTCCAGGTTTGGCCCATCTCCTGAAACAGCCCAAGGAAAAATTGGAAGGTTGGCCACTCCGGGTTGAAAAACGCACAGACTTAGTTCCCAACGACAAGAAAAACAACCCTCGAAACAAGTTTATCAACATCTGTTTTATAGAGCTGGGAAAGTGGAGTTCAAAAACGCCCGCTGCCTGTCCTGTGTTGGTTGGCTTTGGCATGGGCAGTGTGCTGAGTGAGGCTGGATCTTAGGAAGTGTATAAAAAAGAGGTAGGACTTGGTACTGGCCAATACCGTACCTTGGCAGCTGTAGAAATGTTATTCAAAACATCAAAGAGGAGGCAGGTACAATTACTATTCCCTATGATTATAGCATGTCATAAGTGGAGTGCCACAAGCAGAATGAGGGCCAAGAAAAGCTTCTAAAAGTATTTGTTCAATAGCTTTGGACCCTCTTGGAGATGATTCTTGCCCGAGAACATAAAGGATTCCAAACGTTTTAAATAGGACCAAGTGTGTTTGCTTCAGTTCAAATATATTTTATTTTATATTAAATATTAAATAAAAAGGTACAAGGCAATTACTTGAAAGCATTATTAAAGTAAGTTGTCAAAATATGAGGCCACGGGACAAATTCTGTCCTAATTATTTAGTGTACCTCCTTATCAGGCTATCCTTCCCAAAACTTAAGTCCTCTCTTGGGTTCTCTTCCTGGAAACACAGTTTGTAGCAGAGATCTGTGGATAATTTCTTTTCCTAAAATGATTTTCCAAATTCCTCAAATTGAACAAAAAATTTTAAGTAATTTCTCTCTTCCTGACACCCGTCCAGGTGTTACCTCCAAACACAGGCAGTCTTCATATTGATAAGGATTGTTCGGCTATCTATTGCCATGAATCAAGCAGTGATATATACCATCCTTTCCAAAAATGTGAGCAGCTGAGAGCTGGCACGTACATCATGAAGCACACTTCACAGGTTGTCTGTGAGGTTCTGGATGCCAACGGGAACACCTTTCAGGTAAAGTGCATCGCTGGTATGGAGAGAGAGGCTGTGCCTTTGCTTTTCTGACATTTCACACAAAAGAGCTTCCTTGTAGCTTTTTACCTTAGCTGCTTTGGGGCGAGTTACCCACTGCCAATACCTCATGCAAGCAGTAGTGACGACCAACATCTTTGATTCTCAAGCGCACTTCCATAGCGGGTAGCAAGCCCAGCTGTTGGGATGGTGGGAATGCCAGAGCCAGATAATTAATTAGAACAGAAGGAAGAAGAGAAGAAACAGCACTAAGCATCTATAAATAATGCCGACACAAAGGAGTAGTAGAAGAATAGTCTGTGCCCAAGTTGAAATAAGAACAAGTGCGTGGGACATCAGGCACCTGTGCTTGGCTAGGCAGAGGCTCCATGTTGCGAATCTCAGTTACTGAGGGTTACTGGGGGTCGAAGGTAGGGGGTGGGGAGCTGGGGGCGGTGCTCTGCTAGGCGTGGTAGAGCTCTACCTTCTGTTTCTCTGTCCGTCAAAACCACAACTGCCTTCTTACGTCTAGGCCAGGCATTGGCAAACCTTGGCTATTTGTATAGGTTTATGAGCTAAAAATGGTTTTTACATTTTTAAATGGTTGGGAAAAAATCAAAAAGAGAGGAATATTTCACGACACGTAAAACGGACGGGAGATCCCAGTGTCAGTATCGTGATAGAAAGCTTTGCTGGAGCGCAGCCACGGTTCCTTGCTTCCGCACTACCCCTGGCTGCCTGGCATGTAAGGGCAGAGGTGAGTGGTCAAAACAAAGACCGGCGGCCCACAAACCCTGAAGTACTTACTCTCTGGCTCTTGGGGTGGGGGGAAGCTTTGCCAACCCCTCCTGTAGGCACTTACCTTTTTTGTTTTTGTTTTCACTCCTCATCCCCTAGTGGCATTTTGTGTGTTGGCTGGCGGGTGGTGAAGCCATTTTTTAGATTTGGAACCATCCAGAGCGCCCCCCCGCCCCATCTTTGCTCTGCTCTGCTCTGCAGTTAAGCCGCGATCCGCTGGCTTTTTCTGTACGAAGGGAATGCAGCTCTTCGCCGCAGGAGTTCAGGCTGCGCACATATTTCGTTCGACAATGAACTGAAACCCTCTAGGTCGAACCACGTGGGTCAGGCAGGCCAAGCCCCGTTCCAGGCTTTGATGCTCGCCTTGGCCGCCCTCTGCAGTGGCCTTCCAGCCTGGACCCCGCTGCTTCCCCCGGGAAACCCGTGCAATAGCTGGGCAGTGGGAACGGCTAGCACCTTTCTTCTCATATGAACCCTAACTCTGTTTCCCTGTGCCATCCATCCATGAGTCTTAATCCCGTGCTTGGAATTGCAGCACGGAAGCCTCTTCCATGCTGTCACGCTTTCAGTATTTCAAGACGACTGTCACATGAGCAGCCTTTCCTCCACGTTTAAGTTCCCAGTCCTTTCAACTAATCCGCAGACCAGTCATCTTCCATCCTAGTGGAAGCCCCCTGCTACCCTAGTCGCCTTCCTTGGGGGATTCCGGCCTTCCTCCCAGCTTGTTTTCAGAATCTAGGTGTGGTTTGCGGGTGAAGATGTGCTAATAGGCTTTCACTTTGGAGCCATCTATACTTAGTGAGCGATAGCTGACTAAGGATACAAGTAAGTGCATCCTTACACTTACACTCACAGGTAAGTGAGCAGGATACAAGTAAGTTGATGTCCCTGATTTTCTACGAATACGAAAAATCACCTGCTTTCTCAAATGAGAGCAGCAGAAATGTCAGCTTTATGGCATTTTTTTTTCCATTTAGTTGCTTATATACTTTGTCACTTAGGTCATGGCTGATGGTAGCGTATCAACTATGATACCTGAAAACAATTTGGAAGGTGATTTATATGCGACCCCTGAAGGCTATGATAGTTTGTCATCTGCTCACCTCTATAAGAACCATCTGCAAATCTATGGTGAGCACGTCCCCAGGTAATATGATCAAAACAATACCAGGACTTTTATTTTTAATTCCAAGTTCATGGAGCATTTTAACTGAATTCTTCAAGTGATTAGACTTGTATTTCTTCACGTAGGTTTTTTGTCATCTATGCCGACGGGTCAGGAGTGGAGCTTCTCCGGGACAGCGACATAGGAGAACACCTGTCCTTGGTGTACGGAGAAGCGACCGCTGTTGTTCTGCAGGAGCCAGTACAGGAGCAGCCAGGTAGGGAAGCCGGGCGCCGGGGGCTCCCAGTCCTACCGCCAGCTCTCGACCTCCTCGTCCAGCCCACACCCCGGTCTTCTCCACCGGTGTCCCGTTGACCACTTTTCAGTTCTACTTTCTGCCTGGCCCTGTCAACCCGTTTATGCAGTTGTTTGTGTTTATATCAAGTGTTACCTGAGTATCAACCCATGTAAACTGCGGATGAGTCCCTCTCCCACCTTTAAGCTGGTCTGTGTTTAAGTATGTGAGGTATGTACCTCACTTCCTACTTAAATGCTTGTTTACTCTTGGTTCCTACCGAAAACAAAGAAAAGTGAGATACCTCTGATAAGTTCATTTTTTGTTATTTTGAAGCTGTTGCCTTAATGAATTTAATAGAATAAGAAGGAAAAGTACAATTGTTGTGTGAGTTAAGGAACCAACCTGAGATATAAGTTTTATGATGTATTCATTGGACATTTATATCATTTAAATCAATTTCATAGAAGTCTGTATGTGACTAAAGGTTAGAGACACATATCACATTAAGTAAGAACTATCGGTGAATGTAATATCTATATTAAACATAGATATAAACTTGCATATTACCTCTGTGCCAAATTAGTATGCTGGATCTAAGTGTACACGTGTGTGTTTTTAATTTTTTCCCTGGTTGGCAGGATGTATTCTGTGCTCATTTATGACTCTGCCTGCATCTCTGTACACACACACATGTTAGTGTATCAGTGCACACATGTCTGATGTAATGAACCCCGCTCTTTTTGTGTGACTGTGAAGAGTGGGGTGCCCTGACTGGCTGGATGTACAGGGCATGTGTGAAGCTGTATGAGAATAAGAATTCAGATTTACAAGCATCTACTTGGCAACCCATCGTGTGCCAGCACTGGCTGAGTGTTAGGAACGCAGTGAAGAGCTAAGAGACCATGGGCCCCGCTTCCGTAGAGCTTAATGTTGAATGGCATAGACGGGCGCACATTACCGAGTCACACAAATGACTATGATTATAAGCTGGGGTAAGGTCTACAAAGGAAAGGAAGCCTAGAAGGCTTCCCGGAAGACATGGGAGCCAAAGAGCTGGTGGATAGTAGGAGTTCGTTAAGGCAGGAGGGGAGCTTTCCTGGAAAAGAGAACACAAAGCAGGAAGCATAAAGCACTGGGGAAGGTGGGGTGGGGCGGGGGCGGGGGGCACCGCCCCGGAAGCACAGAAGGAGATGGTGCAAGTTGGGGCAGGGGTGGGAAGGGGCTGAGGACTCCGTTTCACCCTGTGAGCAATGGGAAGTCAACAAAGGGTTTAAATCACAGCTTCCTGCCATCAGTCACTCTGGCTGCTGGGAGGTTCGCTCGCAGAGCCAACGTGGTAGGAAGCCAGGCCTTGCTGCAGCCCAGGACGGGATCTGCCCGAGGCGAACGATCTACGGTGGGGACAGCGCGAGGGAAGTCGCAAGAAGGGCTCACGAATGTGCAGTGGTGGGTGGGACGGGATGCGGATGTGGGTTTTGGAGGACGATGAGGTGTCCATGGATACCTTCAGGTGATGTCAGTCCAGTCTCTAGTGTCACAGTGACTAAAAGCCCCACCTCCCTCTTGGGATCTTCAGACCCTTCAGCGTAACGGCTGGGTCTAGCTTTTCAAAAGTATTTATTGAGTTTAGTGAATACTCACTGAAGTTTTCAGAATATTTTTGACAGAGAAATGACCCTCTGGTAACTCTCTTTGGACCAGGCGCCCTCTGCATCACCGTTCTTCGGCCTTTCCATGAGGCATCACCGTGGCTGATGAAGAAGGAATTAGACACCATTGTTCCTCCTAATCTGCAGTCGCGGACATGGGAGACGTTTCCCCCAGTCGAGGTATAACTTGTCTTGCTGAAAAGTCGCTACAGTTGCATAGCCCTCCATTTGTGAACAGGAGTCTTGGATCTTCTCCTATATAGCCACATATTTTCATTCTTATGTAAATTGTGAAGGGGCTTAAGGAAGACTTTAATATTGTAGATTTTAGATACACCTAACTAACTCACTAATCTGTTTTGTTTCTTTTATCTTGCATCTCAGACCTGAACATCTCTTTTGATACAAAAGAACTCACTCTTAGCCTCAGCTGTCATGGAACCATTGACGTTATCCAGCACAGAAATCGCCCCTCCTCCTGTGCTGTCTTTGTTAGTTTTAGAACACAATTGCAGGTCTTCCACTCTTTCTTTTTTCTTAACTTGTATTCACAAATGGAGTTCATCAGAATAATCTGAAGGATTGATTATACACAGGGATTTGCAACTATAACATTAAAAAATTAACATTAGAGAAGGCCCACCTACAGTTTTCTTTTAAACAATGAAAGAAAATATCTTGAGTAAGAATCATAAAACCCTGAATCTTGCACGATTTGCCATTTCATTTTGCAAGCAATTTATGTAATATGTCCAGAATATCGTCAGATGTTAAATTATTAGTTCAGTGAAGGTGTTGATAAGAGGATCAGAGAGTGATACTTGAGTTAAGCGAGGAGGGTAATGTTCTGAGTTAGGATGATTTTTGCTTTCCTACACAATTTTGTAACAGCAGGGGTACAAGTAATGAACATTTAAGGTAACAAAGAATTCCTAGCCCTATATTTTAATTTGGTGACTGTAATCAATGTGGTGAATGAAGATGATCTGAATTCTAGTCCCAACTCTACCCTTTTTTAAGGTGAGATTTGGGACAAGTCACATGGGACCCCTACTTCCTTATCTGAAATAGGGAAAGGCCATGCCAAATGCCTCACTGATAAGCTTCTATATCCGAGTTGAAAGTACTGCCCTATGACAAATAATATGCCACGTGTGAGATTAAGAAAGGGAGTTCAGTCTCTTCCTCTGCGACCCCTGTAGCTATGGCCACACCTGGTAGGAGCGGCCCAGCCCAGGCAAGACCCTGAGTGGTTGTCGCTGACCAGGGATTGGACACTGAATAGCAATTCAAAACGAAGCGCATCAGACACAGTGCAGGACGTAGGGCCTCAAACCACAGCCCTCCTGAGAACACAGAGGGTGACACAGTGATGTGAGTCCCCTCGAAGGCAGACATTCCTGCTCAAGACATCCCGGGACGGCTCTGGAGGCTTGCTTGATCTAGGGTGGGCTCAAAGGCCGCTCAGCCTCTGGGTGATTTCTCTCTCAAAGCATCTTTTTAGGTCAAAATACACATGAGGCCGGAAAGTTGATGACTTTAATCCCCGGCGTCTCGGACTCCCCGTGGGTAGTGAAGGACAGTCACAGGCACGCGGCATAAGCTGGGCTGCAGCTGCAAGGCCGCGGCACAGCACTGGTAGTGCCCCCGGCGTACCGTCCAGGACCTCAGAATAGCCAGATTCTCGGTCACACATATGGAGAGTTGTGTGATGGTTCTGTTACCAATTCATCCCATGTTTGCCAATGCTTTTGAGAGTAAGGATCACTCATTTTTTTTTCACCCTTATAGTCTTTGACAAGTGGTTCCTATCATAGTGTCTACATGATAAGTACTCAGTTTAAAACAAAAATTCAGCTTTCTTTGGTGGCTGATTTGCTTCGGTTCATTAACAGAAGAAAACCCCGGGACCTCCGTTTGGCACTCATATCTGGACAGGCCTTTACAGCGGGGCCAGGCAGCTCGTGAGCGCCCCCGCCCCGCTGCTCCGGAGCCCGAGCGTGCTCCAGATACGCCAGTTCATCCAGCACGAGGTCATAACGAGCGAGGTGAAACTGAGGCTGCAGACCTCCCTGAAGGTAACAGGCTCCGGGAACCTGACCCAGAAGAATCAGAACAGGGCAATCATTCCTCCTGGTTCCTTGAGGAACCTGAATTGGGTAATTTAACCAATATCTGTTTAATATAACACACGAGTGTCAACCTTCCAGAGGGTAGGCAGTTGAGAGGCCGAAAATACCGCATGATTCCCATGAGGTAAAGGGATATGGAGACCACAGGAACATTGAGAAAATAAGCGACTGTTACCTGTGTTGTTAGATAGAGTCATCCTTTCTTTTATACGGAAAACTAGCCTGGTGACCTCTGGGAAAAGGTAGAACTACACATTAATCTGAGTCTTGTCCATGGAAGAAAAATATTGTTGGCTCTTGGAAGTGGACTGAGAACTTGTAAATATTCAGTTAATTGTACAAGCCTACCTGTAACAACTCACTGGCTAGTTTGGGAGCTCCTTCAGGACAGGGACCAATGTGGTTTGACTCCGCTTACACACCCGGCACCTGGCAGAACGCAGGGGGCCATTATTTGTGGAAATAGATCAAATATTTGTGGAAAAAGTAAAGTATATTCCTTTTGGAAGCAAAGGCGTGCCTACGCAACTTACATTCAGTGGTAGGATGATAAAGGCTCCCCTCCCCCCCGGAGAGGACTCTAGCGACCCTCTAACCCAGCGGCGCGTCTCACCGACAGGGGCGTTGGAGCGCAGAGGCAGTGGCCGGGCCTCTGAGGTCCTCGTCCAGCTCTCACATCCTAGGGCCCTTCAGGCTTTGCTTTGGAATCTTCAGGTCTTTCTGGCTGAAATATTAAAGGAAAGGCTTTCCAGATTGCGTGGCCAGGAACTGTGGCTTGTTGGCCATTGTGAACTTACATATCCCTAATCTTTTGGTGATACTCCAAGCTGATGTGGATGATCGGGGTGTCTGTCTTCCCCGTATTTCTCGTTTTTTACTGATCACTTTCGTCCGCTGGTTTAGGAGTACATAAACCACACCCTGAAGAAAGAGGATGAGCTGCAGGACAGGACAGTGAAGGATGCCAGGACCGAGGAGGAGCGAGGCAGCGCCGCGGATCTCCTCAAGCTGGTGATGGTGAGGCGGCGGCGGCACCCACACCGGCGCCCACACCGGCACCCACACCGGCACCCACGCCGGCGCCCCGACCGCTGTCCCAGTGCTGGACGCTCCAGGAAAGAAATGGCCAGCAAGGGCTGTTCCTGCCACTTCCGGGAGCATTTCCTCCCTCCTTATAATTCCTTGTTTCTGTGGAAACCCGATTCCTTACACATCGAATTTTCCGAATGCTTTTTAGGCTCTTCTTTAAGCCACAAATAACTCTGGAGTCACTTAAGTAAAAGCTTGTATTCTCTTCAGAGAAATTGGGCATTCTTGGAAATGCTGATTGAAATAGGAAGAAGAAAAAGGAATTTCTGCACCTTAAAATGATTTCTATTTTTAGAAATTTGTTAAGTGAAAGGAATAACTAAAAAAATAAATAAGATTTGTATTGGCATTAAAGTTACTCATTTTATAGTACTTTTCATAAAAGATCAAGTTGAACACTTAAAGAATGCTTCTCAACAAAGTGAATTTTATATGTAATATAACCCCCATCATTAAGGAATTTTATCTTTATTTCAGTCTTTCCCTAAGATGGAAGAAAGTACAAAAAGTCATGTTACTGAAGGTAAGTACATTTAATATTGTTCTGCAAAATGCAGATTTCCAAGGAACAATCTTAAATATACTTCTCAGTCATTCTTGTGTCTGATAACAAAGTACTGTGTATGTATTTCTGCTGTTGTATTGGCCATGTTATATTGTAATTATTTATTCATATATTTTTTCTGGCTGAATTGTGAGGTTCTTAAAAACTGCCTCTGATTCATCTTTAACTTTTATCTTTTGAATAAAAGTAGGGATTCGGCTTTTATGTAACAAGTTTAGGCAACTTGTTAAGCTAAAAAGTAGGCATTTGGGTTTGATGTTAACCTTAACCTGTATTTAGAACATAGCTAAGGTGCAGGAAGGAAAGAATCAACCACACTGCGCCCTCCCCACAACACACACACACACATACTTCTCTCTCTCTCTCTCTCTCTCTCTCTCTCTCTCTCTCTCTCACGGAGCATCCGGCCAATGGCTCGGTTACTGCCCAAACCCCGCCTCGTCTTACACTATACATGGCTCGAGCGGACTACTCTTGGAAAATATTCTCATTCAAAGTGGATTTGTTCTGGAATACAAAGTGTATTTTGTTGCCATGCAGTGCCAACAAAAATGGTCATATGGTTTCATAGTTCACAGCAGACAAGCAACGAGGACCGGGTGGTTTGGAGGGTTCTATTCTGGCCACGTGACCAAGGTCAGACCCCGGCAGCCCAGGGTTCGTTCAGCCCCCAGATGTGTTCTGTGTGCCCCCACAGTGCTGGCTGGCACAGTTGTTTTTATTTATCTGAATTTTCTTTTCTTGAACTGTCACATTACCCTACATGCTGACAAGTGCCTGAAGATGATTAGCAGCTGCCCCTTCACAATGACCGTGAGGAAAAGAATCCGTCACACCCTCCATGGTCTCCCTGTCCTTACAGTCTGTCTGTTGTCACTCTTATCTGAGCAGCCCCTCATGTCAAGGTTACCAGATTTAGCAAAAAAGAAAAGGCCCAGTTAAATTTGAATTTTAGATAAACAAGATGTAATTTTTGTGTATAAGTATTGGGACCCACTTATACTAAAAAATTATTTGTTGTTTATCTGAAATTCAAATTTAATTCGATGCCCTACACTTTATCCGGTAGCCCCACCTTGTAGCATTGGCCTCTGTAACCTCTGGCGTGAGGAAACAGTCACCAGAGAGGTAAATAGCGAGGGCGCCCAAAAGTGAAGGGCCAATTAACTGCAAAAATACAAACGAACAAACAGATGCAGGAGTCAGATGGGGTCTTGCGAGTCTGCGGCTGCCCCTGGCGGGTGAGTGGCCCGTAGTCAGGGCTCCTGCAGGGTTTCCTGAAGCACTGGCCTCTGAGGCGGCTCTCCCCAAAATGAGTTCTAGGACAGAGTAAGTTTGGGCGAGGCCTGATTGCCTTAGAGAGCCAAACGTGCGTTACCTGACGGAGAGTGCGAAGAAGCCCCACAGCAACGAAACACTTCTAGCCTCGCATGAATCCGTGTTTCCTAAGCTCAGGTAACCGTGAAACCGTGTTTCTTTTTTTAATCTCCTACTCACATCCCACCAAGACCACGATCTGTGGAAAAAACTCTGAGAGTCGCTTCCCAAATTACCAAAAAACCATCGTGATATAGGCATAGCCTTAGATTTACATCCTTTTTTTTTTTTTTTTTTTCAAAAAAACCCCCACAATTTTGATAAAACAGGTCATTATTTTCTAAGTTCTGGTGCTTCAGATACGAAGAAATGCACGTCAGATGATGCTGGTTCCCCTAATGGTGTGTTGCTACACCTCACGCTTTGCTCTCTGCTGGATACTGCGTGCAGTTTGCTGTTCTATTACAGCTCGATCATGGAACTTCTACTAAACACTTGATGGATTAAAGATAAGCTCTCAGAAAGTTATCTCAAAGAGTAATTGGGTATTATTTGTGTGTTGTGCTGTAAAGCTAAATGCATCTATTTTTAAAGTTGCAGCCCACCTAACCGACTTGTTCAAGCAATCTTTGGCTACTTCTCCAGAAGATCTGCCAGACACGTTTGGTGCAGATTTCTTTGAGAAGAAGTGGAAGTAAGCTGATCCGATAATGTGTTCTAAGTAGTGTCAAGCACGCAGAGATTGTGAATGGAGAGATGCGGGTGTCCTAAGTATGGGTAACCACATCCAGGAGTTCTCAGCCTTTCATCTGCCACACTGTTAACAAGTTATCATATGTTGGTGGTTTTTCTTCTACTGTTTGTAAGCTGAGAGCATGCCCCCCCCCCGCCCCTTTTTTTGGAACCATGTGCATTTTTTTTATTCATTCACTGATCCAAATGAACATTTATGGCTTGCCCATGATGTGAAAAGCTTCTTGCTGGGATCGGGATACAGAGAGTGATAAATAACGTAACTTGGCCAGTACCACCTTGGAGCTTGTAGGGCGGCATTGGGAACAGCCAGTGAAGAAGCCGAAGCCAGTGTGTGGGTAGACCGTGACAGATTGGGAGAAATGCCACGGAAGGGTTACATGGGGCACCAGAAGAAAAAACGACAGTGGGGACCTATTTCATGACTTCAAACATAGGGCAGCTTAGAAGGGGGCATCTTTAGAGAAAAGGAGAAATGTGCTTTTAGACATGTCAAAGTATCACATAGACTTATACCAGGGGCAGCCGGACACCCGAGGGTGCCAGTTAGGCTCCTTACACTGGGAACGAAGTGACCTAAGATGGGGCCAATTAAGATAACAGAGCAAGAGCCGGCTGCGTGGAAGGTCGGCGAAGCACCAGCCTCGCCGTTCACAGTCATACTTTTCTTTCCTTTCACACAGGCACACAGAAACAGGAAAGCACTGGAAAGAAAAGATAACTCAAAAGAGGTAATTCTACCCTGAAGTACACATAAGCATATGGAAAAGCCCAGTCCTGTGGGTTCTTAGAGTCTTGGAGTAGAATGGGTGGGAGGGCCCCTCACCCAGACTCCCTGCTGCCTGCCCTCTGGGTCTCCTCCACATTTCTGCCACGTGGCCATGCAGCTTTGTGTGAGGATGTCCGTGTCCCTTGAGGATGCCCACTTGACCATTAGACATTCTCCCTCTCATGAGCAAGAAAGCTCTCTGTGCTTTGGTCACTTTCATACACTAGTAAGTATTCTACAACTTAGTGCATGCAGAGCAGAGTCATAAACATTCAAGGAGTCTTACCATTCACCTGGGGAATGGGCTCTACGCATTACGTGCTTTGGTTTCCTTTCAATCCTACCTGATGGTTCCAGCCCCAACTCTCTTGCCTTAAATGGAGGAAGCCAGAGAGACTGGTTGAGCCCGTGGCACTATACACCGTACCGCTGTCCCCATTCGCAGGGCCCCTCTGCAGGACGGCTCCCAGGGCCAATGCGCTTCTTAATGAAAAGGGCGAGGTCACCGTGTGCAATGTGTTGTAGATGTGGTGAGGTAAGGCCTCGAGTCTCATGGCCCGACCCGTGTGTACAAGGTCAAACTGGAAGGTACATGCTGTGTCACAGAATATCCCTGAAGGGGTTTCCAAGAGGCTGGTGACAGCGATTGCTGTGGGGAAGGAGACTGGGAGGTCAGGAGACAGCGTTGCATACGCTTCAAGACTTTTTGAATTGTGTACGTAGGCATGTGTTATTTATTCACGGTTTTTAGAATTCTGAAACATTAAAATTTCAAATTCTAACCAATAGGTAGGTAATAGCAAGGCAATGAAAGTTTAGGAAAAAGAAAGTGAAACATGTAATTAGATACGTGCCCTAGAAAGAAAGGTGTGGGCCACACGGAAAACAGGCTGGAGGGAGGGTTAAGGAAGGAGAAAGTTGCAAGGCAGCAGGAGGCGTTCAGCAAGTGTCGGGCGCTGTGGAAGAGCCGGGAAGGAGAGTGGGGAGAGGAGTCGGGGTTTATCAACTGGAAGGTTTATTGATTTCTTTTGTGAGAACAGTTTCAAGAGAGTGGTAGGCAATAGCCTGACTGCCATAGGTTGAAGAATACGTTCCGTGAGGCGATAGTGAGAAATCAAAGTTGTTTAAATAAGATGATGTTTTGGTTCAGCCAGTATTTCCAGAGAGGCCGTCTAGTAGAAAGGGCACCGGTCTTAGACCCAGCAGACCTAGCGTCTAGTCCAGCCTGGTTACTTACACATTGTGTGATGCTGGCTGGTTGTTTTACTTCAGGAACTCACCTTGCTTATCCATAAAATGAGGATCATTGGATCACCTAATATCTACGGTCAGCTCACATGCTGGGTGACTAATTGCTGACTAGCATGTGTACTTATCAAGATCAAGGGCTTGGAAGCAGGCAACCTGGGTTTTACTTCAGATTTGATCTCTTACTAGTGAGTGATTTAGAGTAGGTCACACAACTTCCTAGGCCTTGATTATTTTTTTTGACCAATATAATGGGAATAATAATAGTAACTCAGAATTATCGCGCAGTAAGATAAAATGTAAAGTGCTTTGCAAAGTTTCTGGCATGCAGTAAGCACTTAAAATTGAAAACTACTTCAGAGAAGAGCAGGCTCAGCTACATTTAGCAGACAACCCCCCAAATCAGTGCTTTTACAAGAAATAAGTTGTGTTTTTCTGTCCTGAATGTAAAAGGGAAGTCAGAAGTGGGCAGTCCATGGCACATAGGGCCACATCATCAGAAACTCAGACTCCTTTTTATGTTTCATCCTTGTTAGCATGTGACCTCCACCCTCAAGGTTCCCCCATAGTTGCAAAATGCTGCAGCTATAGCCATTTCATCCACGTTTCAGGAAGGAGGAAAAGAGATGAGACAAGAGATCCCAGCGGAGTTGACCCTCCTTAAAAGCTGTCTGGAGCCTTGTTCAGCAACTTCAGTGTACTTCTCATTGGCACTCGCTCATTGGCATATGACTATATGCTGGAAAGTGTAGTTTTTAGCTGGCGTATAGCCTCTCCCATATCGGGTTCTGATATTGGAAAGACAATTACCAGGATTATCATGATTGCTTTTATTTTACTTTGTAATCACTGATCACATTACTCATAAACATTCACTGGGGTATCAGTTTTTGTTTTTGCTACCACTGCTACTGAAATTAGCCAAATTAGTCGAATCTAGCTGGCTTTTAAACCATGTCGTCTTTCGTCTTTTGAGATCAACTCTAAAACCAAATTACCACCTGGCTTCATTATTTTCTATCTTATATGAAAGTTTGATTTCTAAGTAGGAAATGTGACAAGAAAAGAAAGCGAACCAAAACATACTGTCAAAAAAAGTGTCTGATGAGTTCATTCTTATCAGCTTTACCATTAGCGACCCTGTTTTCTGTGGGATTTAGAGCTAAAACACATGCAAATAACATTTTTAATATTTTATGTCTCCTTTTCCATCATTATGGACATATCGACCAGGAAGGAAATTGAAAATACACAGGATTATTTAACCAAAATTAGGAACAAAGAGATATCACCCTACTTCAAGTCTGATTTGAGCAAGTTGTATCAGTCTCAGGTAATTGAATGTAATTAACAGCTATTGAATAAGTGTCTTTTTAAAAATTGATATGTTGCATATGTTATTATATAACATACATTTCCTGAAGTTGTTCCTTTTCTACATCAAACTAGCTGACTAACCAATACCCTCAAATCCATATCCTCACAAGTATATGAAAATGCTAATTTCAGGTCTTGCATGTAAGTAGAAATTCTCTACCGATGTATCACTAGCCTTCTATTTCCCTGCCTTGAGTTATCACTGTTAATTGCCTTATCCCATCTATTTTAAGCCCTTTTCATGTCAAATTCTCCCTATTGAGGATTTTCCTCTGATAAATCCCATTTTTAATCTCTTCAAGTTTTTATTTCATTAAAATTCCCTTGCCCATCAGCTGCTGACATAGCACCAGGCTATTACGAGCTCGTGGGGACAAAACACTCCTTTTCTACGAAGCATTGTCACTCTAGCAAAGTGAACATTTTCATGTGTTCAGAACTCTGTTATATGCTATTATTAATAAGAGGCTGCCTGAGAAGAACTTACAGGAAATTATGACTAATTTACAAAATGCAGAATTGAGTTAACCAGTCTCTTGAGAAACTTTTAGTTTGCAACTATTTATTTCCAGGGCCTTAAAAGAAAAAAAAAAAAGACTTTGATCATTGCTTATCAACTTAACATGCTTGTGACGGTTGCTTTTCAGCCCTGTGTAAGTCTAAAATAATTCTTTTGGTTTTTCCTTTAAGTTTCATTATCTGAACACCCTTTCCAAAAATTTGCCGGCTTTTACGAAGAAGGATGAAGATGCAAACAAAACAGTTGTTCAAAATACATATGATCTTCATCGAGGTAATGTGTTCATGTAGCTCTTGACCTGCTAACATGCTTAAGTGAAGAATACTGAATAATTGACCTCTTAGACCATAACTACCTCCTACCACCTTTTTCTTTTTTTGTCTCAGTAACAGCTACTAATATAACGTACTGTGATCTGTATGTCAGTCTTGCCTGACTTATATGAGGAAAACAAGATGTAACTAAAATTTAGTTGTCACCCTGTATGCTTAAAATTTATCTAAAAGCATTAAGAAGATCTGGATAATTTAAAAAGGGAATAATGAAAGGTTGTTGGGGAGCAGGTTATTCACAAGGTCTCAAAGCATCACCTCAGCTATTGCCTACTAATATAAGGACGAAAATGTCTTTCCAATGGAGAGAAATGGCATCTTCCACTTTTACCAAGTGATCAAACTTCTGCCGATTATGAGAAAACCTAGCAGTAAGTGCTTTCTCAGATGAATACAATATGAAATGCAGTGTATGAAGTATACGAAGGAGAGTTCTTGTCAACAATCCTTAACCTGAACTTAATCACTAGGAAGCCATCAGTCAAATCCACAATGTAGACATTTTATAAGACAATGGGCTTGGACTCTTCAGAAAGTCAGCATAATTAAAAGAAAAAGCATGATTGTTCTACATTACAACAGGCTAAAGAGGCATAAAAACTATATGCAATACATGAACTTTCGATGCTGGGTTGAGAAAAACCAGCTAACGATCTTGTGGAGCAGCCGCACTTGTTTGATTGGGGGGCTCTACTCCGGGGGGCATCGCTGGGAGTTTTCCTGGGTGCGGCGATGGTGCTGTGGATATGTGGGAGGGCGTCTTCATTCTGAGAGACGGCTGTTGAAGAATTTAGGGATAAAATGACAGCCAGTGCTTCCCTTTAATACCCTGGGTAGTTCAACTACCCAGGTAGAGGAATTTTCTCCTGTGTAGTGCAAACCAGAAAGTCAGCTGCCTGGAATGAAAACAGCCAAAGAAAACACCTCATAAGCACAGTGTGCAAAGCCAGGATTAAGGCTGGAACAAGGCCTTGCGAATACAGTGGGGAGAAGTCAGGGGTGAAGGCTGATGGTGCTTGTGCTGCCACCTGCACCTGGACAGGCAGCTCTCGTCACTCAGGCCGACGCCGCGCCACCCGTGGAAGGCGGCGAGGCCTCAGCTTTCCTGCACAGCCCTCCGGGCAGCCGCCACTGTTCAGCCGGGGCTGGCCCACACACGTTGGCCCTGGATACATTTATTTAAAATTTGTTTTATATTGCACTCATTTCTCAGAGGGATACATTTTAATAAAGAATTAATGTTCGCAGTAATGAATGCATTTAAAATTGGAAGTTTTTATAGCCCTGACTGGTGTGGCTCAGTTGGTTGGGCATTGTTCTGCGAACTGAAAGGTTGCTGGTTCGATTCCCTGTCGGGGCGCATGCCTGGGTTTATGGGTTTGGTCCCCCAGTCGGAGCATGTACGAGAGTCAACCGATCTCTCACACTGATGTTTCTCGTGTTCTCACCCTGCCTTTCTCCCTCCCTTCCCCTCAGATAAAAGCCAAATTACTTGGTCTCTGCTTCATAACCCAACAAGAAAGCTACTACTATGTAGTCATGAGCCTCAGAAAGAACCTTACAGTTACGGTCCTATTTGTTAATAATAAATATTGTCTCACGCAGAGAAAATCATTGCCTCCTAATAGCTCTCCCCTCTGTCATCTCTCTAGAGGGGGAGAGGGGGGTGAGCACCTTGTTCATTATAAAGAACACAAACATTGGTAATCATTGTTTCCTTGTCCAAAATATCACTTTATAATATTTGTTTTGGGTTTTCTAGATCTCCAGCCAAAAGAAGTTTTAGAACAGGAATCCTCAAATACATCTAGTCTTCCCAAACTGAAGAGCTCCGTGGGTATCAAGGAGTCCCCTAAACAGAAGCAAACTAAAAATTTAACAAACTCCCCGGCAGGTATGGCAGTCATTAGTTTTTTCGCTCTCTCTCAACACTGAGCATTATGCCTTTTCGGGGTAGGAGAGATGGTCCTGGGGGCTGAAGGTGTGGTTGGTGGCTCCAGGGAAATCTTGGCGTCGTGGATACCGGAGCGTGAACTCTGAAAGGCTTCTTAGTGCAGTAGGGATGCTTTGGCGGATGGGTGGGTATGTTGGGTTTGGGAGGATGAGCGTGTCTGATTGCCAAGGGTTGCTTATAATGACAGAATATAGAATCCATTCTGGAGAAACAGGAAAGCAGGACAAGGAGGAGCTGACTGCTTGTTTCAGGTGAGAGTGCCAGGTGACCAGCGGTCTCCATGAGGTCGAACACTTGCTTGTTAAATATGGTAGAGTCATCGGCTAGAAGAGCAGGAGGTGGTGATCTGCAGAGGGAAGCCTGAAACGAGAGTTTGAAAGTGGTAACGCTCTGGGTGCTGAGAGGTCAAACATGTGGCCAGGGGAGTTTGGGAGGTGGAGAAGAGGTCAAGGTGAAGAAATGGGATGATCGAGAATCACAGAGGACAGGGTGGTGTCACCAAGAGCGATGCGGTGGCAGGCCATCCAAGGTGGCGCGGCCTCCAGCGAGTCGAGGGGATGACTGAGAGGTCGGTAAAGGAGAACTGCTTGGGGTCGTCAGGGTAACACAGCCCTGGGACGGATGGGAGGCCTGGAGGAGGGGAGCGTAATTTGAAACAAAGACACCCCCTGCGCCCCTAGACTTAAGACACAATCATGTGACTCCACTATGCGGTAATTCAATTTAGATAAAAACAGCAATGTTTAAAGAGGCCATAGTAGGAAGTGGTTAACACAAGCTGTGGGAAGAGCTTTCCGGGAGGCATGGTCTTGAAGAATAAGTAGAATTTCACAGATTTTCAAATGTAAGACTGGGTCGCCTAAGACAACTCTCATTTTACTTGAGGAAACTGAAACCTAGAGAAGGCCAAGTGGATCTAAAATCACACAGCAAATTTGTGATTGAGCCAGGGCTAGAAAATGAATTTTTCAGCTTCTAATTCTCTATATTTTATTACACTGCCTTCCAGAGGTAGGGAAAGGCATATTTTATACAAAAATAAAAAAATTTTTTAAAAAAGTGTTCAAAAGCCTGAAGGTGGAAATGGTGGGAAAGAACAGGAAACCAGAATAAGTAGGTCAAAGTGTTCTTCGTAATAGTACAAGATAATGTTTAGGAAATACAGTAGAGTGAGCCGGAGGTTTGGATTTTGTAAAATAAAAATGTACTTGCTGGTGTGGGCTGTGATGAGATCGCATAAACCCTGAAGCGGGCCAAGCATCCGGCCCTGTAGGGGCGGGGGCCGCAGGCTGCAGCCTCGGCCCCAGACCGCGGCAGCGAGGCCGGATCTGGCGTCTCATCTCCTTCCCGCTCCACGTGGGGCGCTCCGGGTCGAGGGGAGCCGGTGCGCAGCTCCCGGCCTCTGCGGGACGCCGGCACCGCCGCTTCCACAGCCAGGCCCTGGTCCCAGCACTTCGCATGGCTAAACTCAAAGTCAGTGGGGCGGAGAAATATGCTCCACCTCCAGGGAAGGCAGGCTCAGAAAGGAAGTGAGTAAAGCCATGCCCCGAGAGGAAGTAAAAACAGTCACTGTGAATAAACGCTGCAGTCTGTCTCAGCAGGGATGCAGGGAACTAAACAGGTTGTTCAGGTGGGTCGGGCCTAGCAGTAATACTCAGATGCTACCACTAGGGGGAGCGTCCCTGCTGTTCAGATAGCCACTGTATCCGCGGGTGACCGGCCCCTGCTCCAGGACCTTCAAGTACTGGCCCCTCGAACCCCCAACTCCTGGTGAGACCCCGGGTAGGAACAGTGGGATAATCAATCGCCTGTCTGTATTGTGGGAGGCGGCACGGTACCGAGCTACACTGCGAGCGGAGGCTCTACCCGGCTCCTGGTGGAGTAGCTGTGGAACGTGGGTCACACTGTCTAACCCTCCTTCCCTCCTGTGGCCTCTTCTGTAAGGGGGACAATGAAATAAATACCCATCACAGGACGGCGAGGATTAAATTAGTTAGTATATGTAAAATGCCTAGAGCAGTGCCTGGCACATGATAAATTCTGTATCAGTATTTACTAGTAGTGATAATAGTATGAGCAATGAATTAGTACCCATTAGACCGGTAAAAACAGAAGGCAGCAGGAAGAGAGGAAGGCCAAACAGGAGAGGGACCGCTCCATGAAAGAAGCCACAGGCCTTAGTCTACAGGAGCTGGACGGGGCTGCTGAGGACAGGGCACTGGGCACCACTGAGCCACAGGGGCCCCAGGAATCAGAGCCGACTCCGCAGCACATGACTCACACAGCGCAGATTGGTAGAGTGTGTTCACATAAAACAGCAACACACGCGGTCAGAACACAAACAGAAAGATGCCTCAAGCCATTAGAATGGTTGCCCGTGTAAGAAATGGTGACCAAAGGGAGCAAATACGTTAGAACACTGATCGCTGGGCACCGTCCCCAGAGACCTGACTCTGTTCTGGTCTGAAATAGGGCATGTATGGCATGTGCCCGGAGACTCTCTACTTTTCCAGAATCAGCCTAGGGGATTATGATGCACAAGTGGATTTGGGACATGCCAGGTAGTTGTGTAGGACAAATTCATGACCCCTACAGAACACTTCTGTGACCTGAGGTGTGTGGGTTTTTCCCATACTAAGCAATTCTGCGACACCAGCTAAATGTCCAACAATTCATCTCAATTTTGACACTAACCAGAGTCAGCACAAACCCTACAGGTTAGGGCTCGGTTTCCCAAGGCTGTCCCTTCCCCTCAAATGCCAATCACAAGTCCAGCTTGTCACCTGTGCTTCTGACCAGCCAGCTACAAATTAGACTCCCCATCCCCCTTCTGGAGTTTGGTAATTTGCTAAAACAGTTGAATAAGAAGGGATATGACAAGGGGCACAGATGAAAAGGTACATAGGATGTGTCCTGGAACGGTCCAGCACAGGAGCTTCTGTCCCCATGGAGTTGGGTGTCCTCCCTCTCAGCACTTTAGTTCAGAACTTTAGGAGAACCTGGGTCAAAGAACAAATATTGGAACAAAAGATGCTTCTAGGCTCTTGTCACTTAGGAAACAACAAGGGTTTCAGGAGCTCTGTCCCAGGAATCAGAGGCAGAAACCAACATATATTTTTTTCTACTATCTCGCACTAGTAAGAGGAGTGTGATTCTCATGGAATCTGAGACACTTAGGTGCACATTCCAGCCCTGACACTTCTTTTGGTGTCATGGACAAGCTGTCTAACTGGAGTATGCTCATCAGTAAAAAAGAGGCACTACTGTTACATTAGTCAGGTCTCTTCAACTGGTAACAGAGAACTGAAACAGAAACTCATTTTGTGTTCGTTGTTTTGAACAACATCAAAGGGGGCAGGGTATACTGGAGCTGAAAACCCAACCCCAGCAAAGCGGAGACGGGGTGGGGGAGGGCCCCGGGGGGCCTGGGTGCACCGGCTCTGCAGGAGCGAGTTGGCGTCTGGCTGCCCCTGTCTCTGGACATCTCCCTGCCTCCGTCCTGGCCCTGATTGGTTTTATCTTCTCTTGCAAAGGACAGGCTATGTCCATGACTTAGAGGCCCAAGATCCTGATTTTTCCAGATCCATGACCCAGTTGGCAAGGTGGGTCTATCCCTGTCAGCTTCAGTGGGAATATTTCGGTGAAAGGCTTGCGTTGGCTGTGCCTGGCCCATGTCCCATCGTCGTGGCCGAGCCGGGATGTCATGGCTCCAGGAATGCATGTGGTAGGAGTGCGCGTGGAGTGGGCAGGCGATGGGGAGAGTGCTGAGCACACCAAGGTTGTAATTACCGCAGCCCACACTCAGAGGGTTTTATGAGAACTAAGTGAGATGCTGTCTGTACAATACACATACGGTGCTTGTCTGCAGATAGTGGACACTCAAATGCTGGTCCCTTGCCTTTCCTGTCTTGATGACTCTTAAATGCAAGGATGTATGTTTAAATATAATGGTCTAGAATATAATTCTTATTCTAACTTCCTGGATATTCAGAGAAGCGCATACGGCTGCAGCTGTGTGGATTATCTATCTACTCTTGCTGACTCCCCACCAAGTGTAGCGACCTCAGGATTTAATTCCCTGGCTTAACTCACCTATAATTACTACCGTTTTTTAGAACTATAAACATAGTAGTTGAACCAAAGAAATCCCCAGGATTTTGCTCACGTTAGTTGTAAGAAACCTTTCAGAACAAATGTTTCTTGTTTTGTACCTTGTTGATTTAAGGGCAAGGACCCTGAAGATCTCGGTGTACGTTCAGCTCATCGAAGGCAAGTCATTCAGCTTCTTAGGCTCTGATTCTTCTCATTTATTTAGAAAAGACGATGCTAATAGCATCTGCCCTGCCACCCCATAGGGTTGCTGTGAGGTAAAGTCCCTTTGTAAAATGTCAAGTTATAACACTGGAATTAATTTTTTTTAAAAAGCCTTTGTTCCTTTAAATAAGCTCTTCAAAAAGGAAAGAAGAAAGTTTCCCAAGTTACTCTATGTTCTCCATACTTTGGGATGACCACAGAAGTCTTTGAATAAAATGTCCACATGGGAATTCCAACTTTCTCTCTAACAGAACCGGAACTGTGTGTGCCCGTGAAAATTCCCACCCAGTCACTGTTGCAGGATGTTGCTGGACAAGCAAGGAAGGAGAAAGTGAGGCTCCCTCACTATTTGCTGAGTTCCAAGCCCAAGTCTCTGCCTCTCCCAAAGGTAAAACAGACATGCGCACAAATTTCCCAGAGCCAGGCAGCCTTTCATGAAACCCTGACTGGCCGGAGTGCTGAGTGGCCGCCGCCATGCGCTGCTGTGTACTGTACGCACCCCCGACCAGGACGGCCTTTCGGCCAGAGATAAACTGAGTGGTGCGTTGCTGGAGCCAGCTCATACGGGGCGCACTGGAGGGATTGTAGGAGCCAGCTGTTAAACCACCGGCAGCTTGACATCAGCAGCCCCTTCTGCTCAGAGGTCTTAACCATGGTTATTGACAGATGCTGGTAATGAAGTTTCTTTTCGGAGAGCCGGCTTTACCAGCAGACTCTGGCTAAGGGTCTCACTGGCCACCCTTCTCATGGCTACATGCCTCGCCCATTTGCCTCTTGTCTCCCCTTGCCCCAAACCCACTGTACTTCAGCCATGGTGGGTTTTTAGTTGGTTTGTTCTAGTTCTTTAGAAACATCTAGCTCCTTCCTTCCTGAGTGCCTCTGAGATTAAGATTCTCTCTCAGCTCTTCTGGGAAGCCTTCCTTGGGCCCACCAGGCAAGTTTTGGTGTTATCCTTTGATACCTTCCTGGTACCTTGTGCTCATTGCCATTATGAATCTGTTGCAATATATGTAACTGACACGTGGTCGGATTGCTTCTCAAACTTTACTGTGCCCGTGAATTACCTGGATATCTTGTTAAAAATACAGATTCTGACTCACTGTGGTGTGGGGGCCTGAGATTCTGCAGATGTGGCGCTCCCGGGTGAGGTTAGTGCTGCGTATCTGGGGAACACCAAGGGCACAGGGCAGTGGGTCTCAAAATGTGATCACCTGACCCAGCAGCACTGGCAACACTTGGGACCTTGTTATAAATGCAAATCCATGGGCCCCATCCCAGATTTTCTGACTGAGAAGCTCTGGGGTCAGAGTCAACAACAGGGGTCCTGGCGAGTCCTCTAGGTTGTTCCGATGGGAGCTGAGGCTCGATGTCACTGGCACAGAGGAAAGAGCACAAACTTTAGACTCAGGCAACGTTGAGTGTGGAACTCGAATCTGCTGCTTAATCCTGGAGCCAAGGATCTGGCTTTCAGTTCTCTATAAACTTGAGCTTCTTTAACCTCAAACAAAGCCTAAAATACTTCCTTACCATGATGGTGTAAGGGTTACATAAGACTGTAAATGTTCCTTTTCTCCCCAGACAAGCAGTTATTTTTTTCTGGAGACAGGACATTTTTCTCATCGTGGGAACACAAACTAGAGCCATTTTATTGTGTTATTGCTGTTCCTTAACGCACAGGTGCAGGATTCTGTTGGAGGAAGAGTGAAAACATCCTCTGTGGCATCTGCTGCCATTAAGAACACAAACTCATCCCCTTTTGGCTTCCACCTTCTCCCTCCATCCGTGAAGTTTGGGGTGTTGAAAGAAGGGCACACCTATGAAGCCACTGTCAAGCTCAAGAACGTTGGAGTGGACTTCTGCAGGTGAGGCCAAGGCTCCCTGTGCCTGTTCCGGTCCCCTTCTCCTGCTCTGCGACTTGTGTTTGGTTACCTATGTCAGGGAATGTTATTGAACTGAACTGTAATATACCCTGACTCTTGAATTTTCACATGATTCATTCACTCATTTATTCACTAATTCTTCCAATGGTTCATTGAGTCATTCATTCATTCTTCAACACATCAATATTTATCAAGCCTCAGCTATTAGGAGGTGCTTTTTTGCCCTTCCAGTAATAATTATTACTTTGGCAGAAGCAACTTAAGGCCTGATTTGCTCTAGCAAAAAAAAACAACAAACAAACAAACAAAAAAAACCCCCAAAACCCAAAATAACAAAAAACAGTACAAGTGGTACAGTAATTAACACATAAAACTTATAAGTCTACTTCTCAAATCCTCCACCAACTATGATATCAGCTGACATGTTTTTACTGAATGAGCTACGAATGATTTTAATTATATTATTTCCACATAATTGAAGCCAAAAGAAAAAAAATTCACCTGAATCATTAGGTTCATTTTGGCTCTGAAGTTCTAACTTGGAATTGATAACAAGTATCTTAACTCACGGTCGGCCCTCGCAGTTGAGAACACACTGCATCTGCCATTCGGTGACAAGGAAAAGAGTCAGTCCGTAAAGTCCAGGTCGAGACCAACCGAAGTTTAAAGCTTGTAGAGACTATCACAAAGGAACGAACCGAGAAACTTGCTTTAAGGTCTGGTGGCGTAGAGGCGAGGCCAGGCCGGGATGCCCCACGGGGCCGTTTGCTGCGGAGCCCTGTCCGCATGGCTGCTGTGCCTGCTCCGTGCCTGCTCCGTGCCTGCGGAGCCACTCCTCCCCGGGGGCCTGTGCTATGTGCTGGTGCCAACACAGCTTCCCAGTTACACTGCCCCCTCTGTCCCATTGTCACTTCAGCTAAAGCATCACATGGGGCGGCTTGCCCCCATAAAAATAGAATACATGTTTATTTCAACTGGAGTTATTCTCTGTGTGAGTGGCTAGTCCTCTAGGAATGGCTGTGATTCTGGACTCAGGTTTGGAAAGACATGGAGCAAAGCTCCAGGAGTGCCTCACTTCAAAGATCAGGGTCCTGTTTCAGTTGAGGCAAACCCCTCACTTCAGGAATCATATTCGCTTCCTCAGAAACAAGCCAGTGAGAGACCCAGGCCGCCACATCAGGCATTGTTTTTCAGGTTGTTGGCGACAAGTGGGTGGGGAGAAATGCAGAGTCAACCTCGAGCCACCAACACTCCTCCGTGCAGGTCCCGCCGGTCCAGTACGGAATCTGTTTTGGAGTTTCAGTCCTCAGCTTGTTCAGTGTAGCCGCTGTGGGGCAGACAGCAAAGGTGATGGTCACAGGCGCAGGGGTGGGGTCAACGTGAGGGTGAGACTTCCTCAGCATTTTAATCTACTCCTGGCCTTAACTTACAGGCAGAACCCACAGACCAGGAGGAAGGGAAGGATCAGTAGGCACCTTGCGTGAGCACAGGGCTTTTCACGTTCCCCAGCTCCCCTGTTTCCCTGCTCCCCAAACACTCAAACCCCACAGCACAACGGAGCAGCCTGGCTCCCGTGCTGCGCCGCTCCCCAAAGGGCCTTGATTCTTGGGCCCAGTGACCTGGCAGATGGCGCCTGTGCTCACTCTGGCGGCCACGCTGCGAGGCGCACAGCGGCTGGACACCCCGCAGCCTGTGTGATGCTGACAAAAACTGTTGGAGGGGCGATTGTGAAATGGGATCTGGAGTCTTGTCCCCATTGGATAATAGGCTGTTTTCCTAATGATATAGCCCCACCCCCGCTCCTGGAGCGTGACTGTTAGCCTCTTCCTGATTTTATAATATCCCAGTTCATTCATTGTTTGGGCTTTTCATTATGGCATAAATTGACTCCCATTCTTTTGCCTGGTAGGTTTAGGGTGAAGCAGCCCCCACCCAGCACAGGACTGAAAGTGACCTACAAACCTGGGCCTGTAAGTCCTACGTGTTACCTGTCACATGTCTCTGTTTGCTCATGTGAATACATATGTATTTACACTGAAGGGATTCTATCCATTCAGTTTAAACTATGTATAAATCTATTTTTTCTAGTATCATAAGCAAGAGATTCCTGGTATTGGTGCAGTATGTGGCTTGATGCGACTTCACATAAAACCATGAGACAAACCCTGTGTGTAAACAAAGTTAAACCTCCAGCTATGGAAACATTTCTGAAGTTCACCCCACTTGTCCCAATACTACGGTTATTTGTAGTTGTATGACAAATACCTTTGTGATAATTAAATATGATTTCACATGCACTTGTGAAGCTGATTACCTAAAGATATCCTGTAGCAAATCCTTCTGCACATTGAAAAATCCTTTGGAAAAATAAATATTCCATTCTTTATATTTTTATGTAAGTCTGATTTGTTCTCTTGGTATTTTCCAGAGGATATGAGCAAGAATATTAATAAGTATATTATTTAATATACAAAAGAGGAGTAGTATATTAAATTCATCAGCTGCCTCATTTCTCCAACAATCTGTGCAAATACAAATGTTTAAATGTCAACCTCTTTTGACTTTGATACGTTCCAGAGAATGGGATGTTTAGTATAAAATCTGTATATTGCCACTTACTTTAAGTTATAATTTCAGAAATATAGTGTGACGTAAACAAAGGCTTGTCTCAAACTTTAATGAACCCCATTTGCAAAGTTTAACATTGAGTTCGTGTTGAGGGCGCCTCCCGGCTGCTCCGCTGCTCCCTTCCTTCCGCCCGCTGTCCTCGCGCTCCCCGCGGCGAATGCGGCTGCGGGGCTGAGACGTGCTCCGGCCGCGGAGGAGCGCGCGGCGGGGCCGAGCAGCGGCTGGCGCTCGGAGGGGCGCGAGTGAGAACCTCCGGTAGATACGGGAACCGCTGTCACAGGTGGGGAGGGGCACGGGCTCGCGGGAGCTCTGAGCGAGGGCACCCACGCCCGTGACCAGCACTGAGTCCCAAGGTGTTATGTGGCGACGCCGAAGGGCTGGCTCGGTTTAGGGAAAAGCCATTCAGCCTCTTGTGGTGACGGTGCCCCCAGCGCACTGAGGTTGGTGCTCTAGTCCCGAGTGCCTTGCTTCCCTCAGGGGTAAGAGGAGCTCAGACCGGGTCCTTTCTGAGCCCTCCTCCAGCTCTGACCCGGTGGTGTGCAGGCTGCCATTCCAAACAGAGATAGAGTTTGGGATGAGGTCCCCTGATTCCCTGAGTCCCTCTCTGCAGTGATTTATCATTGTGCTGTGTCAAGATTTCAGAATCCTCCCAACGTAAGCAAAAACAAAAGTCAAAGCAAGCACTTCTTCCGCTGTTCTGGGAAGTTAGCGAATCTTTTTCATTTAAAGTGGGGATTATGCCAAGTGCCAAAGTGACTGTTGGCTCAGCCTTTGTAGGTACTAAAACCGCAGCATGTATTCTTTGAAGCTCACTCTAGGGTTTTGTTTTTTTTTTCCCCTTTTCCTTTTTCATGGTAGGTTTTAGCTGTGGCAAAAAATATATAATCTATAGGCTTCTCCGCATGTAAATCTAGCCACTGTTCAGTTTTGGGGCTTGCCAGCACTGAATGAAAACGCTCGCAGCCCGAGCAAACCTGCGTGGCGGCAGCTCTCCAGCCCCGGGCGCGGACGGCAGCGATCCCTGCGGGCTGCGGGCTCCCCGCGCTCAGGCCCCGGTCTCAGAGGCAGAGCCTTGGCGACCCTCCAGGGGGCGCACCTTCACAGGCACGCTGTGGAGCAAGCTGAAACGTTCAATTCTATTATTTTTAAAATTAGATGGGAGAAAAAATTAGTTGTATCTAATTGCTTTCCATATGGTAGTTGCTACTTATTTTCCAGATCACTGTTCTCACATCTGATTTTTAACCCGCCCCCTGGAGGGGCAGCTTAGAAACACAAACAGCTAACTCGCTGTTTCCTGGCTAGTGCCGTTTCCAGGGAACCAGGCGAGAAGCCCATTCCTCGCCGTTTCTTTTTCTTTCCGTATCAGCTTTCTTCTTTGTTGGTGCAGACCTCTTCCATGGAGCTTTCAGACCTAAGCAGTTTGGCATTTAAACTAATTCTGTCCCCCTCTACTGGCTTTGTCACCTCACAGGTGCTACATGAGGAATACTAGAGACAGGGCAGGCCTAGGATTCAGTCTCTTAAATTTAAATATCTTAGACTAACTGTATCTTTATCTGCAAAGATGCCAGTAGATGGAAACTCACTACTGACATTCAGGAACTAGCTCAATTATGGGCACTCCTGAAAGTTTGCCTTCGGTGTCACCTCCAGAACCCTGGTATTTAGTTCCCTTACACCTCTTCCTAAATAGCACCTGGTTTCTTCCTTCAACGTGTATCCTGGGCCCCATTTGCTCAATGGAATTCTGCCTCTCTATGAAGTAATTCCTCTAAATGCTGTAACAGTGATCATCCACTCGTGCCCAATTTAGGGATGAGGAAACCAGAGTAGAGTTTCATTAAGTTGCCCAACTTGGTGTGAAAACCAAGATTTGACCTCAGAGATATCTGATCCTCAAGCTGCGTTGTGTCTCACAGGTGGCAGCCGGTTTGCAGGTGGAACTGAAAGTGGAGCTATTTGCCATGGCCCTGGGTGAGGACGGCGCCAAGGGGTCGGCACATGTCTCGCACAATATCGAGATCATGACGGAGCATGACGTCCTGTTCTTACCTGTGGAAGCGAATATCCTTTGAAGTTCAGTTTGAGTTGCTGCATGCAGTGCAACAATTACGCGTGAGCCAGGAGAACATGGGAATCAGGATGCTATTTTCTAACCCCTCACACCCTCACTCCGTTAGCTTCATTGATTCTGCTTTTAAAAGCATAGTCTTCATTCATCTTTGTAAGCACCTAGCAGAGTGCCTGGCAGAGGGTACCTGCGCAGAAACTGCAAGTTGTATTAATGCCAACGTTATTGGCTGTCTATGGGCTATCAGATGAGAATTTTTTTTTTAAAGCAAGTTTTTGTCATCAAGAACACTTGTAATCTTGTTGAGGGACAGGAGATACTTTATTATAAAGGTTATGGATGTTCACCGAATTACGCATACATACCTTCATATTGGTGTCTCGCATGTAGCTATCATATAGCTATTGAGGAGCTATTATATGCAAAGTACTTACTATGTGAAGTATTTGTCACATATAAAAATGAAAATTGGACTCTATCTTAAAACTTCTATCATCTAGTACCAGAAAGTCTTCGTTATTTCGTACTCCAATGACATTAATCATATACTACAATACTTTGTGTTATAGTTATACAGGGTCCAGCAGAAGTAATGCCTGCTTGAGTGTCATTGGTAAGGTAATAATATGGGTGTAATAATTTAGTTTTAATTTGAGCATTTCACCTAAAATGTTTAATGGTGTGCTTGAGTGTGATATTGTTATATGACAGAATTACATGCTTATGATTTTTTTATTAAAAGATTTTGTAATAAAAAACGGAGTGTTATTTGTGCCAGACCCTGTATACCTATTTGATATTTGAGTCTTATAGAATGCAAAAACTTTTGATGAAAGGAGACTTAAACTAGAAAGAATGAATAAATCCATAGTAATAGGAAAGCACCAGGTGTCTGGGAGAGTTATCAGGGAGTTAGATTTGTTGAGAGTTCAGGGAGTATTAGGAAATATAGTGGGGAAAGTTGGTCAGAATCAAGTTGTGGAAGATTTTGAATTCTTGGTGAACCTTTACTAAGTAATAATCAGTGAATCACTGAAGATTTCTCATATGGTGGGGATAGAATCAGTGTGTCTTTATAAAGGTGAGTTCAGTGTTATCATGCAGGGTGTGTTAAAGGACAAAGTGACTGGAGAGGCAAAGAGCCATTGGAAGGCTACGTCAACAGGCCAAGTGTAAGGACGAGAAGTACCATGTGGCAGCAGTAGCCGTGGATGAAAGCCATTGGGCGGGGGCAACTGTAGAATCTGAGGTGGAACCCATCGACAGACAGAAAAGGACAGAAGAGGTCAACTCCAAGGTTGCAGGTAGTGAATCATGGATATGCAGAACTGGATCTCAGTTGGAGTTAGAGCTGGAGACATAATTTTAGGCATCATCTATAAAGAGGTGATGAATGAAGATACGGGAAAGGAACAGAAATTTGGGGCCTGTTTAGGGAGCAGAAGTAGAGCCAATGGAGACAGAACAAGAATTGGAAAATCATTATCTCAGAATTTCAAGGAAAATATGGATAGTTGACAGATGCTACAGCAATGTCAAAGAGAATTCAGATTTAAATAGGGCCATAAGATTTCGTTGGGACGAACACTAAAGTGCAACAGACAAAAAAAATGACTCCTGGAGTTTCCTGTCTGAGTAGCTCAGTTGATTAGTGGCATCTGGATGAGCCAAGGTTACAGGTTCAATCCCCAGTCAGGGCACATACAAGACTCAATCAATGAATTCATAAATAAGTGGAAAAGCAAATCGATATGTCTCTCTCTCTCTCACTCTGCTTTCCTCTCTAAAATACATATATTAATTTATTATAAGGGAAGAGCAAAAGAATACACTGCCTTAGAGCAAGAGCAAAGGAGAGGTTTTGAGTTTGGTGTAGACTTATGTTTGTAGGCTGAAGAGCATGGATCGGAAGACAGACATTAAAAATGTGAAAGAGGAACTGACTGAAGCCGCAATGTCTAAAAGGCAACAAGAGAGTGATTAAGCACAGAGCTGAAGCGTTAGTCTGGGCGGGGAGAGGCGAAGATGAATGTGGATCCAGCCCTTCTGCAGTGAAGGAACAATTTAGGGAAGTGGTGTCAGATGACCTTCTTTTCAGTAGAAATGGAGTTGAAGTCATTTGCCCATTTAGTCTTTCAAAGATAATTCTAGGAAGGTGGCTGATGTGCTATGCACTGTTCTAGACTCTGGACAATGAACAAAAAAGACAAAAATTCCTGTCTTTGTGCAGCTTGCATTCCAGTGGGAGGACGGACAATACACATATAAGTAAATGAAACTATGCTGGTGGTGGTAAGCACAATGCAGAAGAATGTAGAGGAAAGGGGGGTCTAGGGAGTGTTAAGGAGGCTTGCAATTTCAAATGGCGTGGCCAGGAAAGACCTCACTGGGAACAATGTGGGGGGTGTGTGTGTGTGCGCGCACGCGCACTGATAGCAGGGCTGTTTTTTAGTGATTAAAGCAAACTGAAGAACCACTTGTTTTCCCTCCGGAAATTATATCAGGCCCTTACATCTTCTTCACACACATTATTAGGTGCCGATCCAGAGTGTCCGAATCCCCGCTGCTGGCCACAGCCGTGAGCTCCTTCAGCATTTGTGCTAATGAAATTCCTATTTCCTTGCTTTAAAGACCACCAGTTAGGTGCAGACAGACAGGGAAAGGAGTTTTATTAGATCTGTTATCTACTTCCAACGTCAATGGTAGTCCATAGCCCATCTGTGCCCCTCTGCACCCAACACCATGACCTCTGTATGCTCATGTGGTTTGGGGGCCTAGTTACAGCAATTGATGGCTCCTCTAGAAAGGCAATGAAATGGACAAAAGCAATTCCAGATCAATATCCATTCTTCGTCCCCTAAGCCCGAGCACACACAACTTGCATTAGACAGAAAAGTACCTAAAATTGAGCTAACGATGCTAGAAAAGAAGTTTGACTTCTGAAACGTTAATGAGCTTGTGTATACATATCACTTGGACGTGAACATCCCAGTCCTTAACGAGCATTGTACCAGTGTTGACAAGCAGCAATTATGATAAGAGACTAAGCGACCTTCCCGAGGGAAAGGACAATCCCGCGGTCCAGAGGATGTCTACAGTTCCCTCCCGCACCCTGGGACTCTTCCTGTCCCGGAAGGCCTCTCCGCAGTAGGCCCAGTGAGTACAAACTCATTTTCAACCATTCACATCCGAGGCCCTTAGACCTCACGTCTGTTCTTTTCTTATGACCAGAAACCAATGAGCCACTGAACCCGGTGGAATGAAAATATGGGTTTTTAGTAACTGCAATAGCTACTCCTTTATATACACATAATCCTCATACTACCTCTAAGATATTGTTTTTACCACTTTACAAATAAGGAAACAGAGGCTCAGAGAATCTTACGTAGAAGTGAAAATCTACCCTACTTCAATGAGGTTCTGAAGTTCATTCTTTTAAGCGCTGTTTTCAGTGCAGAGCTGACTTTCTGAAAAGCAGGAGCACAGGTGACAGCAGAGGGCCCTTTGGGACTTGAGAACGTCCACGTGAATCAGGGTCTCTCCGCGTCCTGGACACACGGTTCCTTATACGGCCTTAACGGTCACTGAGGATCCCAGCGAGCCTGGGTTCTGTCCTATCTATCACACTTACCAAATCAGAATTAAAACGAGGGGGAAAAAAACTTAGGTTTATGTGAAAACAATAACATACAGATTTTAAATGAAAGATAAAAATCTGTATTTTTTTGCAAATCTCTTTTTTGCTCTACATTCAATCTGTCACCCTGTCACATGTCATCTAGCCTCTAGGAAACACCATTGTACACTCATGAGAGAAAAAGGAAAGTACACTTGCATGCGTTTCCTTGTATTACCTGCCTGTACTCTGACAGATGTGCTAGATTTCTTTGGGATGAGCTATGACGTGACGCTGGCCACTGAGAGACAGCTTCATACCACGCACACCAAGTACTTACCCTCCAGCCAGGAAATCTTAAAATTGTTAAGCATATCTTCTTTACATGGATACACACACACTCTTTTAAAAAAAGGTTAGATGTAATACTCCTAATAAACTCCTCATGAGGCTTTTCTTTATGGCGTTACAGTAGGTAACATCACATTATTTCCAAGAGGTGTTATGCATTGAATGGTCTCTGTACTAGGCATTAAATAGCCAGTGGCCAGCTACTAACCCAGTAAATGTGGACTTAAGAACTAAAAACCAGCTTAGCTTACAATTTAGTTTGTAACTCACGGGTTAACCTCAAACCTTTAGGGTGAAGGAGTTTCAAGGATTCTGACCAAAAGTTCTAGCTGAGTCACTTACTGTATACACCGTTCCATCCATTACAGGTTCCCCTTGTCTTTGGTTAGCACAACACTTACCAGACACACCCCTGTGTGTCCCCTGGTGTTGCTAACCTTGAATGGTGGCAAGGCCAGGGAAAGCAGCACTTTGAAATGTAGACATGGAGAGGGCCCTCCTGGAACTCATTTTGGTTTAGAAACTATCAAAAATGTTCTTGGAAAATGCTACACTTTCTTTATGTTCCGATGAACAACTGCAAGAAGCAAACATGACACAGATAAGCCTGTTTGCACAAGAATGAAGATAACTTTCAAGAATTAAGGAATGAACGCCTCTCCCTGGTGGCACAAAGAGCCGTCTAAGGAAAAGGCCGATTCTTCGACTACGGAGCACCTAGAGTCCACGGCGCGACCCACTGTCTGGCCTTCTCACAGTTAGGCCTAAGGGACTCCAGGCCAAGTTCCCTTTACTCTTATTCTGCCCCACAAATGCCACCATCACTACCTTCCTCACCTCGTTTTGGTGACTCTGCTACGCTTAGGAACAAAACAGCCTAGTGGCTTGGACCAGAAAGCCAGCCACAAGGACCGCAGTTCTGAGACTGGAGGAAAAATGGTAGCGTTACGACTCAGCAACTCAGATGAGATGGACAAATTCACAGAGACTCAAACTACTGACACTGGCCCAAGAAGATGCAGAAAATCTGAATAGGATTGTTACAAGGGGGTTCAATTAGTAATTTTAAAACTTCCCACAAAGAAAAGCCCAGGCCCAAAGCTATGTCTCAATTTCTTTTCCTAAAACGTGCCCAACTGCCCAAGCCCCTATCACACAGACACATGTTACATACTTAGGGCATCAACCACCCAGAAGCCCCGCAAGCATCTCAGCTCGGCCTCACTTTAATTAGAAACCACTGTTTTATTGAAAAAAGTATAAACAGGTAGCCAATAGGATATTTTATATACAGATATAACAGCCTGCAAGAGGTTAACATTTAAGGAGGGTGCTCTAGATAATTTTTATGGTCCTTTTCAGCTCTCCAAGTCCATGGCTGCATTTAAGGGCAGAGGACACTCAACTGTGCTCCTGTCTCAGTAGAACACAGAGTAACAAATCAACCAACAATTCTTCTATCATAAATTAGATAAACTTTTGAAATGTTCACTTCAACCTTACTAAAACATGCCTAGTTTTTTAAACATCCCTAGTTTAAAAAAAAAATGCTTTGCTCCCTGCTAGAATATAGCGGGAATAACAACTGAAAAGCTCAACCTTCGAGGGCACAGATGACATTTTAGACTAATTGTGGGTCATGTCCAAGAAACGGAGCCCACAGGCCAATAAGGGAATTCCGAATTTCCTTAGGGAAAGCTTGGCTCACATCCTAGATCTTCAGCAGCTCAACACGCTGTTACTTGGTCACTTTTAAGTTGACACTGACTCTATTGCTACTTAGTTTGGAAGTCCTTTTAAAGAAAAAGTAGAAAAAGGCACCACATTTCAGTTCTATGTCAGTGTTAAAATTAGCTTCTCCCTCTTCTTCCTCTTCCTTTTCTTCTCTTCCAAGTGGCTGGTAGCATCAGCAAAAAACATAACTTCACTTTTTGCCTCACATTCTCTCTTGAGATACTCAAGACCTGCCATGTTGAAGCCGATAACATCCTGGGGAGGAACACAAGGACGATTAACACACTTTCTCTCCCTTCCGTTCAGTATCGCAGCACATCAGCAGCAGGGGGCCTGAGCTGATTCAGGTGCTGTCCCTCACCCTTACCTGCCTCAGGTCCTGCTGGTTTCCTAGTCCTATCATCTCCAACGGCCACCTCATCTCAAGTAAGATTATGTCTGGTCAGTGCCACCCAAGACAAGGCACAGCGCGCCATAATACTTCCAAGTCCCATACACACACTAGGATTTCCCCCTTGCCGTTGTATCTCCACAAACATACTTACCCGGACTTGGCTGACTTTTGAAATAGTTGTTTCCTTTAATTTTTCAATCACTGGCACAAGCATCTGGTTGCTAGTGATCTGCCCAAAGTGAATCCTTATAGAAAAACAAAACAGCCATGTTACAAAGAGAGGTAGTAGGCTGGCTCTACTCTTCCTTTCTAGAAACAGTAAAGAGACACAATATCAAAGTAAAAAAAAATAAAATAAAATTATTTACCATATCATGGAGGTTAGAAATACTCCTAACAAAAAAAAGCTAAAGGAATTTTCCCCCTACTATTTGGTTCCATCTGATGACAATTTAAAAAATACTACCCTGGACCTTATCACGTTCAAACACTGACCAAGAGCCCCAAGTTGCCCTTGATGATCTCATGCTCTTTAACCTCCACCACCTTCGACTGGGACCTGCCATGTACCTGTGAGGGGTGCCCATCCGCAGCCCTCTGGTGTGCAAGAGCTCACGGTGTTTCCCTTAGAATTAGAAACCCTGAGGCAACGTACATATGCCAGGGCAATATGAAATTATCGGTGATACTGCTGAGTCCTCACAACTTGCCTCAAATTCTAAACATGGCAGCTGAATAATATATTGTTTTTCTTTTGCTAATATCTGGATCAAATAAAAGGAGTGGAGGGGTAAGAATCATGAAAACAGGCCAATTCATCAACTTTACTAAATATACTTTTTTTTAAGCTTTTTGCTATTGGTTGACCATTTTATTTTGTTCTCATAACAGCATTTTAAGGAATGCTCAATTTGTCTCTGTTTCTGTTTTCTGTTATAACAGCTTGAGACTGAGGAGCAGATAGTGGGAGACAATAATATATTCTTAAACCTTGATAAATATATTCTTCTCTATTATATGTGAACAAGAATTCTTCATAATATTATCTAATGAACGTATTGCCCATTTTAGTTCCTTCTATGTATGTCCTTCTTTTGCATTTGTACCTACGAAGACCTGGAAAATAAATCCACTATTCTTGAAAAAGCTATGAGGAAGACAAAGCAAACCCATTACCTTAAACTAAACAATTACAAAACAACAAAGGAGGCAAACCGGCTATTCAATAGTGGGCTTCCAGCAAACTGCCTAGAACCAAAGCCACTTCAGCAGACCGCAGCTTGGAGACCTGCGACTAAGGAGGCGTCCCTGAGCAATGTGACATTACCTCATGTTACTTGTTTTAAGGGCAAGAATGATTCCGAAGGATAAGAAATAACTTATGTCAAGCAGCACTGAAATTCTCTAACAGTGTCGGAAACCCAAACATCAGATTGTTCTTTTCTTTTTCATCTTCTCCCGAAGACATGTTTTATTGATTGGGGGTGGAGGGAAGACAGACAGACATCGATGTGAGAAACACTGACTGCCTGCCTCCAGTACGTGGCCTGACGGGGTCAAACCCGCAGCCTTTAGTGTATGGGACGACGCTCCACCCCACCGAGCCACCCAGCCAGGGCACACCCGGTTTCTTTACCCCGCCGCGGTGGCAGCTTCTGTTAAGACTCTACTGGAGCAGTTCGGCTGAGGAGACATGGTCTATTTTGGGAAAGGCTGTTACCTGAGAAGAAAGAAGAGGCACCTACACAGAAGTTCCACATCGGAGCCCAGCTGGAGGAATTCATTGAAGAGTTTAAGGATGTCTGGGACGTAAGAGAAAGGCAGCACAAGCAGAGATTCTTCCAGCTCACTGAAGGGGAAACATACGCATTGAGAATGCCATGTTCCTTAACGTGGTCCATTTTCAAATCTTTCCTCTACTATTTTTTTCACATTGCTTTTATTTAATAGATCTTACCCATTCAGAATTAAATACTGATCCATTTCTAGATGGTTCTCTTTTCAATGTTTTGTTTTTTACATTGAATATTTTCATCTGTTGGATGCATTTTGGTCCACGGCATGGTAGGGGAATCGAACTTTTGTTCTTCCAGATAACCAATGTCTCCAAAGCCTTCTCTTGAAGATTCCGTCTTTACATGACACTCCTCCTACCATTTACTGAGTCTTTATGTACAAGAGTCTGTTTCAGGATTTCTGAGTCTGTTTTGATGATCATGTGATTCTGACAACAATCCTGTGCTATTTTAAGTTTACTAGTTTATAGGTTTTTTTATTTGTTTTTAAATCTAGGAGAAGAGCTCCTTTTTTGTTGTTCTGGTTTTGGTTTTGAAATCACAAACCTGTAAATTAGTTTAAGAAAAACTAAAACACAGAACCTTCCCATCTAGGAATGCCCTGTACCTCCCTGAGTCTAAATGTCCTTTTACATTTCTCCAGTGAAGGCTCCTCATTATTCAAATAGGTCCTGTTTATCACTTGTAAGGGATGTATTTCAATATTGTAAGTCAAACTCACAAATAAAATCAAAAGGTAAATCACAAATAAGAAACATTATTCCAAAAATATATGAAAAATTCTTAAACACCAGTAAAGGCAACTACCAAAGCACAAGGAAATGTAACAAAAGTTCACAGGAAAAAAATACAAATGGCTAACAACTATGATACAATTTTAACTTCATCAATAATCAAAAGAAATGAAAATAATACAACATAACCTTCTGCCTCTGAAACCAACAAAGAATTTTTAAAACCCTGGTAAAAGTCTGTACAAGCACTCTGGCAAAGTAATTTAGCAATATAAACCTTCAAAAGCTCACTTATGCCCATTGTTCAGTCATTAGACTGCTAGAACTCTCATCTTAAGAAAAATAATAATAACAAAGACTTCTATATAATGGTATTCACAGAAATAATATTAACAATAGAAAAAAAAAAGCAACATCCAATAGTAATTGTACAATGGAATATTATGAATTAATTCAATGCTACGTTTTTCAAGAACAATATTGGCACATGCTCAAAAAGTATTCTGTGAAAAAGGACAGGATACAAAATTGTATACAAGTGGTTTCAATTGTGTATGTACACACAAAATAAGCTCAAAGAACTGTACTACAAAACACGTTAACTGTTGGTACTTCTGACTGTATTACAGAGGATTTCATTATCTAAATATGAAGTAGCACTATCCTTTATTCGTCCTTAGAAGTAGAGCCTCCTAGATCTACTTCAAAAAGAACATTGTGATGAATTATTTTCCATCAAAATTTTGATGTAGTTAAACCTATTAAGGATAATAACCATCAATTGTAACTTCTCCTTCTCACACGGTTAGATATGCACTCAGTAAAGGTTGTTAGCTGACAAATGGTAGCAATTGTGCACGGAAACTCACCTGGACTTGATTCCTTTAAAAATCTCCAGCACGTAAGTGGAAGGCTGCCAAGGAAGGACAATGGCATTAGCGACGCTGGACTGGTTTCTACTGAGTCCCTAATTCCGTCTCCTAGGAGCCAGGACCCCTCTTTCATAGATCATGTTCTAAAATGGCGAGACACGCAGGAGCCTCGCGTTGGTCAGATCTGGGTTCACTTCCAGCTCTGCCACTTACCAACTGCGTTTCCTTCTACCTACACGTCAGGCCAGTTCCTGTTACATGAAGACCCCCGACTCACGGGGTCCTGTGATCAGTGAGGCGTGCAGGCAGAGTGCTAAGTAATTGGAGGTTGCTGAGGGCGTGCGTCGTCTCGTTAGCCTCCCCTCCCTCCTTTATCTGGCTGATTATGGCCACTTTTCCTCCCAAACCTTCCATTTCAAAGTTTATTTGGATGAACGGACTCTTCAGAGGGCTTTGGGACACAAATCTTGAATAAGCATGCACTAGAATACAGAAAAATGCCACTGCAGTCCAACCAAAGAAAGGCGACTTGGAAGTTACACTAAAATGGTCCTTTTGAAATTCAACATGTTCTAGGAGCTATCACCCTTCAAGAGGAATTTTTAACGAGAAAGCATTACCTCCTTTCCTACCCCTAGAAGTAACCTTTGAATAACCAAGGGAAACTGTTAGACAATCTACTCACAGAGATATTGCCATAAGCCATCAGGATGGGGTTGGTAGGAAGGGGAACCTGTGAAGAAATTGTTAAATCCGGGCATTAGAAAATGAGACTGTGATAATGCTTGTCACAGGCAGGGCGATAAATAGTATTTAACATTTTGAAAAGAGAAAAGACGGACCCCTAAACAGAAAGAGTATACAAGAATCATCAGGCCTTTCAGTTTTGATAGTGCTTGTGAGTGCGTTTGGGCAACAGGTTTCATCGGAAGTCCGAAATGCTCACCCTGCCTCCCGAACCAAAGTGGGAGCACGAGTGTCTGCTCAACACCACAGAATAATCGCGCGATCTACATCTTCCTATCCTTCCCTTTTCACTAAGACCAAGCTTCCTTTCTCTCACACGTCCTCAATTCCTTCTTTCTAACGTTTGAATTAGAAGGACTTCGATTACATTTCCCTCACTTCCTGGTCTGAACTGAAAAGTCGCAGAAATTGTCTGTTTATCGATGTCTCCCACAGCGTAACTCACTGGGTGCCTTACCTCTTTTCCCGCAGCTTTACAAATGGCTTTGTGTTCCTGCATCTTTGCAGTTTCTTCTCGGTAGAGCTCAATAGCCTCCATGACCCTCTCGGCCTACATGACGATGACAAAGGACAGACGTCATCACAACACACGCCTTCATCCCGGAACCCCCACAGGCCTGATTCGAACATCGGCCAACAGCTTGAGTCATTTTAATAAACATGTGCCAAAACACTGCTAAGCTGCATTTAAAGACGTCATCGGTTTTTCTTTTCTTTTTGATTTTCAGGGAGGGCACTGGGTATTCTGGATGCAGGTAAAAATGGATGTGGACGCCCTGAGGTGGGCAGCTCCCAGGAACACCTGGCAGGTGCTACGTTCAGGAGATTAAGCTTTCCCTTCTGGAAACCACGCTCTGGCCGTGTAGCTCAGCTGGTTAGCATCGTCCTGAGGTACACCAGGGTTGTGACCTCGCTCCCCAGTCAAGGGGCTTGCTCCCCCCGGCCCCTGCCACCGAAAATGAAACCACGAACTGATCAAACAGATTCACTACCAGCACCTCCTTGGTTACAAAAAAGGGAGACAGGTTTGATCTCAATATATCCCCATTTAAAAATTCAATCAACATTTTGCCACAAAAGGACTATTTGGTTGATAAAGGCTTTTATTAAAAAGTTCAGATCCCATGGAAAAAAATCAACTTACTGCTTTGACTGTTTCAATAGTTTTCTTTCCAGTAAAGTAATTTTCTCCTTGAGTCTCCCCCGGAACCTGCCAGAAACAAAGAGATCCTTGAATCATGTTGTTGACAAGCATTAAAGAGCCAAAAAATTCATCTTACATCCATAAAAGAACAGGCAGTACTGTTTTATACTGTGTTATCAGCTGCCATTCACTGAGGACTTAGGAGGTGTCGGTGGCCATGTTAAGTATTTTATATGTATTATTATAAGAATATCTGCCTTTACAAATATTTAAAAATAACACCCAATTTCTCAATTATTTTTCTGATTTTTATTTTGTTCTACAGTGAAATAGTTCTCTGAAGTCCCTTAAAAAAAAAAAGAAAAAAAAAGAGCCAGAATATAGTTGACTAGAAAAGACTACTCAGATTCTTTCCCACAATAGCTGGTGATGACTTTGGAATCTGGCCCAATTCTAATTCCATCAGAAACTCTTGAAATTATGGTAAATTCCAATAAGATAATTACAGGGCACAACCTCAGGATCCCAAAAGATTTACTTACTGCTGGTTGGTCTTCTTTGGCCACACTCTCCTCATATTCTGCTTCCCTTTGCTGTCAAGAGACAGAAAGAAATTAATTGGAAAGAAAAAACACGGTCTCTACGTGAAGCGAAATGTGAATGAGACAGTGAGAGGCTGCTTCTTTCAAAACACAACCCCCTCCGGCATCCGTGTCCGCCTGGCCGCTGAAACGGTGGCAGCAGAACTGGCAGCATCTCCTGGACTCTTCCCTTGGACCTGGCACTGTCTCACGTGTGACTGCACTAGACAGAAAACTCTGGATGGGACAGTGTGTCGGACACCCAGCCAGCCTATTTGACACCAGGCCTAAAGTCCTTACCATCTCCCTCTCCTCCTCAATAATGAGAGGTTCCCTCGTCCTCTCCCAAAGTCTCAGGGATTTGTCGTGGGACGATGACACGACATGGTCTCCGCTGGGGCTCACGGCCAAGCACCATATTTCCTGGTGGTGCCCCTGAAGAGAAAACACAGGCACCAAAACCCCGCGTGAGGATGTTCTCCATGGGCTGCTGCTTACATTAGTGACGATCAGCAGTTAATCTTCAAAGCAGGTCTTAAGTACCGAGCAAGCAAAACAGGCAAGAGGTTACCTCCAGGGTCTGAATGTGCTCAAATTTGTCCGCATCCCACTGCTTAATCTTCCGGTCCTTCCCGGCAGTGAAGAAGAGGTGAGACTTGGGTACAAACTGGAGGTGCATCACGCTGAGGAGTGAGAGAAATACTCGAATGTCACTCAATTCCACATTACCAAAAAGAGTCTTGCGCACACCCACAACTTTTAAATAGCTAGTTCTACAGCGTCTCACTTATACGTTAGCATTTGAAAGGTAGGACTGCCTGAGAACCCTACCTAGACAGGGATGCTCAAGGGAGAGGATGCAGGAGACTCAAAGGGAGGTCTGAAACGATGGTACGCACCTGTCATCGTGTGCAAAGAGAGACTTGTGGCAGTCCCCGAAGTCCATCCCCCAGATTTTCACATTCCTGTCGGCGGAGCCCGTTGCTATTAGTGCTCCGTCCTGTGGGGCAGAGAGGTAGCCATCACTTGACCTGATTATGAGGAACTCTATAAAGCAGATTAACCCATTTCTGTCTGAAAGTAATTCCCTTCCTCTACAGAGATCACATACTTCTTTGCTTTTCTCTACAGATCTACTTAGAAGCTTAACCGCCCTGCATTGCGGCGGGCAGTGTTGTGCTTTCACAGGGGTTCTCTCTCCACTTTGCGGACTAGGCAGGAAAAGGAATCCCTGCCAGAGGATTTGGAGGGAGAGAGGCAGCGGGAAAGAGAAGGAATGAGGCTAGGAAAGAATCTACTAGAATGTTAGGACCTAGCCTTTCAACCGATGCTTCATTATTCCTCTTCTCGTTCCAATTTCAAGGCCCAGTTCAAATGCTTGTGAACATAAGACAATCGGCAATATTTTCTAACACCAACTCACTCTGTTAACGCACCGATACAGACAGCTAGAGCTTGTCAATATACACTAGTCATAGCCAGCCACGGCACAAGTATGATTCTGGTCAAGAGTCTCAAGGTTTCCATAGCGCAAAATGCTGTAGACATCCAAATATAAAGCTTCCTCACCTCCTTTCAAAGCAAAGGGGGCTGCCTTTTTTAAGTCTTTGTATTTTAAGGTGCTCCATCAGTTACAGTATTTTAGTCAAAATACTAATTGGGGAATTTGCAACAGGGAGCTTGTTATGAGGATTAATTCAGGTACTTGTGAAAATATTCTGAAAGGATTAAAATAACATATAATAAGTATGATTATAATATTTTCCTTTTGGGGGGCAGAGAAAGATATACAACAGAATGAAACAATAAATACTCTAAAATGAAGATAATCAAGCCAAGAGCTAAGAAAATGCTCTAGAAAGACAACGTGTTACTGAGATGCTATTAAAATTTTACTTACGTAAGAGATGTCCATGCATATGACAGGCAGTTTGTGTCCGTACAGTGAGAGGAAAAACTAAACATTAAAGAATATACATCATTCATGTTTGTCTATAAAACATAGGCATAATTTATTACATGTGAATCTAAAACACAACTGTAAAATACAATGCTCACACTGTCGTGGTTGCTTTATGTGTTTATTTTCAAGGAAGACCCTCCACCAAGGGCAGCCTGCGCCTGTGTCTCGCACACAGACCTGCGTGCCCTTGACAGGGACGCGGCAACCTGGGGGCAGCAACGCCCGGAAGTCCACTGCCTTGGTCTGGACTCAGCAGGGATACTCTCCGATCTCTCTGCCCTGGGGCATGTACTTCACACAATTCCCGGGTTCAGTCCAGTCCTACTAACTCTCTGGGGCCAGGGCCCAGACTGTACCTTTTTAAAACAACCCACATGACCCCCGTGCACGTGTGGAATCACTGGCCAGGGCACCTACTGCTGCTCTTAAAACCAATGGCTGTGACTGGACTTTCTGTCCACAGGGTTTTCTGAACACGTGAAAAGTAACTTGCTTTAAATAGGAGTTATAAACCTAAAGTATCCTTTTCAATCTCCAGCTTCCCTGGTGCCCCTACACTGTTTGATCATATACAAATTTTCAGAAATATATTCCTGCTGGGCACAGTCAAGGCAGCATTTTTAGAGCCTCCACCCAAGGCCAGTCAGAAAGGAAGAACATATTGCCAGGCACAGCCACTGTACCTTCAAGGTGTCAACATAGAAAATTTTCACGGTGCAGTCTAGCAAAGACACGGCCAACAGCTTCTGGCTGGGGGCAAACCTGACACACAGAACATCTTCATCCAGCTGCAAGGTTCGGGTTTGCTTCACGGAAAGTCTGGAATCATAGAAATCATCCAGAAAAAGATAAGTATTCTACAAAGGCAGACAAAAATTCCAGCAAGCTCTTTGGAGCTCAACAGAAATACACAAGGCAGAAGTGCACGCAGTGGGTCCCACCTTAACGCCAATGAAAAATGTCTACTCACCTCTTCTGGGCACTGTTTTCATCTTTCACCAACTCGAAATCCCAGAACTTGACACACTTGTCTGCACCACCTGTCACAAAGCCACGCTGGAAACCGAATGACACTTCAATTACAAGTGTTTTAGTGCAGAAACTCGAATAAGACAACAAAACAGTATAAAAGACCATTTGTATTTAATGGCATGGGATAAAGATTAAGAAAAATGTGGTTTCTAACCCCTTCCATTCTCTTTTGGAGCTGCTGCCACGGACCTTATTTGAGAATTCCTAGTGGACCCTAATGTAGAAAGATGGCAATGCCTGGAAAAGTTCTAATAATAATTTTGTTCAGCCTCAGGAAGGCTCAGCGAACACTCTGGGGGTTTTGCTCCACCTAAGAAGGCGGAAGTGTAAAGACTTTGCTACTCACTAGTAAAGCAGACCGACAAATATCCAGACTGGATAATCTAAATTGTTCAAATTAGTCTCACTGCACTGCAGTGTGAGTGTCAAGTTACCTAGAAGGTGGGAGAAAACCAGATCTCAAGCGTCTGCCTGCCACTGCAGAGATTTGTAACACAGGAAACAGCTTTACAGTGATCCTCACTGTTGCAGTGGCGATAAAGACTGCCCAGTTTATAAAGTCATTGTAAAAATAACAATAAATGACCTAAGGGATGTGAAAATATTTTGGAAAAGAGAGGCCACTGTACAAATATTATTACTATTTACATTTTCAATGCTGTTCTGTTCCGACCCTAATGGCATTACCCACTCTAAGTGCCAGACTCCATTTTTTCCCAAAAATATGTCTACTTTCAATGAATGAAGATTTGCCACCATTGAGAATAGTCAAATGAATGAACCACGACTGCTTAAGGTATTTTAAAAAAATATCGCAAAATGCTCTGAGCAACTGCACCCCCACGGGGCCCAGTGCAGTCCCCAGGGTGACCCCCGGAGGGGAAGCAGCTGAGTGACTCCAGGGGGCTGACCCATTTGCTAAAACACAGCAGACTGACAGGTCGCAAATGAATGGACTGAAAAGGGAGGCAGGAGAGTCTACTCCATCCTCTGCACTGTGCTGCCCAAGGAACTAGTTCTTCTAAGAAGTATCATAAGCCACAGGCAAAAAATCGCGAAGATAAGGAAGCTAATGTTACGTAAATGATGATCGAGAGAAGCTGAACAAGGATTCGTCTCCCAGGGATAGCTGCTCTCACAGTGCGGCACGTGATATGGCATCACATGGGAAATCTACAGACTAGACAAAACGCGGCTTTCTTTGAAGAAGCCCTGAGAGAACTCTGTTAGGCAGCAGGAGAACCAGAGAGGAGAAATGGGAAACGCAGCCAGCGGCGCAAGTCCAGCTTTTCACACGTGGCTCACTCACCTGGTCTGGGGAGAGAGCCATGGACCACAGAGCCCCATCATGCGCATCTACTGTCTCCGTCAGAGCCCCGGAGGCCAAGTCGTACAGCTGCAGCCTTCCCGTCTGTGGGAGACACAAACGAGCACGGCTCCAGGGCACATCCGCGGCCGCCCCGGCCCGCGCCTCCCCGGTTCAACCGCGCACAGCCCTGTGACCACGCACTTGGGAACTGGATTCCCCGTCCCGTGTTCTGTACTTCCTATCCGGCCCTGGCAGGGTTGCTCTGCTGTGTACAACTATGGAATCGTACAATCTGTAGCACTAGACTCCTGCTGTTTTCATTGGTTCCTCGACTTCAAAAGGGAAATACCACAGCCACCGGCAAATCAGAATAAACATAATAGCAAATGGCAAACCTAACAACCCATCAGTCCTTTAAGTGAAATATCCTTGATGATAATTGGCTTCACCAACTCTGCTCCATCTACTTCTGGTTTCCTCTTTTCCCATACACGGGCAGTGAGAAATGGCAATCCACCAACAATGCCAGGGAGGGCAACGAACACAAAAAGTCATGGTAGTTTAGAAAGCAACAGACCAAGCTTCTGTCTGGAGCTCGGTAAGCCCAGGTCCGAGCACCAAGCCTGCCCTGAGCTTCCGCACGTCCAGTGAGAAGGGTGGGAGGTGGAAGGCTGGGGTCCCTGGGTTGCCTCTTTCCTTTCCAACTCAGCAACTGTTGGTGAATTCATCTTTATGAGCCTGTTTTTTAATTGTTTTTAAAGCTGTAAAAGCCAACCTCTCTATGCAGTTGTGGGGATTAAATGAGATAATTACGTTAACTGTGTAGCACAGAGGCTTAGCTAGGGATTGTACGTAGATTGTACGTACTTTAGCGATACAGGTAGCCTTCAAAGCAAATGATCTCCCAACAGCAAACAGTAGACAAACATTTGTTGGAAGAGTGAATGAAACATAAGGGAAACTTTTAATTGAAATTTAATGTTCTTTCTCTGAGAATGACGCTAGGATCTCTCCAGCTTATTTTACACTTTGTGCTGGGCAAAAGCTATCCATTGTGATACACAGGTTTTCTAATAAAATGATCATGCACGTATGGCATTGGATTATGGAGATAAAAATGACAAATATTTGCAAAGCACTTTTCAAAACATTCCGTAGACCTTATTCCATTTTATTCTCACCCTTACTCACTGCTACTTAAGGTACAAGCTCTCATTAGCAATTTGCTGTGAGTGAGTCTCTGTCCTAAGTGCTTGGCATGCTGGGAGGTAGATAATTTACATAATTTTACATGAGGAAACCAGGGCTTACAGGGTTAAATAACTCGCCCAATGGTCTCACAGCCAATGAGTGGAAGGGCTGGGATTCCAACCCAGGCTCATTTGGTGTGAAAGCACTGTGAAAAGCAAGTGTTACTGTCCCCTCATATAGATAAGGAAACGCACTAAGAGAAGTTCTATAATTTGCTCCAAATTACCCATTTTGTAAGGAAGAGATTCTGACTCCGAACCCATGTCTGCTCGTCCCCACTTGGTTATCTCCCAATCTGACCAGCAGCTGGGAATGAGGACTTGGTCAGCCTTTGCTGAATGCCCCTATCTGCCAAGCATGAAGCTAGGTACTTAATGCGTTTTGTCATTAGTCTTCTCAAAACACAATTACATGTGTGCTCGAAAGTGATGCACAAAAGGCCGATTACTGAAATGTTAATGACAGTTATCTCAAGGTCGTGACTTTAATTGTCTTAAAAACAATAAAGAAAACAAAGCCTAAAAAAAAACCCTTAAAAAAGGAAAAATAAACTAACATCATCATATTACCCAGCTCTAATACATTTCCAATATGCTAAAAAATAAGCCAGATTTCTAAAACATCTTTAAGAATATTAAGTAGAAAAGACCCTAAAACCCAAGAAGAAGTCTCAGCTTACCTTTGTTCCTATGACCACCTGCCTATCACCAGGCACAAAGAATGAGCAAAGCGCATATTCACAGGCCATCGTGCGGATGCACTGCAGTGTGGACCTGCGAGGGAGAAGGAAGAAACGTGAATGGGCTGAGGCCCCGCCTCCCCACCTCAGAGGTCAGGGTGTGTGCTCAGTGCACACTCAGCCACAGACAGGGATCAACATGACCGAGGACAACGCCTGACCAATCCTTGGCTCCCACCCAGTCACAGCCAAGGGAGAAAATGTTAAATGGTGCCTAACCTTGTTTTCACTGTGGGGGCCCCTTAACCCCGTGGAGCAGAGATTAAACAGCAGCAGGCAGAGAAAAGTATCAGTGGGCTTCAGAGAACCTGACTGGCCACCACACGGCAGTTAAGTGAGCCCAGAGGCGGTAAGTAAGTAAATTAGCCTACTTACTAGTATATATCCCTATAAGAGATATATCTCTCTTATATATATCTGTATATGTAGATATATGTATCTATATATTTTATATACATAATCTATATCTTTCTATCTATCTATCTATCTAGCTATCTTCATTATACTGGACCGTAAAACTCATCCATTCAACAAATATATATAAAATGCCCACTTCATTCATCAAACATTTCCTAAGCACCAGAGTCTTGTAAAGCTTAACGTTCTTTAGGAACGAGACAAACAAATGCTGGTATGTCAGGTGACAGCAGGTGCTGTGGATAAACACAATGTGGGAGGGGGCAGCGGACTGCCATCAGTGTGGATGAATGGGGAAGAAGGCTCCGGGCGGAAAGGACAGGGAGCTCCGAAGCCACGACGCAGGCAGGTTCCTGTTGTGTTGCAGGGATGACAAAAAGGCCAGCGCGGCTCCGCTGGAGCAGAAGGGGCAGCAGTGAGAGAGGAAGGACTTCGGCTTTTGGTCGGAGGGAGGTGGAGCTGGTGGAAGTGACACGACTTCCGCTGTAAAAAGACCGCCTGGCAGCCGTGTTGAGAAAAGACCACAGAGAGGCCAGGCAGGAAAGCAACCAGGAAAGCGGAGACAGTCCCGGGAAGTGGGTGCTTGCAGCGCAGGCGGGAACAACGGCTGGATTCCGGATTAAGTTTTGGAGGTAAAGTGGACAGGATTTGCTAATGAATTGGTCGGGGATATAAGAGAGAATCAAGAATGGCTCCAAGGATTTGGGCCAGAACAACCGGAAGTAGTTAGGTACTAATGAGACAGGTAAGAAGCTAGGAAAATTCCTGGGCAAGTGGAATGGGGAAACTGAGAGGAGAAAATTAAACAGGGCCAAACAGCTTGAGCAATTTAGAGCCAGCTGGTGAATCCCAAGACCTTACCTCCCCTAACCAAGGACACTTGGGAGTAAATGGTTTACACCTCCCCTCCCCAACCAGAGAACACACAGCCTCCCTGGCCATAAGCCACGGGCGTCGGGAAGAGGAGGATGCTGATGCAAACAGAGAGGTGACACCGGGACAAAGGAGCCCCTGGGGGAAGGAGCCGCGCGACTCCCCGTGCAGCTCCCCCTCCCAAGAGAAAGTGCACAACTGTGCTCCCCCGGGAATCGCCCCCTCCCAATCCCCACGTTTCTGTATAAGCTTCTGGAAGCTCAAGGGGAGGTGGACGTTAGGGTTTTGACCAGCCACCCTCTCAGCTCGCTGGCCTCTGATGTTTAAAGTGCAATTATGATCCGACCCCTGTCTCTGCTTTCTGGCTGAGCGGTGACAGGAAGCAGGAGCCCTGGAAATGGCCGCCTCTGGGCTCCCTGAGATGGGGCGGCACAGAGGGTGGGAATGCTGCCGAGGAAATGAAGGCCACAAGTACGGTTTGGGACGTGTGAAAATTTGAGATGCCTGCTAGACATCCAAGTGGTGGTCAAACAAAGGATTTGGATAAAAGAGCCGGATGTTCGAGGAGAGGCTGAGGCTGGAGGTACAGATTTATGCAGCACCAGCATAGAGAAAGCCCGTGACTAAAGATCAGCAAGTGAGTATAGACAGGAAAGGTCCCGAGGCGCTCCCCTGAAGCATACCCACACTGACGGTAGAAGGATCCAGAAAAGACTGAGAAAAAAACAGCCGCAAGAGGAAGCGATGAGAGTCAAGGAAGTGTCTCAGAGAGGAGCAAGTTATCAGTTCAAGCAGAGAGCGTCAAATGCAGCTTATAGGCCACTGGGTTTAGAAATAAGCTCACTGCTGAGGCGACCAGAGCGGTTTTGGCGAAAAGGCGAGGATAAAAGCCAGATGGAGACAGAGGAAGACAGAATGGAGAAAAGCAATGGGGTGATGGGGGGCTGACCGGAGAGAGACGGGGATGAGACGGGGCGGTTGTTCCCTGTGAGACGCGAGGTATCACAGCCCATCTCTGTGCTGATGGAATGATCCAACAGAAAGGGAAAATTATCAATGCAGGGGGAGGAAGATGCCAGAAGGGGAGATGAGAAAGAACCTCCTATGTAAATTATGACTAATTTTGTTGAGGGCTCCACCACAGCACTATGAGGAAGGACAGATTATGTGGATGTAGATGTAGCTCAGCTGGAAGATGTAATGGGAGCGTTTTCTAGAGGATCCACATTTTCCCAGGGGAGCAGGAAGCAAGGCTGTCAGCTTCAAGGTGCTTGAGAAAAGAGGGCGTGAAACAGTCACCTAGCAAAGTAAGGAATGAAGAATTACAGTCAAGTTCCTGGACATTGTGGAGAGCCGACTTGAATTGAAAGAGTAGGCAGTATGTTTGCTTTTCTCCAGTCAAGTACAGCTACAAGCACAGACATGGAATAAGTTTTAATTTTTTGGTGCGAAATAAGAAGGCAACTTTTCCTACTCTAGACTCCACAGGCCTATGCTCAAAATGCACTGAAGATACATTTTGAGGGAATCATATTTAAGGCCTTAAAAAACGATTAATAACTACCCATGAAGAGTATTAAAAACTAAGTCAAAGGGAAGAAAGAAAACACTGTGGGATAAAGCTACAGGAAGTGTCATTTCACGAACCTGTTCCAAATCTTAACGGAGTCCGCTGCGGCGGAAAGGACAGCGATGTTGTCCGAGCTGAAGGACAAAGTCCTCACATCGCTGCGATGACCGCCGAGGGTTATCCTGCTTGTCCTCACAGGCTGCGGGGTAGGCGCTGACAGATTCAGTGAGTATAATTCCACCAAGTTGTTTTGCAGCAGGAAGACGGCCTTTAACTCCCCTTGGGGTGAATGAATCAGGTCGAAGGATCTGCATGAGAAAGCATTCATTAATGCCCAGCCACTCTCTTAGTGCACATGGTTCACTTTTTCTGGGAGAAGGGCTTTGCAGTGTCCTCAATCTACATGACATCTGAACAAGCCTAAAGAATTTTACATGTGGAGTGATCTGAGTATTGGAGAGCAGTTAAGTTAAAGAAATCTAGGCTTAGATACTGGATCTGACACAGACCTTGTTTATGTGTATCTTTTATAAGTGACCTAAAATCCTTTTGGAATATGAGGTATACATTTTTCTTTTTAATCGGCGGCAGGAAAGAATAGCGCACACGCAGAGAAAAGGTCGTTACAAGAAAACAAGCCTGATGATGAGTGAGTGGGTCGGCGGGGACGGCAGCAGCAGCTGCGTGTCACACGGGCATCCCGTGGTCACTGTCTGCAAATGTGTGACCCGTGCGGACTGCTCACGGACAGCGGGACAAAGCCCGTGCAACTCTGCAGCCTTCCCTTCCACAACACTCCCGAACGCTCCGACACTCCACATACTACCTTCTTACTCACTTGATTTTGGCGGAAGCTTTGATATTTGTCACCCGTTGGACTTCATCTTGCAGCGTCATTTCAACACTCACTTCAAGGTCCTGCTCCTCCCCTTTGCAAGAATTTAGTCTACAAGGAAAAAAAGACTATCATTCTATCACTTTTCTAGGAGAAGCTCTGCTATCATTTGAGTCAAGTTCTGGCTGAGACCAATAATCTATGTGATCTTGGAAGTGTCACTGAACCACACGGGATCACCATGAAAATTAAACATGCAGTGGATGTAGCAATGCTTTGTGAACCACAGTGTCACAAATATAAGGTGTTATTCCTTTTAATGGGTATTCTCAAAAGATGGATTCTGAATACAACAGCCCATACAATTTCCCAGGACAAGGCTTTGTTTTGAAGTATTCCACTGAAATATCTGGTAAATCTTCCTAACTTCAGGACGCTTTAGAAAATCTACTAACCTGCATTTGCCAATCCAATCACATCAAATAAACCAGAGACCTCAAAAGAGTTGCCAAGTCAGAGAAGTCAGTTAACTTTTTAATTCTTTGAGACCTGATGAATTTCAGCCACCGAAGAACTGATTTCTATGGTTGTAATGACTTATTTCAGTGTTATATTGCCTCTCAACTTCAATTACATAACTGTCCAACCAGACTTTCTTCTCACAGTCCCAAGGGTTGGCATTAGGACAGATTGCTGTCACTGAAGACACTCTGAGCCTCTGAGAATTAAAGCATTTAGAAGCCATTTTTAAAAATCTCTATAGGGCTGGCTATAGCTCAGCGGTTACTTCGAACGAGCATTTGCTTAAATGAAAATCTGTACAGTCTTTCTAGCTCTGTGTGGCTTTGAGTTCAAGACTCAGGGATGCACTAGTTATGAAGCTATAGCAAAGAGCAAAAATTTAAAACTTGGACTACCAGCATGCCACAAAATCTCCAACTTTCAACAGAAATTCGTAATAGAGTAAATATTTCCTTAAAGCACCCACAGTTACACTGAGTACTGTGAGCCCCAGGATACTTTATTGGTAGTAAATGTTAAGGAAACATACTTGGCTTTCTTTCTAGCTTTCTTCATCTTCTTATCCATTTTCTTCTGAATCTCCTCTTTGGAAAGGATGTAGAACACTTCCAGCACAGAGTCGGTTCCCTAAAGAAACAAAAGGCTGATGTGAGCCCAGGATGGATGACTTGTAATTCAGCTTTTTCTCAGTGAGAACCAAACCATGGCGTTTCTTTTTCTTCCCTTACTAGTTAGTTGTAGCACCTTGGACAACTTAGGAGTTTACGGTCTCATCTGTAAAGTGGGTGGATCTGCCTCCTACTCACAGCCTTGCTCTGAAGACTAAGTAAGAGTTAATACTTTTAAACGGCTTAGAAAAGGAGATATCTAATAAATGGTTGCTAATAAGAACAATAACAGTAATTATTATTGTCACTGTGCTCTTAGAAGCTAGAGATTATAGGTCTACACAGGATCATATAATGATTTCTGAACATGCCTGAAGAAAAACTCCTCTCTACACTGCACATGCAAGAGCAAGTCTCTGAAAGGGGCAGCCTCATCCCCGATATTTCCCCCTACGCCTGGTACTCACATGGCAAGCGAGAATCCTGCCTGTCCTGTCGGTTGCGAGGTTCACGACTCGGTCCCTTCCTTCCCGCATTATGGAACCAACTTTTCTGCATGCAAGGATACGCTACAGAAGAAGCAACACGTGAAGGTTAATGAAGTTCTGCTGAACCTCTGAAAAGATATGATTCCAAGAAATGCAGACAACGCAGATATTCCCTCCAAGGATGACGAGAATCACCACCTTGGTTACAATTGTCACCTTTCCCACCACTCAGCTCAATTAAAGGAAAGAAACCAAAATGAATTACATCTTCAGGAGCTTCATCGGTCTCGGGGGCGCCATCCTCTGCTTCTTGCAGGTCCTGTATTCCAGAGGAAGGCCCCTTGATTTTCTTGGGCTCTGGTTCTTCTGGATCTTGAATCTGTTTTATAGAAATGGGAAAGTCTGAAAAAATGTGTTCCAGGAGCTGACTTAGAAACTTGTCCTGCTGGCCACTAACTTCCACTTAATGATCTCCCTGATCAAACCTCTTCAACGGAAGGACATTTATGAGAACATATTAAAAACAGACTCTAACAAATGCAAACCCAACACTGCTCCCTATACTATCTCCAATAACTTCCAGCTTTCATAAGGACTATTATTTAGTAATAAGGTGACTTTAAAACCTTCTTAGGTGAAAGATCGACTGTCTTCTAGAGGGGAAGATTTTAACTGGCCTTAAGAATTGCAAAGGCATTGCAAGACAGGTTACATTTTCTCCTTAAATAAAGAAGAAATAAGCCTACTGATGTAGAAGCTATCGGAGTGCCTGCTGGACACACTGCATACCCAACTCCAAGTAACACTAAGGAGCGTAACTTTTTCTCCTCAGAAGATCTTTGAGGATCTGGGAAAAAGTTAGAGATCTTCTCAGAATATACACATTTATAAATACACAATTTTTACGTAGATTTTTGTTTGAGGGGAAAGGGTCACAGGTACCTGAAGTCCACCATAGGTACCCAAAGGTCAGGGAATATCAGACTAAGAATCCCATGAACTAAAACAGCATTACCAGAAGCTATACGCCTAAAGCTGTCCTTTGGAGCCCAAATCACTGAGGGCAATGGAGCACAGGATGAAGAACAATTTACTTACAAGGTGTCGGTTATCAGTGTGACGGCACTCTGTTAGTACCCTGTGATGCTACGTGAAGCACTCAATAATTACATCTCATTCTGAAGTCAATGAGCCTCTAAACCTGCTCAACCAAGTCAGGCACCTGGGCACATGATCGGGAACAAGTCATTACCTCCGGCAGGTAGGCTATGTCCCAAGTCCTCAGCTCGCTGTCGGAAGCCCCTGTGATGAGTCGCTTTTCTTCTGACACCAGAACCAACCCCCACACCTACAGGGTATAAAAAGATTCAAACAGTACAGCTCTTAAGACTCCAGGATGCACAACAGGACACTCCAAGTTTCATTACACTGTAGTGGAATCTCTTTGGCATTTGCAAAGCCTAACCTCAAGGCAACCCTTTCAACCTATACTAAGAGGAACACTGTCACAAAGAAAAAATGGCCCGTAGTAATACTGGTGTCTCTGTGTCAACTAGGTGTTTTGCTGCAATTTCCTATTCTTAAATTTAGAGAATGGCTGTTCAGCATAAATCCTAAGGAGAGTCCACTCAGTGAAGATTTTTCAATCTGATATTTCTTTGCCTCGCAAATAAAAGGAGCTCCATTCATGTCTATTGCATAATGTTCAGCCTCAAATAGCCAAAAACTAAACAGTAAAAATAGCAATACTGTTGCAGATCAATTGTCAAAGAATATAATTGGCTTTTTCTCTTCATATACTCCAGGTCTGTTTTTGAAAGCCTGGTATGAAGAAAGCACAGAATAGGATGCAAAGGTGTGCTATATTCCTTGATTTCTATCGAAGAGATCTGTGTTCAAGTAACTAGTATAATAACTACACTCTGCTTATCCATGGATTAAAAACTTATCCAAGGCCAATTTTTAGTAAATGCCAGTATCTGCTCTGATGGCTCCACCACACTGACTTCCGTCTCTCCAAACCCCACAAGACGGTTACTGGCAGCCGCAAGAGCAAAGAGCCGTGAAAGGACCAGAGAGAACCCCAGCTTCTCCCCGGCCTCGCGCTTCCGTCCCTGGGCCCGGGAGGCTCCCCGTACCTCAGTTCGGTGGCCCACCATTGTTTTGAAGCAGTGCTGGGTATCAAGGTCCCACCATTTCACCACGGTATCTTTCCCACTAAATGAAGAAATAGGAAAAAAAATCTCATTAGGAAAAATCATGAAACTAACAGGGAGATCAAGGTCTCATTCGTCGCCTTAAAAAGATAACACATAGCAATAATGCCTAATGCAGGCTATTCTACCCAACCTTTCTTTTAAAAAGTAAAGGATCTGATCTCTCCATGTGGCTATTTTTAGGCAGAAAATAAAGTGTTTCACCTGCCAACACAAAAATAACTGGATCTGCTGCCTGTCATCTTCATCATCACAGCATGAACATTCTTGAACACCGTCTCACCCAGAAACTTCGCAGACCTCTCTTGCTCCCTTGTCTCCCATGTCGTTAGGCTCTATGGCCGGAAAACGCCACCTCTGTGAAGTCACTGAGCCTCGATTCCTTCCGGTCCATTTCTGTACACAACCTGAATGTAAGTCCTGCTGCCTGCATTATTTTAGCAGCGCCTCATCTGGTCTCTGCTCATTCCTGTTCCCTCATCACACCCAAAACTCTCGCAGAGAATCTCAATTTGCTAAGTTTACACTAGTTCAAGCTTCTCCACAGACTCAAAATCGGGCTCTTCAGCGCTGTTCACAAAACCTCCCATTAACCGGTCCTGAATTCCTCTGCCAAGGGGCTCTACTCTTCCCTGCTTCCTCACGAATACAAAGCTAATAAAATCATCCTTCATGACCAACGTGGAAAAAAACCCCAAAACTAAAACCCGGTTTACAAAGCCTTTCCTACGTAATCCCACCTCCTTTATGTCCCCTAAACTATAGCGCACATGTTCCAGTGGAGCCGCAGCCATTCATTCTCTCGCCGAATCTGTCGTCTGAACGGGACCCACTTGTGCCCCCCCGTGCTCCCCACAGGCACCAGCCGCCCCCCACCCCCTGGCACAGCGGTCGCTGCTCCTGTACAGCTTCTGAGTGGTCCCTATGGCTCTGCTACCAACTGCCTGGCCAACCTCAGCGCCTCAAACTTTTCTGGGTGGCCATTCCTTAGGAATGATAATTATTGTGTTAGGTTGAAGTCTACGAAGTTGCTGACATCCGATCTATCATTTTTGACTTACACAAATAAAAATTTCAAAGGATTTAACTTCATAAATGTCAGAAAGCCCAAATACGAAGGACGCTTCTTCTCAAAATGCTAAATCAAATACTTGGTATTTGCATCGGCCCCCTGCTTCATTTTGTGCTTTCCTGACTTTCTGGGATCCAGAAAGTGGACAGCTCATTCTAGAGAAGGCATGTCCAGAGGTTAAGGAACATGGAAAAGCTGGTATCAGAGGAAAATAATGACAAATCAGAAAATGGAACTTTAAAAGGCTATAAATAACTCTGGGTGGCTTGTACGATACCATGCAAGGGGAGGGAAGGAGAGAGAAGCTGACAGCAGAGGAAACTAGCACATGAGCTTGAGTGTAAGGCTGAGAAATGAGTAAGGAACGAAGCAAATTCCCCTTTTGAAGCCCTCTCCCATGGATTCACCTAGGAAAGAACTGGAAACAAAACTGTTCTTTATTTACCTACTAACTAGCAGATTCTTTTCTCGTAGAAACAATGCTTGTGTGACGGCGTCCTTGTGCCCCTTTAGACGGTAGAGGCCACTTTCATTGATCACGTCCCACACAATAATATCTGTGTCCTAAAGGGATCAAACAACAGAAGAATTCTCTTTACCACATCAGGCCTGATGATAGGATGTAATATTTTTATTACAAAGGCAATGTACGGTCCTTGTACGGAATTTGGGAAGCACACAGAAGAGTACAGAGGAAATAAACACCAGTTAATCTGCCCTCCAGATACTATCACCATCGGCATTTTGTTTTATCTAGTTCCAGTCTTTATGCACACAGGGTCCGGAAGAGGTCACGCCTGCTTAGGTGTGGTTGGTAGGGTAATAATATGGGTGTAATGATTTATAGTTTTAATTTGAACATTTCACCCAAAATGTCATATGGTGTGCTTGAGTGTTGTATGGTTATGTTACAGAATTACGTGCTTATGATTTTGTAATTAAAAAAAGGGGCATGATTTGTGCCAGACCCTGTATCTGCAGGTGGATGTCTTCCTGTTAGAAAACTGGCGCTGTGCTGTTTTTATGATTTTAAAACCCTCCCCCTTTTTTCATTTAGAGTTATTTCCATTTTTTCATGTCCTTTTAGACTGTTCTTGTTTTTCAATCATAATAATCCTAAAGATATGCCGTAACGTATTTAAATTTTTTTTCTGTTTTAGCCATTTAGGTAGTTTTCAGTATTCTACCATTATAAATATGTGAAAATGAACATTCTTGCACATAGATCTTTGTATGTATCTCTGACCAGAATAAGTACTATGAGGGGAAATTCTCGGGTTGAAAGGTGCTTCTATTTTTCAGGTTTACGAGTCACACCATCACGGCACTCTCCAGAAAGGCTGCGCCGACCTCGAAGTCCACCCGGGATGTGGACGACAAAGCCTACTCTCCCGTTCCATCAACTCCGGAGCACTGTCGGTGTCTCCAACACCACTGCCAATTTCACAAGTTAAAACTGCTGTCTCGGTATTTATTTGACTTGCATTCCTGAATACCAGTGAGAAATTCTGTACACGATCTGTGGTCGTGACTGGCCATCTGTACCTCTTTTAACTACCAAGTCATGTCTTTTGTCTACCTTTGGGACTTATTTTTCACTTGATTCTAAGTTATTAAGAGACAAATGATACTAACCCTTCCTTTTGATGTTGGAAATATTATATATGCTCCTTTTTTCACTGTCCTTTACCGTCCCCCCTCGTTTTACTCAGGACAAACTGGCACGCATCTCCGCGTGGGGTTCAGGCGGGCAGCACGGGGGTCAGATGCGCGCGTGGGGGTCAGATGCGCGCACGCGCTGCGGAACGAGGACCGCAGCAGGTTGAGCTAACACCTGTCTCCTCACGGAGACAATAAGGGGAAGGGAAAAGGGAAAATATATTCTCCCTGTGATGAGAACTCTTAGGATCTACTCGCAACATATTTTCAAATGTACAGGTGTTCTAAATTTACGTATTCAACTCTTTCAATCTTTTTTCCTTTTTAGTTCCTTTCTTGGCTGATATGCTTGAAGTCCTTTTCCACCTTGGTATCAGGTAAATACTTACATATCTTCCAGTTTACTTAAAATATCTCCCACTCCTTAATATTTGTCTTTAATCTGGGGCTCATTTTAGTGCATGGAATGAGGTAAAGCTTTAACTTAATTTAAATATCCCCCCCCCCCCGAGAGTTAGCCGATTGTCTAAGTAACATTTTATAAGTTATCCATCATTTTTCTATTCATCAGAAATATCATGTCTAAAATATACTAATTAGGAATAAAAAGTGGATTTGTTTCTGGGATTCTCATTAGATTGCAATAACCTATTTTGTACTGATACCAGATTATAATGTTTTAAATCATGACCTCATATTGCATTTTAATATATGAAATCTCCTAAAAAGATCTAACCCTAGGCGAAAACAAAACTAAACTAAAACCTTCTTTTATTAGTCCTCTTTCCCAAAATCCTGGTGTTTTTGATTTTTTTTTCATACAGGCCTCTAAATCATTTGATCACATTCTAAAAACTGTTGGGATATTTATTTAAATTGCTTTTACTATACAAGTTAATTAGAAAACACTAGCATCTTTTCAATACTTTGTTTTTGCATTCAAAGACATGGTTTGTGCCTCTATTCAAGTCTTGTTACATTTTTTCAGCACAGTTTCATAGTATTTTTGTTATTTAATATACTATTAGAAACGGAATCTTTTACATCATGTTTTTCCAGCTTTGAGATATAGGAAAGCTACCTATTTTACCAAACTCAGTGGAAAGGAATTAACATTTTGTCTCTCCTTTTCCAACCTGTTTTGTTCCGCTGGTGTACTGCCTGGGTAGCACCACCACGCTGATGCTATACAGCCCTTACCATGGGCATCCCTACCTTGCTCCTATAGTTAAGAGGCTCCAATCAGAGAATATGACAGGAAACAAAACAAACCCCCTAACTCAGGCCATCCTTCTCCCTCTGTTTGACCATCTCTACTGTTTTGTACACGATGTGCCCATTGTTTTACCCAACAATTTTTGTGAACATCCCACCTAAGCATGGGCCTTACACTCCTTTGATAGACCGAAGTCTGGGCACCGGACTGAAGGTCTCACCTTGGACCCAGACGCCAGCCTGCCTCCTAGTTGATCATACTTCACGGAAGTGATGGCTGCTTTGTGTCCGTTGAAGGTCACGTTTCCTTCCCCGCTCAGGAGACTGAAGATTCGAATAGACCCATCCTCATAACCCACAGCCAAGTGCAGCCCATCTGGAGAGGGGCACAAGCATGTGACTTCCTGTTTCAGCCCCTGAAGGATGAGGATCTGGAATCAGAGAATCAAAAAAAGAGTACAGGAGTTAAGCATGTCATCAAGGGAAAAGTGTGGGTATAATCAGGAACCGTAAAACCAAGAGCATCAGTAACTCCAAATCACTCTTATAAATGAAACTCTGCAATCCACCTGAAGTTCTTTAATGCACGAATTATTATTTGTAGTGGGCAATGAAACATTTAAGGAAAAGTAAAATTAATTTTTCTGAAGCTCTACATTAGCATAACACGTGCGCAAATTTCCCAGGCAATAGAATGAATTACTAAGTCCTTATCCTATATCAACACAGAATGAGTTTCCATTAAGGGCATCCTTGTGTTAACAACATATAAGAAACCAACCTATAAGGCACCAGAGCGCTATCATGTTTTATCCCTAAGGAACTCTGTGTAGCAACGAGAATCACAGTATTAACCTCTTGGGAGTCACAGTGAGTGGGCAGGATCAAAATGCCTGAGTGCGATCTCGCAGAGGTGGTAGGTTTATGGAATTTAGAACTGCACGAAGTATCAAAGGCTAGTTTAACAACCCTGCGCCTCATCTGTATAAGAAAAGATTTGGTCAACATAGCAGAGAACTATTCCCTTTAAATGCTTACATTTTATACCTGGTTGTGAGGGCAGGTAGAAGAACCTGAAAATAGAGAAGTGGTAAAGTAGGGACAAACAAACATGGGGCGGGTAGTGGCTACAAACAATTACCTGTAAATATGATTACAAACAGACACCGAAGAAGGAAGCCCTTCTTGCATTGTGGTTTTCAGAATTCAGTGTAGAAGAACACAAGAGAACCTGATCCCTGGCTATTTGTGCCCCCCCCCCAGCCCCCGCCAAAGAAAGATGTCCCTCCTAGGGGCACGCACTAAAAAAACCTGTGCCTAATAAATCAGAGCTCTCCCACTTCCGCCTCTGCATCCTTACACACCCATGCAACATCGGCCCAGGTGATTTCTGGCTTACCTTCTCTCCTTTTCTTAGGTCCCAGATGAAAACATGTTCACAGGCTGGCACTGCCACATAGCGTCCTTTCTCACCACGAAGTGTCACAAAGACAATATTGCCTTTTTGGCTGCCAATAAGGCCAAAGACTGCACTGGCAACATAGCGTAGGTACTGTTTGGTGAGCCCCATGTTAGAAGGTCTGGAACCACAGGTGAGGCAGCTGCGCAGGCAAACAAAAAATACTCCTCAGTTCTTTGGGTACCTTGGTTCTACTAGACTAGTGAACACTAACCATTTTATCATGTGGTTAACTTATATAGTAAGTCACAACATAAAATACCTGGACATCTTAATTTTTTATTGACGATTCAACATGCAATCCCTCATTCATCAAGCTGCAGACTGGTCACATTGTCATGGCCCTCTCACAAATAACTGACATATGGCCTCAACGCAGCTAAACAATTAGCTTCTGCCCATTCAGCCCCCATCCAAGTTTTTACATTGAGATTGAGAGCCTGAGACCGAAAATATTTATCAGTGAACATTTACTGTAAACTTACTGATTAGACGGGCCTTGTAGATGCTAGAGACACAGGGAAACAAAATACTTGACCCCATTGGCATCTACCTTCTAGCACAGTGATTCTCAAACCCTAGTAAGTATCCAGATCATCTGGGGGCTTCTTAAAAGAGATTGCAGGGACCCACCACCACCTCACCTCCCCAGTGTCTATGCGGATTCAGTAGGCCTGGGGTGCGGTCCAAGATTTTTTTGGTTCCACACTTTGAGATCTAGTGTCCTAGTATAGCCCTTGATTTCCGAGTCAGGGTCGCCACCTCCCTTTGGCACAGAAAATGGTACAGGAACTTGGCACACTATTTCTGGAAGATGCCGTTGTCCCTGCCCTAAATCAAATTCATTGAAGACACTGGTTATAGATAAAAGAGACAATGCATGAAGGAGATGACAAGCCAAGCCCATCTGCTCCTGAGATGGAAAAGTAAAAAATATGCCCCCAAATGCCCATGTAACTTATTGGCCTCATTTTTCTTATCAGAGGAACCAACATAAAGCCAGTGAAAAATCAAGGAAAGATAGTATCAACATGGTGGTAATCCTTTTAACCTAGGCCATTTGATCAATACTTTCCTAATTCATCTTATTCCTCAACTGTCCTTGTTCCTCATGACAGTTCCTGGCTACCTATCGAGTCTTTCCACAGTAGTTCCCTAGGAGAGGTTCTATGGCCTGCTCTGCCAGGGACCACCACATCTACTTCCAGTTCTGTCCACATCCGTGGTGACTGGTTAGACACCCCACTGGACTACCCTGCAGCATCATATTTAACATATTTAAAACCAAACCTACCTCGCTTCCTGAATCCCTCTTACTTTTTTGTGACTTGAAGATACGCAAACCTCCTAGGCACTCAGGCTTTAAAACCTTGTAGAAACCTTTGGCTCATTACCAAACAATGCTTACTACAGATAGTTCATGACTTACAATGGGGGGACATCCCAATATCTCCGTCGAAAATATTGTACATTGAAGATGTATTTAATACACCTAACCTACCGAACATCACAGCTTAGCCCAACCTCCTTTAAATGTGCTCGGAACACTTACGTTAGCCTATGGTTGGGCACAATCATCTAACACGATCAACCGACTAGAATATTGGTAATTTACCTCTGTGATCAGGTGGCTGATGGGGGCTGCAGCTCAGTGCCACTGCCCAGCTCCTGAGAGGATCATTTGGTGGCGTATGTTTAGTTGGCCTGGGAAAAGATCAAAATTCAAACCTCAAAGTACAGTTTCTACTGAATGCGTATCATTTTTGCACCATGGTAAGTAGAAAAAGCCCAAGTTGGAACTCTCTGTATATGGTAACTGATATATAACTGAGTAAACATACACAGTTGTTCAGTGACATATAGCAATTTAGTTCATTAAATGAATATAAATATATGGATTACTAATATATGCAAAGCACTTAGAAAAACATCTAGCATCGTGTAAATATAAAAAAAATTCTTCACCATAACCTCCAAGGTGGGCACTGTTCTTATCTCTGTTTTACAGACCAGGGCACGCTGCGGTGAAGTGCAACAGCTCCCGCAAGGACATTCAGTGAGTTGTCAGTGCCAAAGCCAGATTCCAGTCCTGCCCAACTCCAGTTTCTTCTTTTAACCGCTCAGCTAAACTGCTTCTCTGCCTCCGTCCTCTTCTGTCAGAAACTTGCACCTAGCTGATTGCTTCCCTGAGTTGGGATCCTTCTCTCTCTACTTTCTGTTCTAGTTCTTTTTATCACTGAGTTCCTGCACTACTTTTCCATCTAGCACCTCTACTGGCATGTTTTTTACTCTTTTTATTTAAAAGTCAAAATACTATCATCCTAACCTTTTCACATGCACTGTCCCTACCCTCAAACCCTTGAAAAGGCTAAGCTGTTTGCAGTTTCCAAGAACTCATCCTATCTACCTCTCTTTCTTTCTCGCATAACCTCTTTTGTCAGGCTAGTTGGTTTCCTTCCTTGTCCTGCCACCTTGCCTTCATATTGTTCCTGTCCCCTAAAACGAACATTCTCCCGTGTATGTATTTTAATCGACGTTATCCTGAGGCCCACCTCCGTCGGAGCTGGTCCAATTCTCGCAGCCTTTTCCAATGCCTCAATATTTGAATACAACTTGGCATCGATCACTTGTCTCATGGGCACAGATCTCAACGACCTTTGGAGAGAGCTCACGCCCTAACCTTCCTGACAGCCCTACCATCATCCCTGCTTCCTAACCCACAGCCACCCAAACATGTTGCTTCTATGATGCACCGAAGGGCTGGGGCGTGGTAACAGAGCTATCCGACGTCCCTAAACCTAGTCTTCGATCAGGAGAGGGCGAGAGGGATTCTGCACCCCGACAACGCTGCCGGAGCATCCTCGGGCGAGCTTGTGCACGCGCGGGGTCAGGCGGCATTACTGGGCGCACGCCAGCCCCGGCCGTCCGCGGGCGGCCTCCAGGTAGGGCGATGGAGTGTGCGATCGCCCAGGTATCCCCCCACCCCAGCGACCGTGCCAAATGCCACCCCTGCCTCGTCGGCTGGGGCACCGCGAAGGCCTCAGGCAGGACCAGCCAAAACCGATTAGCGGAGCAAAAGCGCCTTAGTACTCACCTCTGCCTCCACGAGGCTGCCAGCCGCTCGGACCCGCCCACCGGACCCACCCCTTCCGGGACCGCTCCTGGACCCTCTTCCGCCCGGCCTCTCCGAGGCCTCCGAGGCGGAAATAACGTAAGACCCGGGCTCTGATAGGCGAGCGCCTACGGGGAACGGAAGTCAGTGTTTCGCAGTCCAGAGATCTTGCAGCTGGTTGCTCCGGCTTCCTGGCACTTTGACTCTCCTTACCCGCCGAGCTCTGGGAAGGGTTGTCCGGAATGCCGCTCGAACGCTTTCTACGAGGAGCTTAACCCGCCTCGCCTGCCGCCCGGATGGGACCGCCGGAGTGCTGTGAGAGGCGGGGCAGAGGCCGGGAGGGGAGGCGGGGCGGAGCGGAGCGGGCCGGGGGCGCGGCGGGAGGCGCCGGGACTCAGCCCCGGCTGGGTGTGCGGGCTGGGGGTCGGGGCGGTGGTCAGCTCTGTCCGATCTCTGCAAGAATGAGCCTGCCGCGTCTTCCCCCAGCTGTTGGGTTCCTCTCGCCCGAGGTGGTGTCGGGGACGCCTTGTCCAGGAAAAGAGAGAGGGTAGGCAGACTCGGACACAGGGACAGCGGTGCTGTAGTCACGGGGGAGTCGCGCGCCCTGGGGTTGCAGGTGAAGTAGGGCGGCGGGAGGCCTGCTGGTAGTAGTGTCAGAGTGGAGTCTTTGTTGCCGCCGGGGTCGACTGGGCATTCCGGGAACCGGGAACCTCTCGAGTCAGGGCTGGGTGGGCGCAGAGCCCAGGGTGCCGAATTGTCTGCGTCCGCGCAGCCCCTGGAGTGACATTGGTCTGGCTTTGTGTTTTTGCTCCCTGACCGCTTGACGGGAAAGTGACCAGAGCTGATTCCTCCTTGCTCCGCATTTGGGGCTTCGGTGCTCTGTCACCAAGTGGAATTAGCTTTTCTCTCTTGCAATTCTGTCCACTCTTGGGCTGGCGTAGAAGTGTTCAGAAATGAGTCCTGATGTCTCATAACTGCGGAAAATAAAAGCTAACGCATGCATTTTACAAAAGAAATAAGCCTCTGTTTTCTCTTATTGAACAAGATGTCTGCAGCTAGCCTAGAAATAAGACTTTTATCTGCATTATCTGATTTTCTTCAGAAGTTTCTTGAGTTTTTAAGACATGTTTAGCTAGTTAGTCTTCCATATTCAAGAAAATTGCAGTAGTAGAGAATGGATATCTTGAGACTGTAGACAGATGTAGCAGTGTAGATGTTTTGAAACAAGATTCCTGTGGGTCGGGTGAATGTGAGGAAATTATGACAGTCTATTATTTCAGAAAGTTTGGTGGGAAAGGGAGCATTTAGGTGCATATGGTTAATATGCCTTATAGGTGATGTGCATTATATTATTATAGAGAAAAAAATGTCTGCTTTAGTAGAAAACTTAATCATCTAGATTTTATCTAGATGACACCCCCTTGGATTATCTGATTCTAAGAAAGCTGTCTTACACCTGTGTAAATTGTAAATAGCTAAGGTCAACACTAAATAATTTCTGTCTAAACATGCAGATTTAGCCCTCTTGCCCTCTTACAGGCTCAGTGGAAGTTATACTACCGAGTACATTCTTCTCTATATTCCTGATCTATTAAATATACCCAATTTTGGGATTCCCTTTGTATCCCATCCTCCTAGTTTTCTTGTGAGTTAAATAAAATCTTGAACACATATTCATTTTTATCTTTGAATGAGTCATGATTTTACCTTTAAAAAATTCTCTCATATTAAATATTAAATACTATAGGAAAGTACAACCACAAATGGAAAAAAGTATTTTAATAAAAGTTGGTGTAAGAGCAACTGTGATTGAGTGCTAAGATTATGCATTTTATAAAATTCCCAATACATACCCTATATAAGGGTATCACCCTAGTTTCTTACTTGTTTCCAGTTGCTCAGTGTATTAATACTTATAATTGAAAATAGTAATAAAGATCTTTTAATGTGAACGTGGTAATACTAACTCACCATTACAGCATGTATTTTGGATGTTTTTGAATGATGGTGTTAAATTTGACCTGAGCCATTGACATGGCTTAGAAATGTTTTTGTTATACTATATCTATTATTGACATATTTGAACACTTGTTTTTTTTTCCCATTATTTTCCTTTGCATAGAATGACTTAAATGTAATATGTTGGATGTTGGGGTAGGGGGATTGTGCACAAATAAGTAATGTACCCTGAAGTTTAAATATTGAACTACAAAAACATAAAGAATGTTAAACCTGTAATTTATGCAAAAACAGTGAAATTGAGCTGGTCAAAAAGAGAGGTCAAAAGCAAGGATGACTCTCTTTGTAGCTTTATCTAGCCCTGTCTAGTCAGTGTAAGGATTTTGAAAAATGAGTACACAGATTTAAAGTTCTTGTTTTCCGGTGAAAATGAGACCGTTTTCTTTTAATCCAGACAGCAGTCAGGTTGTTTTGAGACCGTGATCCAAGATGTTCTGCCTAATTCTATTGTTTTTTTTAATTGGCTTTTTTTTTTTTTTTTTTTTTTAAAGAGCGAGAGAGAGAAACATCAATTTCATTGCTCCACCTAGCCAGGGATTGAACCCGCAACCTTGCTGTACCAGGATGACGTCCTAACTTACTGAGCTACCCAGCCAGGGCCTCTGTTCAGTCTTCAACAATAAAAAAGCTAATCTCTCTAGCCAATCCCGTTATTCATATAAAACACTATTTAGAGGCTTCTTAAACTGTAAGATGACAAGACTTTAAAATGAGGATTTAAACTAAAAGATGACAAGATTGAGAAAAAAGGACAAGCTACAGTGTAATTAGAACCATTTGTACTCATTATGTGTTTGAATTATGAAGGATACATAGTGTCTTTAGGTACTGAGGATAACCCTTAAGGTAGTATGCCTACAGAAATAGATATGATCCATTCTGGAATCTTGTTTGTTCCATGTAGACTTTTTGATCCCAGGACAGAAATGCCTTTTTTCAGGAGCCTTTTTTTTTTCCCTTCAATACTAAGGTTTAGTGTTTGCTTATGAACCTGTTTAAAGTATAGAACCGATCAGTTGATTTTCAATGAAAAGTCTTGCCCCTCATTTATCCAAAATTCTGGCTATAGCCGTAGCTTACTGTAGCCTCCCCTCCTCTATTCTCCCTCCTACCCTGAGCCCTCTGCATCTTTCCATCACTGGGATTCTTGGTCTGAGCCTGGGAACCCTCTCAGATTTATTTGCAAGTCTATGTTTGTATGAGCTCAAGTCCCCACATTTTGGGTGGTGGAAGGGTCCTTATGGCTCGTGTGATTTTCAAAAGGGTCTGTGACCCCAAGAATGTGAAAAATCACCATTCCCTAAGCATCAAGAATCAGGTTTTCCTGCCTAGCTTGGCTTTGGGGCTCCATTTGCTTTATTGGCAAGGTGTGTGTGTTGGGGTGGGAGAGATTTAAATTTCTTTTTGGTTAGAAAAATAAATTTCTGCTTAGAGGTAGCGCTGAAAAAGCCCATCATTTTGTTAAATGCCATGGCTCTGCCCATATAATGCCATTAAACTCTTCCCCGCTATAAGCCCTCTGACTATTACTACTCATTGAACATCCATTGTCTTGTGGGTCACAATGACTGTTAGGTCTGGGAAGAAGACCCAACAAATTCTACTGACAAGGTGAGTTTGGAGATAAGGAAGAACCCCTTGTATGTCCTGTCAAAGAAGATAATAGAGTTTCAGGGAGGGAATAATCAATAGTAAATGCAGCTGAAAGTTGATTAGCTCTTGGATTTGATATTTGGGGAGTCATGGTTGATTTTGAAAGGGCAGCTTTAGCATTGTTATAGAGATGGAAGCAAACAATAAACAGAAGAAAAGAAGGTAGGGCTGCAAAACAGATTACTTTAAAAAAGTTAAGCAGTGAAAACAGGAGTTTACATTTCTGAAGAAGAAATGGGGTAGGCAAAATTTTTGAGAACAGGCGGGCTGAAGGGAAGGAGAGGTCAGATGTGAAGAAATGACAGTAGTACATTGTCCACGAGAACTAGCCAAGTGGAAGATGGGTGTAGTCTGCCTCTGTCCTCCAGCTCCGTGGTAGGAGTCTGAATGTTTGCAAACAGGTCAGCAGACCTCATGGTGCTTCCAGTTTTAAAGGCTGATTGCTCGGACTAAATACAAACTTCTGGATAAAAAAAGTTTATTTCAAAGTAATGTCAAAGGAGTACTTAATATCAAAAATAATTCTCTCATGCAGTTGTATCATGGTATTAATAGAGTAGGCAGTTAGACTGGCATGAACAGAATAGGAATAATAGGCCAGGAGCGAAATATCATTGGACAGAAAGTCCTGGGTGCTTAGCAATGGGCAGAACTAGAGAAAGCAACTATGAAAGGCTAGGACCTCCTCCCCGAGGTGACCTTTCCTCTCCTGGGGTGTCCTCAGTTTAGACCCCCTAGAGGAGGAACAAAGAGGGCAGAGAACAGCCGTGTATTTACTCCCCTACAAACCCTTGTAGGACCACCCCCTTAATTAAGCATTAAGCCCTAAGGACAGTGAGGTCCTGATCAACATCAAATAATCTTACGAACAAAGCCACAGAGACAGAGCTTTGGTCAAACCAAGATGACATTTAGGCCTTAGTTTTGTTTCAGCTCCAGTCCCAAAAAAGAAGCAAAACCAGAGGAAGCGACACCATGGCTGACACAGGATCAGATGCAATTATCAGCGACCCCTACCCTAGTGCCCACCAATCAGTAGAGGCCAGACTCTGCAAGGACACACCTGGAAAACTGATGAATAGTCTTTTGAGATGCTCCCTGGAGAGCTCCCCTAAAATTTCCTGCCTTTAGAAAACAGATACAAACCCTGAAGACAAGGAACCCAGTGTGCACGCGCTTTCTCTTGAGCCCACCTGTGCCTTTCCCTGCTTTTTTCCCTTAGGTGTGTGTCTTTCGCTCTCTTTCTCTTTAGCTCCAGGGGCCCTTCTTTTGCCTCTGTAACTTGTTTCCCGAGCCCATGCATCCCAGATGGCTCACTTCTCCTGCCTCTGTGACTTCCTTTCTAGAAGGGCTAAATAAATCTCTTTCACTAGAGTTCTTGGCTCAGAATTCTCTTATCTGAATTCAAGGACCAAGGTCCAACTCCACAATTAACAGTATAATAATCTACAGGGCCTTTCTGAAATAGTTATATAAATGATCACATTTCCTACCACACAGTGTTGGTACAGGAATTGGCATAGTGTGTGTCAGATCCATGGCTCATTCTCCCTCATGTCTTCAGTATTAGTATCCCATGTCTTCAGCAAGAAACACAAAGGCATTGGGTGTAGAAGGGTGTGTTCGTTCTCTTTGACTCTTAACAACAAACATAAGAATCATACAGAAAAATTTCTCAAGAAGTTCACATGCCAACTTTTATTCCCTGTTCATCTCTCATGTATGTTCAATGTTACTGGCAACCTCTAATTTGCCAAACCCACTAATCAATTCTCAGTCCTGTTACTCAACCTTTCAGTAGCATTTAACCCTAGCCGATACTCTCTGATCATTTCCTCTTGAATTACTTTCTTCACTTGGCTCTTAGGCTACTCTACTTTCCTGGTGTCCTTTCCCTTCGTGTCCATCCTTCTGTATCTCATTTTTTGACTTGTCCTCATTCGAGCCTCTAAATTCTGCCTTAGGACTCTGTCCTTGGATCTCTTATATCTGTTTGCATTTTCTCTCTTGGTGATTTTGTCCGCTCCCAAAGCTGTAAATATCATCTGTGTGCTAAGAGTTTCAAATTTATATCTTTAGCCTCTCTTCCTCTGAGCTCTAGCCTCATATAGTCAGTTGCATGTTTGACATCAATACTTGGCCATTCAATGGGCATCTCAGTCTTAACACGTGCAAAAAACGTACAAGAAAAAAATATCTAGATTATCACTTTACCCCACAACCTTCTCCAGCCTTCCCCTTCTCTGTAAATATCATTACCATCTACTCAGTTGTTCAGGCAAGAAAACTAGGGGTTATCTTTGATTCTGTTAATTTCCCTTACCTTCCATAGTCATTTAGCAAATCTAGTTGACTCTACCCTTAGAATATATTCCAATTCCAACCGTCTCTGGCCACCTACCTCACCATTTTACATGCAGTAGATTACTGCAATTGTTTTCTGCTGGTCTCTGCTTCTACTCTTGGCCCCTACTCACTTTCATTGTAGCTAGCATACTCTTTTTAGATGCTATTTATATGAAGTCATTATCTCCATCAAGATCCACTAATCACTTCCCTTATTTTTACAGTAGGATCTAAACTTATTGAATACAAACCATATCCTCTAGCCGTTCCCTCTCTCACCAGCCTCCTCACCTACCACTTGTTACCCTGCTCATTCTCCTCCAGCCAAACCAGCCTCTGTGCTCTCCCTGGAATGGATCAGGCTCCTTCCTGCCCTTTCAGCCTTTGCACTTGCTGTTTTCTCTGCCTGAAACACCCTCCAGAGCTTCACGGGGCTTGCTCTCTCGCTTAATTTAGCTTTCTCCTCAGATTATCACCACTTCTCTCCCAATGCTCATTTCCTGTAGTCATTTTGTTAGAGAGCTGCTTTCCTTGTGTGATTATTGTTTACCAACTCGTCTCCGGGAGGCATGACCTTTGTAAGGCAGGGACGTGCTCGTCTTATTTACCAGTGTATCCCCAGTGCCCACAACAATGCCTGCCTGACACATAAAAGCTCCTCACAAAGATTTATGAATGAATCTACCATTTTACTGAAATTGCTCTCTGACTTATTGGCAAATGAATTATCCTTTTCACATGTTAAATTTCTCATGACCTCCCTGTAGTAATTGACACCATGTGTCTTCCTGTCACTATTCTCTTTTAATTTCTCCATTTATGTGTGTGTAACTGACTGCCACCTCAGTGTCTCATACACTATCTTACAAGTTGTGAGGTCCTGTTAATTATTTCTTGGTACATCATCTCTCAAAGCCATCCTTTCTCCATCTCCTTCTCTACTTATCTCTTACTTGAAGTAACTTCCCTCTTCTCATTTTGCCTTACTCGGTGTATCCTCCATGTTATCATTAGCCTGAACTCAAATTGAACACATGACTTACCTTCATCTCTCTTGCAGCTCCCAGCACTTTCTGCCCCTGATAGCAGACACTCAGAAGTGTTGAATGAATAGTCCTGTGTTTCTGGGAGGGAGAACTGGTGGACATGTGATTACTTAAATGGCTGTAATTCTCTGAAAATAACTTGTGCTTAAATAATCCCTCTTTCTTCCGGTTTTCAAAATGCTGGGGAAAAATAGAAAGAAGAAAATTCTTTGTTGCACATTGATTTTTATGGGCTGTTTAAGTGACTGTAACACCACAATGTGCTGTTACAGCACTTCACAGTAGAGTTTTGTTATTCGCTCTAACAGAAGCAAAGTAATGTCTGTGCTTCTCTATTAAAGCAATTGTTTCTTCTCTCTTAAGCTAAAGGCTCCAGTGAATATTGACTTGCAGAGGAATCGGGGAAAAGACGAGCTGAAGTTCCCATCCCATGGATCCCCTGGGCGCGCCTTCCCAGTTTGTGGATGTGGACACGCTGCCGGGCTGGGGCGACCCGTGTGACGGCGCGTTAAATGCTTCCGATGCGGCAGCCGACGCAGACGCTATCAGATCGCCTTTTCTTTACAACAAGAATATCAATGGAAAAGTGGTTCTTTGGTAATTCTTTGATTAAATCACATCATGAGATGATAATACTTTCTCAGAACTTCTGCCTGATTTCTTTTTTCTCAGAGTTTCTTCTAAGCCTTTTTTATAAACCCTAGAGCATTTTTGAAATTTTGTTTGCATAGACATACAGGGCTTTATTGAGGCATAATTGACATATAATAAACGACGCATATTTAAAGTGCACAATTTGGTAAATTTTGACACATACATACACCCATGAAACCATCACCACAGTCAAGGTAGTGAAATTATTTATTACTCGCCCCCCAATTTCTTGTGTGTGTCCCTTCATAGGTCCCCTCCCTGTCCTTCCCTGCGTCTACACCCGCAAGCAGCCATTGATTGTTCTGTCACGCTAGGTTAGCTTGCGCTTTCTAGGGTTTTATATAAAGGGAATCGTGTATTCTTTTAGTCTGGCCTCTTTTATTCAACATAATTATTTGAAAGTTCGTCCATGTTCTTGAATGTATTAGTAGTAACACGTTCATTTTTATTAAAAGCTTTAGGAAGATATAATTCACCAATTTAAATTGTACAAGTCAATGGTAAATATGTCACAAAGTTGTGTAACCATCACCACAGTCAATTTCAGAATGTTTTCATCAACCCAAAGGTCCGTAATCGGTAGTTGTCATTCCCCCCCCCCGGCCCCTCCCCACTCCACACACACACAATCTCTCAGCTCTAGCCAACAACCAGTCTTTCTATATAGATTTTCCTGTTCTGGACATTTGATATAAATTGAATCAACTGTGACTTGGTTTAATTTAAGATACATCCATGTTATAGTCTGAATCAATGCTTCATTCTTTTTAATGACCAAATACAGTAATGCTCCATTGTATGGCTATACCACATTTAGTTTATCAGTTCATTAGTTGATGGACATTTGTGTTATTTCTACTTTCCGACTATTAGGAATAATACTGCTGTGCCTGAACTCGTTAAACCAACCCCTTTTGGCACTGTAAGCATTCAGGGACAATGGAAAAGAAATAGGAAGAAAGCAAAGGAATAACATGGCTTTGTTAGTTTCAGGGTTGTAGCAACTGCATTAAAGATCTGTCTAGGATGCCTCATTTTTCTGAGGTAGGCACAACTATTTTTCTGCTATTGCTTAAGCCTCTGAGCTATCAAAACCAATGTTGTGAAAGGAGTGAGAGTTGAATTTTTTTTCGTTTTCTTTTTTTAAAAAATGGATTTAGAGAGAAACATCTGTTTGTTGTTCCACATACCTATGCATTTGCTGTTATCCCTGTACGTGCCTTGACCAGGGATCGGGCCCCCAACACTGGCTCATCGGGATGACGCTCCAGCCCGCTGAGCTACCTGGCCAGAAACTAGCTTTCTTATCTCCCTCCTTATCCCCACACTTGCTCTTTATTTGTTTCCTCAGGAAAGGAGATGTGGCATTACTGAACTGTACAGCCATTGTGAATACCAGCAATGAAAATCTTACAGATAAGAATCCTGTGTCAGAAAGTATCTTCATGCTTGCAGGGCCTGATTTGAAGGAGGAACTCCAGAAACTTAAAGGTAAGTGAGTTTTCTTAGGTAGTTATTGCTTAGGAAGCATTTGTTTGATATTAGAAAAAGCAAAGTTTGCACTTTATGTGAGAAAATTATGTCGATGTAACTTTTGCTGCTGTTGTTAAAACTAAAAACAGCTTTTAAAAACTTCACAGTATGTTAGAAGCTGAACACTGAGACTTTACTCTCAGTAAAACTCCTATCATGTTCTTGAATTTTGAAATTACAGTCTTTGTAGCCAGTTAGATCTTTGGTAGCATTTTCCAATCTATATATTTTCTTGCACTGATCAGGCCATGTAAAACAACTTATCCTTGTCTAAACAAAATATTTCGTGTGTGTAATTTGATACTGAGAGAGAACTTTTTATATATCTCTTGGACCTATGGTATTGTAATTTTGAAATGAAATTGACTTATTGATACTACAAGAGCAAACATATTCTCAATTAACTTTGTACTTGCTACTGTTTTTTTTCCTACCATTGCATTGTTCTTCTGGCAATGTTTCGTTGGAAATGGGGACCGGAAGAGTCCTATTGGTTCAGAATCAAGTTTACTTTAATTTTAATTTATTTCCTTAAATGACCAACCGAGCAACCTTTTGTTATTGTTATTTGAGCCCGAATAGAATATTGTGAAATTCAGTCTTCCCATTTTTTAAAGAGTATCTGAAATACAGCAGTGGTTCTTAAAATGTAAACAGCACATCCCTCCTGTATGGAATCTTGACTTATTTGATCTTAACCATTTAACATTGACACCTGCTTTCTAGCCTCATAAAGGTGCTAGAATTTGAGCAAGAACATTCACAATGCTGGCTCTGTGAAGGAGGGATAGAGAGAGAAGAGCTGCACTCTCTCCTCAAGAAACTGAATTTTGACTGTGAGGGCAGAAGGAAAGAAAAAGTCTTCAATCAAACTAAAAACATGACACTGTGAAGAACATGTAGAAATTAGGAGACGTATTAGAGATAGTACTGAGGTTGTTGATGAAATTGACAGAGCATTTGGTCTGGAAAAATTCCTAATGGGGAGTATGTGTGTGTTTACTTTCACACCTTAGAGTTGGACTTAAGGATAAAAAAAGAAAATAATAAAATTTAATGTATGTGCACAAATAAACAGCCTTAATATTTAACAGCATGTGTTTGAGAGCCTTCAAACTGGGGTTCATATTATAATTCTGCCCTTTACTGCATACCTTCAGACCAGTTGCTCTACCTCTGAGCCCGAGTTTCCTTATCTCTAAGTGGGGATGTGCTAATAGTCCCTACTTCAGTTCCTGGCCCATAACAAGAGCTCAGTGAGTATTTGGGGATGGAAAAAATGAATATCATGAAGACTAACCTGAGCAATGGATGGTAAGTCCTGGGCACCGCCTCGGTGGTTGGCGTTAATGCTGGTGCCGGCTGCAGACCTCGGCTGTTGCTTAGTGAAGACAGACTATTAGTGATATACACAGTGCCGGGTACTTCATCCTGTCCGCTTTTTCCATCTTTAATGCCAGCTTCAGAAATGGTTACAAAGTATGACTTACCAAACATTGAGATGGTAGAAAGCTGGGATGAATAACGGGAGACATTGGGTGATAGACTAAAGATTTTTAAATACCTGTATTGACCGAAAGAATGAGCTAAAAAATGATAAAATTGACAGGGAAGAATATAAAAGCCTTGCATTAAGTTTAAAACATGACCCAAATCAGGATAGGGAAGTCCAGTTTGACAACTTTCTTATGTAAGAAAGTATTTGCTATCTCAGTCAGACAGCCTTTCCATGCACTCTCTCATTCATCCAAAAAAGCCTTTGGTAACGCTTGCCTCATACTTATTTCCCACGGAAAGCCAGTCATCGAGCCCTAAATAGATGCTTAATTTCTTTGTGTCAGCACTGCCTCCGGCCTCACCTGTGCTGCCGTCTAGACTACAGCCAGAGCCTCCCTCCCCAGTGGTCTCTCTCCATCTGGCCTTCTTTTCAAAAATATGTTTTCTGCACTAGGAAGCATTTGCTTTTTGAATTGTGAATTTTTCTCATTGCCCCCTGGCTCAAACCACGTGGCCTCGCATCACAATTAAGATCTTGGTTTCTTGTCTCCAGGCTCATCCCAGGTCCCTTCTCCCTTCTCACCCCACTTGAACCAAACTGATCTTCTCTCATTTCCTTGTCATCCAAGCTCCCTGTCAGCTTTGCATGTGCTGTTGTTCTTTTTCTCAGTTCTCAACTCTTAAGTCTTTGCTTAATCTCTTCCTCAAGGCACTCTTTACTTTTACTTCAGAATGGATCTGTCTCCTGATGGTACCATATTTTGCCATGTATCATGTGCACTTTTTTGCCCACATTTTTGAGGAAAAATAAGGATGCGCGTTATACGTGGGTAGTGCTAATTCTGTATCTATATAAATGTTTTTAATTCTTTTATTTATGCTTATGCGTTGAAAGTGTAACTCTAGAAAGCAATAATGATACCTCTATGCAAAATAATACCCTGGAATATGGTAATCGGTTTTGTTTCTAAATATAAATAAATAATTGAATTAAAAAATTAAAATGAAACTTTTTTTTTCCCTGAAAGTTTGGGCCAAAAATAGGGGTGCATGTTATGCACGGGTGTGCATTTATACACGGCAAAATATAGTATGTGCTCGTAGCTTGTATAGCTTTTCTTTTGTGTCTTATCACAATTGTGATTATAAGCTGTTTATGTGGTGGCTGTGCCCCATTAAAATTTGAACTCCCTGAGGTCAAGAGCTATATGATTTTTGGCTTCCACGTGCTTAGTGCCAGGAATAGTGAAGGCATCCTTTAAGTCGCTGAGGACTGAATAGTAATTCCCTGGACTTTTAATTGACTAGACTCAGAAGTGATTATTTTATTTCTACTGGAAATGCAAATAATATCAGACTATATTACTAGAAGTACAGCATCACAATTGAAGGTAACTTGTTATCAGCTTAAAACAGACTGTTATGTTTATAAGGTGTTTTATGTAAGCCTTATGGTAACCCCAAAGAAAGACAACCTATACTAGATACATAAAAGACAGAAAGCAATTAAAACATTAATTAGTTTTTTAAAAACTGAAAAGGAAGACAGTAGGAATGAAACAAAGGAACTAAAAAAGACTCAGGAGAACAACAAAATGACAATAGTTACTTTTTACCTATCAATAATTTAAATGTTAAAAAAAAGATTAATCAAAAGACACAGAATAACTGAAGAATAAAAAAAATACAACATCCAACAATGTGTTGCTGTAAGAGACTCACTTTGGCTTTAATGACACACACAGGCCGAAAGCGAAGTGGTGGGAAAGGGATTCCGTGGGAATGGAAACCGGAAGAGAGTAGGAGAGGCTATACGTACATCAGGTAAAATAGACCGTTAGTCAAAATTGGTCACAGAGACAGAGGCAAAAACAGATCAGTTCATCAACAGGATATAACAACTGTAAATATATATGCACCCAACATAGGAGCACCAAAATATTTAAGGCAAATATTAATAGAACTGAATGGAGAAATGGACACAGTACAGTAATATTCACATGCCTCAGTAGCTCACTTTCAACGTTGGGTGGGTCATCCAGTCAGAAAATTAATAAAGAAACAATAGGCCTAAGTAACGCTATAAGCCACATGATCCTAACAGATATAAGCAGAATGTTCTATCCAGTAGTACCAGAATATACATTCTTTTTAAGCTTACATGAAACATTCTTCAGGATGGATCATATACTGGCCCACAAAGCAAGCCTTATTAAATTTATGTTTTTTTCTGACCACAATGGTATGAAATTAATACCATAGGAGGATGTAAATGAAAAAAATTTCCAAGCACGTGGAATTTAAATAGCATACTCCTGAACAACCAGTGGGTCAAAAAGGAAAACAAGAAGAAAATCAAAATCTTGAGACAAATGCAAATGAAAATACAACACCAAAAATATGGGATGCAACAAAAAATAGTTCTAAGAGAGAGATTTATAACAGTAAGTGCTTACATTGAGAGAAAAGAACAATTTCAGAAAAACCTAACTTCAAACCTCCAGGAATTAGAAAAACAGTCGAAGCCCAAACTTAGCAGAGGGAAGGAAATTATAATAAAGAGTAGAGTAGAAATAAACAGAAACTAGAAATACAATAGGAAAAGTCAGTGAAAGAGAAATTGGATTTGTAAAAAAGATAAAATTGACAAACCTTAAGTTAGACTAATCAAGGAAAAAGAGAAAACTCAAAATTATAAATGAAAGAAGAGGTATTACGGTTGATACCATAAAAAAACAACAACAAAGGATTGTAAGAGACTACTATGAACAATTATATCCCAACATATTGGATAACCTAGAAGAAATTGGTAAATTCCTAGAAACATACAGCACACCAAGACTTAATCATGAAGACTTAATCTGAAAAGACCAAGAGTAGTGAGGGGCACGTTGGACTCAGGATTTGAATTAAAGTGGCCTGTCCGTCTTTCAGTACAGACCGCCTTTCTTCACATTGGCTGCTCCTTTCCTGCAAGCAGTTAGGTGTCTCCGCGTTGCCAAGTCAGTTACTTCTAGTTCATTGGCTCTCGGCCTTCCAGAATTTTGATGGTGCTTATCTGCACATATTCCCCCCTCTTTTTTTTTTTTTGTCATCCCTGTTTTCATGTCTATTGTATTGCTTCACTGTTATTTTGGGAACAGATTCATGTTTGTGTTCAACCCATATTTTTACCTGAAATTTCTCAACATTCTTAATACTTTCCGTTAAATGCATTGTTTTGTTGATGTTTTCCTAACACCACCATGACTTATATATGCTCTGTTGTCCCCAGGTTGTCGGACAGGGGAAGCCAAACTGACGAAAGGATTCCATTTAGCTGCCCGGTTCATCATTCACACAGTGGGACCGAAGTACAAGAGCCGCTACCGCACAGCTGCGGAGAGCTCGCTGTACAGCTGCTACAGAAACGTGCTCCAGCTGGCCAAGTACGGCTTGCCTGTCTCTGGGACGTAGCGTGCCACACGCCGTTCAAGGGCTGGGCTTTAAAGTGAAGCCTAGCTACGGCAGTCAGGTTATGAGGGATCTGACCATTTTGGAGGACTCTGAAGACAAGAGTTAATTCTCTTCTTACTCTTAGCAGACGAAAAGGAATGGCTTTGAGTGACTTGAGAATTTAACTTATTCCCATTCTACTCAGTTTTTATTTGGAATATATTTCCCCCAAATGGTGCAGTTAAATTGTATATTAATATAATTGTTAAATACTGCAATCGAGTTAACTATTATAGTAGATTTGTTGAAAGGACAAGGAAGAAGTTAAGCTGCATTTTTAAATCAGTTATATATTATGAGTGTTCGTAGTTTAATTTCTGTGCTTTCTGTTTGATTGCAGAGAGCAGTCGATGTCTTCTGTTGGGTTCTGTGTCATCAATTCTGCAAAACGAGGTTATCCCTTAGAGGATGCAACACACATAGCACTTCGTAAGTAGCATTGGAGACACTGTACACAAACTGGCCTAGCACCTCATAGGTGGGATTGGGGGTGCTGTACATAAATTGCCTTCAATTTATTTTATCACTAGTGAAATAGTTACAGCCAAAGAAGATTGGTTAACTGCTTGAGGCCCCCTGGGGTGAAACTAGTACTGACCAAGTACAGAGCTCTCAGGGTACTTTCTTGTGTTGACATTTTCATCCATTTGAGTAAAGGCTTGGAAGATTTACCCTTTAAATTTGAAAATGATACCAAGCTAAGAAGTATGGTTAATGCATTGGGTATTTGAATCATAATTCATAAGAATATTCATAGAATAAGAATAAGGCTGCAACAGTGAAATCAAAACAGATTTTATAACATCAGAGTCACATAGCGCTTTGCAGTCTAAAGCGCTGCAGCTTTCACGTGTGCTATTTGAACATGTGAAACCCTGCAGTTAGGTTTAAAAAAAGACTGAGCTCAACCATGGTGAGCAGGAAGGTCACTGTATAATAAAAAATAGGATGTTCAACTTGAGTGGGTTCGTGATCTCACTGTATTATATGCAGGTTCATATCGCATCTAGAGTTTTGTATGTAGTCCTGCATTTCACATCTCCTGAGACGGACACATGGAGGGCAAACGGTTTGCAACTAGCCGTGTTGCTCCTAAAGAAGGGCATGCTTTCAGCATCTGTGCGGCCCGCCTTCGGGGTCTGCAGCAGCCTCATCGTGGGCTTGGTCTATGCCACGATTTCAGAGTGGCAGTCCTTGCCCCTTTTGTGAGCCGTCATAAACTGCATTGGGCATCTGATGAAAGAAAGCTGAGAACCCTTCCCCTGGAGGAATGTACATGCCTGTGGAGTTTACATGGTTTACATGCTGTTTCAGGAAGCTCACAGACACTTCTAAGGCTTGTAGGTAAGGCCTCCAACAGCAGAGGGCAGGTACAAGACCAAGTGATATGGAGCGAGATCTGGTTCCATTTGAGACAAGATGCTCTGTAATGCGAAGGTATTTAAGTGAACTTCCTGTCAATGGGATGTTCATGCAGAAGCTAAATTGACAATCTATTGTAGATATTCTTCATTTAGGAGGGAAACCATACTAGATGATCTTGAAGGCCCCGTTTTATCTCTAGAATTCAAAGATGAGAAACTAGGAGTCTTAATACCCACCAAAAAATTACGAAGGTATTTGCATATATAAAATTATTATTATAAAGCTTAGAATTTAGGCTAGGGCATGTTGAGTTTTAAATAGTCTTATTTAATAATTAGCTATTTTTAAAACTAAGATCTGTATTGCTCAAGGATTTTATAGTAAACATATTTTCTAATTAAAGTATGTATTTATATGCATTCTCTATAGAGCGTATTAGACTGAGCTTGAGGAGCACAGGCCTTATCTCCATTTCGTGTTCACGGTGCTTCCATATGTCAAGAATGCTTTACAGATGGTACTTGCTCAAAAAATGGGTGTTTTAAAAAAGGGATGAAGAATTACTTTTATTGCCTCAGCAACCCTGTGTTTAGGTAGTATGGTACCCACTTTAGAAATAAAAGAAACTCAGAATTGACTCATGTTCTCAGGGTTATTCAGACTTGAAACATATATCCAGGCCTTCTGACTCTCAGGTTCAGTCACCTGTTCATTATGCTTGAGTTACAACTGCTTCAGTGGGAAACGACTGTGCTATGTCTATGTAGGTATTCTAAATGGAGCCTTACCAAATCAAAGTTTCTGACTTTATATAATATAAAGCTTCCTGTGGGACGTTTGGCAGGCCTCAACATCCTCTGATTCCACTTATCCCTGCTATGATATCCCATAGCTTAAGCTAAGCCACCTTTTTTGTTCCCATTTCATATAAAGTAATCGTGGTTAGGAAAAAAGGCAGCATAATTTTATTTAAAAAAAAAAAAAAAAAGCAAGCTCTGCATTATAATCAACTATCTGTGATTGAGTCCTATTTTACATTTGTTTAATACTTTTCAAAGTTTAGCCTTGGCTTGTGTGGCTCAGTGGATTGAGCGCCGGCCTATGAACCGAAAGGTCACTGGTTTGGTTCCCAGGCAGGGCACATGCATGGGTTGCGGACCAGGTCCTCAGTTGGGGGTGTGCAAGAGGCTACCAATCGATGTTTCTCTCCCTCTCTCTGCCCCTTCCTTCCCCTCTCTCTAAAAATAAATAAAAATAAAATCTTTTAAAAAATAATCATTTTCAAAGTTTAAAAAGGATAAAGGTTATTCTACAGCTAATTTTCATAGGCTATTATGGTGCTATTTTTCAAGGCAATGAGTATTTGCTCCCAAATGAAATTATCTGTCTTCTTTAGGCAGAGGTTAAAATTACTAGCAGCTTTCTCCATTACCTGAAAGATCAAATTGGAATAGTTATCCATCTTTAGATATGAAGACCTAAAAAACACATTGATATATTTTCTACTTTGAGTCAAATTTCAACCCCTGCATAGAACAGCTATAGAAAGTGAGACTTTAAAGGTTTTTTTATTGGCCCTGTTGGTTTTGCTTTCTGCTCTCCCTGACTTTTGCATTCACAAACTTAACTGGAACCTATACAAATAAAATCTAAGAGTTTGGTATGCTAACAGAAAAGTATAATTTAGCTACCTATTCTAATGGTGGTGAATAGTACTAATATTGTATAATTGGACTGGAAAGAGTGCCTCCTCCATTTTTGAAGAGCGAGATTAAGGATTTTTATAATTGTTTTTCATCAAATTTTAATATTTTTGTCTAATTTTTAGGTATTTAATTTATAAAACAGTTTGCTTTGTACTGGCATACAGAAAGAACATAGGGTATTGGCTTTAAACTTTTTGAAGCCAGATGATCAAATACATTTGTAATAAAAGTCAATGGATCTATTTAAAAAATAATGACAAATAAAAGGGACACTTAAAAAGGGAGTCAAGAAATCTGGTTTTTGGTCCCAGTTCTACCAGTCCTACTCTAGCTCTGTGGCCCCAGATAAATGACTTGCTAAAGTACCGTAGAGGTGTCAGCTTTGAGCGGTTATTGTAGTAACAGCAGATAAAGACCAACGGTAGCTATAAGGAACTTACATGAAGAAATTTCTAGGAATTTAATTAGCACAAGAAATGCAAAACTTTAAAATGGACAAGTTAACATTTTATAAGGCCTTTGTGACTTATTACACCTTAAATATAGTAGGAAAAATATAATTAATCTCATTAAAACACACACACACACAGATCACACACAGGTAATTGTGCCCTTTGCTTGCATACTTTCTGAGCATTTTGGAAATAAGTAGCTTGTATTCTCTTGTAGCAGACATGGGCCAAGAACAAATCTAATGGTGTAACTCTGAGTCCATAGTACCAAAACCTTTATTTCTTTTTAAGTTCTTACGGAAATTCCTTTCATTGAAAATGTAAGTACAATATCTTCTTGATAGATGTATGGAGACTATTTATCTTCTTATTCTTAGTTCATGTGCATTTCAGTTCTTCTCCAGAAGAAGCCGAAGGAAACATCAGCATTGAAATAAATTTGTCAGGTTATTTATTCAGTCAACAAAACTGAATGCCTACTATGTGCTAGGCCCAGTGCTGTACAGAAGAGGACACAGTGGTGAGGAAAAACAGACAATGGTGTTTGTTCTTGTTGTGTTTCCATTTTGGGAGTTTTAATGTCCCAGATGTCATTCCCACCCGTTAAAGGGTTTTCACTGAAAGTTAGGCACGTGACATCCTCGTTGGTTGCAGAGAATAGCACACAGATAAAACCTCGAAAGGAGAAGCCTGGCGTGGCAGTTGGTACTGCAGCCTTCTAACCACATCATTTTTTTTTCTTCTTTATGCAGAATTACTTCCTGAATGAACTCTCCTGAGGGAATTGAATTTAATTACTATTTGGCATTGTATTATGTCTTCCAAAGGATATCCCACAATTATATGCTGGGAAATTACTATGTGTGAACATTAAAACTTGGCATCAGAGCAAATAGAAGGAAATCCCCCTTTCAAAGTTTAAGTAATTTTTTAAAATAGAGGAATAGATGGAGAAATGAAACAATTTGTTACCTAACAGAGAGAGAAGTATAAATATTTGTTCAGTCCTTCAACACATGGCTCTGCCCTGTTAGGCTCTCACGATACAGTGGCGAGCGAGGCAGACGATATGTAGGTAACTGGAGTCATACAGGATTAATGCAGTTACTAGTTACTTTAGAATAATTGCTTACTAGGTCCTAAAGTGTGCTAGGCCCTGGTAATGTTAACGGAACATACATTCTTGTATTTTATGTATAATGTAAAATAGCCTTGAAGAAACTCACTATCTAGCTATGAAATGCTGTGAGAATTTCACAAATGGAGGGTTACTCAAAACATTGTAGGAGAAGCAGGGAGAGATGGAGTTCTACACCAAGGAGATGGCTTTTGACTAGGCCTTGAAAAATGAGTGGGAGTTCATTGAGGGAACATCACGGTGGGCGAATGGTCTTCTAGTGAAAGGTAACTGTGCACACAGAGGCAGGGTAGCGTGAAAGCGAGTGGCAGATTCTGAGCGCAGCAAAGCCCATTTGGCTGAAGCACAAGGTGTATGGGGGGAGATGGGACTAAGGAGCAGGGGTGCAGGGGTGGTTGGCTGAGGTCACTGTGTGAAAGGCATGCTAAGGACTTTGGATCTTAACCTATATGCGGTGAAGAGCCATCAGAAGCGTTTAGTAAGGAGGATAACATAAGATGACTCAGCAACAGTGGATATGTAGAGAAATGAGTGAACGGTTAAGAGCTTATTGGCAAAGTCTTGGTAAGGATTGAGAGCAGCTGGGAGAGAGAAAGAAGAGATGTTAGAAGTATCAGCAATAGACTTTAAAGGACATGAAACCCACTGAAAATGCAAACTGAAGGAAGAGGTGAAGAAAGTGCCAGAACAGTCAGAATTCTAGCTTGGGCGAGTGGATGGATATTTCTTTGCAACTGGAAAAAGGAATACAGGTAAAGGAGCAGACTTGGAGGGGAATGATGCTGGGATCAGGTGTGGACAGGCTGAGTTTGAGGTTTCCGGATTATGTGAGCAAACATGCCCAGTAGGCAGTAGGGGATTCAGGGTTTTTGTTCAAAAAACATAAAGATTTGAGATCCATCAGCATTTGGGGTAGAACCTAACCAGCAAATTAGTGAGCTAAAGAGAATATATATGTCAAGAAAATAAGAAATTTGGAGGACAACATTTTTAAAAGGTGGGGCACGGGCATTTTTAGAGAGAGAGCTGGAGAGCTAGACCCACCAGTAAGCTGAGGCCTGAGAAAAGGCCGTCAGGCCTCATGAATAGAAAGTCGATAGAGAAGAATCTGGGTAACCCAGAAATTAAGAAAAGTATCACTGAGCTTCGGTTTGCTGGGATTTTGGCAGGGATGAAGGGCTGAGTAGGACATCTCGTAATGGAACTGAGTGAATGGGAAGACACTGGGCTAGATCATTCTGGTCAGAGAGAGCGGCCACAAGGGAAAAAGGAAAACACCAGATGAGGGAGAGCTGTCTGGAGGCGGCATCTTCTGTGGCTGGGTGCCATTCTAGACTCTGGCAGTGAAGCAGTAACGACAACAAAGCTCAGGCCGCTGTGGAGCTTTCATTCTAGAGGACTGGGGTTGGGAGGAGGCGGGGAGGACATACTGTGCACGAGAGTCTCCACGAAATGTCTGTAATAGCTGCTGTGGAGGAAGGCGAATCAGAAAAGGTTTTCGACGAGGGTAGTCGGGGCAGGCTTCGCCGATAAGGTATCCTTGAGCAGGGACCTGAGGGAGATGCGTAGTGATGGCCTGCAAAAATAAAACTTTGAAGGGTTTGTTTTTTTCATACATAAGTGACTCCTTTCACTAAATAATCTTTCCTTTTTTTCCTTAGGCACTGTAAGGAGATTCCTAGAGATTCATGGGGAGACCATTGAAAAAGTAGTATTTGCTGTCTCTGAACTGGAAGAGGTATTTTGCTAATTGTGTTTCAATGTTTAAATCTTATAGACCAATATTCGTTATAAATAGAGATGCAAAAATGTTTAACAAAATATTAGCAAACTGAATCTAGCAACATATAAAAGGGTTCTATACCATCATCAAGTGGGATTTATCTCAGGAATGTAAGGTTGGTTCAACATAAAAAAAATCAATCAATGTAATGCACCATAGTAATAGAATAATGAGTAGAATACTAGAATAAAGGATAAAACTATGTGATCATCTCAGTAGATGAAGAAAGAACATGGGACAAAATCTAACTCCCTTTCAGGATAAATATGCTCAAAAAAGTAAGCACAGAAGGGAACTTCCTTAACCTGGCAAAGGGCACCAGTGAAAGACCCATTGCAGGCAGTATACTTAATGGCGAGATACTGGAAGCTCTCTGCTGAAGATCAGGAAGAGACGAGGATGTCCGCTGTCGCCAATTCTATTCAGCATTGTGCGGCTTCTACCCAGGGTGTGTGGGCAACAAGAAGAAGTAAAAAGCACCCAGACTGGAAAGAAAGAAATAAAAGTGTTTCTATTTGCAGATGACATGATCTTGTATATAAAAATGCTAGTTACGCCTACAAAAATGCTATTAAAACTAAATAGAGTTCAGCAGCATTACAGGACACGAGATGAACATAAAAATAAATGGTGTTTTCTATATTCCCAGTAAATAATCTGAAAATGAAATTAAGTAAACAGTTTCACTTACAGAAACATCAAAAAGAATCAAATTTTTTAGACTAAACTAAAAAAGGATAAGATGTATATTGAAAACTACAAAATACCTTTGAAAGAAATTTTAAAACTTCCAAGTAAATAGAAAGGCACCCGTATTCATGAACAGGAAGACAGCGTCATTGAGGTGGCAGCGTTCCCCGGGTTGTTCAGGTGCTGCTGGACGTGCAGCTCTTTCAGGGCATCCTGAGGAAAGCGTTTCCCAGACCCACGTGTGGGAGTCTGTGGTGTGGCGAGATTTATTCGGGTAGAAGGCTGCCCCTGGGTCCCATCTCCATCTCTCCTGCCATGGAAGAAGTCTAACCGTGTCCTCAGCAAGCCCAAAACAAAGGCCAGTGTCCAGAGTGTCTGTTTTGTATTCCTGCCTGGAGCCTGCGTTTGGAGTCCGTGCAGCTGGCTCCAGGCTGCTGGGCCAGTGCAGGTCACGGAGAGAGAGAGCTCTCTTCATTCTCTGGGATTATATTATCTCGGGCTTGGGAAGAACCAGGAGTTTATTCAGAATAACCAGTCAACTTCCCAAGCTTTTGTGGACCTCTAAGGGGTCTACCCACTAGCTAGTTGATCCCTTTCCCAGATTAGACTGACAGACCTCTGTGGTCAAGCACCACGCCTTGTGCTGTTTTGACTTTTATTGTGTGTGTGTGTACTTCCCTGTGACCTCCCAGCAAGGGAGGTGTGTGAATCCTTGGTGAGGCAATGCTGCAATCCCCTGCCTGTAGCTTCCAGAGGACGCAAACCAGCTTAGGCTTCCCAGCCCATTAAGCTCAATAATGTCCAATTCCCTTTGCTTCCTTACGTAATAATTAGCTCACTATCTATAACAACAGTCTTACAGATTTAACAAAATGTCTATCAAAATCACAACTGATATTTTTTAGAAATTAACAAATTGATCCTAAATTTCACATGGGTATGCAAGCGCCCCAGAACAGTAAAAACAAACAAACAAACTTGAGGAGAGGGGAACAATTTGCAGGATTCACACTTAACCTGTTTGGAAACTTACTTAATGTCCTGTAATCAAGACTGTGTGGCCCTCGTGTGAGAATAAACATGGATCGGTGGGACAGAATGTTGGACAGGACTGCCAAGACAATTTAATGCAGACACAATAGTCCTACCAACAGATGGTATTGGAGCAATTGGATTTCTGCATGCAAAACAAAGAAGTTGGACTGCTACCTCACATCATATACAAAAATTAACTACTGGATGTAGGACTTATGCATAAAAGCTAAAACTGTAAAACTGGTAGAAGAAAACATAGGTGTAAACACAGGTATAAATCTTCATGACCTTGGATTAGGCAATGGTTTCTTAGAAATGACATCAAAAGCACAAGAAACCAAAATAAACAAAGCAATTGGTCACTCTCATAATTCACAATGAAAAGATAACTCAATTTTAAAATGGGCAAAAGTTGTTATTTATGCAAAGGAGTTGAAAATTTATGTCCTCAAAAAAACTTACCAAGCATGTTTATAGCAGCCTTATTCGTGTTTGCCGAAGCTTGGAAGAAAACAACATGTCCCTCAGTGGGTGAATGGATAAATAAAATGTGGTACATCAAAATAGCGGCATACAGTTCAAGGCTAAAAGTAATTGTGCTATTAAGCCATAAAAAGATAAGGAGGAAACTCAAATGTATATTACTGAGTGAAAGAAGCCGATCTGAAAAGGCTACATACTGTGATTCCAACTGTATGACATTCCTGGGAAAGGCAAAACTATGAAGACAGTAGACAGACCAGGGGTTGGGGATGAGGAAGAGGTGAACGGGCAGCATGCAGAGGGTTTTTAGGGCAGTGGAACTACTCGGCACGGGACTGTAAGGATGGGTACACGTCGTTCGACGTTGGTGCAAACGTACCGAATGGACAGCATGAAGCCTGAACCCTGACGTAAACTATGGGTGGTTAGATGTGACATTGCAGGTTCATCAGTCGTAACAGACACACCACTCTGGTGGCTGCGGACTTGTTTGGATCTGGGGGATATAGGAAATCTCTATACCTTCTCAGTTTTGTTTTGAACCTTAAACGGCTCTAAAAAAAGTCTTTTTTTAAAAAATGGGTAGAGGTTTTAAATGGAAGAGAGACACAGATGAGATACACGGAAGAGATACAGATGCCCAATAAGTACATGAAAAGATGCTCTACAACATTAACCATTAGAAAAATGCAAATCAAAATGACTTCACTTCGGTTCATATGGATATAATTACATAGTAACAAGTGCCGATGAGGGTTTGGAGAAATTAGAACCTTCATATATATCTAGTGAGAATGTAAAATCATGCAGCTGCTTTGGAAAACAGTCTGGCAGTTTCTCAAAAAGTTGAACAGAGATTCCATTCTTAGGTATATACAAAAGAGAATCAAAAATATATGTCCACACAAACACTTGTACACAAAATACAGAAAAGGGGAATAATAGGTTTACAGTTCAGATGGAAAACAATACAATAATTAATAAATAAAAATACTAGAATAAACTGTGTTTTGACAACTGTAAGCCTACTTTTGCCCACCCTTGTATTTATGTCAGCATTATTCTTAATAGCCAAAACGTAGAAACAACTAAATGTAATCAACTGATGAATTAAGAAACAAATATGTATATACATACAGTGGAATGTCCTTAAGCTACAAGAAGGAACGACGTACTGACACATGCTGCAGCAGGGCTGAACCGTGCAAACACTGTGCTAAGTGAAAGAAGCCAGACACAAAAGTCCAGAGTCTGTATTTCATTTATATGATGTGTCCAAAATAGGCAAATTCATACAGCCCAAAGTAGATCGGTGGTTGCCAGTGTCAGGGAGGGAGGAATGGGGAGTGACCTAGCTAGTGAGTTGAGATTGTCTTTTTGGGATGATGAGAATGTTCTGGAATTAGAGGATGGTGACGATTTTAGAACTTTGTGAATATACTAAAACCCACTGAATTGTAATATTGTAAAGGTGAATTTTATGGTATGTGAAGTCTATCTCAGCTTTTTTTAAAAGGCTGTAAAGATGGTATCTTCAGTCTTCTTATGTATGTACCTTATGTACTTATACATGCAAGATGATGCAGTATTACAGGTGACACAATAAGAAAACCGACATCGTGGTTTCTTGAATGGTTTCTAAGCAATTCCATCGTTCTTTGGTTTCTTATTCTAGTTTAGGGTTCTTTTAGTGTAGTTGGGAATAATTGATGGCTATTCATTAAAAAAAAAGTCTCTAGGATAATGAAAAATGTACTGGAAAAGTAAGAGCACTAAATGCCTATAATGTATCCTGGATTTGTAAATGAGTCCAATGAGCCAACCCACATGGAAATTATAAGACAGAATGAGTTTCATTCTAATTTGTTTTTTAGAAAGAAAAATTTACCTTTGTTCTTTGGAAAATTTCTAAAGAAGAATAAAATAAAGAAGAATTGAAATAGCAATTCTTCACAAAGAGTTAGAAGCATTTAAAAAAGCCCTCAAAAACCAAACTGGGCCAGTGTACCCTGACGGCACAGGGAGCGTGGAGGAGGTAGTGCCTGAGCCGAGCCCTGCAAGACAAATGTCATTAGTGAGGTGAAGGCCGGGGAAGGGGACGGGAGGGGCAAAACTGCCTGTTCCAGGCTCAGTCCCCTGCAGTCACCGAACGGGAGTTGTATTTCCCTAGCTAGTGACGGTGGATCTGAAACAGAGCCGCGGAGGGCCCCGGACAGCATCTGGCCGGAGCTCGGAGGATGAAGGTCTTCCTCCTTGAGGGAGGCCGTCTTCACAGCGTCAGAACAGCACTAAGCATGGGGGATGCCTGCTTTGTTACTCCATGGTTTATCACAGAATGTCTTGCTTTTCTGACACAGGCTACTTACCAAAAGCTGCTACCTCTGTACTTCCCAAGGTCGTTGAAGGAGGAGAGGCGATCGCTGCTGTACCTACCGGCAGATATTGGAAACGCAGAAGGGGAGCCTGTGGTACCTGAACGGCAGATTCGAATAAGTGAGAAACCCGGTGCCCCGGAGGGTGAGTTCTGTCTTCCTTAATCGCCCTCTTCAGGGAAGGGAAGTGACTGATCACCCAGGAAGTGGGGAGCACAGCTAGGCCTCGGGGAAGCTGTCTGTCAGTGTGACACTTAACATGAAGACCAACTCAGATGTTTTTAGTGTCTTATTCATGTTACAATTTACTCTTTGAATTAAAAAGTAAATAAATACACCCACACATATAATGCCAAGTCTGTGTTAGGCAATAGAAATTCAGAGGTGGCTGACTTACAGCATTCCTACCCTCATGAAGTTTATAGTTTCGTTCGGGACACTGTTGAGATAGTAGTCACGTACATTATCATCTGACATTTTCAACGGCTTCAACAACGTCTTCTAAAGCCACACCTAACACTGAATTCTAAGACAAGATACTGCAACTATTCATTTTGTGTCTTAAGGCTCCATACTCACATAGATTGAAACACTGTCCGAGCGCAGTAGGAAGGAGAGCCTGACTCTGTCCGGCGTGACAGCTTGTACTGATCTGCATGGGTCTGTATGTTTGAGGTTGTAAGTCGCTGCTGCGAAGACAGCCTTCCAGGCTGCAGTGCTGGGAATTGATCTCAAAATTCATCAGCTTAGGAATCACTATGTGATTCCTACTGTGAACAGTTTTAAATGAGCATCAGGTTAAAATCTCTAGAAGGCCACTGATCTCCTTTCAATCACTAGTACACAGACTTGAATCAGACAGGAATTCTAAATGGCGCAGCATCGGGCAGTGTCTCTGCACCAAGCTTTGCTGGCGAGGCGCCCGTGCGCTCCAGGGAGCCTCCAGGGGGCTACACCTTTGGACTCTGCCCAGACTCCCTTGGAAAGCCCCATAATTGGCATCGCCACTGTAGAATATAATCCTTCTGAATGCATAAAATGCCTTTTCCATAACAAGGAGTAATGAATAGCAAAAAGGAGATGGCATTGCTGGGCAGTAGATGAGACTAACTCATTCGCCAAAGCTCCCTGCCTATCCCCCATTCTCAAAGAGTGATTGATTTGCTTCTGTATCTCAGGAAATACTGTCACTTCATACCTATGAGCCCTAGAGTTCTTAAATACTTTCCATTGGAATGTGAACTCTGTTAAAAATAGAGGTAAAATCAGCTTTACTTGAGGGATTAAAAGGAGATCCGTGGGTATTTTTTAATAAAAGCAGACCCTTCTCAGCTGTGGGCCTGTCGCAGCCTGGAGCAGTGGAGTAGGTGGGAGGCAGTCCCAGCCCGATGACCCGCCAGGCTGAGCTTTCAGGTGGTGGCATTGCCTTAGCCACCCAGGGGTTTTGTTTGTTTTTCTTTAAAAAAAAATTTATTTTAACCAGTCTGGCAAGGCAGTGGGAAACACGCTAAGACATGATCCACAAATGATCACATGGATAAATCAGAGAGTGAACCTATTTATTTGTAGTGAAAACTGTAATTGTTACGGACCACACTGGGGCGTGGCCCGTGTAGAAAACCAGGATGCCGAGTTAGAGTCTGCACACACCTTAGCGACTGTGGGTTATGCCCTGCGGTCCTGGTCCGTCCTTCTTTCTTCATCAGTTACCTGACCAAAGGGCTGAAGTTTATGTGCTGACCAATTAGGTGCTCCTTCCTTAAACAGTTCTGGATAAATGACCCCAGACATTTGTTGGTTTGCTTCATCGTTTCAGTTCTTCAAATGCCTAAATCTGATTTCACTTTCATTCTCAAAGTACAGCCTTAATCCCATTTTTTGCGTTGGCACCCAGTCGTCCCCATTGCGCATTCACAACCTGTTTGTACCACTTACTGCCAGGTTTTGTCCTAAGCTTGCTCTCTATTGATAGTATTTTTGTTACAGACAACCAAGAAGAGGAGGATGAAGGCTTGGGAGTTGATCTCTCTTTCATTGGCTCTCATGCTTTTGCTCGGATGGAAGGAGATATTGATAAGCAAAGAAGACTGATCCTTCAGGGACAGTTATCAGAGGCAGCCCTGCAGAAGCAGCATCAGAGAAAGTAAGGCAAACGCGCTGGCCCGAAAGACAGCTGAGAGGAGAGCGCCTCACAGCTGCTCAGTGGCCTGTGTTATAATATATTCTAACTTATTCCTCGTGACAGTCCAGTGAGGGCAATATTGTCCCCATTTTGCAGATGCAGAAATTCAAGGTTAATTTATCAGCGGTCACAGGTAGTATGTGCTGAAGCCCGTGTTCAGATGCACTTCTGGTTTCAGAGTTTCTGCTCTTTTGCTGTCATTGCGGTGCCTCTGGGGGAGGTTCTATTGTAAATGTGGAAACTGGGGAAAGGCAAAGGCAGACTTACAAAGTTTTTACCTGACTTCACTGCATTCGTAATTAAAATGTAATCTACAGTTTTATTAAATTTCGAAGAGCTTTATTTCTCCTCAGTTTAACCTAAGGACCTTACAAAGCCATTCCATTTCTTTCAGGTGTTTTCTAAAGCAATCCTTTAAATAAATCCTTTTTGCATCATAAAGAAAAGCAGCTTTTGTACTTATGGGTAAGCTTTTTCCCAAGGATCCATGGTTCTTGGAAAGCTAGCTGCTTTACAAAAAAATTTTAACGGAAAGAAAAAATCATAAACTATAAGTGGTCAGTATCATCCATTACCTTAGGGTTTGTTGAGGGGATGACATCTCATATGACTGTGAACGTTAAATAAGATAAGGTCATGAGCAGAGCCCCTGGGACTTAGCAAACTCTTAAAATTGGACACTGCTGTTCTCTTCAACACTGAGCAGATCATGGTCTTTTTTACCTTTGAGTTTTGCTACTTGGTGTTTTTGAGCTGGAATACTCTCATCTTTCAATTCCTGTCCATTGTCTGGGCCTCAGCTGAGAAGGGACAGCTTCTAGGAACTTACTTCACTGGAGATAAATTGGAATAGATGAACTTGAAGTCTGGAATAGGTGCTTCCTCCTAGATGCTTTTTCAGATTATACTTAACCAAAACCTAGCATTTAAATATCCACTGTATTTAAGGATGTGTGATTGTTGTCAATCTCCATCTACAGTCTCTCTAGTGGGCGTTGGACTAGGTGATCTCTGGGATCCCTTAGAGTTAGAATTTCGTGTCTCCTGATTTCCTGGTCTTTATGTTTAATTTTTATAAACAAAAGCAAAGTAGCCACTAGGGGGCACCAATAAACAGCTTTTCCAAAGGGAATCACACCCTCAAATGTACTTTCAGTGGTTTTTAAACTTGGCCGAGTATACCAATCATCTGACAAACATTTTTCTTTAAATACAGTGACCGGGGCCCTGGCCAGTGTGGTTTAGTTGGTTGAAGCATCATCTCATAATCTAAAGGTTGCAGGTTCGATTCCCAGTTAGGGCTCATACCTAGGTTGTGGGTTTGATCTCCAGCTGGGTGCTTGGTCCCCAGTCTGGGTGCATACGGGAGGCAACCATTCGATACAGCTCTCTCTCATTGATGTTTTTCTCTCTCTCCCTTCCTCTCTCTCTAAAAGCAATGAGAAAAATGTCCTTGGGTAAGGATTAAATTGATAAATAAATGCTGTGATTGGGCTATCCCCCACGTGACTGGGGCTGTGCCATCTCTGAATATTTCAAAGCTTTTTTGCATCTGACTCATGCCCTGCTAGAGTTGGGTGCCTCGTCTGGCCTAGGGCAGCAGTTCTCAAGCTGTTTGGTCTCGGGGCCCCCGAGAGCTTTGGTTCACCTGGTTATTTATGCCTCCCAGTATTTATCATGTGAGAAATTATTTATTAACTCATTGAAAAATAACCTGTCATGTTTATATGAAACATGACTTTTTTTAAATTAGTAAGAGAACTGGTACTGTTTTACATATTTTGCAAATGTTGTAATATTTCGCTTAAACAGCTAGATTCTCATATCAGCCTTCAAATTATAGCAGTAAGTTCTGAGTGAAGTATATGAAGAAAATTCAACCTCGGATATATAATTGGAAAAGGGAAGAGTATTTCAATAGCCTTTTCAAATAATTGGTGATATTATTCTTTAATATTACATTATAGCTTGATAATTAGTTTCTTAAAGTTTAGTTGTGATGTGTAATCATGAACCATATCCATGAATTTTTGTATTTTGCTATGTTAAAATGTGTTTTTCAGTCCTGCACTTTGAATGGATTTTATGATAGGAATTTACAGCATGAATTTATAACGTGATGCTTTGGTCTTTTGAAAAATACTGATTCACTGAATTAATCCTATCTTCCAAATATTGACACCTTTTACTACACAATAGCAAAAGATTATATTTGTTAATATCACCACTGATATCACCAGAAAAGTCTTTTAAGTATTAGGTACTGTAAGCTTCTGGAGATAGGTACAAATTTTCCAAAATTATATATATATTTTTAAAGTTCAAGTTTTATCATTGGCAATAAACACTGTTGGGTTTTTATTCTTGAGGTATCGGGGTTACTTTGTTCATTTTTGACATATCATCTGCCAACTACTTACGTACAAGAATCACATTTTGTCTGTCAGTCATTATTTGAAAAATGATGATTCATGAAAAAAAGCAACTACTTCAGCTTGCAAGTCAACTGCATAGAGCTTTTCTTCCAGACAACTTCTCACTTCAGTGCGCAGAAGTGCTTTATGTGTTTTCCCATTTTTGTGACACATTAATATTAAACAGATGTGTTCCCAAGGGTTGATTTAATAAAATTAATAATTTTTACCCCATCATCAAAGACATTCTTCAATGAAACTGGCTTTTTCGTTCTGCGCCTGTTTTGGCAGCGAAGGACCTCGTGACTGCTCACCCTGCTGGGGCCTCCGCCCCGACTCCTGCGAAGGCGCCCGCAGCTGCACCCGCAGCGGCTGCTGCACCACCCGCGCAGACGCCACGCATCATGGAAAAGGCAAAGGGTGTCTCAGTGTTATCATGCGAACAGTCTTCTCTTCGCACACCCCTGGAAAGAGGCTCGGGTCGCAGACCCCACTTTGAGAGCCCATGGGGTGTGGTCTGTCCCCCGTACTTCAGAACCGAAAGGAGTCCTGGTAGTCACCTCCTGCAGGTGTCCCAGGTGGGGCACACAGTCAGGGAACATCAGAGGCACTGCGGAGCTTGCCAGAAGTTCTTAGGCCCGACACCAAACTTCCTGAACTGTGGGAAGGGCTCAAGAACCTTTATTCTAAAGTTTCTTAGGTGATTCTTTTGTGTCCTAATCACTGATCTAGTCTGAGCTTTTCACTTTACCAAGGACAAGCCGATCCCCCAGAATGAGGGATCAATCAATGCCCAGAGTTAAAGCTCATTGAGGAAGAGCCTTCCAAGTGGCTGCTGTGGTGTATCTCACTTTTCTTCCACGGTCTTCAGCCCATTGCCACGGACCAGCTGTAGAGAAGTTGGGAAAGGACTAGAGATATTTTGTTTTCATAAACAAAGAACTGAGTTGTTATCATCTTTCTGAAAATCAGTCTTTCCCCTTTCCCCCTCTCTCCCTCTTCCTCTCTCTCTCTCTCTCTCTCTTACTTACCCCATGTAACTTTTTATTTCTCCATGGCATGGTACAGGAATTTTTTAAGTCTGTGTTTGGACTAGATACTTGTCTGTCTGCATCTCTCTTTTTAATGAAGAGATTTGTTTCACTTAATACTTACAAGTTCAAGCAAGTATTAAAACGAATCTGTATTCATTGAGCTCATGCCTTCTGGAAAGGAGTCCCCAGCAAAGGGGTAGGTTCTAGGACCTTAATGTTAAGATTTAAGTTTGTTACACAGTTGACAGTTTCCATTCACTGCAGGAAGCATTGGACATTTATTTACTCTGTACAAGGTAATATTCTAGGTACTGAAATACACAAAGATAAATAAGGTAGTCCCACTCCCTGGAAATTCATGAGTTTTGGAAATTCATGCCACCTTCAGATGGTGGGGCGTGCTCCGAGCAGTGGCCAGGTTGTTGCGTACATCCAGTCAACACGCATTTGCAGGCTTGGAGACAAACCCGGCCTGTGCTCCCAAAGCCTGAACCAAGAAACAGGCTTGGTGGCCCCACCACGCAGGTCCCTTGCGTGATAAGCGACTTCTGAATGAGACGATTTTCAGATTTCCCAGTTATGTTCCCAGTGCCTGTGATGATTAAAGGACCTCATGTTGCAGAGTGCTCCACGGTAATAACAGCAGCCCAAAGCACGAGCCAGGGAGTCAGACCCTCGCAGGGAGGCTTGAGACCACAGCTGTCTTTTTAACGTTACTAAGAGTCACTTGCCCTGTTAACCATCTTCTCATAGTGCTCAGTGGAGTTTTCCAGAGGCTGCCTAACATGTGATGTGATGTTAGACTGAATGCAAAAGCAGATGTGGGACTCCGACACAAATTGGCAAAAGTGTAAAGGAGTACCTCTTCTCCCTATAGGTTTTCACAAATTTATGTTTGCTTAATAGGTTTTTATTGTTTTAAAATTAATAATTATTTTTAAAATTTGTTTTTATTTCTAATATGGTAAATATTGATGGATATAACTGACATAAATATAAAAGGGTCCAGAGACCAAAACGGTTGAGAATTAATGACTAATTCTTTAGTAGTTTATGTTGTAACTGAGCTGTAAGCTGTCTGTTTGCATACTCTGCCACATGCTAAATGTTTAAGGTTGCAGGTTGTAGTTTTTAAAATTTATTTCTCTTAGTCTTTTTCAGTCAGGCTCTTACTTACATAAAGCAGTCTGATTTCTATTGATTATGTTGATCGACTTGAGCTAATGATGAATTTTTTCTGAGGAAGTAAGTAGGTCTTTAGTTATGTCTTTTTGAAGGCCTTCACTTCTTTATTGGTAACAGAATGAGTTCACATGGATTGGCTAAGTTAGATCATTCCTTTCATAGCATTGCCTTGCAACATCAGCGTCTTTGTGAAATAATTATTTTTAACATCCGAAAAAAAGTAGACATTGTTTAATTCTTTACTAATATTTCCAGATCTTCTGTTCAGTTGTGACACTAATTTGGTTGTATCATAAGGTAGTAGTTGGCTTACTTACAAAAATTATAGGAAGCAGTCTATCTTTTTTTCAAAAGATGCAGCTTTTAAAACTCCTAAATTATTTTACAGTACCTTTTTTTCTTTTTCAAGTGTTACTGGGTTGGCATAAGATCCAGTTGCCTACTACTCTTACGCCATTTCTCACAGTAAAAACTTTATCTCATTCATTACTAAATACATATTGAGCACTTACTAATGTGCTAAGCGTTGTGCTAGAAGTGTAATAAAGTAATGTGCAAGATAGTTGCAGCCCCAGCCTTCACAGAGCTCAGGGTATTGCAGAGGGAGAAATATTAAACTAATCATTATATGAATAATGTATTTAAGTTATAGGGTGCAATAAAAGTGTATAGAGAGTTTTAACGAAGTCCACTGCGGGGCAGTTGCATGAGGTCAGGGAAAGCTAATTAATTCCAAAGCCAAAATTTTCTCTGGGCTCTTGGTTGTGCGCAAATCGGTTAGTTACTGCTCTTTTAAGAGTAATTTGGCTTAAATTTTCTTCATTATTCAACCGTTGACTGTGCAGGTTGATGGTAACTGATTAACTAGAAGAAATTGCCTTATGTTAGCTTTGTGAGGACAGCACCCAACCTTAGTTGATTGCAGTCTATTGAGAAACTATCTACTCAGTATTTCTGCCTTTAGAGTACTTGTGGTGGCTTTAGAGTAGTTATACTGCCATTAGGACATATTTTGTGTGACTGTTTTCCAATGATTATTATATTTTACCATCAAGTAATAGTATTCATTTATTTGGAATAAGGTGTAGGAACACAAAAAACTATTTTGAGTTATTTTCCTTTTTTAGCTTTAGTTTTGATTGTTGGATTGGGATCAAAGATTGCATGTCTTTACTGAAATAAAATACAAACTATAACAAATGAGGTAAGTTTGTGAGAGACACAATGGAAAATTTTAAATACTCTTTGAATAGATGAGGAAAACACAGAAAGCATTATGTCTTTACTGGATAAGGAGATAAAGTTAACATCCTTTGCCTTTGTTTCCTCCCCCCAAATACTGATTTAAAAGAAAAGATAATCAAACCAGACTTACACAATCTGTAGTGGGAATGGGAGAGATTAAATTAGGTAATGAAGAAAGCAGGTGAAGATTCCGTGCTTCAATGTGCTCCTGACTTGGAATTCAGCTCAGACTGTGTCAGCAGTGATCCTAAACTTTTTTGAATCAGGAAGCTTTTGAGAGTCTCCTGTAAGCTGTAAACCTTCTCCCTGTAAATGTGTTCATACAGATTTTGCCAACCACAAACTATCCTATACTACCCCTCTCAAGTTTTTAGTCACAGATTAAGGTTAGAAGCATTTTAGAGTTTATACTACTTTAGAGTTCATGTGGACTAAAATCCATTTTAGATGGATTAAGGATTTATATTTAAAAAATTAAAACTCATAGAAAAAATTATAGGTTACTATCTTTCATACCTTGGAGAAAGGACAGGTTTCTTAAATAAGCTCTGAAAAGCATTGCCAAAAAACAAAAGTTTTGACTATATTAAAATTAAGAATGTTAGAAATTGGAGCAGTGAAGGTTAAAGAAAGTGAAAAACAAGTTACAGAATGGGAATAATTCACAATACAAACAACTAGAAAGTGATTAGTATCAAGAATACATAAAGAATGCATAGGAATAAGTGAGAAAAAAACAAATAGCCGAATAGAGAAGTGGACAAACGATATGAACAGATCTCGCAGAAGAGGAACATGTCAGCAAATGTGAATGGGATCACCACGTCATTAGTGACCGAAGAAATGATGTACCATTTCAAACCTAATTGGGCATCATCTGCGAACACTAGGTGTTGAAGAGGACATACATCACAGGATCTTCTATCTTTGCTACTAGAAGTATAAGTTGGTACAACACTTTGGGAAAGAGATTTGGCCTTATCTCTTAAAACTGAACACACCATATAACCTAACATTTCCACTCCTATGTACCTACTGCAGAGAAGTCATGCACACATGCACTAGGAGATGTGAAATAAGTTGATTTTAGCACTGTTCACAGTAGCAAAAACCTGGGAACAGCCCAAGCGCCCATCAATAGGAGAATGAATTTTAAAAAACTAAAGTTTTCAGATAATATAAATACATTTTAATATACATAGTAGTCAAAGTGAATGAACAACATTGACACCCAACAATATACATGAGTCTTTGTAATATAAGAAGTCAAAGCGTAAGATCCAAAGATTACATAACTATGATCAGCTTTTTTCTTTCATGAATAGTTAAAAACAACCAAAAACCTTTGGAGGAGTACACATAGATGAATTAAAATGATATAAAAAGGAAAGCAAGAGAATGGTGAGGTTATTGTGAGGGTGCTAACTTTTGTTCTGGATGGTAGGTTTTGGAGTTCTATTCATTAAAAATAATTAGTTTCTTTAAAGAGAACCATGCATGTACTAGTGATTGAGAGCGTTTTCAACCAAAGGTGCTTAACTCTATTTTGTGCATCTGAATTTCAATTTAAAAACAATTTTTTTTCAGAGCTTATTGAACACATAGTTACTAAGTGTCAGGAACTACCCTCCAGATTTTCTGGAAATAGACAAGAAAGACACATTCCCTGTCTTGGTCTAACTCAGTAGAAGCAGACATAGCAGTAAAGGGGTGAAGCCTTGGGCCAATGTTTGTTACAAAGAAGGAAACAGTCAGTAGTCTGTTCTGCCTTCTGCCTAGACCTTGCCACTCCGCTGCCCGCCCCCCGGCCCGACTCTCCACCCTGACCCCTCCCTGCCAGCTTCCCTCTCAGCTTACACACCTGATCGATAGAGTGTTTAGCCGTCTGTTGGATTGCTTGTCTCATTCTTACAACTTTATATTGTCTTTATAATATGTGTGTCCCATATATTCAACTTTAAAACTCTTTGAAGCCAAGGGTCTTTTTTTTATTATTCCCAGGCCTCCAAAATACCTTGAATAATCCTCATGTCTGTTTTATTCCACAAAGATTTGAGTCCCTGCTATGATTCAGGCATTGCATTTATGCCATAAATGTTTGAAAAATGAGCTAATGAATACATAGAGTATAGAAATTAATATGATTTACCAAATTCCTCTTTCATGTTTTGTGCTAGGACTTGGGGTGCTCATAAGACTTTTAAGATACATTATTCTGTTTAGTCTTGTTGTAGGATGACCTCATCATAAAATAACTGGAAAACAGTATACTTGAGGATTTAGTGTCAATAACCTAGGAAGTGACTCCATGAGGAAATATGGAATAGTGCTTATGCACAAGGAAGAACTACGTTACACACGGGTCTTTTCTTGACTTGCAAATTATATCTTAAACCAAAATTAAAAGCTACTGTCTTTGACTTTCAGTTAGCATAGGTGGGCAAGCTTCCACCTTTAAAAAAGGCAGACCAGAACTGTGCCCTACCAGGTGTGTTTTTCACAAGCAGTAACAGTTTCTGTGAAACTAGTGGGCGTATCACTTGCTGATCACAATCCATATGTAGCAGACACCCTCTTAAATATCCTTAGTTGTGTGATTGTACTTCATACCAAAAGGTGTCCTACAGAAACACCATTTTGCAGGAAACTGAGGTCCACAGAGGTGAACTGATTTTACTTAGGTTGCACAGAAAGTGATAGGATTAGAACCCAAGTCAGCCCTCTCCTGGTTTAGTGTTTTTATGTTAGGAGATGTTGCCATATGTGGCCTACGTGCTTCAGGGTTGCTTTTCATACATTCAAGTGCCTCGAAAGCTTTTTTTCACAGTCCAGTGAGTGGCACTTTGGATCTTAAGAAAGCAGTGTGAAATAGAAACATTGCTGAACTTCCCAGAAATCTGGAGGCCTGAGTGCTACTTTGAATTCAGCCCTCCCATTGATTGGCTGGTAACTCTAAGGTTAACTGGACCTGTTCCAGGTCATTCCCCCATCTGAGGTCTTTCACTTCTCTTGCAGCCTTAATATCCTCTCAGCCAAAGACAAACAGCATCCTGATCTGCTTGGGATACGGGGCGTTTCAGCACCTCTCGGTTTGATTAGCCCAATGTTAAAGAAGCCTGGAATTCACAGAAAAAAATCACCTAGTTACTTTGTGTTCCCACGTGACACGTACATGATCTTTGAAAAGTAAATCCCTGGAGGTCACTGCCATGTCTTTTCACTATAATATTCTCAGTGCCTATCATGGAGTAAATAAATCTGTCGAAGGAGTGAACATCTATTTTGTAGAACTGTTACTGCTTTAGACTTTTTTTTAAAAATTATTTATTTATTTTTTCAAATACATTTGTCTCTGCCTTCCCCCCACCACTTTCCCTTTCTCTCTGCAAGGAAAGTAACAGTATTTGAAAACGATCTTAATTTCAGAGCTTGGTCTCTGAGCCATTTATATGAGTACTCTTTATTTGATCATAAACGATTTCTTAAATATGTATCAACACCTTTTCTCAGTAACTCGTTTGTGTTTATCAGTAATACATGGTAGAGATTCTGCATTTATGAAGGCCTCTTTAACTCCTTCCTCATTGTAATAAAACATTATTCTTTAGGAACAGGGAAAAATAGAAACAGTTCCTGTTAAACTTAATTTACAAGGGTTTATTATAATAATTGTGTCCTTTATTTCTCTAGCTACAATCGCTGGTTATGTCAGGCAAGATCTGAGGACCTATCTGATATTGCTTCTCTAAAAGCCTTATACCAAACAGGTGAGGTTGAGGATATGGTAACTTACTCTTTTACTAATTAAGGACCCTATCTGGCATGCTATTAGAGATGTCATTTCTCTTTGATTTTGTCCCTTTTATCTATGAATAAAGTGTTTTTGTACTAATGAAGATAGAACATCATAAAATTTTCATCTGGTAGTTCTAAATTGGCCAACTTCATTTCTTCTTATTGTTCTTTTCCTTATATTTAAAATTTTTTTCTGCCTTAAGAAGTACCATGTACTTACTATACAAAATTCAAATGTTACAGAAATATGTAATGGAGACAGTGAAAGTTCTCAGACTCCCATTCTTTCTACATTATATTTTTTTTCAGACAATAGTTGTTAATTTTCATTTTTGAGTTCCACTTAGTGTTTCCTGGATCACCCATGTTATTAAAAGTTGCAGTAAGTTTGACAAAAATCCGTTTATAGAAAGACCTTGGCCCATACCCTCACCTGTGACCCTCCCCGATCCGGCGCCCTGAGAAGCCTCATGTTAACAGTCGGGGCAGCCCGGGAGGCCTCCGGGGCAAACTAGGACGCGTGTCTTCACACAGTAGAAGGAGTCTGAAGTGAAATGTGGGAAACCTGTGTTTCTGGTTTTCAATCTCCTACATTTCAGTAGAATATTTTCATAAGATTAGTGCCCAGGACAAATAATACTTTTGGAGTGAAGTTTCTGGGCACTGACTGCATTTCCTGTTTATAGGTGTTGATAACTGTGGTCGCACAGTGATGGTGGTCGTTGGGAGAAACATTCCTGTAACGTTGATAGACATGGACAAGGTAAGCTGTACACAGGCTCTGTTCTACAGATAATATTGGTTTAAACATACGTATATGAATTTGGAATCAGGGCTTAGAATGTGAGATGATTGTGTGTTTCTGGCAGAGAAACAGCCCTGGGGTTCTGCACATCCGCATGTATCATTTCAGTAAGTTAGGGCTTTGGTTTTGCTTGGTGGGAGAAACAGAAATGCTGGTGGAACGCCATAATGCCATCTCCAAAAATGCACCTGCTTTGTTATAGAGATCGTGTTACTGGCAAATTTTAGGTTGGAATCAGTCTGTATTGTCATTGCACTCACAACCAAAGTCTGCCTCTCTTAACAAAATAAAGAGGGAGGGAGGGAAGGAGGGAGGAGGATCTGTTTGGAGAAACCAGAGATATAGTTAACCCAAAATGTCATGATTCTAATCCCTTCATTTGGAGGGACAAAAATAGATGATTTCTAAAAGAAGAAATGGTATTACTGGTAAATAAAAATCTTAAGTTTCAACCTGATGAGCAACCCAGAAAAAGTGAATTAAAATGAGATATCTCTTTTCACCTTCAAAATTAGCCAGAACTTTTAAGTTCTTGTGATCAGAGATAAGTTGAACCTAAAAGTGGTCATACCCATTGACCCAGTAATTCCATTCCTGAGACTTTGTACTAAAAAATAACCCAAAGTATGGAAGTAGCTATAGGCTCAAAGTAGCTGAAACTGCCCAAATTGGAATACTCAGGCAAGGGACAGTTGAATTCACAGGATAAATATGTAAATCTTCCTAGAATATCAGTTTTATTAGAAACTGACTGCAAAGGAGGAGAATCACATATAATTCTTAATCATAGTGTTAAAAAAAAAAAATGTGTACCTAAAAATGTAAAAATGACACGCAATTTTAAGACAAAACACTATAACCCAAAAGCATACAGTTACTCCTGGCTAAATCCATAGAATCCTGGTCACTGATATTTGGATTAAAAAAAAAGAACTGTCCAAAGATGGACTTGGCATGTTACCCACAGCCTCATTGGTAGCACAAAATTATAACTTAAATTCCTAACAGGTAATTATGGCACTTCTGCACGTGGAATGTTCTGTGATCCTTAAAACGTGGTTATAGAGGCAAGTACTGTAGAGAAATGTTTATAGTATCTATCATATCAATAGGATAAAAAGTGATAACATGAAATTATGTATACACTGACTTATTTAATGCATTAAAGATAAAAACTGGATATAAATACCTGAAAGTGGATTTCATGGTTTGGGGGAAAATTTGTTTTTTACATTTTTCTATTACTTGGCTTTATCTCTTTATAATGAAAAAAATTTAAATTAAAGATGGGGTATTTGAGGCCAAAAATAGGTATCTCAATTGTCCTGGGAGGGGTTGGAGAGTGGATAGAAAGGATGGGAAGCAAACTGGTAAGAGCAGAAATAATAATAAAATTATTAATATTAAACATACTTACACACAAAGGAAAAATGCACCTGAGTTTTACATTTTTTTATGTATGTATAATTAGTAAGTTTCTGCTTGTGGTTATTTTGTGTTATTAATAATGAGTATAACATTTATTCTTATCATTAATAATGTGATACCCACAACAACATAGATCCCTGCATTTGAGTTCAGTGCACATCCATGGTGTTCTGGATAGTCATGGTGTATCATTTCATATAAAATAATGAGCTCTATTGTGAGGTCAAACCAGGCAGCAGTTGGAAAGATACTGTGTTTTCTCCATGTCCTCCTCTGTTGTGGTAGCAGTTGGATCCTGATCCGTGTTAATCTAGTCACGTGGGTGCCAAGGACGCCCTGAGGAGCAGCAGGGAAACAGCCCGTTCGATAGCGATCTTTCCGTTGTTACCTCTCAGCTTCCTCCTTGCCGTAGTTTATGCTACGCCACTGGGTCACACTGGCCCTGCCCATATCGAATGTCTGCTTTGCGTTTGTCTTAAATTTTGTCTTTCTTGTAATGGAACATTTCTCTAGCTGACCTGGGTCACATTAAATTTGAGTCAGAGCCCTAGAAATGCTGCCCAGCCCACGGCCGTCCACTGGCTAAACCTGGTCTCATTTTCATCATTCAGGTCAGCATTAAAGATGCTAAGAAAATTAGCCCTCCAAGTGAGCCAGGCAAGGCGTCCCTTACAATACCCTTTTATAGTAATTCGTAGTTAATAGACAGCCACGAGCCTCCATCTCAGTGGAGACTGCAAAGGCTCTCGTTGAATTCATGCAGAAACTTCAAGCATGACTAAAAGTCTAGAAATGCTACCTCTAATGATTTTGGTATCATTATCTTAGAGAGAGAAAACCTGGTAGTTGTCTGAAGAACCCTTCCGAGTCTATGAAGAGTTATTTGAGAGGATAGAGACTGATCGTTCTCCTCCGTCACTTAGAACAAGACAAAAAAGGGATCGTACCATAGCATTCATGAGAATCGTTAAGCAGCGGCATGATTCAGTCCCCCGAAGAGCTTTTTAAAGAGAACCGATACACATCAGCATGAAATGTCCACCTGCAGCGCCTGGGGCATAGACCAGATTAATCTTCTGGATATTTCTTCTGTCTCAGCCTCTGAGAAATAGACTCCTGTTAAAATAATCTTCAGCTTCACTCCTCTTTCTCTTCCAGGCTCTCCTATATTTCATCCATGTAATGGATCACATTGTTGTGAAGGAATATGTATTAGTATATTTTCACACACTGACCAGCGAGTACAATCACCTGGACTCCGACTTCCTGAAGAAACTCTACGATGTCGTTGATGTCAAGTTAGTTATTTTTGCAAATTATGGAGGGGGACACAGCTTCTTTCTTTTCTAATCGAAGCAATAGCAAACATTGCTATGTATTCCATGAAAGTATATTTCAGGGAACAACAATTTTTATCATTCATAGTTTAGATATTTTAATAATAGTAGGTGCTCCTTAACACCAACTTAACCACATTTAGTAAATTCATATGTAAACTTTTGCCTGCTTTTAAACACCTTGAAAAATGTTTGGGGGTCATTGCCATCCTTTATATATAAAATAACAAATACTGCCTTCTATTAATAGGGTGTTACAGTTATCAAAATATATTTATAAACATTATTTCTTTTATCTAACGACCCATGACTTTGTTCATGCATAATCTCATCCCAGAGATTCTAGCGCCAGGTGAAAAAAAAAAAAGCACACCGTAAACTTGTTTGTTAATGATTTAGTTCATCCGTCCCATAGCTAGATAAATATAAATGTAATCTACAATTGAAATGGGAAAATGTGGACATTCGGAAAGGCGAAGTGTATTGCTCAAGGTTCCACAACATTAAATGCAGAATTTGGACTGAACCTGAGTTGCTGACTTGGTGCCAGAAAATTATTTTCATTAAACCATATTTCCCTTGAAATAATAATGGAAATTTTAACCAGAATAGACACCCAACAATAGCAAAGATAAAATATTCTGCTTTAATATTTCTTCTGACTAATAGAATTCCTAAATAAAAAGAGCAGTCAACCCCCCCTGGTAGTTGTTTTATTATTTGTAGCATCACAATGTCTTTGTGGACTGCACTGAAAAATCTGTAATACAATTAGTGTGCAGAGAAGGCAAATTACGATAAATTTCCAACTATCTTACGCCTCCCCTTAAATCTCATCTTTAATTAGAAATATTAAAGCTTTCATTACCAAATAGACATCTTTTATGCTTGTTCTGAATGTGGGTTTTATAAGGAAGCTTCACTCCTCTGTAATTCTGCCTATTAATCAGCTCTTTAACTCTGAACAGACCTCAGCTGTGAAATGAAGAGCTTGTACTGTTTCTCTGAAGTCCTCTCCAATTAGCCTTACATGACCCAATGATGATTAATAAGCTGTGGAAATAAGTTCAGGCATGCCTGGAGAGGCTAGATAGAGTAGTGGATAAGAGCGTGGCTGGGTTCATACTGCCTGGGTTCAGTTTTTCCCTTCACCAGTTGAGGCCTGGGTAACTTTTGGAAGGTTAAAATAGAGACAATGTTAGTACTCAGTTCATAAAATTGTTAATGAGAATTAAGTATAAAACCTTCATACAATTCCCTGACTTACTGTTTGTAATATTGGCACTGAAACCCTGAGTTTCTAATTTTCGCTATAATTTTAAGTGGTTTGTAACCTGATCCCAGAGATTTTAGGTTCATATGAAAAAATTGCATACAATGCAGTGTTTGTTAAATATGAATTTCCTTTATTCTCCTGTAGGTGGCTTTATTACAGCCAAGAAAAACAGTATCCTCTATAAAACAGGCAATTGAAATAATGAAATTGTTCTCTGAATTGTTTTTGACATTTCACCTAAAATTCAGTATGTAAACTAGAACTGTTTAAAAACTCTTTTTTCCCCTCTATGAATATATATACTCAAGCAAGAAATTAATTATCCATAATGGTGATTGGTTTTAGGCATGACTTACACTGACCCATTTTTAAATTTTAAATCAGGTACAAGAGGAATTTGAAGGCTGTTTATTTTGTTCATCCAACATTTCGTTCAAAGGTACAGTATTTTTCTTTTTCACTAAATCTTGAATTTAAGTGCACTGCATGCCAGTATATTAAAATATATTTCATCATCTTAATTCTTTCTGAAACCATTGTGACTGCTAATTTCTTTGTTTACTCTTCCTCATTAAGTGACCTCAGGCGTGGTCCTAATGTTGGTCTCATGTAATTCAGGTATCTTTGCATATGAACCTCACAAGCCATTGGCCTCTCAGCCTTTGCTTCTCCTGGCTCTTTGTGCATCCAGGCTTTGCTCATGTTGTTGGCACAGAAGTCGCTTTCTTTCCTCTGCTCATAGCTAACTCTCACTTGTCCTCCCGATCTCGGCTCCGCAGCCACTTTCCTTAGAAATCCTTCCCTGACCAGTGCTGTAGCTCGTAGGTGTGCCTTCATTGTACCCCCTTAAGATGGTGTAGTCATCCAGCCTCGTTATGTTTTTAATTCAGATTATTTGTTCAATTCTCTGCCTTATTTGTTAGCTTGCGAGATCCATGAGAGCTCGAGTGTAGCCATCTGGCTCACAGCTCTGTCCCGACCAGCTAATCCTACATCTTGACTTCATCAAGGCATCTAGTCCTTTGGTCCTTTTACTTTTCTGAAAATGTCATCTCTTTTTTTGTTTGTTTGATTGTTTTTTTCCTATTCAGCCTAAAACCCACGTTCCATCCCTTCAGCCACTCTTTCTTTTTTTTTTTTTTTTTTGTCATACATTTAATTAATTAGTTACGCAAAGTGTTCATGCTACACACAACCTCATCACATTCAGGTGGGTGGGTATCGATGAAAGGGGGGACCTTCCACCTCTGTCCTGTGGGAGGGCTGCCCGGGGGCCTGTCCACAGTGCTCGCTTGCCGGGCCTCCTGCGAGGTCAGGGGCTGTGGACCCTTGACCAGCAGGGTTCTGGGTCCTGAGCCCAGGCCAGGGTTCCTCTCAGGCCTTCCCGTGAACTGCACGTGAACCTGCTTGGCAGTGGGGCTTTGGCAGATGTGGCCGTGTATGGGCACGTGCCACATGAGAGAGCTGGACCAGGGGCTCAGGGGCCGGGCCTCCTGGGCTCAGGCGAGCAGGCCCCGTGGCCTTGCAGCCGGAGGTACACGGAGCCGAGGGAAGAGAGCAAGAGGCAGCCCTGTGTGTGTAGCACACGACATTAGTTGCTGGGAGGACAGAACAGACGGAGAGGCCAAGAACCATCGGGCAGCTGAGAAAACCAGAGATGTGGGTACAGCTTGGACACTTGGAAGGAGCTTTAGTGACCCGGCTGCTCTCAAGTGCCAGTCTGCCGGCGGAGGCCGAGGGGACTGCAGGCAGGTTCCAGCAGGCCCGCTTCAGCCACTCTTGTCCGCGCCTAAATAACCCGTGAGCTCTCACCCTTTCATCAGACTTGCTCATTGAAAGGTTTCAGTCTTGAGACATTCCAGCAGTGTGCTTTCTTCACTGCTGTGGTTGGGTAGCTGACACTGATGGAGAAACCCTGGAGGCACGGGGACCGGTCCTGCTCAGCACACTCACAGGGCTTGCACTGCCTGGCGTCCTTGGATAGTTCGCTTGCCGGTGACCCAGTGTGGCGCTCTGCTCCCCTCAAGCCCTGACCTACCAGCGGCTGCTCGCTCCAATCGAAGGCCTGCCTTGCTCTTAAGGAGAACACGGAAAACCTCAGTAAGGAGCTCCCTGTCTTCCCTTCCCACCCCGAACTTACCTGCCATTTGTTCCCATGATTACCTCCTTTTGCTCTGTCACAAAAATGTTTCTTCTTAATGAAGGGCCATCCCTCTCCCTGTGCCCTGGATTTCATAGTAAGAGCAATAGCTAGTGTTATCTGAGTACTTACTGTATACCAGTACTTACCCAAGATGGGTCATCATGCGTCAGCCTTACACAGTAATATACCTGTGAAGTAGCTGGGAGTCATATTCCCATTTTACAGACATGAGAATTGATGCTTAGAGAGACTAAATCACTGTCCAAGGTAAGCCACTAAGAGGTAGCAAAGGCAGGATTTGAATCTAGACATTTTAATTCCAGAGCCTACACTCATACCTCCTCAGCACGTTCCTGTTTCCTTGGGAACTGCTCTTAAGTAATTATCCTCTTTCTCCTCTCCCGTTTTCTGGATCTAGCATCAACTTTTAATATGCTAAAGGTCCTACTGATCTCTTTACAACCAAAAATTTTTTTGATTTAATCTTTATTATACTTTTTTCCATTATCATTTAGTCCCCTTACACCCTCCTCCTGCCAGCCCAGTTTTTTAGCCTAACCTATGTTCTGTGCTTACCATCTCCGTTTTTCAGATGCCTTAAATTACTCCATCTGGTCTGAATCCCACTAAGGCAGCCAGAGCTGCTCACACCAGAATCACTGGTAATGTCTATTTATAAACCCAGTAGACATTTCTGTTTTGTCTGACCTATTTCCCCATGGCCTTAAACACTGTTGATTCCTTCTTTCTCAAAACACTTTGTCTTGGCTTCTTTGAAACCTACCTTGCCTAGTTTTTCTCCTACTTGGAGCTACTCCTTCCCAGTGCCCTTTGCCGCCCCCTTTCTCTGCACATCCTTTGAGTGTTAGTGTTCCCAAGTCCTCTGCCCTCATTTCTGTGTCTTCGGCAGCCCTCCAGAACATATGCCGTGCCCAAGTATGTGTCTGGGGAGGCAGTAAAGGCTAATGTTTAAAAGCACGGGTCTGAGATTGATGTGATGTGAGTTCTTATCCCACGCAGCTCTACCAGTCACCAGCCTCTCATCTCAGGCAAGTTATGTAACCTCTCTATGCTTTAATTTCATCTTCTGTAAAATGGGAATGATAATAGTACCTATCTTGTTAGGGTTATTGGAAGGATGAAATTAGTACGTGTAAGATGCTTGAAAGATTAGCTGACACAGATTGAACGCTCAGTAAATGTTAGCTGTCACCGTCATTCCTGTACTTAGACATGCACGTTCCAATACTGATCGGATAGCTTCACTTAGATGTCCCACAGGCCCCTACAGCACGTCTTCCTTCTTCCTTCACTCCCAAACTGTGTTTTATATTCCTTTCATAGCAAATGGGACCACTGCCTACCCAGGTGCCTAAGCCAGAAACCCAAGAGAGGCAGCCTTGGGTACTTTCCCTATCTCATCTCTCACCAATTTGCATCAATTTTGTGTGCTTATTTTTTTTTTTTAAAGATTTTATTCATTTACTTTAAGACAGAGGAGAAGGGAGGGAGAAAGGGAGAGAAACATCATTGTGTGATTGCCTCTCACGCGCCCCATACGGGGGACCTGGCCCACAACCCAGGCATGTGCCCTGATTGGGAGTCGAACTGGTGGCCCTTCACTTCACAGGCTGGTGCTCAATCCATTGAGCCACACCAGCCAGAGTGTCTGTGTGCTTATTGTTGTCCTAATTCATGCTTATGTCTTCAGGCCCGACTAGTGAAATTTTCTTATAAAGCTATTGTAAGAAGCCCAGAGCATTTACTATAGGGTTCTTTGCAAAAGTTTGCTAAGACCTGGTATTGGCAAAAGAAAAAAGAAAAAAAAAGGAATTTGAATATATCTGTGGGGTTTAACGGGGGAAAAAATTACTTATTTTGGCATTAGAACCTAGAATTTAGTGATTTGTTGAACGCAAGGGAGTGAGAGAAAGGACTGTGTCATCCGTGACTCCCAGGTGGCATCTGACGTAGGGATTGTGGGTTGGGAAGTAAATGTGAGAGTCAATATCAAGTAAACTGAGCTCTAGCTCTTTAAATGTGTTAGTGAATGAAATCACAGAGAGACTTAGAGCAAAGAGGACAACTGAAGACAGAGCCCTGACATCAAGGGCGAAGACTGGGAAGTAAGTAATCTAAAACTCAACAGGAAAACCAAGATTTGACTAATGCCGTGGGAGCCAGTGGATGGGAAAAACATCAAAGACAGTAGAAACAGTCGTTACTTTAGAACACTGTGGAGAAATTCAGTAAGATAAGTGGTGAAAAGTCATCATATTTCATAATTAAGAGAGGAGTGAAGACTGCAGTGAGAGAATGTGTTCCACTTTGGGATTTCTCATTGTTTACAGAATTATTGTTGAGTTTCTCATGCAAATATCATCTTTGAAATTTGCATGAAGTATTTAAAGTAATTATTTTAAAAATTACAAATTTTCTTTTTGTCCCTTAGTGTTAGAACGGCACAATAAGTTCTAATTAAATGCTTATGGGAACACTGCTTGGCCATGCTAACAAAAAGGAAAAGTATAGTTTGTGAAGTCAGTTAAATGAAGGAATTTCCTTCTCTTTATTTGGTTTATTTTTGATTATATGGCCTTATCAGCTAATATATACTATTAACTTTCCTACTATTTTGTTATGCTCAGCAGGTGGCTAATTGTTTTATAGCACTTGAGGAAGTAGTGCCTGACTATTTCCTTAATCTCATCATCCTTTTTTTGTTCATCTAGTAGCTACTGAAATTTTTTTTAATGTACACATACAGAAGGATTAGCTTGATCTTTAGCATGTCTTTGCAATCATGTCTAATCTCCCCACTTCCATTCAGTATTGTACTAGACCTTGTAGACAGTGTAATATGGCAAGAAAAAGAAACAAAATGCATCTAGATTTAGAGAAGAATAACTACAACTGTATTTGTTCACAGATGACGTGATCATCTATGTAGAAAACCCCACAGTATCCTCAGAAAAGCTGTAGAACTAATGAGTAAGTTTCATCAAGGTTCAGGGTTTAATATCACTTTTCAAAAATTAATTACATAACAAACAATCAAATTGAAATTTAAAAGGCAATATAATTCACACTAGCATCAAAAAATATTAAGTACTTAGGGATAAATATGACAAAAGATGTGAAAGACTTGTACTCTGTAAAAGTTAAGTATACTGAACATAGTGATGAGAGATGTAAAAGGAGACTTAAATGAATGAAGACATATTCTATGTTTGTGGACTGGAAGATTTTAATATTGTTAAATTGTCAACTCTTGCTAAATCCATAGACTCGATTCA